GAGACCAGCATTGATAGATGACGTCTCCGTTGTTTTTTATCGTACGCGGAATGCCAAGGAGAAAAAACCCTGGAATTGCATCTGATAGATATGTATGGTGTGTTTACTCCGCATTGCCTCGTTGAGTCCTGGGCTGGCAGAAATGGGATGTCGACGATATTGGCATGGATAAACAAGGCTGTAAATAGGGCAGCCATTGGAAAGGGAACCAGTCGCCAGTGCAGCCAAGATCTACTGGGGCAGGAATAGACGGTCGGCAGCCGCTTTCGGGAAGTTGCATTAATTGGAGTGACGGGCGTCATCAATGTAAAAAGAAAAAAGGTGAACATCTGGCACTTTCCCTGTCGTAATTACAACATCAGACAGGGCACGGCATTTCGGGGGAAACAGGAAATCGGGAAAGAAGCGATGGGGAAGGCTGAGAGCGCCTTCTTCTTTAAACTAGAATCTACAATTTAGTGCCGGGCAGCCTGGGAAGGAAACGGCGTAGAATTGGTCACTTCCCGATTTGTTTTTTGGACAGTGTTAGAACAGCCAACAGGAGACCATACGGCTCAAGCGCGGCTTCTCAGGTCAGAAGTGGGATAAGACGATGTTGAAACAGAAGGCGCGAACTAGAATAGGGCGGTAAATACAGAAATTATCCTAGTAATTGCTGTTACAGCGATAACACTGCAGAATTTCTCCGTCGTCTTTTTTTGGAATTTTGAACGGTCGACCTCAGAATGAGTCTGGTTAACATACCTGATTTGGCAAACTATGCGCGACGCTGCCGAAACCTTCAGCCTTTGAAGTAGTGGGCGTTTTGCCTCTCCTTTTCGTCACTACATGTTTTTCTCTTTTCTTATCGCGCAAGTTATTCTTTCTCCCTTTCACCGTCTCACTCAGCTTCCTCCCATACCTTCTTTCTGTTCTTTTGTTTCCAGGCTAGCCTCGACGGGCAAGCCTCGTTGACTGAGGTTTAAGCGATGGGGCTGACTTAACAGGGCTGTACTCAGTAGGACAGACGGAAGCAGTCAGCAGGGGACCAGTGGACCCCATGAAAGCGGAGACGCCAGCATTCCGTAAGTTACAGACCAGAAAACACGACGGTCAGTCATCGGTGAGGTGGTCCATTGCGAATGGATTCCCCGCCCCTTGTAACAGTTCTTTCAGAGCCTCGTGAGGATATCGAATGTCTCACATCCAACGCCGCTATCTGAAAGTAACCATTTCTCATAACGGAGTACGACATAAGAGTTCAACAAAGAGTACGAAATACAAGACAAGTAGTGGACATCTCAGGGACTAACAAGAGCCTACGACTAAAGAAATAAAGCTTAACAAAAAAGCATGGGGGCTGGGGGGAAAACAAGAACGGGGTCATTTATTGGCCCGTAACTGGACAAAACGCAGGAAGCTGCTACCAACCAAATTTTAATATAGAACCATTTTGATTTTCTTTCAACGCTGCCTCATGGTGCCAGCCGTGTTCAAACTAAAGTGCAGGGGTTCAAGGCGTCACCACAGTGCTGTGCTTTTCTGCGAAGTCGGCTTTAACCGTGCAAACGACGCCACAATGTCTTGTGCTGCGTGAGATGCCATCCTCAGAAACAGCGGTTGTACGTGCGACAACAGCATGTCTTGCCCGGCTGAGCGGTTTTCAGAATCAGAAACCTCGGAGCGAACGCGTAAACTGGCGCATGGAGAAACATCACAGTCGGCGATGTGGACTCGATTGCTAGCAGCAGCCTGAAGAGCCTCATTGGTTTTCCAAACTGTTCTGGTTGCCAAGACCATCTGAAAATCCAATTTTAAAATGGCGACAAGGATGCCGGAGAGGCCTATGGAAAGGGAATGATACTAAGTCAGTCAGCCACACATCTGCTGAACCAGCCAGTCCCCCAGTCTCGCTCATCGTGGGCTCCGTAAGACGCAATCGTCGGTAGCGCGCGCTGAACGAAAACGCGCAAGATGGATTGGTCTATTTTCACCTTGCCCTACACCGGGCTCCAGGTCAGGCCCCTGAGTGCGGACGCGGAAACTTCCTTGACATTGGAGCATGTAATTAGTCCTTTGTCTGTAGTGGCACATCACAAGAGGTGCCAAGCCAGACGAGGCAGATATTTCACAGGCAACTTCGAGTTTGCGAGGTTGGATCCAGTCCAATAGGCAAGCGCGAAATGGCGGCCTGCCTGCCGTTTTGGTCGAGGAAAATAAAAGCTGTCCAAGAAAGGCAGGCATGCAGCCCGATTTGAGCAAGAACGAAGGAGAAACAAACGCAAGACAACAACTGACGAAAGTGACAAGCACGTTCTGAGAACTACCTCGGAAAAGTTTCCGAATGGCCTCTTGTTTTTGCTTTGCCAGATGTCAGCGTAAGGGTTGCACTTGCGCACAATTTCTCGTATTTCGCCAGTCCAGTAGATTGCGCGCCCGACTGGGCTTTCCTGGAACGAATTACCTGCAGCGAATGTTGTCTCGTGGTTTGGATCACAACGTTCGTCTCGCACCTGCCTGGGAAACATTCCAACCCCAGAGAGCGAATGCACACAACAAAGGAAAGAACGACTGAGTCGTAAACAGACTCACAAATATGTCATACTTGTGGTCAACCGCCGCCAACATCGCCAACCCCTGTCAAACGGCTCGGTGAGGTCTCATTCTCGCCATTTTGACGTGGCGCCCTGCCCCTGATACCAGGCACTGTTTTACGACGTGCAGTGACAAGGTCAAAGTAATCCTCCATGCAGGGAGGGTCCAGTGGGCTCAGTGGGTTCCAGGCACTGCAGTGCAGGTGCTCATGCAATGTGTCGCTCCTTCCCTCGCAACAGCCCGCGCAGTGAATGATGCGATTCCTTCCGGCTCTGGCGCTCTCCTACTTTCGTCTCAAAAGGGGGGCGGTGCATCTGACTCGGGACGTCGTATTTCCTGTTTGTCCACCTCGTTATGTTTTTGTTGTTTTTTTGCCTCCCATGCCAATAACCACGAGCTGCCGTCCAACCCGCCATCAGCTATTTTCGGCTACAAGATCTCTCAGTCCCAGAAACACCAAACTTGGCCTGCCGCCCGTCTCAATTTATCTCTTTTCGTTACTTGTCACCTTTGCTTCTCTTGCGGGCTACTCACTGCCCTTCCAAGCCTTGGCCTACCTCCTTGTTTGTCCCACTTGTCTGCCTGTCTTGTTTGCTTTTCAGTTCATTCTATCTACGGGCTGCAGTGCAATCAGCCTGGCGTGTTTGCTCAGCATTGCGGCGTCCTGTTTTCCTGTTCCCAATTGATTGTTCTACAGTATTACAGTATACAGCTCCACCTTCTCCGCTCGCTTGATCCCTCGTCGTTCTTCCGAACAGTCTGTTCCATTTTGGTGTTGCATAGTTCAGCGTATGTGACTCGCCGTCGTCATACCGTTTGGTGGTTCCCACAAAGTACGCACTATTTGTCTTGTCCGTGAACCGGCGTTGCGACACTGGATTTAGCCTTCTCAGCGTTACCCAGTTGTGTTTTCCTGTGACGATGCCGAGCTACCTAGCGGCACAATTCCTTCAGCCTCTCTGTTTCTCTGCCGCCTTAGCTTGAATCCCACCCCTTGTTCATTCCGTCTGCCATTACGGAGTATCTGATCTGTCAGGTCCCTCTCCAAAACGCTAGAGTGCTGCTGTGCAAGGGCATCTTGCATGTCTTGCCTGTAGCCAACCACCACCCCTCCCCATCCCTCTGCGCCCCTTTCCTTTCCCGGGCCCGTTCTCTCGTGCCAGTGCCAGTCGCCACAACAGCATTCCCGCATATCGACATATTCTTTGCAGCCTCGTATTCCTCTTCTCACAGCCTGCTTTTCGAAATCACGTCTCACCCAGGAACTTGGCGACTGGTATAGCCCGGTCAATGACAGAGTCCAAAGTCTACAGCTTCACTTGTGCCCATACGCGACTTTTGCACAGCTTGGCCCTGCACATAGGATCCATGATACATTATGCAGGCCACTTCCACACAGACACAAAAAACGCTTTGCGAGTTAGGATACATCGATCCTTTCCGCATCTTCCGACACGCGAGGCCCTAACAAGATTACCAGTTTACGACGTCCCCTAACTGCCTCTTCGATCGCCCAAATTGGTGCCTCTCTAAATAGCTTCTTAACCCGTCTGGGCTCCCTTGGTTAGACCCCATCAGGGAGGCTCCACGACCCTTCCAGGGCCAATTAACCCAGTCCACACTTGTTCTCCACGCCCCTTTTTGGCACACTAAAAAGGAAAAGGAAAATAAGAGCAAAAAGCAAGACAATTCAGATAGGCGGCGCCAAAAGAAACAGGAACGGACGGAAGAGGTTCCATGTTTTAAGTGGACAGCCACACAGGAAACCTCACAAGTCCAAGTCTTCCCCTCAAGCTCTCCTGAACAGCCTAGACCTGGAACACCCATGGGAAAAAGCCTAGCCTCCCATTAACTCTCGTCACTGTTCACTCGTTTTTTTTTCCTTCTTTCGCCATTCCCTCATTCACCTTCTCTCTTTTGCCTTTCCCCTCAACCCCCCCTGGTCTTTTTTATTTACCGTTCCTGGGTCTTGACTCTTTGGTCAACTGAAAATCCAATCCAGGCCTTCGTTTTGGGGCTTTCTGTTGTTTTTGTTCTGCTTCTTTTCTGTTTCCCTTCTTGGTCGTTCGTTTCCTTCTCCGGTTTCTTCGTCTCCTTGCTTGTCAGCTAGCTTCGACGCGCATCGTTGTTGTTGCCGCTGACTCGCGCTCCGCTCGTTTCTGGTCTCTTGCTCGCTCTTGCTCGCACAATCAGCTTCACATATCTTCTATATGAAGACGTCCAATATCGAAGGTTTTGGAAACTGCGAATCGTTCTGGACCAACACGGCACCAGGAAGATAGAATACGAAGAACAAGACATCGAGGACCGAAATTGTCATTTGCCCTATTTCCCATCATCACGTTGAGACTCGTTTTCTCAACGACTTCTTCGCCTCTCATTCTCCTCTCACTTCCTCTCCCATCTTCTCTCCCACGGTTCTCACAATGGCAGCCGTCACAACATCGGCGCCCCATGCCGCCTCGCCGCCGTCAAGCCCACTGGGCCGCAAACCCCTCCCGCTACAGACCTTGTCCCCCGAGTCCAGCAGCTGGGCCGAGGAGCCGAAGACGCTTCCAGCCATTCACACGCTCACCGCAGACTCGCCGATCATGCGCCAGTCGCCTATCTCACCGGTACGGGTCAGCTTCCAGCCTGAGAACTGGGCTCAGGCAACGGATGTCAGCATCGAGTCCACGCCTGCCTACTCGTTCGGCCCTGCTACAGCCACAGACCGCTCCCTGCCCAAGACCCCTGACGCGCCAACACCACCACCGCATACGCCCCTATCCCAGGACCGCGTGGAGTACGCTGACTCGCCGGAGCCCAGCTACCACGATACGTACCAGAGCGTAAACCCGCCCCAGCTAGACGGCCGTGCACTGCCAATATTAAGTGTACGATCGGCTGCCGACAACGGCCAGGCGCCGAGACTGGACTTTGGCCTGCCTGATCCAACAAGACTTGGTGGCACGGCCACGCCGGATACGGACGCAGACAGCGGCCTCGCCGGCCCCGGCGGTGACAACCGCCACAGCCGCGATACCAACATAACCGCCAGCTCGAGCCAGCAGCAAATATCGACCGAGTCGTCCGCTGCGACGAGCACAAGCTCAATCTCCGGCCCGAACGAGCAGCTCAATTCTGGCGACCTCTCTCCTGAGAGTTCACTCGAGGACGGCATTCCTGGCAGTCAGTCCGTCCCCCAGCTTCAGTATCACCACCAGACGTACCTGCCACACTCTGCCAGCATGGCCGCTATTGCGCAGCAGGAACAGCACGCTGACTTGCGGTCCTCCTCCAACCCCGACCTGGTCGGCAACCCTGCTGCCATCAACCGCCACCTCACGCCCACATCGCACACGTTCCGCCGCAGCTCGCTGCCTCGTCCTCAGTCGGCCTATTCCGTTTACTCTGACATGAGCCCGCGCGGGCGGTCCCCTGGTCTCCTTGGCGGCAACTCCAACATGCGCGCGCCGTCGGCCCAGTCCCGCAAGTCACCTGATACCCGCCCGTCCTCCTACGCCGACATGCTCAACGTACCCTACCCACAACCCGCGCCGGCGCCCATTGCGCTCGACAACAACCAATTGCGCAATAATGTTGGTTCCAACGCGTCCCTTCTAAGCACTCAGAAGACGCTTGAAATGTACCGTCAAAATGTGAAGAAGACGACCGACATGTCCATCCAGTACTCGTTTGCTGTGTTCCTGATTTCAACAGCGCAGGAGCAGGGTCTGAGCTACGACGAATCGACGAAGCGGAAGAACAGCCCTAAAATTGTGCGGGATCTGGAAAGCCCGTACGTCGAGACTGCAGGCGCCACACCTTTGGAGCTTGTGCGTGAGGCTCGCAGTATCCTGCAGCGCCTGTCCAACAACGGATATCCATTTGCGCAGTACTACCTAGCCGACGGCTACGCATCGGGTCTTTTCAGTAAGGGTAAAGAAGATTATAATGCAGCGTTCCCCCTCTTCGTTCTTGCCGCGAAGCATGGCCACGCTGAATCTGCCTACCGCACTGCTCTCTGTTACGAATTTGGGTGGGGCTGTCGCAAAGACCCTGCCAAGGCAGTCCAGTTCCTCCGCACCGCCGCCGCAAAACGCCACCCCGGCGCCATGACTCGCCTTGGAAAGGCATGCCTGTCGGGCGACCTTGGCGAGAAGCGCTACCGCGAAGGACTCAAATGGCTGAAGCTCGCCACTGAGTCAGCCGATGCCATTTATAATGGCGCGCCGTACCAGCTGGGCTGCCTATACGAAACCGGTTATGGCGATGACATCTTCCAGGACGAGAGCTATGCCGCTGAGTTGTTTACGCAAGCTGCCGAGTTGGGTCACCCCGACGCCAACTACCGTATGGGCGACGCTTACGAGCACGGCCACCTCAACTGCCCTCGCGATTCGGCCCTGAGTGTTCACTTTTACACCGGCGCTGCTGAGCGTGGCCACCCCGGTGCGATGATGGGCCTGTGCGCGTGGTACATGGTCGGCGCAGAGCCACTTCTGGAGAAGGACGAGGAAGAGGCCTACGAGTGGGCTCGTCGCTCTGCTGAGCTTGGTACGTTTCTTCTCAACCCTCCCCCCTCACCCCCGGTCCTCCGTGCTTTCATCTCTTGTATGGATAATTAAACTAACTTTGTCATAAGGCTACGTCAAGGCACAGTACGCTGTCGGCTACTTCACTGAGATGGGCATTGGCTGCCGAAAGGACATTCTTGAGGCCAACGTCTGGTATGTCAAGGCTGCCGACGCTGGTGACGAGCGTGCCACGCAGCGCCTTGCTGCCATTCGTTCGGCCATCAGCGGTGGCGGTGTGCCAATGGAAGTCGGCCCTCCCCGGAACGCCAAGATGAAGAAAAGCGGTTCCAAGGACAAGGACGACAACTGCACCGTCATGTAATGGCACAGCAGTAACCCTGCTTTCCCCCTGAATCAAGCTTTTCTAATCGTTGAGGCTACATACGGGGCGCCGTCTTCATTTCTGCTGGTTACTTGTTTATAACCGCATCATGCTTGGTCATCATGCTGCGCCGAATTCGACCATACATTTGGATACTACCCAAATTTTAATACTTTCATTTGATTGCTTTGCATTCTTTTTCTTTCTCTTTTGGAAATCAAAACAGCCCCGGCCAATGCGTCTTTGGGTGGGCTTGGGGTGGCGAGGGTTTCAATAGACGCGCAAAACGCAAATACATACTGCAACACACTTTTACATACTCAACACCAACTTCACGAATGCCGACGGAGGTCTTTTATGTCTGTGGGGGTGGTGGGGTTTTACACAGGCTTTTATTTTTGGGAAGATATTGATTCGGCAATCGATACCACTCATTTCGCGACATGCATATACGTTCCTTTTTTCGGCCTATTTTCCTCTACCATACGATTTGAGTTCCATTTCATCAATCACTGTGCACTTTCATTTTACCCTCTGTCGCTCATTCATCTTTTGCTCCCCGTCCCTCTACTACGTCATGTCTGGCGCATCACAGCCGTCACGACCACGCTTTCGCAGCACACGGTCGCCCGACAAGCAATTCTTTGTCTTTGATGAGACAGAAAAGTTACCCATTTTGTCTTTCCTTTACGGTCGGGTTTCGTTGCTTCTCCGTTTTTTTTCGCCATCCTCGTGCCCGGTATGGTTCTCGTGCACTCATTTGCTTACGTTTTTTTATTTGCCTTTTTTGAAATGTGCTTTCGTTCTCTTCTTTCAGTTACGTATTTTTACTGCTACACTTCGGAGGAGGAATGGTTCGGTCGACGCTTGGAAACGTCTTAATTGTGGTTGATCGTATACCTGTATATACATGAGCGGTCGTCTTTTATACTTAATTCCATCTATAATGTAGAGACTTCCTATAAAATCTATAATTTTTGTTTCCAACGGATTATAAATCATTGATATTTGTCTGCATTATTAGCTATCCTTTCGGATCGTGTCTTGCCTTTCGAACACGACCGATGTGATGATATAAACGTATTTTCCCTCCAAAGTTTTTGTTTGCTGCTCGTCCATACCCAATACAACCCTGTTTCCTCATCGTGTTCTTTATGGTCGGTAACGTACATCTACATGTCTCTATATGCTCCTTGTGCGACCGTTCGCTTTCGAACAAAGAAATACAGCACCCCTTCGTAATGTGTCTATCTATGCATCATTTAATTAACTTCTTCCATCCAACCGCGAACGCAGGCCACACAACTCTGTGGTCTAGGTGGGGTACCGGAGAAACTACTCCATATGTGATGCAGGTCGACAATACGAGACGTTGTTTGGTTCTTGTGCGGTGTTTCCACAGGGTAATCAGCTGGCCTATTTGTGGTGTCTAGTTTTTTGTCTTCTTTCCCGTTGTAGATTGTTTTTGGAGCTGTGGGCGAGTAATAATGGCGATGTCAAAAATAACGAAAGAACACGAGCGCCTGTTTTATTTTTATACGGAAACTTTCCTTCAAGGCTCCCCTTTTTCAAAAGAAAATGAAAACGAGAAGAAAAGAAGGAATAGAACAGACCTAAAAAATGAAGTGGTAATTAAAAAATATCAGATAAATAAAATATCACATCAGAAATGAAGCTGAAAACCATCAACGTATATTTGTCCAAGACCATTATTACAAACCACACCTCACACGGCTGTTCCGACTCAAAGAGACATTTTGCTTGCTGGACCAACAGTAATATGCAAACCTGTTTGTCTTCCCACTCTCCTCTCATTATTGGCAAGGTCCCACAGCGTTATGCTGTGTGACACCAACCGCAGAAATAAAAAAGGGAGCCCAAGAGTTAAAACGGTCGGAAAAATAAAAGCAGGACGTGAATAAAAATCTGGAAGTTGTCTGGAAAGGGGCAAGAAGCTGCTGGAAGTCGCACCGCAGGAACAAACGGGGAGGGCATTCTGATCATTGATCGAGTGGTGTATAATGAACGGTCAAGAATTGGGTCGGAGCAGGGTCTGGGAAACTACATACTCCCTCCTACCCGACCGAGCTGACGGCAATGGATTGTAGTCGAATATGAAGTGCTCGCCATATAAGATGGCGATACGCCTCCAGCATGCTGGATATGAGCGGCGTGCCCAAAGTGGCAGGTATTTTGCCCTCTTCCTGCTTGTCATTTTCTTGGCTCCCATGTCACACTTGCCGCACCTCTTTCCTTTTAAATCCCAGACACTCTCCTTCCCCTTTTAGATATCCTGGGGTTTCCTAGCTACGGTCCCCTCACGTTCTTTCCCTCGTCACTGTTAGCAGACCAGCCTTGTCAGGTTGGCTAATAGAAGGAACATTCTCCAAGTCTTGTATATTCCGTGAAAATAGAGTACAGCATGCTGTTACACGCCGTAGATAACAATGCCGTTGACTACGGCGAGGAAATAAATTGAGTCTTTTGTTTGCATGCGGTCTCTGGAAGGACTCGTCAATAAAGCCCTCTGCCCTTACTGACATGTCACATTTCTCGGACAACGTACGTTTATTTGGTCGGTGCTCGGTCGTTCTTGCGTTTCGTTTGCAAAGCTGGCGCACCTGCACGACTTCCGAAGAAACAGAAACAGCTCGAGCCCAGACTATCTTTCCTCAAAGGAAGCAGCGACCGCCGCTACGACAATGCGAAGCTACTCTTTTTAAGATTATTCGGAAGGTACGACGTACATATGGCGAGGCTTGAAAGCCAGCCACCGATTTCAGAAGGCGCACTGTCATCCACGGTTGCCGCTACTGCGCGGTGCCCGATATGTTCTGTCGCCCCACAATTGGTCCTTGTTCGATTTCTCTGCGTTGGTGCGGTTCCTTCGCACTCGTTCACTTTCTTAATCCATTGCGAAAACGTGGCCAGCTTCCGCTTGGTCTCTAACGAATACTTTTCTGCTTGGAAGTACTGAGATCGAAACTGCAGAGCTTGCTGTGAAATCGTACTCCATGCTCTGTCCACTACGTCTGTTGCACCCATCGCTCCTGCCGTGACCTTGGACATTTGGAGTAGCCCCACCAGCGCTCGACACCGCCTGCCCTTTCCACTGTTCAAAGTCCCGTCCAAGCCCCATTTTCTCATTAAGCGCCGGTCATTACTGCGCTCTTAACGGCAACCCCATGCACACCCGCAGTTTCCCTGTGGTTTTAGCTCGCCCGTTCGTCCAGTCAGTCGACTTGATCGGTTCCGCCCATTGTCCTTGTCGCTCCTGCCTCACCCCACCTGTACCAACAATCTCAGCCCATTACATCTACTTTACGCAAGGCATCTTACCTACTCTTACTCTCTGTAGCTCCTCTACATATTTTCTAATCCTCCAACATCTTCTGACCGGCATTCAGGTCTGTTCCCTATCTCGTTCTTAGGAGGCGAAAAGGCTATGTGGACCCATATATGCCCGAGAGCAGCACTACGTCGACGGTCTTAAACTCCCGCAAGCGAACTTTATCTTGATACGGACGAACCAAGTCTTCCCGACGGTTGGCTTCGTTCTCTCCTCCTCGTCTGTTTTGCCACTCCTATCGTCCACATCCATCTCAACATCTTCTTCTCTTGTCCGCATCGTCCTTAGAAACTATTCCGACTGCCAGACTCGCTCGTTCGCCCTCAACGCCTCGCCGCCTGATCGCATCGCGGCTTGCCCTCTTTCGTCGGCGTCGGCCGTCGCATCGGACGAGCCGTAATCATGTTCTAGCTGATACCAGTGACCGTTACTGTTTTCATTTCAACCATACATCATGCCCGGGGCCGACGACGAGAGAGGCCCCGAAAGCCTGCAGACGGCCGACGACATGGCATCGCCACCGACCCCTTCAGCTGAAGCGGCACCGACCGGCGAGCCGTTGCTGAACGAATTCGAACAGATGACAGTGGAGACTGGTGGTATTGTCGAGGGCAGTGCCGCTGCTGGAATTGCTGCGGGGGTCGCTGCTGGAGACGCTACCGGTGATCCTGATGCTGGCCTTGTTCCTACCGTACCCGATGAGGGCCAAGAAGGAAGCATAGCTACGATTCCGCCAGACACCCTTGAAGTTGACTTCAGCAATGCCCACGCTGCGCTTCCGACGATAGATTGGTCTCACGTCCCGCCTATACCATATATCCTGGACCCTGTCGTGTCATCGACAACTGGGAGTGCTCTCGAACCGTGGTCACCCTTCAGTGTCAACTATGTGCCAACACCTCCAGCTGGGGACCTCTCTTTTGCGACGCCTGCAACCCAGCAGCAGCATCACCCAGAATACCAACAAACCTTGGGCGATATGGCTGACGCGGCTGCAGACCAACCGAGCACGCAGCCAGCCTTGGTCCCAGGCACAGTCCCTCCGCCGCCTGGAATGCTGCAGGACTTTCACTTTGCAAACGGCTCGTTCTCGAGCCTTTTTTTCGCGCCATATACGCCAGAAGAACCGCCACACTACGAAAACACCCACACCGGCCCGGAGGCTCCTCCTTTTCCGTTGCCGATCCCGAGCTATTACAACGTTACTGTCCCATATGGGAATGGTTATGCCGTGCATCATGCCGTCCACAACCCTGCTCCTTCTACTTCGCCGAACCCCGCTCCCACCTCCAACGGTGACGATGCTATCCCCGCTCCGAACGCCGAGCCCGCAACCGAGTTAAACCTGGAACAAAATGTTTTACCCGGGCCCCCCGTCCCAACTGCTGCGGGTCACGGTGCGTTTACTGATGCCAACTTTGGCGTGGAGCTCCCTCTGGGCATGGCGCTACCGGTCACCTTTACAACCACTGCCGGGCTGCCGATGAATAACGAGCTGAGTCCTACGAATCCAGACTTGAAACGCTTTTTGGTGAACTGGCAGGCATGTACGCGCGTGAATGTCCGGGGTATACAAACGTCTCGCGGCCCGGTGCCCACGGTTGTACCTAGCCCCACTGGTACGGAGCACCTGTTCCATACTGAGGTCCACGAAGTCGGGGTGTCCGATCTTAAAGGAGACCACTGTGACTACCAGGGCATTAAATGGGCCGCAATGGGCATCACACGCAACGAGGCTCGTGCGTTTCGGCAACGAAGGTACCTCAACTACTGCGCCAACAATCAAGATGCATGGATAGTGAGTTGTCGAGAATCACCTCTCCTCCCTAACACCGGTAATTTCATTTACTAACTTCCTCTCCTTGCTACCAGCCTGACACAACAGAGGTCATGCCGCAGAATACGGAGACGTATTTTCGATTCTGTAAAATGAAAATGAGAAAAGCGCCCTACTTGGCACACTTCCAGCTCCGCAACCTACTGGCCGCACCGTCAAAGTCGCGCGTCTTTTATGCCGACCGCCGGAGCATTGTGCGCCAGTACAATTTTGCGACGGATAAGACCGCGATTGCCCTCCGATACCCGTCGGATACATATATTCAGATTTCCACAATCGCCGCCGAACAGGGTGTCCTTGTGTCTGGCGGGTTCAACGGCGAATACTGCACGAAGAACATCGACTCCGAATACGCTGGCGATTCGAATTCTGGTGCAGGAGGATCCGGCACCTTTTCCAACTTGGGCAGTGGGATATCCAACCATATTCAGATACACAGCGCGCGCCGGTCGGGTGGGCCTGTGGCGGCCTTGTCGTCCAACGACTCGCACCTGCGTGTGATGGATCTTACGACGCAGTCCATTCTTTCCGACGATTTTTTCTCCTTCCCCGTCAACTGCACCGCAGTCTCTCCCGATCGGCGCATGCGTGTCGTGGTGGGGGACAGCAATGATGCTTACATTGTGGCTGCAGAACAACAGCGTCATATGAAGGACGCGAACGGCACATCGAAGCCTGATGTTCTCCAGAAGCTGGAAGGCCACGCTGACTTTGGCTTTGCGTGTGCCTGGGCTGACGATGGATATACCATCGCCACCGGCAACCAAGACCGCGCCATCAAAATTTGGGACGCCCGCAAGACGTCGACGGCCTCGGGTGTCTGGACGCCCATTGGAACCTTGCGCACCACCATGGCCGGCGTGCGCAGCCTCCGCTTTTCGCCCGCCGGCTCGGGCAAGCGCGTGTTGGTGGCCGCCGAAGAGGCCGACATTCTGCACATTATTGACGCGCAGACGTTTGACAAACGCCAGGCATTTGACGTTTTTGGCGAGCTGGCCGGCCTGAGCTTCTCTGATAATGGCCAGGACCTGTTTGCGCTCTGCACTGATCCCACCCGTGGCGGTATCCTGCACTTTCAGCGGGACGGCTTCCTCTCCGCTGCCTCCACCTTTGATGAAACACCCATCGCGATCCTGCCGGGGATCAGTGATTTTGACTGGCCAGATAGGCGTGGGCGGCCCTACCGGCAACGAAGCCGTGGCATACGGCGCCGTTTGCGGGCCGCTGCGGTGTCGTCGATGAGCCAGTTTTAGGTCGGCGGTAAGCCGTCTTGCCACATGATTGCTCTTTTATTAACGATTTTTTTTGTATCTTTATTGAGTTTATTGCATCGTTTTGATTTTGTACTCTTTTTCCTGCTCAAGTTATCGATTTTTTATCTGGTTTCCGAGTTGATTTCTTTTTCACATGATGAACATTTTATGTGGCGACGTTTGGGCTCTTGCAACAAAAATACCCTCCTTTCATTTTCTTTCGGGGTTCTTGCTTTCTGTCAATACCAACCCTTTTCTACTTATGACATTTATATTAATTCAAAATCGCAATATCACACTCTTCGAGCACGGCGATTCTCAGTGAACCGAAAACATGTGTCTTGAAGAATCGTTGCTCTAAACTCGATTGGCGATTAAGCTGGCGATTGGCAAAACGGGAAAAGCTGACAAAGTCCAAAAGGACTGCAAATTAAAACACCTCAACGACTCTAGACGCACAAGCAACTTGACAACTGAAATAAGACATCACGCAATTTGGGTAGTCAAACCAAGGTTCTCATGGTGGCAATGAACACAAAAAGCAAGTCAACACCAAAGAAGCTAATCGAGGGCGCACAGAATACAAGTCATGACTGCGAGGGCATCAGAAATCCAATATCCAGAAATACACAAAAAAAAACACCTCAACGAGCCCCTCTTTCTTCATAGTCCCCCCTATTCACATATCCAATATCTATCCATTACCGCTTCTCCTCCAAATCAGGCCCAATTTCGTTGGGCCGGCGGGGATCAACCATGGCGGACAAGCGGACGTCGCCTTGCCGCGCACCAATGGTCACCCATACATGCTTGGCGGCCGGAATTGCAGTGGGCGTTGTTGTGCCAGGAACCTGCTTGAGAGTCTCACGGGTGCCCGTCCACCGCAGACGGCGCGCACGGCTCATGTCGCTGTTGCCCATGCCGCCGTTGTTGACCCACTCGCGCACCACGCTGCGAACAAACTCAACCTTGCGGCGGAAGTCGTTCGCCGCAGGGATGCCCTGAATTTCGGGGCGGATCACGGGCCGGCGACGACTGCTCGATGTGGGAGCGCCTCCAGACAGAGAAGCCGCTGAGCTGGAACCGGAGCTGCCGACACCAAAGTTGAGCAGTGTCTGCAGCGGGTACGAGAGCACGCTGCGCTCGTCGAGGGCGACCTCCTCCAAGAGTCCCGTGGCTGCCATACGCTGAGCTGCCTCCGCAGGGAGGTGCCAAAAGTGGCACCACACGCCTGCAGCATCTAGCACGACCTTGGTGTGGTCGGGGAAGTTGAATTGCAGATGACCGTCGCAAAAGACCCAACAGCCAACATCACCGAATCGCTGGTAAAAGGTGACAACGTCGCTAGGGACGACAGAATTGTCGACAGCTGCTGTTGCTGCTGTTTTTCGGGTGTGGTCGTTGGCCCGCTCATCAATGCCTCCGTCCAGTTCGCGGCCGTATGCCAGCATGTAGTTGGCAAATTTTTTCCAAAGAACGATGCACTCCCGTTTGCGGTGATCGTACACATCTTTGCCAGCAGACAGCTTGCCAGCAACGCCAGTGTGCGGATTGACTGCGACACGGAAACGCTGCGGGTCAACACGGACACGCTCAAGCCCCTGCTCGCCGTTGTTTTCGTAAAAGTAGATGCCATCGTTTCCGGACGATGCCATGGGCACAATCTGGTAACGGTCGGCGTAGCTAGGATCTTCGCGGCGCAGTATGTGGCGCTCTGCTCCGTGTATCAAAAGGCACGCTGGCGGCAGGTGGCCAGAGTCCTTGTTGCCCTCGATTGCCGTGTTGGAGGACTCGACCGGGATCGAGCGCAGGATGCAGCCGATGCTGCCGTCGTTCAAGATATAACCGAGACCAAACTTGTTCGTGTAGTCAACCCACTTCACGACAATCTGCGGCGGTGTTGCATGGGCCTTGTCGCGGGTGGGTGAAATGAATGCCATGGTGCGCGCGTTCAGCGCACGATCCAGCTCAGTCTGTAGCTTGCGCAGGCGCAGAAGGACGGCATCCGGCTCGCTGTTCGGAATGCGCTCATGGATCTCTTTGGGGTTAAACAACGATAGTCTCTCAACACCAGGAGCCAGCACTTCCCTGCTGGTGGTTTTGGCCGCGCTCAGTGCTGCACCGGCTCCGATGGTAGGTGCTGACTCGGCAGTCGCCATCGCAGCACTGCGGGCAGAAGTCCTCTTTTCTATCGCGGACATTGTTGCGGATGGCTTGCTTCCTGGCAAGAGAGTGCGGGAGCGGCCAGTAGTTGTCGTCGTAGTGGATGTTGACTTTGTAGCGGCAGCTCTCTGCTCGCGGGCTTGGAGAGACAGGCCGTTTCCGAGAGGGATATCTCGCCGTCCAGACGGTCGCCGGACGAGGCCAGGCACAGGTGTTTCAGAAACTGTGGCGGCAGAAGTGGAGGTAGGGAGTGTTGCGGTCGTCGTAGTCGATGTGATGGTGGTTGTTGCAGAGGCAATTTGTGCTGTCTCAGCAAGGCCGCTGCTTCGTGTGGGACGACCCTGTGCCCGCTGCTGAGCGGCGAAACTCTGCGGCGGCTCTCGAAGTAGGCTTACCGGCGCCATCGAGAGAGTTGCTGCTGCTGAGCGCTTTGCTGAAGCTTCCATTGCGTTTGCGACGACTGTAGCAGTTTGCGTAGACCATTCGGCCAAAGGAGGTTGGGCCGGAACGGAGAGGGATGGTGTTGAGGAGGAAGACGTGGTTGGTTGGAGTTGCTGTTTTTGATGTGTGCCGTACCGGCTGTTGGTATTTGCGCTTGTGCTGCTGCCACCCTGGAAGAGCTGGTTCTCCTGAAGCCAGCTCTCAAACGGGCGGTACACAATATCATCAGAGAGCGGGATGGCTGGAGTCAAGCCAGCCTGCTCCTCGGCGGCCATCTCGCGCCAAACTGGCTTCGAGACAATCTTGGTCGGGTTCCACGGTCCCACGTTGCATGTATCACACATCTCCTTGAGAGTCTCGAGGCTCTGGGCTTGGATGCGGCGGCTGACGGGGTGCTGGTAGAAGACGTCGTGCTCGGGGGGCAGTTCCCGTAGACGGACGGTCATGTCTGCGGGTGTGGGCATATAGCCCGTCACAAAAAAGGGGTGCTCAACAATGGCATCGGGATCGGGGCGCATGTGTGCTTCCTGCAGCATAGAGGCCACGACGTGCTTGGCCTCCTCGCTGATGAAGCGGCCGTCGGCTGTCGGCCACTCGTAATCACGCTCCTTTGCACGACGGTAAATTTCGTCTGTTGTCGACGACTGAAATGGCGGCTTTGATGTGAGCATGGCAAACATGATGATGCCCAAGCTCCAGATGTCGACCATATGGTCGTGGCCTTTCTTTCCCTTTTCCAGGATCTCAGGCGCAATGTAGTTGGGCGTGCCGCAGAGTGTTGTACGCCGGATGGTCTGCATATCGCGGCCGGTAACTAACAGAGCAGCGAGGCCAAAATCGCCAATCTTGGCGTTCATGTTCTTGTCAAGGAAGATGTTGCCCATCTTCAGGTCGCGGTGGATGATACCCTTGGCGTGCATGTACTTGATAGCGCCGGCGATCTGGACGGCGTAGAACCGCACCTCTGGCTCGGTGACACCTTTGCGGCGCTTGACCATATCCATGAGCGAGCCGTTGGGGCACAGCTCGAGCACGAGGTACGTAGAGCTCTCGAAGGAGAAGGCGCGGAAGAACTGGACAATATTCACCTGGCGCATCTTGGAGTGGATCTGGAGCTCGGTTTGGAACTGGGGGGGCGGGGGATTGTGGTCAGAATTTTAGTGATACTTATTTTCTCATAGCATTGGAGGTTATTTTCTCACCTTCTGCTCCATCTTGGTCGGCATTTTGCTCTTGACGATCTTGAGTGCATAAAGCTTCTTCGTGCCGGCTAAAACGCCCGAGTAACACACAGCGAAGCCGCCCTTGCCTAGCAGCTTGCCCACCTGGTAAACGGCTCCATCCTTGCGGTCGGCGCTTGGCGGCTCGGTAACATTTGGCGGTGGCGGCGGCGGGTGCTCCTTGTCCTTGCTGGCCTTAAGCTGCGCAGCTGCTTTTGTCTTGAGGTCGGCAACGTTGGTGCGAGGACGCCTGGCGTTAGCATCCCTAGGCGACAGCGCCTCCATATCGATGCCCTTTCCAACCATGTTGCTTGCTGGATCCCGTCGTGACAATGCGGTCGTGACTTGTCATCCGTTGTTGGTTGGCTGTTTGTCGGTTTTTGTAGGTTCGCTAAGCCGTGAGAGCTCGTGGTCTGCTGATAAACAGACTGAATAGTTTGTAACGATAAATCTGGCGATGTCGATGTTCTGTTCGTTTGTTTACATTGGACAGTTAGCGAATATGCCGGCAAGAATGGGAAGCGAGTCAATTCTTGTGAGGTGTAGTGAAAAGACAACAGAAGCTAAAAAGCCTGTAGGCCGAGAAGGGCTCGATAGGAGGCGTGAAAAGGATAGGCAGTAAATAAAAAAGAAATTAAAAAAGAGGGAAAAAAGAGAGAAAAAAAGTAACGACTCACCGAATAGCACGACTTATCTGATGAACAACGGCGCTCAAAAAGCCAAAAAGCAAAGCGACACAGAAAAACGGACAAACCTGGGTATCGTGAAAATGAAGGGTGCCGCGTTGTATGCCGTCGGAAGTCGAGGTGTGGCCGTGGTGGACAACGAAAAACAATACCGTGAAAGACGCGCAAAAGTGAACCAAAGCTGTCGTCGACGGGGCCGTTGGTTGCTGAGCAACAGGTGATATGGTTGAGCAGGGCGTGCACGGTGATTGGCCAATAGACTCAGCATGCTTACCTAACGCTTGTGACCCACCTGTTCCGCCAGGCTGACGTTTCAGCGATGCGCATGTGGATGTCGCATCCTAATGTTGCCGACGACAAACGGGTGCAGACTTGCACGAAACAACTGTTCTGTGTGTTCTGGTGCGTTGATCGAGTGCGTATTCGTGTGAATACAGCTGCTCGGGGCTGGTGCTGATGGTCAATCGGCGACGTTGAGCTGGGCAACTTTCTTTTTCTTCACAACTCCTGCAATGGTCCCTACGAACCGATAAACGACATCCGCTTCCCCCTTTCCCTCGAACCTCATACTCCAACAGATGCGCCCTTGGTAAACTGCTTCGCGACTTGAATTTCCGGAAATATGGTCGCCCTTCCCCTCTTCAAGCTCGGTGCCCTGTTCGTGCGACACATTTCCAAGTATGGCGCGGTACGTGGACAGAATGCTGCAGTCTTGGTGTGGCTAGTGTTGTGGACAGGAATGCCGGATTGCAGTCGCTCAATTTCTTGTGCTAACCCGCTGCACCATTGACAGAACCGCATCAAGGTGCGCGCCCACGAGCACGAGGGCTTCCGCCGCTTTGCTGCGCGGTACGGCCAGCATATCCACCAGCTGAACATGCGCATGTCTGTGGCCCTGCTGCGGAACAGCAAATCCGACAAGGTTTCCAAGGAAAAGGCTGAGGCAGCCGAGGCACCAACTGCCAAGACCAAGGACCAGACAGAGAAGGAGAGCCGCGAGAAGGCCAAGGACGACGCTGACCGTGCCAAGTACGGCACGACCGCAAAAGAATCGCACCCGGCGACGATGGTTGTGAACCCAGGCGCAAGTGTGTGGCGGCGCAAGTTCCGGCCGTTGCCTGAAAGCAAAGCCGTCGACCTATTTGCTGACGTGGTTGGTGACGGTTTCATCCTGGTGATTGCCAGTGCACTCGTAATCTTCGAGTTCTACCGGTCGTCCGCGAAGCCTGACGCCAATGCTGAGCGCATCCGGGAGCTGACAGACCAGGTGGAGGCCCTGCGGTCAGCCGAAGAAGAATATGCTCGCAACGAACGGATACGTGAGAGTCGTATTCTCGCAATGGAGGCGGCCTTACGGGGCTTCCGTGACCCGAAGACAAAACAGCCGCTCCTGCCGCCGGCTCCCACAGAAGAAGATTCGAAACCACAAGCGAGGGAAGCAACGGTGGCTGCGTTATGATAGAAGCGTTGAGATAGGAGTGTAGAGTTTGTTTAACGGGACGTATCAAACAAGCACAGGGAAGGGGGAAGGCAGTGCGTTTTGTAGAGGGCGGCTGTGGAATAACGTCTCGGGCAGGTGCGCCCGGGCAATCGCCGACGGGCGCAATGGAGAAGGAGCGACCCCGAATTGCATTTTTTGGGAAGCCACAACTATTAACCGCCCCATAGGGAAGGGACGAATCACATGGAAAGAAAGAGAAAGGAGCAGGGAGAAAAAAAAGTCCAACACCTCCTACTTCTGACGATCACATCGCCACATCACCACTTCGCCGGCTGCAACCGTCACCACGGCTTTACGTTCTACACAGACACCCTCCTGTTTATAGATCTCATTTGTATATAGACCAGGCCACTTTGAGCCACCAAAGAGAGACACCACTCCGCATGCACGACTCTTTTGCCACGCCGTCAGCACCCTTCCGGCGGCCGGCGTTGCCACAATCTCGCCGAGCCAGTGTGAACACGACGGCACCCGCCCGTCCAGCTCAGCATAGAAATAGCTTCCCGGCAGCATCTAGCTCATCGACTCTGCCTGCATTACCTCGTCAGCCGAGTCTAGTTCAAACACTAGAAAGACGACCTGTTACAGGCCCTCCGCCATCGACACCGTCGCCTAGCCGTCCGCGGACCAAAATTACCGAGATGATCTTTTGTGCCTCGATCCGGGACCGCCCCGAGTGGGCATCGGTCGTTCCTATATTCCAAGCCGCGCGAGCTGAGCCTCGATGGGAGACAGCGCGACTGAGCTCGCATGATCTTGCTGTGCGCGTAGCGTCGGAGGGGATTGATGCTGGCGCTCACGGCTCCAGCGATACTATCCGATTCCTCCTTGTCGCTCCAGGCGATGTAGGCCAACTGGAATCAGCCAAAAAACTTCAACGGCTTGCGCAACGGAAGAACGGCCCTGGCAGTGTTGTTGTTTTTCTCCTCTCGCGGGGCGATGGTGAGGGACACAACATGATGGCCTACAAACAGTTGCAACTCAAGTAAGGAAGCAATGATCCTGTTTTAGAGGGCATGCGGAAATGCTAGCAATGCGCTCTCTAACCCTCTTTTACTCTCCTTAGCCTCCGTGACATGGATCTGTCCATCTTGCCATTGACTGCTGTTGCAGCTTTACCAGCGACAGTGGCCGCATTTTGTAGTCAGCTCACGATGCCGTCGCGGTTCGATCAAGACAATCACAACAATACATTGCAAAACTTGGTGCGCATGTACTTTGGAGTTTCGCTGCCATTGTCGGCCGACGGCGCAAAGCAGCTGATTGCTGCAACGGCAGAGTCGGCAAAACGACCCGAAACTACTTTGCAGGACGTGATCCGCTTCTGCTCTGACCTTGGAGGCCGAAGTCCGCATCAACTTGCAGATATATTGGGGGCGGAGGATGCCTCCCGCTTGGCCGACTTTTAGGAAGCCGGCATGAATGGCGGGCCTGACCCGTGGATTCGGTTGTTCGCAAAAGGAACATGCTCCATCTCGTGCGCCCTGTCGGATGCTGCTTTAATTCTGCTCTTTCTCGCCTTCTCTGGCTCGAAGCATCTAAGTTCTGCTCCCGCTCGATCGGCTGGCCATCAGCCAGTCTACAATTCGGGATCGTTGTGTTCCCACAGAAAAGACAGGGCGTCCTGCACGTTGAGCGATCTCCCATGTGCTCCCCTCGGCTCGTCCCTCGTGAGGACCTTGCCGGGCGCTATTGTCGTGCTTTCCATTGTTCACTTCGCCGTGTTCTATTTTGTTCTTTGGCGTTTGCAGCGCTTCCCTGTTGTATTTATTATTGCGCGGGCTGTACGACACACCCCGTTTCAAAAGGGGCAAACGAAGGCCAATTGTCTGGTCTATGGAGGCGCCGACATTGCGTAGACAGGGAGTTTGTGGCTGCCTCCCACAGCGCGTTTAAGCGCCCGTTAAAACATTACGATTACGGGCTACATGAACGTCTTTGCACTCTTGCAGTACTTGGTACAGTAGTAATACTTATTTGTCTCTCATAGTAAAGAAATGTCCACCAAACTGTGTCCCTTCTTGTACGGAGGGCACTCTTCTAATTTACCGCGATGCAGCGTCGCTTTCATCAAATCCATACAATCTACGAAGTAATGACACGGCAGTAGTCAATCGGGTTGGCCTTTTTGGCCTTCCAACTAGGACCTCATTCCAAGACAGCCCAGGCTCCGTCAACGAACGTGAATTCGGTCAGCCTGCCGATAAGTTGATAGGCATGGGCAACCACACATCACTTCCCCGCTAGCTCACCGGACAGTTACAATCACAATCACAATCACAGTCGCGGTCTTCAGAATGGTTGAAGGGCAGCCGATGGTGTTCAAGTACGAACTACGACAGACAAATCCGAACTAAGAAGCTTCGGTTGTCTGTGCACAGAGAGCTGTTGCCGTTTGAGCCCTAACATCCTTTTAGTAAAGAGCTAGTTGGGTGACCAGAAATGTAAAAACCGAGACATGAAAAATGCGGACGGCAAGTATGCAGCATAGCCCAGCCTCTTTCTTTTTACTTCATTGCTCTATTAGAGCCTTTGGGTGGGTCTGAGGGGGTTCTTTTGGACCAGATATACGACATACAAGGATCGCGTACGCTTTGTGGAGAATGAAGGCCAAAAAAGAGCAATGGACAGGTGACGAATATGAAAATGGCGGCCAAGACGGGTGTGACTGAAGGGATTTTCAGAGACATGCAATAGCAGCCTGGCCTCGTGACGGTTTTTCTTCAAATCTCAGTTCAACTCTACTTGAGAAGCGAAGCGGTGAGGAGTTGGGGATTCCTTCAGCCATGCTGTCAGTTATTTTGCCAAACACCACTTTTACGTACCTGTTCAACGCACCTCAGTTCATGCATCCGTAGTTGAAAGAAAATTGGGTACAAAAATGACTGGCAGGTTGGGGGCCAAAAGTTACCAGCAGGCAGGAAAAGCAACCAACGCGGCAGGAAATTGAACGCTGTCTCTACGAGAACAATATGCAGTCCCTTGTCCTTCCGTGCCGTGAGCTGCATTTCGCCGTAGCCTTATTTTCAATTTATCAGAGGCAATGGCGGTTGGGGGCGAAAAGACGCTTGTAATATAGTGTGTTTGTTGGAGACGGAAAGGAACCAAAAGCGGGATCTGCAGAGTGAACAATGGCACGATGCAAGACCAATCTGTTTGTGCCGATTCACTCCCAGAAGCAAGAAAGTAGTACTTGTGCAAGGCAAGACACGACGTTGGATGCCGTAGGTGGTAATTTCGAACTCCTTCCCGGACTTTCTTCTACCTCGTCTGCTGTCTCCAGGCTTCAATCCTAAAGCGGAACCATCCCCGGACAATGTCAGCAATGTGACAGCTGTGTTCTATTTCTGGAATCAATAGTCTCATGCAATGTGATTTGACTGAATTGGTGATGGTGATGCGCAACGCGGCCTTTGAACTCGCAACAAGACTTGGCCACCTTTGGTGGTCGTTGGGAGTAATTTCGTTGACCAGGGGAGGTGAAAATGAGAATAAAGAAGCCAATAAAATCAACACATTGTCAGACACAGCCAGTGATGGCGGTTGAGGTCGAAAAAAGGATCTGGCTTTGAAAGGCTGAGAGGTTGAGGTCAAAGCCAACAAGAGGTGAAATGGCGAGGGCGGGAAGACCAGCGCTAACCAATGAGCAACGCTTTGCAACCGCCCAGGCTAAGCCGCGAACGGTGCTAGCGTTGTGCAATGCGGCAAGCTAGTCTTTTCGGATTGAAGAATAACTTGCAAAGTGGGGCCACTTGAGCGTGGTCGCCATGATGTTGATGTAAATCGCTGGTGTAAGTGAACGACAACATCGCAGCCAACGAGCCCTGCCATAATTGTTGGGTAATATGTCCACCAAAAAGAAAATGCACCTGATTTTTTACCTGCAGTAAGTGGACAACGAGGCTATCTGGTGAAGGTTGGCGTGGAAATCGCACGGAATCCAGCACAAAACGGAGAATGGGTGGATTGCTGGGGGCAGGATACGATCACCAAAACCTTTCTGTTCACGCTGTATTAAATCGTACATCGCCGGTCTATTCTACCTATTCGTTTACCCGTGGCTGGCTGTGGCGTTCTCGGAGACGAGCAGATCGTGGCGGCACGGAGATGGCACCCAGTACAAGGGTAACAGTACGACAGTTTTACACTTGTTTAAAGCAGGGCTTTTAATCCATCTTTTGGAACGTAAAGAGACCGTTAAAGCGTATAAGATATGTGAAAGCATTAAGGGTAAAAGAAAAGTGGTGTGGTGCGCAACCCTTATATTAGTGATGAGTGCGGTTGGTGCAGATGCAGCTAACCGGTATTGCCAAGAGAGGAAATGTGGCAGGAAACAGACACAGTGACGTGCGGCATCGCCTTCTTTCCTCGGACTACAACACACGGGTCACGAGGCCACGAGCTGTGATATACCTACTCCGTAGGACGGAAAGTACGAGGCTCTTCGCGAGATCGGAAGGTGCGGATAAAGTCTTAATTTTACAGAGCGGCATACTGCTTGTCAGCTTTCAAGAAAACGCAAATCTCGCTGCGACGAAGTCTTATGATGGGCCGAGCCAATCCGATTCCTTCGACGCAACTCACACCAGATTATCTTTAACCCCTTTCAGCGTGCCTTTTTAGATCGTTTAGCCGCAAACAACATCACCTGTCTTAATAAGTCTTAGCACCTGTGGACGTGACCAAGTGTGGTGCATTTTCAGCGCTAGCGACATGTGCCGAGCTACTAACAGACAGCGGTGCCATGGCCCTGAAATCCACGTGATAGCAGCCAATTAGCCTCGAATGGTTCTTCATAGGCTCCTGTTGACTAACAGCGCTCTGGCCGCCCCGACTGCGCCCGTCAGCACTCTGACTCCTGGCGAGACAGGGGTGCAAACCACAAACACCACCCTGGGCGCGCCATTAGGGCCAAAGACGGGGGTGTTCAAGCTTCAAACCCATTTTGCTTCAGGGTTTTTGGCGATGCGCCACTGCCGGAGGGTCTGTCGGAGGGTCTGTCAGATCATCGTCTCAGCGTGTTTGAGCGAAACGGTGAGAGAGAACTTTGACCGTTGCGATGCAGATGAGTCGCCTGTCGTCCTGTCTTTCACATTTGAAGTCTATGTCGTGGCTCGACCGGTCGATTTTAAGTAAATAAGATGATACGTTGTAAATACGCACATGATTGACAGCCACAATCGCTCTATTCCAGACTGTATTGTATTATATCATACGTCCAATCTGCGGTCTTACAGACGCTATGATGGGAGTCGTGCTGACAGAAATGAACGAGTGCTCCGCAAGGAGATATGTAAAAGTCCCCGGGTGCAACGTAATAATACCTAGCAAATGAACAATACATATCGTCGCCATAAAAGGGTCATGCTAGGTCGTCTATTCATTGCGCTGACAGAGATTTGGCAAGAGAGCGCAGCAAAACGACCGCATCACGATATGCCCATGGAGCACGGTTCCAGAGACAATGGGACAGGGATGCTCACAGCCCCGGTTCAGAGGTATCGAACGCATGACACATAAGTTGGTCAGGTTGTCATGCCAGGAAGGTTCTCCCAAAGTCTTCGATACGAACTGACACTGCTTGAGTTAAGCTGCTTCTATTATGGGAACAAGCCCCAAAGATGGGTGTGATTCGCACGACGGAAGGCAGCTCGGCAGGAAGGAGCAACCTTAGGAAACAGGGGGTTGGTTGGGGCTCTCTGGGAAAGAGGAGAGAGGCCCCAAGAAGACATGCAGAAAATGGAGACTGCACACTCTTGTCACCTTGTCACTCTGAAGGGCACGACCCACCAACACTGGCCGCCCTGATTGGCCAGCACCCCAAACCTCTAACCGCCCAGAAACGGCCGGCAAGGTGCAGGACAGGGGTGTGACTGCCCTCCCCATTTTTTTTGTTGATATCCTCAACCTCTCTCATTCTTCCTGTCAATTCTCCCTCCAGCAATCCAATCACACGCTTGGGACACCACCAACGCTGTCTTGTCGTCACTTTCCTGCGAGGGCGTTTGCCAGGGGCAGGGCAACACAGTCCACTTTCACAGTCGCCCAGGGCCTTCGACCACACAATGGTCGGCCTCCTGGGTCTCAACGACGGCCGTTGAGGCGCGGCGGGAGAGTGGGCATCGTGAGCAGCACATTGCCCTGCCAATGCCCAATGGCCTGGCCATACGATATGCAGGAATTGTTCCTGTTCGATTGCATGCGGGATGGAGCCGCTGCGATGCGTCGTCACTCGCACGCGGGCCATCCGCCAGCCTGCAGCCGAGAAGACGAGGCCAGGAAATCGACGAGGGAACGCTGCCGTCGTTGCCAGCCGCCTTGATATAGAATGAATGAACAAAAGAACAAAGGAAACAAGGAAGGCACCAATATATGCAGCCCCATGCCGGTGGCACTACTGCCGCTTTGATTGCCTGCCCACGAACAGCAAGGCACAATGAAGCTGCAGACCAAAAACTACATATGGACCGGCCCTCGCTCTCTTTTGGCCCCTCCCCCGTCCTCTTCCCTTGTCGACTATCAAACTCGAAAGTGTTTCCAAAGTAGCCAAGCTGCCATCAATTGTCTCCTCAGCTAAATTTCATTCCCGTTTCTTTCACCTTTGAAGCCTTTCAGTCCGTCCTTTACCACATCGTCTCTTTTTCAGTCTCATACACACACACCTATCTCCTCCCCCTCCCCAATTCTCAGACGCATGTCCCTTTCCGTGCTTCGCCTCCTTAAAATCCAACCCCGTCCGCCCGCAATCCGGTCCTGTGTCTGATCTTCAAACTCTATTGTTCATGCAACACGCCTCCGTCCGTGGACGTGGATCATCGTCGACCTTCTCGCCCATCATCTGCCTACAGCCTTACCATTTGGCTTTACCTTGTTGATATCCCCTGACTTCCGTTGATTCTGTCGACGCCATTGAGACCCTTTCTCCGTCTCCCCTTCCCTTTTCGTTCGCTATTACATTTTGGCCCTGCCTACCTCCGACCGGGATTGCAAACTTTGCCATATCTGATGCAAGTTTCCCATCTCAAACATCGATCTCGACGACACTTTCCCATCCGGACCCTCACAATTCCACCATCTTGAGGCGTTTTGTTCCAGCCTCCGTGCCCATCCCCCCCCGTCTCCATTCTCATCGTATTTTCATACTGTTGTCGCTTGGCTCAAGCCCCTTTTACGCGTTTCTGCTGCCACCCCCAGTCAACCCATTCTTGGGGGTTATCGACAAAGCCTCTGTCCTGAGGCTCACCCCTTGGCCCACGGAGCTTCACCTTGGCTTGGTCGTTCTCCCTTTCTGTCCTTTTGCACCAGAAACAGCAGCTGCTTTATGCCGCTCGGATGCCCGCTGTTGTCATAGATCAGAAGATCCGAACGTGGGTTGCAATAGAACGACACTGTCGCAGAAACAACAGGCCCTATCAGCAAAAACATCAGCACTACTTTCATACAAGGCGGAAAATACAGCAACCACCACATCCACCTTCAGACCCCCATAGTCCCACTAGCCTTTTCTACACCTCTCTTTTCAAGACCCATATTAGCATCAACCCACAAACATCCGACACGGGCCCCCGTTGGAAACAAGACCGTCTGATACACGAGACATCCGGCCTCGGGTACTGCCCTTGGGGCACGTATTCGCTCTCCAGAGCAGCCCATACAGCACGCCCACACCCACCAAGGCCACCACCCCCAATATAGTCCTGGCTTTGGGTGGTGGACCTACAGAACAGAAACCGAAGAAAACTCTCTTGACATCCGGCTCCAGCCTCTTCAATACCCACCCTTCTCATCTTCTACTTCTTCCTGCTTCCTTTCTTCGTTCGATTCTTGCCTCCCGTTTGTTTTCTTTCTTCTTCTCCAGCGCTGTGCACTCGCTTTGTCGATAGCCTTCTTTCATATCGACACTGGTTGTTGTTTTCTTTCTTATTCGCTTCTTCTCGACTTGTATTTTCAACATCTCTTTTACAACACACCTTTTAACTTCCTCGCGGGTCAGGATACCTGCTTGTTTTTACATCACCTTCGCTTCTATTCTCGACGGATACTTTGTTTTGTCAAAAAAAAATCCATTTCGTTATCTTTTAGAGTGTGTCGTTGGGGAACGGAAAAACGAGACAGACCGACCGACAAAAACGATCGTTGATCGTGACATCCGCAGAATAAAAAGAGGAAGCGATTCACATCGACAGCAATACACCACTCACGCCAACCTCACACCAACTTCACATCACCCTAATCCGTCATCATGGGTCGTCTTATCAAGAACCACTGGGCACGGCTCATTGTGCTGACTGCTGCTACCTGTACGTTCAAGCTAACCCAGATAGAATGATGTATTCGTACGGCCAGAATGTTCTCGTCATACTAACGAATCACAGACCAAGTGGCTGCAGCGGTCGAGGGCTTCTTCTGGCCCAAGATCTTCTGGGATTTCTTGACCCGCAACCTCGACCCCATCGTCAAACCCGTTCCGATATTGCAGATTGTCAATCTGCTTTTGGGTCTGTTCATGCTCGCTTGGGAGTGGCCCCTCGGCGCCCTTGCCGGCACAGCCATCCATCGCAGCCTCGAGTCCCGCCTCGCCGTCATCCCGTTGGCATCTCTGGCCGCTGTTCTGCTGTACCAGGGCACCAACTCCGCCATCTACTACGTCGTCGGCATGGCCGTCTACTTTTGGGCTTACAGCGAAGGCGAAATCATCTGCGCCAAGCCATGGTCCCTTCCCCAGCGTGGCAGCCGCACCGGCCGCGTGTAGACGATCCGCCTCCGACAACGCCGAATACTGGACAGTATCTACGCCGTGCCAGTCTCCTCTCTCCGGACAAACCACTCCTGTCGAAATTTAATTCGCTCAAACCCCGGAGGACGACTGGCATCGAGGGGTCTCGAGATACACCACGGGCACTTTACAAGACACGACTGGTTGTCTTCTTTTTCTCTACCACATTCTCTCGGCCTGATCAACGGAACGATTTCTGATGGCCTTTTAACGCCCAGCTTCTTTTCTTTATATTTCTCATCTTATAAATCTATCTTCTTTTATTATCGTTTCTTTTATGTTCTTTCCCACCCTGTCTCTCTACTACTACCAGTGTGTGGGGATCTGTGCACAATTGGGACTGAGAAGGAAAGACGCGGCGAGAGGAAGACAGGGGACGAAGTGGAAGTCCTGGCATCTTTGCGTGGGAATTCAGTTGACCTACGCAACAAAGCCACAAGCCTTTGTATATTTCATTAACAAGAAAAAAGAAAACTCAAAATGAAAATCCAAACAGGAAATAAACTCAACATATTCTTAGAAACATTTACGATATGGCCTAATGAATTTTTAAAAAATTGAAAAAAAAAAAAACCGTCCCGTCTATTGTGATAATTTCCAGTTGTACTAGTAATGGCTGAAACAGTCTCGTGTTTGATGAGGATATCGATAAATGGACTACATATTCCATCAAAGCACTCTCGTCTCTTTTTTTCCTCCGTATAATTCGTAGAGTGAGGCTGGAAACCGAAACACCGCCTCAATAAAGGAAAAAGAAGTCGAGATATTCTATAATAAAACAATAGCTATTCTCGACAACAGTATTTCACCAAACGCGTGGTTTTAACATCGCAGCAGCTCCGTAGACCAATTGTCAGCCCCGCCTAGCATATGCCCTGTTTTTATGCTTGCGATTAAAAGTCTGCCGAAAGCACCGTTGCGCGCCCATCCCAAAAAAAGAACCAAAAAAAAAATGAAGAAGACGCACACTTTGCACTGTTAACTATCCATTAAATTGAATTTCTTTCTTTTATATCGATTTTTATTCGTATTGAAATTTTAGATGCATTGCCCCGGTTTTTGCAAGCTTTACGTTGCTACACAGCAAACATTAAAAAACAGAGCGAGAGGAAAAAGGAAAGCAAAGGTACTGGACCAATGAATGCTCGGTCGCTTCCGTCATATACCGGTGGCCCACACTTCTTTCTTTTGCCCCATATGATTCATATTTTCCCCCCTCTTTCTTTCAGCTCAGCCAAATTCCTCCCCTTCAGATGACAGAAAAGGCCTAGAATCCCCTACGGGAAAGCTTTGGAGAGGACATGGGAGCGCGGCCGAGCCAGGCGAATTGGGGAGCACGCGACCGCGCGATCGCGAGAACTCACGGGAGAACGAGAGGCTTGTAATGGGAGGCAGCCTTTCCCGCCTACTAGCTAGTTATCTCGTACTCTCGGCCTCTTTTTCTAACTGCACTTAGTGAGCAACACGGGGACCCTGGGTCTCGTTCCGGATGCCCAGACGCTCAGGTGCCTGCTTGTAGTTAGCAAATGATCAAAAGGAAAACTGCAAGGAGCACACACGTTGTCGGAATAAGAGATGAAACTAACCTCGCTCTCCTGTAGAGTACCCTTTTCGAGAATGATCTTGATAACCTCGTCCTCATTATGTGTGCCGAACTCGTTGTCCAGTGTGCTGTGGGGTGCCGCGTTCACGGGGCCCTGCACGCCGTGCCGCTGGGTTGTGAAGACAGTAAATGTAGAGACAAAGTGGGTGAGAGGCACAGACGAGTCCTTCTTCCACTTCTCGTAGTCCGCCTGGTCGTCCACGAAAACGAGGAAGTCCTCGTACTCGCCCTTGTAATGAATCTTGGTCTGCACGCGAGCCATGGTTATGGGAAGTGTGGTGAGGGGATGCTGAGCAATCAGGTCGAAGTCGTTTTAAGATAGAAGTGTTCTATGTATCGTCGTTGGTCTTTCGTCGATGGTCGTCGATGAATTGATGGAAGAATTGAGTTTGTGAGAAATAGCAAGAGGGAAACAGACAGCCACGGAGAAAAAGGGGCATCTCTCCTCTTTTATCTGCGAGCTAATTGTCACCGAATACCCAAAAACAGAAGCTGCCCTTGGCGTCACCCTCCCTTTTGCCGTTTTGGTCGCTCTTTCCTCTTCGTTTGTTCCTGACCAGCTTTGATTACACGACAACAGACAATACGTCATAGGTGCAAGGCTAAACTAGGTTCCATTCGAAATAGTGGGGCCATGTCAAGCTGAGGAGCGGTTGCTCCGGTACCTCATAAGCACACCAAAGTTCCACCAACTTTTCAGGTACCTTCTGGAATGCCGTCAATGGAGATGCTTATTACGAAAGTTTCCAGTGACCTTTGTCTCTCTTGATCAGAATGCCCGGACTGGCGGCACCACATTTCCAGTGAGCTAGAATATGCCTTTTGAGAGAGAACTGAGTGTTTTAAGGGAAGCTGTACCTCATTGCCGCGCCCCACCCAGAGAGCTGTGCGCTGTTAGGCCCACTAAAGCACCTCCTTCCCGCTTCTGGAGCTCTCCCACAGTACGTCATTGTGGGCTACGTTATGGGGCGGGCAGCTTCGCTCGACAACGTGTAATTACCAAGGAGGACGGAGCTGCACGATGTGTCATTGACCTGGATCTCAAGACAAGCGAGAGGTCCACAAGACATGAACGGGCCAAACCCAGGCACAACTAGGACCAAAACGTCGTCATTCGTTTTAGAAATGATTCTAAAACGAAGTTTTGTCCCGAGCACTGCTAGTATCCCCGTGCTAAAGATACCACTGAAGTTAAACCAGGACATATTACTTGGGACAGCTGACACAAAACTGCAAAGTGAACAAGAAAGATAGCATTGAAAGTGCTCTCATGTCCTTGTGAGAATAACGAGGTAACAATACCAAGCACAGAGTGCTCTGTACCAAAACGAGCACGGCTCGGGTTGACCTTGTTTCGCACGCGGCCAAAGAACCTGCAAGACTGTGTTGCCGTTACAGAACACTCGGTTACCTAACCCCGCAACGTCTCTTTGCATATAATATTCAACGGTGTGTCTCCTTGGTAGACCGACGGAAACTCCTTCGATGGAGTAACGGTCTTCCTAGCCAGTGTCGTGCTTGCTTTATCGAGTGCGGCCGTGGTGGCTGCAGTGTCAAAGGCGGCATCATTTGGACGGTGGAGCTGGACAGCGAAATATCCGCCGTTGACTGAGAGCCGTGAGGGGAGAGGTCTGGCATGGATGGAGACATAGTAGCCGCACGGTGAGCAGAGTTGTCTGTTTCTCCCGTACTGTCCGACCTGCGTGGCCCCATTTCTTCAATGAATCGAGTGGCCGAAGATCGAGGAATATTCGCGGCAACAGCTGTTGATCCGGTGTGGTTGCTTCTTTTCTGGAGAGAGTATTTCATTCGCTCGGTTATTCCTTCCAAAAAATATGATCGTTCGCCTTGCCTGTCAAACGATGTGGAAATATCGCTGGACGTGCGCTCATGGACCGCAACATTGATTTGGTCAATCTTTCTGGATTCAGTCGGAGCCTTGTAGCCCAAACCTTGTCCCTCAACCGAGCCACTCTCTGGTTGCTGTAGCAGATCCACCTGTCGAAGGATGTCATGTTCGACGCCCGCCGCCTTGTGGGATGAGGCATGAGATGTCGATCGTTTGCTAAACGTACCGGTGAAGCTTGCCACACTGAGTTTCCGCATAATCGAAGATGCCGACGGGCGCCTGTGGTGTCCACCTTTAGGACGTGCTGCAAGGCCTGTGCAGAAAAGTATATCCCGTGTCCAGACGTCCGAGATCAATGATTCAAGGTGAGCTCGATCGCCTCGAGGCGGTGTGAGGACGGGTATGCGAGAGCCAAATTGAACGAAGTTGGATCGGCTGCCAGCCGTAGATTGGGACGCGCCTTTGGGTGGTTCTTTTCCGGAGCACGTGTTGTTCAAAACAACGTGACATGTCGGCGCCTTTGGTAGCGGCATTGTTGTTGTTCGTCTCCTTATGGTCCTGCCTGGATTTGGACGTCAGTATACACGAATAGCGGCGGGCATAGGATATAGAAGACGCACCTTGATGTTTATAAACTGTTCCAAGCGACAATATTTTCATATTTATGAACTCAAATGAAGCATCCTCAGATACGGGGAGGCTCTCATTGGTAGAACTCCGGGCCAGTCTCCGTCTCCATTCTCGCTCTTCCGTTTGGGAACCGGCCGTCAACAGGATCTCGTGTAACTGACAATTGCATTCAAATGCAAACTTCCAAGAAAATGGTGCTGATTGACACTGCAACCCTATCGACGTTTTAGTCAAATGTCTCGATTACGTACGTCAGTATGCCCGAGATTCATAGTTTACACTCACCCCGTCCATTGTTCGCTTCCTCCAAAGTTGAGTTGGACAATGGGAAGCAGGCTTGAAGCGTGTAAGTTTTGTCTGGATTATCCGCTACTGCCAAACATAGCCAATTGCGGTATAATATGACCAGCATGTATTTACCCTCGACCGATAATTCGGTCTGCCAGCACACGTGGAGGATTCCACAGAGTTCGATGCGGCCGAAAGCACGAACCCAGCTTTTGCACGCATCGCTAGCAGCCTGTCGTAACAGACAACAGGTCAGAAACTGCTTCATAAGAGCCAAAATGCATATGGGTAAACGGTAGATCATATACCATTGCTCACCTTGGAAGGAAATCGAAGGCGCTCTTCGAGCAGCCATGTTTTCTGGAGGTTGGACTTGATGAGCGGATCGTCGGTTGCCTCGTTCATGGCCCTCGCCATATTTTCGAGCCCACCAAGCGCTTTCTCAATTTCAGAATGAGAATGCGGACAGTCGTAGACGGGAGTGGCCTTTAACAGTTCCTTGAACAAGAGAGGATAACGACAGGCTCGTTGTATCGGCTGTACTCAAGTGAGGTTCGTCAATATTGGTACGATTCACTTCAGTACATTGCTAGTTCCATTGCATCACACACACCTTGGCAAGTAGGTCGTTAATCGACAAGGATTTTTTCGAACCAGCTGGGCCCCTTGTATAACTTAAAAAAGATGCCAGGGTTTCGAGACCTCTTTGATGCTTGTCCCAGTCCGGGTTGGAGCGGTGCATCTTCTTGAGGTCATCAATCACCATTCCATATTTTACACCGTACTCTTCGTATATATAGGAGCGGAATTTCTATTTCGATGTTAGTTTTCACGAAAATGGCGACTCCAAGCCTCGAACTTCTTGACATGACTTGCGATTTTTATGAAAATGTTGGCCACAGCGGCGGCCGTATGGGGATCGGCTGCCAAGCCCGAGTATCCGTAGAGCGGTAGGCCTTCCGTCCTAACTTCAGGAACAACGTCGAGACTGCGTCCTCTATGCATTCTTATGGCTTGCGAGCTGTATAAAAAGCCCACTGGCGGTACACCGGCATATTCTGAGTTGGGAACGACCTTGTAGAGGTCCCCCAGGATTTGGTCATGGAGTTCGACAATGCTCGTTAGAGTATTGTGCATGGATGCACGGAATCCGGGGTCTATCGAAGCACAAGGTGCAAAAATTGACAGGTACGCCTGCAATTGTCAGTGGCCTAGGACATTGCCTAGCGGCTGGAAGCAGTTTCTGGAGGACGGCTGACCTTCATCAGGAATTTAATGTCCCCGATGTAGCCTTCCTCGGTCTCGATCAACTCTTCAAGGATACGGCGACGGTGTCTGGATCGCTCAAGCGTTGCCAACTCGGCCTGTGTCTGTGGTCGGTCGTCCTCGGAGAGCCTTGCAGAATAGGATGCACGGCTGCTTCGGTCCGTTTTAGACAGTCTTTTGGAAGATCTCGCTCGCTGTTTCCGTGATGAGGGCGCAAGGCTCGTACTAGCACCACTGATGCTTGCATCACGGATGGCCGAGACGTAGGCGAGGGACGAAATAGAAGACGAGTTCCGGCGGGATACAGAGCTGCAAGTTGCCCTGTTTGAATTGTCGGAACGTGCCTGGTCGCTCGTATCTATCCGGCGAAGGTGTCGTTGTGCGGTGCCACGCCGGTTCAGCGCCTTGACCCATTTGTAAAAGGGCTTTTGTTGTTTACTGCCTGGTACCAGCAGTTGCTGTACAGGCGAAAGACTACCCGTACCGCTGGCCACGGTTGCTTCTGGCTCGTCATCTTGACCTCCTCGTGGGATCCTTAGAGCCGTTTTGTCATTTGCTGGGCCATGACTGGAATACTTGGGATCTGTCGGTGCACGCTCCAGCCCACACATCGGCTCTGCCACGACGAGTCTGGTGAACACGGTCGTGAGAGCGTCGGGCCCACTGTCAGCTAGGTCTGTGGCAACAACGTTTCTTTCCACCTTCTCTCCGTATATAGCGACGGGTGAGGTTGAGGGAAGTATTCGTGTAGAGTCACAACTCGGTGAAGATAAGCGGCTGCCACAAACGAAGCTATCAAGGGCCTCATCGGTCTCCATGTTCTGGTCATCGGCGAGCGCTGCGAAAGTAGACGCCGGCATCTTGTCGTATACTGGCAAGGAATGGAGAGAGCGTCCTGGAATCGAATTACAAGGGACTCTTTTTAGACCTGTAATGATAATATAAGGCGGATGGATGTAAAAAGATAAGGGAAACACGGAGATATGCCGTAAGAAACAGAGTCATACTAATGGGGGAAACGCAACCAGGCGGGAAAGTCATTGTGAACGTCAACAATTTGTTGATGGCATACGCAAAGGCTAGGAGGGGTTTTTCTTCGTCTCACAAGGCAGGTGCACACATACTTGGCCATCCCGCCTTCCGCCTTCCCCTCCCTTCATAGGTGAACGTGGGAGGAAGGAGCATTTGAGGAAAGAGGTATCGTCTGAAAGCGGCAAGAAAGACAGAGGAGATGCCTATTGCGATAGCATCCTCGGTAGGACCCCTTGAAATCAAAGTTGTGCGGCCTCAGAAGTGACTAAAATTTTCTCTACGTTTGTTGTTTATCACAAAACGTATTACCGAGGTCTTATTTGTCGTTCAACAAATTAATTCCTCATTTTAAGGTAGCGGAACAGCTCGTCACTGCCAGGGAAAGATCTAGATCTGAGGGACGTTAGCTGACAGGTGACTTACACGCAACCGCTAGAACTAACAGCTTAGACATATCTTACAGCAACGGGCTTTAGGTGGCCCTACTGTACCTGTCCAGGCCTACCATCGCCCCGCTTGAATTACCGCGCGTCATTCTGCCTAGTGTCAGCGGTTTTCTAATGATGGAGGAAGGCCCCGCTATGAATTGACCTCCGATTTCTCTGATGCTCTTCACATCATCCGTGCTTCTCTGCATACGAAACAAAAGCGATGCTCAATCTCCCGCAACTGGGCATGGTATTATGGGATTACCATTGAGAATGAACAACATTCACGCGCCCACCGTGCCCTCGGGCCCGACGACGGCCCGCCAGACGAATGGCGACGCCAAGAACCTCTCGTTCACTGAGCTTCAACGGAAGAAAGAGAACATGGAAGCGGAGCTGACGGCCCTTGGCAGCGTCCTGGATTCTGTTGGTAGCCGACTCGCGTGTCGATCGTGTGGACTGGAGCGTGATGTACTAACCGTCTGTCTTTCCATCCAGCACAATGTTGACATGAACACGCCGCTTCTTACGCCTGACGGGTATCCTCGAGCCGACATTGACGTGGCGCAAAGTACGAACGCGACCTACTTTTACCCTACATTTCCTAGCGAGACGCGAGAAGCTGAATGCTGACGTGGGTACGTGTGGACAGTACGGACAACGCGGTCGCGCATCGTTCACTTGCGGAACGACTACAAGGACTTGATGGGCGTCATAGAAAAGTTCTTGCACGAGCACTTTGCCAGTCTCGATGCAGACGCCACAGGGGCACAAGATAGAGCAGACAACGCAGGCGCACCTGCTGCCCAAATTCTCCCCGACTCGGTCCCAGAGGCGCTCGAGCCTCCATTTGCAAAAGTCAACAGCGTTGTCCATGGCAGCCCTGCCGCCGACGCCGGGCTGCAGGGGGGCGACCAAATCCGCTCGTTTGGCTACGTCAACCACGCCAACCACGACGGCCTGAAGAAGGTCGGCGAGTGTGTGGCCGGAAACGAAGGCGTATGTTGTTTCTCCCTTTCTTCTGTTCTTCTGTTCTTCTATTCTGCCATGTCTACACTCTGGCCCATCACAGTTGCTAACTAATGACCAGCAACGCATTCTCGTCAAGGTCGCAAGGAGCACCGGCTCGGGTCGCTTACAAGAGATCCGCCTGAACCTAACGCCGCGTCGAAATTGGGGTGGACGAGGGCTTCTGGGGTGCCACATCTTGCCGATATAGTACCGGAATCTGTTCGGGCCCAATTGCGAGCTGTTGATACCCAGGAGCCAGGCTCCAGGTTAGCAGATGTGAGCTATGTGTTATTGTACTAGTGGGACGAGGATATTGGGTCACAAACTCGTATTTAAGGATGACGTGTGACTCGCAACATACCATGGCAAAATACACAGTAGAGCTGTTGTTGCCGGTGTTGGCAACGCATTGTTAGGCGCTGCAATCGACCCAAGCTCTTTTTTTATTTAAATACAAACCGTGGTCCACTTTTGTAAACGCTCCACTGTGTCCCGCCTTCCTCTTCCTGTGACGCCACGCCTGCCAGTGCCAACCTCTTTCTGCCTGCCCCTCATGCAATTCTGCTGACAAAACGAACACGTGACCGTTGCTGGCGATTCTTCCCCGCCGAAGCCCAACCTGGTTTGCACTAGTTCGAAGCTGCCCGCCAAACTGGCTAACGCCTGCTGCAGCAACAACAGGGCAAAAAAAAACATCATTAAAAAGATTTCTTTCGCCTGCGCATTCCACCTCCCTCTCCATTCTCCCTCCTTTTTCCCTCCCCTCTCTCTCCACGATATCATCACCACAACCCACCCACCACCTAAGTACAGCATCGCAAAGGTAAGCCCGCTCCTAATGCCTTTCTGACACCAGGTGCTCTTTCGTCCGAGTCTGGCCTTTTATTTTTCACGCCCTTTCCTTGCGCCCGCCTTCGGCCGACGTATCTCTCCCCGCCTTTTTGTTTTCGTTTTTGAGGGTCTTCGAAAGGGCCAAAAGACAGCGAAGAACCAGCGACGGCGACGACGACCTTCGCTTCTTTTGTCCGAAACGACAGTCACTAACAATCGATATTCAGACGGTGTTTTTCTCGGGTTTCTTTTGTATCCGCATTTTCTTCTACATTTCGCATCTTCACCCTTCCACACACAACCATGGCTGAGGCCGCCGCCCCCGCGAGCAATGTGCCGACCTTCAAGCTGGTGCTGGTCGGCGATGGTGGTACCGGCAAGGTAAGATGATTTCTACCCGCAAATCGGCGGCAGGCGGGCGGCCTTGAGGTGTTTGCTACGACCTTATCCTGGGCAGGTTCAGCCTCGCAGCTCGCAACCGTGCCGCCGGTGCGGCCCTCATTCGAAGACAACAATGACTTGCTAACGGTGCCGTGCATGATAGACCACCTTCGTCAAGCGCCATCTGACTGGCGAGTTCGAGAAGAAGTACATTGCCACCCTTGGTGTCGATGTTCACCCTCTGGGTTTCACCACAGTAAGTTCGACGCGGTTGCACCCCGTCCCACAGGCAAAGGCTACTTGCACGCGCCATATAACAAGGCATGAAGCTAACTCTGTAACCTAGAACTTCGGTCCCATCCAGTTCGATGTCTGGGATACCGCCGGTCAGGAGAAGTTCGGTGGTCTCCGTGACGGTTACTACATCAACGGCCAGTGCGGTATCATCATGTTCGACGTGACGTCGCGCATTACCTACAAGAACGTTCCCAACTGGCACCGTACGTGAACACCTCTTCAATCACGCCCTCCTTCCGGTATTGTTGTAAACAAACTCTCAAGCTAATCCTCGCATCCAGGCGATCTCGTCCGTGTCTGTGAGAACATCCCCATCGTCCTTTGCGGCAACAAGGTCGACGTCAAGGAGCGCAAGGTCAAGGCCAAGACCATCACGTTCCACCGCAAGAAGAACCTGCAGTACTACGACATCTCGGCCAAGTCGAACTACAACTTCGAGAAGCCCTTCCTGTGGCTCGGCCGCAAGCTGGTCGGCAACTCGGGTCTGGTACGTTACGCGCCCCTTGACACCTCCTAAGCCTCTAAAGCTCTTTCGAATACTAACAACCGGCTTAGGAATTCGTCGCTGCCCCCGCTCTGGCTCCTCCCACCGCCCAGGTCGACGAGAGTCTGCTCGAGCAGTACCGGAAGGAGATGGATGCTGCTGCCAGCATGCCGCTGCCCAACGACGAGGACGACGACGACTTTTAAACGACTCGGCTCTGTTTCGTTTTGTTAGTCGGTGGTAGTCTGTTCAATTATTTTTTGCATGCCACACAAGGAGGTGGTGAGCACGAGCGTCCGTCCGTTGCCGCTACCTCCGCAGATTTGGACAACCCGTTCGGTGCGTCGCGGCAACGTGCACTGGACGCGACTCGACGATACGCTATGATGATTGCGCGGGGAATTTTGCTTCTTACAGTTCGCAACGACCAAAGAAAGGATAGATAGACCCAAAAAGGAATGAATAGTGCAAGAGTCGGGACCGCATAAAAAACCCACCACATGAGATGAGCCGATGTGACTTGTGACCTTTTGACGAAAAGAGAAACGGTTCAGGTGACAAAGCATTATTCCAAAGAGGTACCAAAGCTCCAATGCAAGCTGCATGGCCCTCTCTTTCTGCTTTCAGCCTGGTTAGACCGATGCAGTGCAAATGGATATGGTAATCATTTACTCACTATTTACTTTTACTGGAAATATACTATAAGCCACTCAGAAACGACAACGTAGATATATGCTCCTACGAGCAAAGACCTTCCATTCTCCTGTACGGCGATTGGTCCACCCAAGCTGTGTGATTCTCTATCCTCTTCGTGGGTACCAAGAAGGCGGTGAGAATGTTCCCTTTATCTGCACTCGTCTTGCTAAGCCGGTTTTTTGGGCCTCTTCCCCTTCTTGGTGGGGCAGTGTTTTGCTGCTGTTTTCACCGTCCTAGTAGTGGAGGGGAAGCTTCGCTCAGCTTCGTAGCATTTCCGTATTGTCCACACCGTATATAATCTCAATTAACACTGTATGTACTGTGTGCACGACATCTGGTCTATCGTCGTGTCATCGCGATGTCATCGAGATTATTCAAACCATATAGCAAATGTCAGGTTTTATATCCGTTATCATAAATGATCACTGTATTTTCTCAAAACTGACGCACGTAACAAAAAGGCGCACTATAAATCGCATGGCATTGTGCACAGCTACAATATATTAATTTCTGTCTGCTACCGTGTCCCTGACGCGATAATCGTGACAGTGGTAGGCCGGTTTCTTGTGACATCTGGTATTTGAGGCTCCGTGTGACTTCTTTGCGAATTGTGTGTGTTTTACCGGCTTAGTTTTGATTTCATTTTGATTTTTTTTGACTTTTTTTTTGTTATTATACGTGTTCTTGTATTAAAAAACAATGTTTCTTCATTCCTTATTAAATTCACTACGAAATGCAAGTCGTAAGTCGTCTGTATGTCCACATACCTGTGAATAACACGACAACATGAAAATATCATGAAAGAAGGATGCGATACCAAAACATGGCCATGTTCTGCACAACCCTCATGCTAACACTTTGTACCACGGGATTGATTAAAGGTGCTTTCACCAGTTATGTCTCGATCGTATCGCAAGGCGTCCACGATATCGCGTCAAATGACTCCTTTTCCAAGTTGATCCTCTCGGAGACCGCCTCGGTGCGATACCGAAAGCCCGGTTTGATATGTGAGACCACCGCAGGTGTCCAAGAGTTTGTTGGTTTTGTTGATCTGAACGACAATGCCGGCAACAATGCGACTGCGAGCTACTTCTTCTGGTTTTCCGAGGCCAGGCACAGCGCTGACACGGCACCTCTCACCATTTGGCTGAATGGCGGACCGGGCTCAGATTCCCTCCTGGGTCTCTTTGGTGGTATGGCCCCGACTGGTGTTCCGAGTCCAATCATACAGCAATTGTGTCGCAGGAGACTAACACACCATCAACCGAGCTAGAGATCGGGCCCTGCAAGGTAACGGATGGACTGAATACGACGTTCAACCCACACTCGTGGTCTGAGGTATCCAACATTCTGTTCTTGTCCCAGCCAGTTGGTGTGGGATTCTCATATCAGTCGCAGAATGGCAGACGCAGCTCCGGATGGGTCACCGACACGACAGAAAAAGCTGCAGCCCAGGCCTGGGATGTACTACAAACGTTTATGCATGCGCTATCTACAATGGACCCGGTCATCACGACAAAGACGGTCCATCTCTGGACGGAGAGCTATGGTGGCCATTATGGACCTAGTATGTCTTTCTTTTCTTTTCTTTTCTTTTCTTTTCTTTTTGTTTGCCTTTGTCATGTTTTGAGATTCGTTAATAGAACGCACAGGTTTCTTTCGGTACTTCCACGGTATGAACGAAGCAATAAAATCCGGATCGATGACTGGCATTCCTCTTGACCTTGGAGTTTTGGGCATTAGCAGCGGCATTATTGACGCCCTTGCTCAATTTCCCGAGGTGCGTCGTGGATGTCTCCACCGAACGCCTCAAGTCTTCAAGCTTATCCGGAAGATGACGACCAACCCCATTCCAGTTCCCAGAGTTTGCAGCAAACAACACTTACAACATCTCACTTGTTCCTGATGAAGGTGCGTATGGAGAGAAGCGATGAGATGTCATATTCTCACACTCGAGAGGAGGCCCGAACGTTTACGTATTGACGGCATCGCAGTCTCACGCTTTATGGACTTTGCCTGCCACATGCCCAATGGATGTATCAATCAGATACAGCAATGTCACGAGGAGTACCAACGTGACAAACAAAAGTTGGTCTCCCGCAGCTTGAGCTTTTTACTCTGCATTTCAGAGCCTTGCGGACTCCTATTACAGCGGATGGCACCATACGGTAATACAACAAGATGAGTGCATTCTTTACTAACCGAACAAGCCCCAGGACCATTGCTCGCTGTGCTGAAGCAACATATATGTGTAAGTGGACCACGTGCCTTTCACAAATCTAACATTTCAAAGGCCGACTGTTAAACGAGGCGTCCATTCATTCCAGGCCGAGACAATGTAGAGGGCCCTTATTATTTTTACGGAAGCCGAAACATGTACGATATTCGCCGGCCGGCACACGACCCGATTGTCTCTCAGTCGTTTGTGGACTTTGTCAACCTCCAGACGACCAGGGCAGCCTTGGGTGTAGACAGCATACCGGAGCTCGCGGCGGCCGCGCCAGCCTCATTTGCGTATGCCCCGCAAAGCGAGACGGTGTATGACGCATTTGCACGCGCGGGAGATTACGTCTTCCCCAGTTTCTTGGACGACCTCGACTATCTGCTTGAGAACGGCATTCGCGTGCTGTAAGATTGCCGCACCAGTGCTGTAGATGGACGTGGACATGGCAACGACGGAGCATCTCCGAAAGCCACACGTCGTTGCCCCGTATCTACTAGACCCTTTGCTAACACTAACCGACTTGGCCCGCAATGTAGCTTGGTGCATGGCGATGCTGACTACATTGGAAATTGGTAAGTGTCGTGGCTCGTGCGAAAAGAAAGATGACCTGCGTGCTCTTGTTGCTCATTTTGTTGTTGTTGTAGGTTTGGCGGCGAGGCGGTGTCCCTGGCCCTCACGTATACACAGTCGTTTCTTTTCCAGGCTACGCCGTACACGCCGCTTAGTTTTGACGACCCTGACAGCCCCGATTATGGAAGTGGAAACAGAAAGGGGAGGGCCCAGGGCAAGGTGCGGGAGTATGGAAACTTGACTTTTGCCGTCGTATACGACGCTGGCCACTTTCTGCCGGTGGACAAACCTGCCCTCGCCCTCGAAATGTTTCGACGCGCCGTGACCAACATGGATCTGTCGACGGGACGTGATCCGACGAATAGCACGGCTGTTCCTTTTGTACCAGACTCACCGCTGCCAGCAGTGGGCGCCGAAACGACACTGCCGTCATCACCGCACATGTAATCTCAGCCGACCAGAGTCTGGGACGCGACGAGGATGTTGAATGGGCAGAACCCCGCGGACGTGCTATTAATACCCTGCATGTGACAGGAGCTGGCAGTCGATCCGGATGGTCGGTGAGTGGGTGAGGTGGGCGCTGCAGTGAGACGAGACAACAAGAAATGCATTTTAAGATGAGTGCTCGGGCCAAGGCCGTGTGGGTTGGCGTCTGGTATTTTGTACTCCGTCCTTTGACTGGGTGGCGCGTTGATGTACTTTGTAGCGTTGCAAAGGGAATGGTCGGGTCAGTTCTGCAGACCTTGGAACAGTAAAATAAGGGAGGGTCCGTGTATGTGTGAGGTTGGCATTTTGCAGGACGGAATATGTCGCATATGAACGGAGACAGTACCGAAGTAGGACAGACAGAGGCAAGAACGAGACAAAAGGGAGCCTCTGTGGACAGTAGAGGGAAGGGCTGCAATGCAGGAAGGCGCTCCTGGACCCGCCAGCAGCACGACGACGCGATCGGAAGGTGCAAGTCAAGAGCGCAGGCCGGCAGGTCTAATTTACGGAAGTTGCACGAGCAATTGCCAATTGACAGGACAAGCAAGTGACAGAGCATGGCATTGAAGCAGTCGCGACTGACAACGCTTGCGCGCTTCTACGGTGAGGAAAGAGGGGCGTCTCATTAAGATGGGACTGGGGGTTGGAAACAAACGCGCTCCGAGACTGCCCTTTTTGGTCTTGAAAATCGAGAATCGGCAGGAGCAGGCCTTTGCAATTAGAGTCGTCTGGTCAACCAAACAAGCGGGTCTGTTTGCTTAATTGCCTATTCGGGGCACAAGAGCTTCCAGCGCGTCTTTTTATTGGCTGACGCGAATGACAAGGTAAAAGGCACGAGCACCAGTGGGGCTACCCGCTGGGTCACGTAAAATGCTGCTGCAGGGCAATCTTGCTCTTTAGCTGCACCAAGGAGGAGCAGGCACGAAAGCACCTTCCCACGCGCGCCGTGGCGACGACCACGGTGCAACAACCGAAAGCTCGTGTATTTTACTTTTGGAGATGGGAAGGATACGGATAAAGCTCACTGACACGGAGAACGAACAAGTACATCGTACGTGTGTTATACGGAGTACTTGCAATCGAAAGACGAGGGCCGCGTGCCATGGGAATGTGCTTCACAAAGGTAAAGTGCAAAGCTACATAGGGAAAGTGAGGGGCGTATTTGCAACAGCCATGGGTTTATTAATATGCACGAGAAATGGGGAACCACTAATTGGACCCTCCGCAGCATTGCTTTGCTGGGGCCACTGGCCTTTTGGCCAGAATCCACTGCTACAACACGCTTCGCGGTTCTCGTGTCTCTTGTATATTGTATCTTTGTGGGCGTCTTAGAGCGCTTTGTCGTGTCTTGCCTGATCCGCTTTCGCGATCGCGCTTGCCTTACCTCTGAGCCGGTGCTGCTCTTTCTTTTTTTACCCATCCTTCCTCCTCTTGCTTCTGCTTCTCTTTCCTCTTCCCTCTTCCTCGTTTCTTCGTTCCTTCCTCTCGAGCCTCTGTCCTAGAGCAACGCGTTTAGGACGCTTCCACCGTTTACTTCTCCTCCGCCTCTCTCGCCTTCGTCCTCCTTTCGTCTCCTCACATCACCGCCCGCCATGGCGTCCGAACTGCCTGCCACGTCCTCGGCCGCCGCCGCCCGCCCCGACGGTGACGCGTCAAACGAGCCGCTTACCTCGTCACCACGGAGCAGTGACAGTAGCAACATCGACAAGGCCGACGACTCCCTCACCCTGTTATCCGACGCTGGTGACCAGAGCATGCTACGGCATCCCAAGGGCAAGCGAAAACGGACTGCGTAAGTATAGAGTGGGACGCGTTCTCATGATGCCTCACCCCCTTGCATTGCTACGTTTTATATGCCTTGATTCTTAATCCACTGTTTTCCAATACACACACACACACACACAGACGTATAGAGAGAGAATGTATATAGAATGACGCGGCTAACACTCATCTCCCCTACTTACAGGGCCAAGGACAAGTCTATCCTCGAGGCTGCCTACCTTGCAAATCCAAAGCCAGACAAGACGGCGCGTCTGGACATTGTCAGCCGGGTGTCGTTGAATGAGAAGGAGGTTCAGGTATGTATAGATAATCTTACTGACGACTTGACAATGCCAAACCGTCAAGTCGACGCGAATTCGACGCGACCCTCGCCATGCATTAACCACTATATTGTCTCATTAGATTTGGTTCCAGAACCGGAGGCAGAATGACCGTCGCAAGTCTCGTCCGCTTTCTCCTCAGGAAATCGCTGCCCTCCGGTACGGTGGCATGCACGCCCTTTCCTCCGACCCGACAACCCCGTTCGGCCACGCCTCTCTCTCCCAGCACTCGTCTTTTTCTTCGGATGGCCGCGGTGCGTCTTCACCCCCGCACTACCAGCAGTTTACGTCCGCCTCCATATCTGCACCTATGCCATCGACGACGCCCACCTCCTCTCCCGAAATTGGCCCGTGGATACCCGAGGCGCTTGCCCAGCGCCAGCAACAAGAATCTGCCGCGTCCGAAAGCGGAGCACCGATGGCTGCTCAGATACCATCCGGTCCTCGCTCTTTCTCAAGCTCGATGAGCTCTGTTGGCTATTTGGCCAATCGTTGGAACATGCACAGCTCCTTTTCTACGTCGTTCTCCTCGAGTGAGGGGAACGGATCCTCACCAAACGGCGGCCACCCCCGGAACGAGTCCGTGAGACTCGAACCCTTTGTCCGGCCTACGTCATCAACCCAAGTCCTGCCACCTCCACCACAACAGCAGCATCTCCCTACGCAGCAAGCCCGGCAGCGCCCATTTCGTCTCTCTCTTTCCCTTGAAGGCAAGGCTGAAGTTATCGCAGGCCAGTCGCCATCTCCTCCCCGGCGTTTGCCTCCGCCGAACCCCACTGTTGATATCGACCGGCGAACGGGTAGCAGCAGCAGCAACGGCAGTGACAGCCCGCTCACATCTCTACCTGCTATTCGCCGGTCTGGCCTCAGCCGCAGCCACTCGGCTCTGCCTAGCCTGGGCCTTACGCTCCCGCCTATCTCTAGCCTGACGAACTCGCTAGCAAGCGGATCGGCTCCTCCCCCTATGCCCCAGGCCCCCCACCCGCCACGCCTGCTACGGGGTCGCTCGCGTGATGTGCACGCTTGGGAGTCTGTTTGTGACTCGGATACACGCGTTGACGACGAGCTCAGTGCTCACGCAGAGCAGGAGGCGAGCGGCTCGGCTATTGCCGCAATCAGCCTGCTGCGCTCAACTTCGTCGGTTAGCAGCTCGTCTATGACGTTGTCCTCCTCTGTGCTCCAGCCCAACGGCCACAAGCGGAACGTATCGTCTCGCTCAGGCATTCCGAAACCGGGCATGAAGCGTGCTAAGCTTGGCCGCGCCCTGAGCAGCGTTGCACGGATGCAGAACGTTTCCAATACTCGCGAGGAGAGCGGTAAAGACAAGATGTGGGTCGATGACGAGAAGAAGAAGAAACTTAAGCTCTCCACGCTGCTGTCTGGAAACGACTCCGACAAGGAAAACTGGAGCCCGGATGAAGAAGGCCGTCCAAGTCTCGGCCAGCTGTGTGCCAATAGCCTTGGAAGCAACGGGCGCCGGCCACTGCCATCGTCTAGGAACGGACGCCAGCAGCGGGCCGTATTGGGAGGCGACGGTAGCAAGGGCAGCAAACACGCCCAACTTGCAACTCGGATGACGGGGGGCAAGGTTGCCGAATTTGATGCTGCTGACATTTACGAAGACGCATCTGGGCGATCACCACCGAAGCGCGCCCAGTTGTCCCGGGCAGCCACTCTCTCTGCTCCGGATGACGTCGAGCGTTTTATGCGCGGTGCTCAGGTTAGCCCGAGCAAGAAGGGCGACATGGACTGCATTGCTGGTCTGCTTTCACTCTCGCAGGGTAACTGGCGCTGAATTGGCGCGTTCAGCTGCCTTCGAAAGATATCCGCGCAAATGGAATCCGGCCTTCAACAAACAACGATGCTATTTTGTTGCGACCACTTCTCGAGCAAATGGCTGGGTTCAGCGACCGAATCGCACCAATTATCGCGATAATCCTACACCGGAACACCGTGGATAAAACTCTCTAGAGGTTAGGGGCACTTGTTACTTATTCGATGCCGGCACAGACACACGCACACATCCGCACACAAGCAACACTAAAAAGCGACCATCTACATGGAAAAATCAAAATCTATTATCTACTGAGGGTGGCGGGTTAGTTCTTCTATTCTGTAATACCAACATGAGGCTTGAATTTTGCGTCAGTGGTGTCGCAGGTACTGTTGGATACGATTTGCTGCTTCTCTTTTTCCTTTTTCCCCCTTACTGACGACTGTCTGTGCTCCTGAATTTCCTTTGTCCTTGTTTGCTCTATTGCCTCTTTCCCACTGCATCACTGCTTTGTATCCGTTTTTTGTTCTTTCTATTTGTTCGAGCCAGTACTCGTTTTCCGTTTTTACGTGACCAAAGGACCCGATCTGACACCCGATTTCTCTCACTTTGTCAAGAAAACACAACGATATGAACGGTAGGCCGGAGCTTAATGTTTTGTTCTTACTACTTTCTCCTCGACTCGCCAACGAGCGCGCGAGGAGCCTCTTGGCGCTTGGGGCTTTTGTCTTTGTATGATATACGTCGTACGTCGTACAAATGGGCTGTTCTTGGATTTGTATGTTTCTTTTGTCCCAAAACACATCAAAATATGAAACACATAAAATCATTCATTCGTTCTCATAATTTGGTGAAGTCAAACTGTGTGATCTTCAATCATTTGAGCTCTATATAAAAAGGTGTTCGAACGAGTCTCGAGCGCTAAATACAAAAACAAAATGTTCCCAGCTGGCTATGTACAATAAGAGAGAAAGAGGGAGTGAAATGCAATGAAATGATGCCATGGGCAACGTCTTTTGGCAATGTTTGGTCGTGTCAATCATGTACAGCAGAAAGTAGCAATAATAAAAACAGGACGTGAAAAGCAGGCGCGACATAGAAGCAAGGAGGCTAAAGAGCTCGAGTCGCAGGACACTATCGTAGCGACGTGTCTGGGTATTAAGCAAACACATGCAACGGTCTATGTAATGACGCTTACAATACTTGCTCGGATTTGGATAGAGAAATGAGGAGTCTCTCACAAGCCGAGAAGACTCATCTGCCGCCGCAGCGGGCTGGCAGCTACACTGCCTTCCTCGCTGGCATAATAGCCGGAGTCGGTATCAATGTCCCAGTCAACTTCATCTTTAGACGCCAGGTCGCTGACGCTCTCCCCTTGGCTGGCATCGAAGCCCTTCTGCGTGGCGGCACGCGTGTTCCAGCGCAAGGTGCGCGAAACCGAGTTAAACCACTCAGTATCGGTGCGGGTGACAGTAGGAAACGGGTACTGCGACGCAGTGATGGTGACACAGTCACCTTGTTTCAATTCAACGCGGCCCTTGCCATCAAAGGCACAGTACGCAGTGGCACGGCTGTTGCGTGGGATGGACACACGCAGAAGCATAGTGTCTGAAAGCACCATGGGACGGAAAGACAGTGTATGAGGGCAGATCGGAGTAAGCAGGATCGCTGGAATGTCCGGATGCACAAGTGATCCGCCAGCAGACAGAGAATAAGCAGTGGAACCTGAAAGTGTGTGTTAGAAGCACGAAGAGGCGATGGGAAGAGAAAACCTTTCTACAGTATAGGAAACTTCTTTGCGACTTACCTGTCGGGGTGGAGAATATGCAGCCGTCGGCCTGGACGACAGTCAGGAGCTCGTCGTCACCGTAGAGTTCCAGGTTGGAAACATAGGGTGACGGGCCACGGTCGATGACAAGCTCGTTGAGAACCTCGAACTGTTCACCCTCCTCTGGCTGCGCACCAGGGGTAGTGCCGTCACGGTAGACGGTGCAAGTGAAACGCATGCGCAGGTTCACGCGCATGCCTTCGTTGCCCATTATGCGGTCTAGGTGATAGCGGAAACGCTCAAATTCAAACGTCGTGAGGAAACCGAGACTTCCTAGACTGAAAGACAGCACAGGAGGCACAATGCGCTGGAACAGCCACGACGTGAAGAGCACGGTACCGTCGCCGCCGAGTGTGACGACGAGATCAAACTTCTCAGGCTGGCTCCAGCACAGATCTGGGGTCCAGTACCGCAGCATGGACTCGAAGCGGGGATCGGCGGCCACAAGGCTAGGAGCACCAAAGCGCTTCGAGTTGCGGAGCTTGGCATCGACGTAAACGTTGACACCAACGTCCGAACCATACCGCGGCGTAGAGAGCAGCCACTGCGTGAGCTCTCTCGTCAAGACAACGAGCTGGTTGTCGCGTGCCTTGGTGACAATCATGATATTTCGCACAGCGCGCTTGATGGGCCGGCGCTGCAGCTGCTTGGAAACCTCACGCACTCCTGTGGCAGTCTGTACCAGCCGCGAGTGAGACATGTACTCGTCGTTCTTGATCTCTTCCAGAACCTTCTCAATGTCGACGGCGTCGTCGAAGCGTTCGTGGTAGTAGCAAGGCGACTTCAGCCCGGAAAAGGCCGCGGCTGCAGCAGACGTCGTAGGGGTAGCATTACTGCGCAGGGCGAGGTCGTTGAGAGCATCGCAAAGCTGCTGTGACGACGACTCCTTACCGGTGGTAGGCTGGAATTGCGCAGTCGCAGGCGGCTGCAGAGATGCCGACAGCTGTGCATCCAGATCTCCACCTGCAGCTGGCTGGCTGTCCGAGGCAACCTCGACAACCGGCAGCGAGGTTTGCATGGTGGCGTTCAGCACACAGCCGAGCGAGAGAGCTTCAGGCTTGTGGCTTCGTGCGACAGAAGCAAGAGCTTTGATGATCGTTTGGCGGGGAACCGAATCGAGAGTGCCGTGGTGGGCACGGGCAGACTGTGGTCTGCACAAGGCGGCTGGCTCACCTAGGCGATCCACATACTGCTGGAGCGCCTGTTGGGTCTGTTGGTCCTTTGCTTCTGAATGTGACGTGCCCTGAAGATCGGTGAGGGGCGATGAACTGTCGCCAGTGAGAAGGGCAGACTGCGAAATGGTGTTGTAGGATGTCCTGGGACGTTGTTCGGTGAGATTGTCGGTGCGATCAGTTGAAATCAACGACTCCAGTCCTTCAAGAGGCGTCGTGTGCGCCAAGGCAGGGTGAATCGCAGTTGACGGCGAGGAAACTCGGCTAGCCATTGTGATTTCCCCCTTGGTTTTTGCTAGTCTTTTGGCTCTATTTATACTTTTTCCGCTGGGTAATAAAAGGCGGAGTTAGGTGAATGGTATTGCCGTTGGCCTAAACCCTGATCTGGGTTGATAGCTCGGAAGGCTTCTAGCGGTCTGCTACCGAGAAAATCCTGGTACAGATTTGGAAGTGCTGGAAGGTGTGACACTACTTGGGACAGAACACTGGTGGGGAAGCCGGCTGGTAGGTCTGCCTCCGGAAGGGCTGGAATAGAATCGCGGAGAATCTGGAGGTGTTAGCGCGGGTATATTCCTCCATCAATGTGCACCACCTTTGCATTGCAAAGAAGGATCACCTGGCGCTAGTGGGCTAATCCACATAACGGGCATCAACTTACAGACAGGTTCCACGGTGAAAGGAGGGCGAGGATATCGCCCGGCCGAACTTCCTTCCAGCTTCTGTGTACACGTAGGTTGCTTTTCCGACGCGAGAGTAGGCCAATTCCGACAAGTCCGTCGGTTGAGACACACTAAGAGCACAACTAAGTCAGAACCCTGTGCAGCTCCAGACTTTCGCGCTTTTCCTTGAATCCTATTATCAGGATGCTGGTCTTGGTTGGCCCTGCAATATGCAGAGGGCGGATGTTTTGGTCCCAGCTTGTACTTACAGACTCAAAGTGTGAGATTGAAGATGGCGAGTGCACAGCACTGATTGGCCACACAGTAGGAGTGCAAGGACTGGGGGGGATTGTTCCAGAGGACCGTGTGCCGTCTGGGCTAATTAGTTTTGCTGCACGCCGAGTCGTGTGATGGGCGAACAACAAGATGAACCAGTGCCAAATGCTGCACGTGGGATGGAATGCGGCCGGGCACGATATCAGTAGTTGGGTGAAAGTAGCACAAGGGGAACAAAAACAAGGCTAAACGATCAAATGTGACGCTTTTCGGTATCGCTAGAAAGGGATATGCAATGTGATTGACGACGAAATAATCGTGCTGAAAGTCGAAGATGACTGGTGGACAGTTCTGAAATGGGTGGTAAAGAAGGATGTGCTTTATGCGGGTGCTCCATGCACTGTGACGAATTCGAAAATAGAGACAGAGAAGGAAACAAATTCCAAGTTAAAGAAAGTCTTGAGAAAGTAAGCTCGTGAAGAAGCAAAAACGGCGAGTGAATAATGGTCTAATTAAGAAATATGAGTGAAAAGTAGAAACTTGAAAGCCAGAAGTCTAGAGAAGGGAAATAAAAAAGAATAAAATAAACAACAATCGGAACTCCAGAGCTCGTTGTTGCGGCGCAAAGAAAAATGGAAAGGGATGAAAAGGTGTTGGGCCGACTGAGAGGAGGGCAGGAGAGAGAAAGAAAGAGCCGAGGTGAGGTTCACGACAGCAACGGGTTGGACGAGCCGTGGGTAGTTAAATACGGAACTGGCACGACAACTTTGGCCAATATGTGATCGTATCTGTGCCTGTGTTCTGTGGTATGTGGTCAGTCCCTTCGCATCCTTTGCACGAGATCACCGTCGTAGCTCTGTATGTGGCATAGAAGATCTGTCGCGAGAAGCTCAGGGGGGGTGGGGAAGAGAAGCAACAGACCCAAGTCGTAAAGGGGTGGATATGTCCGGGGCCGCAACCCCACTGCAGTGTCCACCGGCGGCATCTTGATGCCTTTGGTGATCCATCCCCAAGACGCCTGCGGGTTTGTTTGATAGCTATTTGTTGCTTCCTTGCAACGCCAAGCCCTTTCCATGGCCCTCTGTGGCCAGGCCCCTTTTCGTCCTGTTTTATCTGTGCCTCTGGCGCCGTCAGTGTGTGTTGATAGAATTAAAAATAGAAGGTCTGTTGTCAGTGGGATGTAAGCATTCCGACATCCGGAAGCGCAATGTCGTCGTTCGTGAACAGAGGCTCTTGGGTCGCCACAATGGCGGCGCTCATGCCAGCCAGTAGGGAGCAGAGGCAACTTCTATCCGCAATCATCCTGCACATGGCATCTCGTTCTGGTTGTTTGCTTTTTTTCCTTTCTCTCCTTTCTCTTCTCCTCCAGTCCCTGGATGATCGGTCTCTTTTGGACGTGATTTTCCTTGGAGGTGTTGCTCTGCATGAGGGTGGCCTTCCCGACGGGCATCCGACAGCGTGCTCGCGCTCTCAGTGACCATTCTTTCAAAGGGCCGGTACGCCGCGCTGGTGATCCTGGCGAGACGGGGATGAACTGCAGGGATCTGTTCAGATCAATGTGTGTTTTGGTTTGGATGGAAGGGGATGAAATACGTCGACAGGACTGGACAGACGCGGCAGGAGTAACAGGGGAAAAGGTAGTCAGTGGCAAGGCTGCCCCTTCCCGCTGTGTCTCAAGCTCTGTGAAGGCAGGGCCTGAATGGCTCTTGCCTTCTAGGGTCGGATACAACATTGTTTCTACGACGTATCGCACGTTTTGCTCCCTCCGCAGGTACATGCAAATCCGCAGGCCGCTTGTTCCTTCCATAAAGTTTACAAAACAGCCACGTACGGCTGTTCCAGGCAGGAGCATTATGAGAAGTGATAGTGAGAAGCGTCTCCCTGTTGTGTATTTTGTAGACCTCGCTCGTTCTTTCCCTCCACGACACTTCTTCAAACTCGCTCTTGCCCTGCCATGGTAAAATAATTGACGGTAAATAACACTCTCATTTCCTCACGCTTTCCACCTATCCCCTGTCGTTTGGCTTGTCGCTCACAGAGGCTCGCTGTTTGCTGGGCAGGTTGTTTTCCACTTCAGTTTGACCCGTGTGGATCACACTCCGCTGCCCACCGGTCTCTAGCGCGAATCAATCACTACGCTGTGGGGATGCCGGTTGCAGCAACGAACACTCTCAAGCAGGGGAAAACGTGGGAGCCGTCAGGCCCTTGCCCACCGTGCCGTTGGTACCGCCCCCCGCTGTTCTCTGACAGTTGTTGGCACCTTCCCTTCGGCTGCACCTTCGAGATCCGTTCTTTCCATTTTGCCTCTTTTCTGCCTCCCCTCTTCACCGGAGATCGACCGAAAAGGACCAGTTTCCCAAACCTCAAAACGTCTGTCGGCGGCTCTTTCTTATTCAAACCCACGTGTTTTGGCATGGCGCTGCAATAGGACAGAAGCGGCAAGACCGTCCCAAACCAGTGCCAAGACCCAGCATTCTGTTTCTGGCACAAAAGGGGCAAGAAAGCTGTAATATGTGGTGATGCTATTTCCGATAGAAGAAGCAAACGGAGAAGCACTTGTAACGACTTGTATGGCCATGTACGTTCCACGCCTGGCTACGGAGAATTATTGTTTTGAAAACTGTTTTCGCTTCCCATTCTACCTGTACCCTCAGGCCCAAAGAGCCAGTCCAATCCATTGAAAGCGGAGCCTTCCTGTCTCATCGAGGAGGGCTTTTCCCACCTGGACTGACGCTGAAATAGACCAAGGAGATGAAACGAGGGCATTTTTTGCTACTAAAACACCCCAACACCCCCCAGCACCCCTAAAATATCCACGAGAAAAGCATATCCCAAACACAACCGTGCCAGTTAGACCCACCTGCCGGCTCGTTTGAGAAAAGGCCGGGGGAACGTAAAAGTTTGTTATGTTGTAAGAGTGAGTTTGACAAGGGAAAGAACAAAAAAGGAGATAAAACAAGTACAACAAAAGAGAAGGCTGGAAATCGAAGAGACGGGCGCGACCTGGGCGCCTGGCGGAGTACGGACCTGGCTCAACTTGGATGTTGGAGCTCGTATGGGATCCAAACAGTGTAGCATTACGTCGAGCCCTATCACTGGTGACATGGTCTGTCTTGTCATTTGTTGACCGAGCAGTGACTCTGATCGCCGGAGTCAGCGGTAGCACCAAATATAGCATACGAGCTATATTTTGGGATGTGTAGGACGGAGTAGTGTGACGAATGTTGTTGATTAAACAAGATGCGACCGATATTGTATTGCTGTCACATCTAGCCGCTGGATATCGAGGGTCACACGAAGAGGAGGTTGCGGCGACTGCTCGTCGCTGGTCGTATTCTTGGCTCGTCCTCGGCTCAGCGACAAGCCTTGTTCAGCGTCTCTTCTTCTACCGTCAACCTGTTATGTTCTCTTTTGTTTTCACGGCTTGTCTCTCTCGACTTTTTTTTTTGACTTTGCTGCTTCTTTTCTTTTCTCCCCTCTCTTCCCCTGGTCTTGATCAAACAAGCCGATAGAGAGCCGGATCCATGCCGCCGAGCTGCAGCGTTTTGCTTTCGAATTCGCGGCCTGGCATGCCTGAGATGTGCTTCGTGGGGACGGTTCGCGACCTCGCATCGTCTGTTGTGCCTCGTGAATCGTGCACATCCCTACAACTGCAGCCTAAAAAGAGGAAGAGACGGCACAAGCGGCGAGCTATGCCCCAGAAAGTGACTGGAACGAACATGTTGCAAGTGAGATGTGATGAGAAGGAAGGACAAAAAATCATTCTCTCGGTGCTGTTTTCCACTTGAGAGCATCTTCCAATTTCCCTTGGACCGCTGAGCGGAGGAAACCACGCAAATCGGTGCCGTTGTCGTTGCCGTTGTCGTTGCTGTCCAGCACCATGCCGTCGCCAGACGTATCGACAGCCTCTTGGCTCTGGCAGCACATATTCTTTGCTGCGGCGAGTGCCTCGTCCCACTCGCCCATGGTGAACTCACCTTCGCTTTCGGCGAGCAGGAGCTTGTCGTCCTGGGCCGAGAAGGCGAAGACATGCGTCGACCGAGCGGTCGAAGCGTCCCGTGGGGAGAAGCTGGTCACAATCTTCGCCTGAGTGCTGTTTTTCGTTTCCGGAAGAATGGCCAGAGACGCCGCCGTCGCCGTGGTCCGCATCGGAATGCTTGCTGAGAGCAGGGCCAGGATGGCGCTCTGCAGCAGCGCTGGAAGAACGCCGATATTCTGAGCGGTATTAGCAAGTAAACTAGAGAAGGACGCCCCCCCCCCAAAAAAAAAACAAAAAAAACAATAAAAAAAAACAATAAACATCAAGGATAGTAACGCACCAGGCCGGGCATGTTCAACCGTGTGTTGACATAGTCGTTCTCAGGCGTCGCCTGCACTTGCAAGACGACTTGAATGAGGCAGCGTGGGAAGTCGTGCACAAGAATGATCTCTTGCAGTGTCTTTTTCAATACAGACTCGAGGTGGCGCTCACTAGGACCTATATAGGTGCAAAAGCAACAAGATGTCAGCAGCGTGGACTCGAGAATTAGTTCATATGTTCAACGAACAATACGGGGTGGGGAGGTGACATGGGCCATGAACAGAAAGCATCATGATGAGCCCCGTCCCCGGCAACTGGCAAGGACATACCTCCTACACCAGCAGCTGGTCGTACGACAACATCGACAGTAGCTTCATCGGGATCCTCGTCCCGTCTCTGGGCCTCAATGGGTCCGTTTGCGGACGCAGAAACGGTGTAGCCGGCGTACGAGTAAGTTGCTGAGCCGTCTGCGCGAGGCAGCGGTGACAGCACGGCCACCGGTTCTGCGACGGCAGTCATTGTGCGTTTGTGAAATCGGGCGAAAAGGACAGTTACGTGGCTGGCAGTTGTGCTGTAGCGGTGGGATGCAACGTACTGGGCGATATTGGCGGTGTTGAGCTTTGGAGTGTTGACGAGGCTCTGGAAAAAAATCTTTAGAAAAATTTATGGCAGGTGCCGCACTTACGCTCCAGAGCCTTGCTCTTTCCCAATCCGAGAAGATAAGATATGTTGCCTGCGCTAGTTGGATCGCACCTACCCCGCAAGTCGAAGCTTTGGGACGCCAGCAGGCTCCTTTTCCTCAGCGAGCTCCACAAGTACTCCGGAAGCGGTAGCCTAAAGGATAAAACGCCACTTTGGGAGGTGCAACTTCGCCTCTGGAAAGAGGGAAGGAGCGTGTGCCTTCCAAAATACGTCAGACCTTCAACCCTATCCTGTTCATCATCTTCCTATTTCTCTAACGACAAACGACAAAAAGGAAGCTTTATATCGAACAACATCGGGAAGTCTTCTTTTACGTCCTGTATCTGTCCGACCTTATCGAAGGATCAGGATCCGGCTCTGCAAGCTCGTTTTGTGTCCCAAGACTGACTTGCATTCAACACAACCTCGAACCTGGTTCGTTATTGCAACACTGCATCCTCGGCCATCAATGGCTGCCTCAAGCATTCCACCGGCCACCACGCGGGTGCCGTCTTCGTCCGGTACCATGAATGCCAGTAGTATTCCTAACCTGCGTGACCGCATCCCAAAGCTGCAGCCCCGTCGCCGCGCCGCAGCACCCGCCAACCCGACACCGGCACCCCCGACGCCATCTCTACTCCCACCAACGGCTACGCCGGAGAAGTTGGGCGACTTCCAATTTGCCATCCCACGCCGTCGCATCCTGAGCCAGAACGACCACGAGATTTTCCTGGAGTCAGCAACTTGTACCCTCCTGCAGGCGTGGGTGTTTGGCCTGGCGGAGTCGGTGGTGGACACGCCCGCGGGCGTATTTGCAGACGCTCTGGCTGCTGCGGCGGCAGCACGGCAAACTCGGACGGAACTGCCCGAAGACATCCCTGGCCAGTGGCGGCCGGGGCAGCAGCAGCAACGGACGTACCAGAAGAACCTGCCACAGCGGCCGTTGTCGCCGGTCGTCTTGGCGCTGCTGTCTATTTTGGACGAGGCTGAAGCGCTCGTGTATGCCAACCCGCCCGACGACGCCGGTGGCTCACGGTTCGGCAACAAGCGATTCCGCGGCTTCGTGGATCAGGTGCGGCAGCGGGCAGTGCAGTGGCACAAGGAGGAGTTGGGAATGAAGGAGAAGGAGACGGCGAAAGACGAGGGCGAGCGCGAGGGTGCGAGCGAGGGCGTGTCGGCGATTGCGGAAGCGGCGGCGTACCTGGCCCAGGCCTTTGGCAACCGCGCGCGCATCGACTACGGCTCCGGCCACGAGCTTCACTTTGTCGTGTGGCTGCTGTGTCTTTACCAACTGGGCCTCGTGAGCCGTGACGACATGCCGGCGCTTGTGCTGTGTGTATTTACGCGCTACCTCGACGTGATGCGCCTTGTGCAGACTACATACTACCTGGAGCCTGCGGGCTCGCACGGTGTGTGGGGGCTGGATGATTATCAGTTCCTACCGTTCCTGTTCGGCGCCGCACAGCTGCTGCATCACCGCTACATCACGCCTCGGGCGGTACACCAGCCACTGACGCTGGAGCAGTTTGGCGACGACTATCTGTATCTCGGCCAGGTGCGATTTGTCAATAGCATCAAGGCGGCCTCGACGACGAATGTCGTGCAGGTGGGCGATGGCGAGAAACTGACGGCTGGTGGCGGCGGCAGCGGTGACTACAGCTTGCGCTGGCATAGTCCCATGCTGGACGACATCTCGGCGACCAAGACATGGGAGAAGGTCGAGGGTGGCATGCGGCGCATGTTTGTGGCCGAGGTGCTGCGTAAGCTACCCGTGATGCAGCACTTCTTGTTTGGTTCGCTGGTACCGGCCGCGCCGAGCATGACGCTGCCGCGTGAGGGGAAGGAGGCCGGCGAGGCGGGCGCCGACGTGGACGACGAGGACGAGGACGCGATTGTAGACGGCAACGATACTGTCGACGTCTTTCAGGAGGGCGGCGTGCGCCATATTCACAACCCCAGCGGATGGGGCGACTGCTGTGGTATCCGCGTGCCGAGCAGTCTTGGTGCTGCTGGCGAGATGCGCAAAAATGGCCGCGAAGCCCTGCGGAGAATTCCCTTCGACTAAACGAATTTTGGTTGCGTACGAAGAGTGAGCCTACAGGCAAAATAGAAAATGGTCACGGTATATACGTTTACGGTGTCTAAAATTGCAAATAGAAAAGAGGAGCTTTCATTGAACGCTAGATAATTTGAACCTCCCGTCCAGCATAGTGTCCCGGAATCCCAACCAGTTTGCAGAGAGCAAAGACAACGTAAAACATAAAACAACAAGCAGTCGCAAGTGATAGTGCAAAGGGCATAATCAAAGAAACAAGGATCACCCGGCCTTATTCCGATACGTGACGTTCTGTGTTTAGGCTTGGGTATGCGCCAGCTGTCGTACCCTTTCAAGAGATATGAGATAACGAAGGGCAATAAATAAAAAACAGCCATTGGATGATGAGATGCAACGTAAAAATAAAAGAAAATGGGCTGATAAAAAGAACAATGCAATAGGCCACGAGGGTATCAGAGCAAGTCCTTCCAGAGGAATGCTGTCGGTGGATCGTAAAATGCAGGAACGGATGGGTGAAGTTAATCCACCACGACAAGAACGAGCTAAAATCAGGGACATTGAAGAGCAGAGAAATTCAGCCAAAGCTTAGTCCTCCGTTCTCAGTCTTCCCAGATCGTCTCCAAATCGAGGTCGCCTCGCCGTTCGGCACCGCACACACTCCAGCGCTTCCGCTTGTCCCGTGAGCCAAAAGCCAGAGTCCGACCACGCGTCGGGACGTCAAGGCTGCCACGACCGCCCTTGCTGTCTCCGTCAACGGCGTCGGCTGCCGCTTTTAGCTGGGCCATGCGCTCGGCTTCGAGAGCAGCCTCTTCGGCGTCGGGCGAGTCGGGGATCGTCTCCAAGCTGGAAATGCTCGGACTGCGTGATCGCGTGGACGTCGGCGTGGAGGGCACGGAAGACGAAGAGAGACCGCCGAGGCTGCCGTAGGACGGAGCTGACAGCAGCGTGTCGGACGGCCGATAGAGAGGGGAGGACGCTGCAGGCGATGAGGGTGTCCAGGCCACATAGGCTACAGGAACGGGTGCGTCGGATGTTGCGGTAGGTGTTAATGAGCTGGTACTCGTCGTGGAAGCAGATGAGGTGGTCGAGGCGGTTGAGGTTGTTGAGGTAGTCGATGTGATTGACGAAGATGACGTGGTGGTAGAAAGAGAGGGCGCCGACACGGTTTGCGGTGCCGGTGCCAGGGAAGAGGGTGAGCCGCCACTTGACGATGAAAGCCGCCGATACGGCGAGGATGGCCGGCGGGTGCGGGCGAGTGGCTGGCTCGTGATGCTCGTGTTGAGTGTGCCGTCGGAGGGGATGGTCGGTAAGGTATGGATGCCGAGGTTGGGAGAGCTATTACGCTCGTGCAGATTTGGCTGGTCTGCATCGTGTATGACCGAGACGCGTGTTGGTGATGACGGGAAGACGTCTTCGATAAGGCTCTTCTTTGGCGTTCTCGTGGTTAAGGTGGGTGGCCGATGCCCGAGTGTTGGGCTGGATGTCCGCGGAACGGTAATCAGCTGCAGGTGGCCAGCGCCGTTCACGCCGGGCATAGATCGTGTCCGCCCCATGGCAGGTGGATAGAGGCTGCCCACGCTCGCGGTCGATCGCGACCGCACGTGCGAGCCGGAGAGGGGTGAGGCGGTACGAGGCCGGTAAGGAAGGGTATTCGGTGCTGGCACCCATGGGGGCGAGCTGGGAGAAGGCGACTCAGTAGAGCGGCGCTGGTTGTGAGAATTTCGTGGGTTGTTCTCGGGATCGGTCGCCATCCGCGGTGTTAACGGTGTCGGCGAGGCAAATATGAAGGATGACGAGCTCTGGAGGCGCTGCGTGGGCAGCGGCGAGGAGCGAAACGCCTCCATCCGTTCAGTCTCGGGCACAGGCTCCATCTTCGCGGAGGATACGCAGGGACGCGCAGGTTCACTTTCCGAGGAGGAAGTGCGGCGGCAGTTCACCTAATAGTTGGAGGCATAGGTTGTGGCACAATAATACAAGGCCGTGAGAAGAAAATGGTGCCCGGTGAAGAGAAAATCGAGATAAGAAAACTGGCGAAGGAGACCGGTCGGGGGCGACACAGGAGAGGCGTCAAGTGGTTGAATGGTGGCCAAATGCAATCGTCCCTTGTCTCTTCTCTTCCTTCTTCCCCTTTCGTCTGCTGGTGGCGGCGCTGCAAGGGTAGAGATTGCGAGCGTATTTACCCGCAGACCGTTCTAGACGTGCGGAACAGACGCAGACAGACAGGCTGACAAGCTGACAGGCGAGGGCCAGGTGTTTCCCGCGTAGAGGCTGTAAAGATAACCCAGAAGAGCGCTGCCGTGGAACGCAGACGGGTGTTAAGCGAGGAGGTGGCCCGAAGAACGAGAAAGGCAGAGAGACAGGCTGGCTCGAGAAGCTCTCGCTGCAGGTCGCCTTGCCTCTGTCTATTCCGCTTTGCCCCTTTTGACTCGTCTACGCGATCACATCTCACGACGATGGTTGGATCAGGACGCGGCACGTCGTGGCGGCTTGCCGTCTATTCGTTCGTTGGAAAGCAGTGTCGATTTTGGGAAGAAAAGGCTGCTGGCGGCGGGTGGGCTGTTGAATGCTGTATCGCTTGGTCGCTCTCGACCTGCCTGACGTTGAGAAGCGTAGAGGATGAAGGCAAGGGGTAGAGGTTGTCGGAGGAGGGCGGGCGTGACAGGCCTGGCGAGACGAGGAGAGAATAGAGCGTGGTTCAAGAGAGGGCGAAAAGAAGACGAAGCGGCGATGGGAGAGAGGATGTCGATGAAAAGGAGAAAGAAGTCAAAGAATGTGCCGCATCAGAAGAATGAGGAAGGTGCATTCAAGCGTCGCTCCTTGTACTTTACAATTTAGGTGTAAGTAGTCTGAGGAGGACTAGCGCAAGATCAGGGTGCACGTACTTTGTAGGGGTGAAAAGCGGGGGTGGACAGGGTAATTACACAGGGAAGGTGGTATGGGGTGCACACTGGCTTTCACATTCTGTTATGCTCGAGGAAGGTGCATTCTTGGGGCGAGTCTACAGTGTCCCCCACAGGGCGTTCATTGGCAATCAAATGTGACCGGGCCTAGACTGGGGAGAAGACAGAAGAGTAGTCTGTGTGGCGCCCTTTACAACACAGCAGGAGCGAAGGGCGGACGGGAGCAAAACAGAGCAAGAAACAAAGGGTGTCTGAAATTTCGTTGTAGAAAAGGACTGAGAGGGAAGGCGCGACGGACTAGCGGGCGAGCCGCTGCGGTTCTGGCCAAGCTAAACTAAATACCAAAGTCCGCCTGTTTGGACCAATTAGGCAACCACTTTAGATCCCCTGCTAAAGAGCGGAAGGATTGCTACACTCTCACGTCCGGTTATCTGACTGAGACATGTTGGTGCCTTTGTTGGGCAATAGCAGTTAGCAACACTTGGCACACTGTTACCGCCGCCCCTGTGGTCACTATCACACTCCCCTTACCGCCATCGAAAGCACTAGTAGACGCCGTTCTATGGGAACCATGTGGTTGACATGCAAATTGCCACTTTTGGTCCAGAACTTGGAAACAACAACTACTCCCTCTTTCATAACAAAGGATGAAAAAGAAAAGACAAAAAGGGCGACACCGACAAAGACACCCTGACTTGCGTGTCAGTCATTTGGGGCACGGAGCACAGAGCACGGAGACCGCAAGCTCAATCCAGAACGTGTGTTGTTACAACAGGCGCTATGGAGAGCTTCACACTTGGAGATCCGACGTGTTTCTTCCCGCCGACCCCTTTTCCCCCAAATTGTTTTGTGTTTCTTTGCTTGCCAGCTGCCTTTTTTTCACCCTGGTTGCGTATTTTTGGAAATATAAGAGTGCCATCGACGTGTTGCCTTTGTTGTTATATCGCCCAACGTCGTGACGATATATTATATCGGCCGGGCCGGACGCGCGCGTTAGCGAGCGCTGGTTAAACTACGGAGTAATCACTTTGATTGTAATGTGTACTTCACGTTGCATGTTGCTTACCGCTGCCCGATTTCCGGCTGTTTAGGTTGGCATTGGCGTAAGCATATGGGATATGGGTTGGCAAATAAATGCGCGGAACCAGAAAGCGAGGCCTTCCTTACAAACCAAAACAAACCGCAAGGGTCCGACAGACGGGACCCAAGACACGCACTGGCTGAACTACGGAGAAAAAATAGCAAAGACGGCGCACGGAGTAGGGCTGGATGCACGTCGTATTAGCTGCAGTATGTGTGTCGTTGGAAACAGAAGGGGAAGAGGTCACGGACGTACCATTGCTCCGGATACTTTCCAAATTGCGCGCGACAATACGCCTTTGTGACAGCTCTGGGCCGGAGAGCTGCTGAAGTAAACGAAGGCTCTGTAACGAAAGGTAGAGTGCACAGTTTTGCAATGTTGCATGTGTTGTATAACTCGTATTGCATTGCAGGTTGGACCCTTCAGGTGGTTACAGATGGCTTAATCGATCAATAACAAATACACGACTCTTGATAGCACAATTTATATTACTTTATGCCAGCACAAAACATCGACGGCCCACCATATCCTAATCTATGCCCAGACGTTACGGAACTTCTCCTCGAACCGCTTCAGTAACTTTTCAAAAGCCAAGAGAACTTCCTGCAGCCATCCCTCGGCCGGCTCAGCAGACACTACTGGTATAGACGCACACGATGCAGGTGTGTATTCGGCTGCTGCCTCATCGTCACTTTCGCTGTCTTCCCACGAGTCGACAACCTTAGTTCTTGTGAAGTCGCATGTGGCCCCCGTTTCTCTCATACCTCGGTTAGAGGACATCTTGTTGATGCGGCTGGGCGGTGGATGCTCCATTGGATGCATTGGTGTCGTCGGTTGCAAGTGCTATTTAGCGAGTTTGGGTTGGCTTGTTGCCATATCATGTTGACGGTATGTATGCCGTTGGTTTTGTGGCTCTCTATGTTTGACGATGTGTTTGGTACATTGGTTGAGGGAGAAATCAAATTATCATATGCAAAGTCACAGAACAACACTGAGCGATCGGTCGGCTCGGTTGGTTGCCGACGACGCCTGCCGGCGTGGTCTTGACAGTGGTCGCGTAACGCGATAAATCGGAGCTCCAGGTACCGCTCTTCGGGATGGCAATGCGCTAAAGTCACCAATTGTTCGCGGATCTGTCGGCGGTGCTCCTGGTGCTCTTGCCTCACAGGTGTAGACTTGGTCAAGCCTGAATCAACTGTGGTTCTTGCCGAAATCCGTTACCTTCGTAAATGGGCAGGAACGACGCGCAAATTCAGCCGCAAAAGCCCGAGCTACGACTGGCTGCAGGGCCGCCTCAGGCCCCCTAATTACTTCCCCGTGTAACGTACGAATTCCCCAATAATACCCCATCGAGCCCATTTAGTGGAGGAAGGTGCCAAGGAAGACTCTTGGCCCCACGACAAGCGATCCTGCAACTCTCTCCAGGCGAACACTACTCCGTCAGAACGACGCCCTGACGTGACTCCGACGGAAAATACTAGAGATCATGCTCGCAAACGCATAGCGCGAGCGCCCAACTGACCACCCGGGCTTTTGTTTGCCGGAATTAGTCTGTGATTTGTTCAAGATTCGCCAGCCAAAACTGCAGGACGCAAACCGCCGGCGTCATTTCCACGAGCTGTGGGCATTTTGGCTTGTGAAGCCTCTCCAACCACCTCCTTCGACTGCATGCAGCTCTTTCGACAACATACCACACGTCGCCGTCGTCGACCTTCTCCTCCAACAGACCGACTGTCGCTGATGCGTGCACCCGACACCCCTCACACCTCGTCACCGGCTGGCGCAAAGCCATGAGACGACTTCCGCGGGGCGTGGCCCTTCCCGTCCCACTCCGCCTTTCTTCTTCCTTTCCATTGTCCTCCTCTTTCTCCTTGCTCTCCACTTCGTCATTCGCTTCTTCTCTCGCGGGCTTTCTCCTCAACGCCCCTCGGACGGGGCTTCGTACCGCTCCCTTCTCGACGTCTTACCCTCGACGCCCACGCACATCTTGTCCAGCCAGCGGACAACGGGGACGCCTTTGGGTTGCGTCTTCAGGTCCGGTGTTGCGCCATGATGAGCTGCATCAACACAGGTGGTCATCTTCGACGCCAAAAGTCCGGCCAAAAACAGCAATCTTCTTTCCTGGTAGGCCACTGAGCAATGTTCTTGTCAGCGTGGGAGTACGATGAAAACTAACGACCCACCAGGCCAAGGCGTACAGAAAGTCGGCATGCTCGGGCCATGGCTTGAGGCCTTTCCCATTACCGCGCGCGACATAATACAAGAGATCGACCACTACATGAAATACAAGCTGTCGGACGTTATCCAGGAGGGGCCGGGCAAGGTGCTGACCGCGACGCCCAACGCGCAGCCGGCCATCATGGCGACATCGATTCTGATTCTGCGGATTCTGGAGCGCGAGTTTGACTTTCGGGTGGCCGAGCGCATCGACGTCACACTGGGCCACTCGCTCGGCGAGTTTGCGGCGCTGGTCGCGGGTGGCTACCTGCAGTTCGAGGACAGCCTGTACCTCGTGCGGAAACGCGCCGAGGCCATGGCGAGCGCCACGCAGCGTGCGCGCGACGAGCACGGCGGTGACTACGGCATGGTGGCGGTGGTGACGGAGCCCGAATACATGGAGCCGCTGGTGGCGGCCGTGTACAAGTTTCTGGGGTACAGCGCGACGGGCGAGCGGCTGACAGCAGCTGCGACAGCGACATCAACACCGCCGCCGAGCGAACAGGTGCTTATTGCCAACATCAACAGCAAGAACCAGATCGTGCTGAGCGGCAACATTGAGCGCATCAGCGAGCTGATGGCGCAGGTACGGCTGTTCCTGGGCCACGACCCGCGTGCGGTGCGGCTCAACAGCGACAGCCCCTTCCACAGCCCCATTATGCGTCCGGCCGTGGCCGAGATCCGACGGCTTTTGGCGGGCCACAGCCGCGTCGCGGGTCGCGAGGGCGAGGACATTGTGTCCTTCCCGGGCACCATCCCGTGCATCAGCAATGTGACGGCACGGCCGTTTGGCAGCCGGGACGACCTCAAAGAGCTGCTGGCGCGGCAGTGCGAAGAGACGGTGCGCTGGTGGGACAGCATCCGCTACCTGGACCAGGAGGAGGGTGTGCGGCGGTGGATCGGTATCGGGCCTGGCAAGGTCGGGCGCAACCTCGTGGGCAAAGAGGTGGGCATGCGCGGCAAGGACCTGGTCAAGGGCGGCGGCGTGTGGGCGATCACGGACCCGACAGAGATTGAGGAGGTCCTACGGGGCCTAGAGGAGACTGAGTCGTTTGTGGACGACGACTATTAGGGGGACAGAGGAAAGATGGGGATGATGATTACTGGATGAAGATACTTTTCGCAGACAACAGACTGAATGTTCGGTCGGGTCGGCAAGTGTCTGTTTTTCTGCCCTTTTTGACGAGTTTCCTGTCTTAGACGCAGGCGTGCACTGCTTCATGTATACCAAGGAGGACAGGATAGACACACCAGTGACGTTATTGCATCTTGCTTCACGAAAGTTTAATTTAACGTTTAAGTCACAGTTAATGATAAGATACAGCAGTCGCTTGTTAACCCCTAAAATATCCTTACCTACCGAATGGTGGGCATTTACAGCGCTGTCTTTAGCGACTTGGCCAGGCTGTGCGCTGTTTTCTGCTCAGCCTTGCGCTTATCTTATCAGCTTCAATTGCCTGTAATCCAGTTAGTGCACAAGCAACTCTGCCGTTTCTCCTCTCGGCATCTCTCCAGGGACACCACACGTCCTCCTCCACCTCCAGAACGTCCCGTGCCGAGCCATTTGTTTCGTTTCTTTCTTTGGTTTCTTCGTTTTACGTTCTATTTGTCTTGGCCTTCTTGCTGTCGAAACCTCCACGGCTGCCTAAATCGCCGTCATGTCGCATAGTAAGTTGCCGTTTCTTTTTTTGTTCTTTTTTTTTTCACTTATTCTTTCGACACTTTGTTCTTCGTCCGCGCAAGCGCTCACACGATACAGGCAAACGAAACACCAGTCGCGCCGTCTTCACCTCCTATGAGCGCTCACTCGCCAAGGCTGCCTGGACCGTCTCGTCGGCCCGCCTCACACGCGACTCTTTCCTGCCTTTCGCCTCATGCTCGCTGTGCCTCGAACTCGCCCAAGACCCCGTCGCCTGCCCAGCAGGCGACATTTTCTGCCGGGAATGCGCCTTGAACAACATCTTGTCGCAAAAGAAGGAGATGCGCCGCCTGGAAAAGGCGCGCGAGCAGGAGGAAAGGGAACGCGCCGAGCGTCAAGCACGCGACGACGCCGAGGACCAGGCGCGGGCGGTCAGGGAGTTTGAGCTCGTGCAGGCCGGACTGGAGACCAAGGTTGGATGGAAGGCAGGCCGGCGTGCAAACGGCGCCCACGACAGAGACACACCGGCTGCAACATCGACACCAACGCCCACGCAGACACAAAGACGTCTGCTCGAAGCCGGCCCTTCCATTGACGCTGCTGGTAGCAACAACGACAACGGCGACAACGGCGACAAAACACAGCTGACCAAGAAGCGCAAGTTCGCATTGGACGAGGACGAGCTGCAGCGCATTGCCGAGGAGGACCGGTCCAAAGCACGGCGAGCCATTGAGGCCGAGCGCGCAGCCGCGCACGACGCCCAGGCCCTTCCGTCTTTTTGGACGCCCTCTGAGACGCCGTCGACCAGCAGACACAAGGACGGCTCGACAGACGCGAAGACGAAGGGTGCCGATGGCAAGGGTGGTGCCGGAGCAGACGGCACGCCTCTGTGCCCAGCCGGCCACGACCACCATAGCTACTCGCTCCACACGCTCGTATCTGTGCAGTTTGAGCGCGACGCCAACGGCAAGCACATCTGCCCGGCCTGCAACAAGATGCTCACCAACGCGTCCAAAGCCGTGCTGGCCAAGCCCTGCGGTCATGTGCTGTGCCGCAGCTGCGTGCACAAATTTGTGAAGCCGCCGGGAGCGAACGGGCAGTCTGTTTTGTTTGACCCGCACGCGCCGCCAGGAACGACGGGCAGGGTGCGGTGCTACGTGTGCGAGACGGACCTGGACGACGCGCCGGACGAGAAGGACAAGAAGAGCAGGAAGGACAGAAAGGATAAAAAAGAGAAGAAGAAGGACCGTGTCAAGCCGGGCCTTGTGGACCTTCGCAGCGAAGGGACGGGCTTTTCGGCCGGTGGCGCCAGCGAAGTCAAGAAAAATGGCGTTGCCTTTCAGTGTTAGAAGGTGCTGGACAGACGGCGAGAGTAATGGTGAATACAATGAATGGATCATACCTGAACCGGCGTTTATATAGAAGGGGGCATATCACGAGGGGGACAGTAAAGGCTTCAATTTATGGGCTACAGTATCAAACAACACTCGAGAGTGCGCGTGAATGAACAAGTCTATTTGTTTCTCCATCTATTTCTCCATCATCCATTGTCTACTTCTTCACCACGCGTGGGATTTTCGAGATCATGTTAAAGATAACAGTACCAGCACCGTCGTCGTCACGTTCAAAACCCGTGCCACTTTCTGTCGGTGTCGCTATCGACTCTGCGCCGCTTGTCGATTGGAACGGAGCTCCCCGGCCCTGAGGAATGGTCGTCTCGGTACGTTGAGTGGCATCATAGCGAACCAATGCCCTGTCTTTGGGAGAAGTGCGGTGAGAGCCGTCTTGTCGTGTGCGTTGGTTCGCCACCCATGACTCATGGCTAGATGCAATGGCTTTTGGGAATGCTGACGGATTGGGATGGGGCAGTAGGCGGGCAGTATCGTGGCCTACGTTGCTCTGCGCCACACCGCTGCTTCCTGTTGTTGACTCGAGCCACGTCTCGACAGCCTTGGTGGCCTCTTCCCGCTCGTCACGAAAGTGGTTGGCTGTGGCAGCCGGAATCTGTAGTGATGACCGACGTGCTTCGGTTGCGTCTGAGAGAGCCACTTTCGTTGTGCGCGAGATGGACGCCGTCCTCTTTCGAAGGGCATTGGTGGCCGAGCACACCAGCCGCAAGACAAGGCCGTATAGGGCTCGTTGGATCGCCATGGTGATGCCGTGGCTAAGAGCTGCGGACGCCACGTTCCGTAACCATCCGTCGTAGAGCGCCCGGGGACCGCCCGGGTGGCGGAACGTCTTCCACAGCAGGGCTAGGATCTTGTCATTGCCATCGTCATCGGGTTCTGTTGGAGGCAGTCGCCGTCTTTCTGCCTCTGCTATAAAAGATGCTGCGTACAACGGGTATGTGATGGCCGTGGAAATGGCCTTGCTAGTAGCCGCAAGTAGGAAGGTGATCACGGCGGCTCTGGGGCCATTCGTGTGCTGTTGTCTCGAAGGGTGTCGCCTCCCTTGTCTCTGGGCGACCAGCCGTGCCAGGAGCTCGTGAATGCAGAAAGTTAAGCCAGGATCGAGTGCCAGGACAAGGTCGTCTTCGAGGGCCGCGAGTGACCATCGATGCTGCCGTGCGTCATGTTTTGGTGGTATTCCAGCGCCAGTTTCCCCATTTTGTGGGCGAGACTCGGTTCCAACCGTATTTTCATGGCGTAGCTCAACATCGTCCCTCGGACCAAGTAACCGCGTAGAGACCGCCGCTGTTGCACCGACAATAAATGCCAGCGCTTCTGCACTTCGACTCGATGTTGGCGTCACGCCGTCAAGGCTGTGTCGGCCAACAAGCCGCAGTCCAGTCGTCGCCGCGACATAATAGGCGAGGAAGAAAACAAAGCCGTTGCCTGCTGCCGTGGTCGGATTTGTCGATTTGGAGCCAACAACAGTTTCCAGCGACACGGCCCGGCCAGTGACAAGTGCCGCTACAGCAGTGGCTAGAGAGCCCGAAATGGCAAACGTCACCGGCTCCGACAGAGGCATGCTACTCGTGTTGTGTCAATGATGGTTTCGGTATAAACAACAAAAGACATGACGCAGAGGTTGGTGCGCGTCAATCGCCTTGGAGGCTTGCCGACCGCTTATTATATGATTTATTTTTTGAGGCAGACACTGACTTCGACTTGTTTCTGCCTTTTGATTTCTGGCAGTCGTTCCGCCGTTCACCGTCGCCCCAGTTGTTCGCCTAAATAATATGTTCTCGCCACTTGTTCACTGTCCTCACCGCATACTCGGTATATTTGTCGGGTGCATTGGGCTGCTCGCTGAAGAGACGGGGGTTGCTGTATGCATGAGTGGTCGACGTGGTTGGGTGCTGATGTCGGCTGCTGCGTTGGCACCTGCGTCGTGCATAATAACGTAAACAACGCGGTGGGTGCATCGCATCTTGCATTTTGCCTGCATGCTCCTGCTCGTTGCCCAACCGGAACACGCCCAATGCGGGTCGCGCGACCAGGGAAAACAAAACGACAAACTCGATATTGGGATACACCAAAGGCATCAACCGTCGTGACATCAACGGGAGAGGAAGACAACAAGAAAGTCCAAAACGATAAATATAAATATAAACACTTGGTATTCGCCTCGTAATCATGTCCAAATAAAATAACAAAAAAACCACCGACTTCTATCACGACTCCCGTCCGAAACGCCGGTTGCGCCATCACCAGATGCCGAGATATAAATAATGGAGAGGGGAAAAAAAAATGACAGCCGAAGAAGAGAAGGGTATGAACAAAAGAAGCAATCGTCTCAGTGGCACTAGATATCAGGCTTTTCCTCCTTTATGGCGCGTTTATGCTAAGCACGGCCAGCCACAGGAACTGGCCTCTGCGTCGTCGACGGGCTGCTATGGTTGCGCATGCCTACAGGTGGTGACGAGGACGACGGCGTTGCCGGCACGGGTATTGGCGTCGTCGATGTGACTGTGGGTGGCGGCACCGGCGTCGTGGATGTTGCGCGGCCGACAGAAGCTGGCACTGCTGGCGGCATCATGGTCGTCAGCATGTCAAGATCGGGCTCGCCCATAGCATCCTCGCTGTCAGCAAGACTCGGGTGGTCGTCGGGTAGTTTCTGTGCTCCGTAGCCGCGCACGCCAAAGATGTTCACACGCCCGCCATTGGTCGCCGTGTTAAGCTGTTCAAACAACCGTGCCAGCTGATACTGGCGTTTAATGGGTGCAAACGCGTGCTGCGGCACCACCGGCCGTGGTCGCCAGTTCGCCATGGCGTTCATCACCGTCGCCGCCTCTTCATCCGAGTCGATGTTGCCACCATTCGGATCCTCCTCTTCCTCCGCCGGCGCGCTGGCATCGATGGCAGCCTCTGCGAGAGGTGGGTTAGTAAATCAAGACATTCCATCAAAAACGACTTCTCGGGAACATCCACCTGCAACTTACTCTGCTGCTTTGCCTGGTTCTTCTTCTGGTACGCCGCTAAGAGCATGTCGTACGGCAACGACCGTCCCGGAACAGCACGCTTGGCTCCCATTGAGTGACTCTTGCATGTCAAAGAGCGGGCACACGGCTGACCGTTAGGCAGAATGACACCGCACTGTCGCTCCACATCGACGGGGCCCTTGGGCTTTGCTGTCTTGGGCTTGGCCTCCTCCTTCTTTTTCTTCTTCGGCGCTGCCTTTTCAATCTCGGCTTCGGCCTTGCGCTTCTTGTTCGCTGCTGCGCCCGTTTTGGAGTCGCCCGCCGCGTCGCCCTTCTTGGCAGCCGCCGCAGACTTCTTGCCCTTGCCGCTCGGCGTCCCGGTTCCCGCCGCCTTCTTGTCGTTCCCGTCGTCGCTGTCACTCGAGTCGTCGTCCTTGTCACGGCCCTCTAGCTTGCGTTGCGCTTCCTTTTCGTCCCGCTGCTGCTGCTCGCGCGCCCGGTCGCGGGCCTCCTTCGCTTCCTTCTTCCGCTGTGCCTTCTCTTTCTTAACTTTCAGGCACGCCGCAATATGCTGCTTTGCGGCGGTGGCGAGTACGCTCTTCTTGCAGTGCTTACACATTTGCAGGTTGAGCGCGTCTTCGAGTGGGCGGCCGGTGGCAAATGTTTCGCGTGCCGTCTCGTCGAGCTGGTTGACCACTGGGCTCGGTGATGGCGCCGGGATGGCGGAGTTGGCATTCTTGCCCTTCTTCTTTTCTTCTGTTCGACGACAAATGTTAACAACGGCATTGCAACAATTTGTCGCACAACAACTGAAATAGTTTTGTCGCCGTAGATACAACTTACGATCCACAAAAGTTCCCTCCTTCCAGTTGCCTGGCTGCTTGTGCTTCGGCGGGGGCTTCTTCAGTTTGATGGTGCCGCTCGGCTTGGACGCAGGGCCACCTTCTTTGCTGTCCTTGCTGTCCTTATCCTTGCTGTCTTTGTCCTTCTTTGATGCCACCTTAATCGTGGCCTCCTCGTCGTTCTTCACTTTGGGTGTCCCGGACGCGCCGGCCTTTTTGCCAGCTGGCGTCGCCGGCGCCGGAGACGACGACGTGCCCTTGCGAGCGTCAGACATGATGTAGGAGGCGACGTGTGTTCGGTCGGTGTGATGTGGGTTGGGTAGGTTTGTTTTGCGATTCGTCGTTGGCCCCCACCCGTCTGGCGAAATATGCAGCCAAAGAGGCACGCACTAGTGTCGATGATTGTTGATACAGTTCGATATAAATACAAAGTCGCGTCTAGAGCGGCGCAGATGTCGATGGTTCGACAGACACAGCCGCAGCAACGGGTCCGGCGCGATGATTCGATGTTTGTCGTCGGCGCACGAGGTTGAGAAACGACAGCCTGATTGCCGGTGGAGTGGTATGAAGGAGGAGTTGAAGTGTGGACCTTTATCTGCAGATGCATATTGGATTTGGGGCAACCTTATCGCCGTATATAATCACGTGATGTATTATGACTAATCCACATTGACGTCGCTACTAGCTTAAAAAGCATACAAAGGGCACTGCCGCATGCATCAATGTCGAATTGACCATCAATTTCCATTTTGCCTCAAAACGCCTTCTCCGAGTGACATGATATGTACAGCCTTCAAACCGGAACGTGCCGGCTTTTGTACTTTTCTTTTCCCTGCCGCAACCGTCCGGAACGCCCAGAAAACAAAACGTAGAAAAACAAGCGTGTAATAAAATAGATAAAAACGATCCAGACACGCAGAGCAAGACAGCATCAGGCAGGGTCTGCTCTCACAAGCCTCCATTCGCACCCTGTTGCTGTTCGCCGACCGTAGCCATACGCCGCAGCTCGTACTCGCGCGTGAATTCGCGACTCAGGTGGCCGAGCGATGCCACCAGCTGTTTGCACACCTCGACAATCGCCTCTTTGGGCGTAATGGTGCCGTCTGTCTGGACGCGGAGCAAGACCTCTGCCACATTAGGGTGTGCGACTGACTGTGTTAGCAGGAGTCGCTCGGAACGTGCAATAGAGAGCAGGTAGACGTACTCTTATAACCAGCCATGAGGACCTTGGGATGCATCTTCAGATGCTCCGCAAGAAGGTTGCCCAGCGTGTGGTCCTCTTTCTTCATCAAAAAGTCCGAGGTGTTTGCCATGCCTGCGTATTGCCGTTAGAGCCTGGCCATGGACGACCTCGAATCGACGTCGGCGTAGAAATGGGCCGAAACCTACCGGCAAACGGCGTCTCGGAAATCTTCTTCTCGCCATCGGCGAGGATGAACAGCTCGAATCTGTAGAGCTTGTTAGAGGCAATCGATCCAAATTACAAATATTATAAAGCGCCACTCTCTGCGTCGTCTTGTTGTGCACAACCTCTCAGGTACGTTGTTGTGGAAAATGCGAGTCATGCTTGAGCGCGTGCTTCTGGATGGACTTTTCGTAATGGGACGCAAAAAGGGGTAGGGCCGAGGACAAAAGCGAAGCGCACGGAGCGGGTGACGGGAAAGAGCAAACAACAGAAACAACAGAAGCAGACGTCGTATTGCATGTTGTGTTCCGTGAGGAAGGAGCGATGGACAGCTCTTTCCTTTTCATGCGCAGCAAAAAAATCCAGCATCAGATCCCAAGAGGCACACCTGCCATCTTGTATGTATGTTTGTTCTTTCCGTGGACGAGTCCAATAATTTGCTTCCGTAGCTCCTGGTAGACGATCGAGAAAGGAAAGTACCATCGAAACACTGCTTGCCGACTTTTGCCTCACTTGAAGCGCATCTCCATCCAAGCGCACGCTGAGGTCCATCTCGGTCTACCAACACAACGACGTCTCGCGATATGCGTAGTGTGAAGCTCGGCAGTGATGTGCAGCAGCAGCTGACTATCGTCCACGTACCTGTCGGGAGCGTTCATAGCGTCAACAACGATCGAGCCGTGAGGAAATTCGGGGCCACCGAGGCAGCTCGGTACGGAGGAGTGTAGAGAGGGATGACGAAGCTGCGCAGCGAGATGCGACAGATTGCGACGGGCGTGAGAGAGGATGAGCCGATGGCGGTGAAGAACAGGCGAACGACGACGAGGTTGTGAGTGCAAATGTAAGAGCGAGGTTGAGGATTTGGGAGCGCCGGCCAAAAAAGCGGCGCGCGAGGCTTCGTGAAAATTGGGGAAGGTGGCGGCGGCTAGCCAGTTAGCATTCGCCCCAATTTCCACCACAGTGCTAGAATTACAGAGAGCTACAAGCTATTCGTACATTACACAGCACACTCGCAAGGCTAGCCAATCAGAGCTCTCTCCACACGACAACCACCGTCACACTAACTACACAACTGAGCGGCATTTACTGCAACTATTGCTAGAGGCTGTACTGCGTAAGGAATTACAAAATACCAGGCTATGAAATACAAATACAGTGCTGATTGGGTGACTGATGATAAGCAACAGTCAGTAAATGTGGTGGCCGCGACGGACAACGTCCATCCAAGAGACAGAAATCTCATGAAGACAAGGAACTAGAAAGATAGTGGCCTTCTATCTATAGTATAATAGCCAACGCATCATATAATCCAAAACTGTCCACGTCGCAGAGCCAGCGGAAGTCGACCTGCGGACGGGCCAGCACAGAGATGGTCGTCCTGAAGTTGCATCGCCTCGAATGCCTGCAAAAGAGAAATGGGAGACACAGAAAGAAAAGCTCAGTGCGAGAAACATGCGAAGGAGATAAAAATAGATGGAAACAGAGACGCAAGGAAATGATGATGCATGGTGGGGTAAATGTGATATGTCAACAGTGACAAGAGATGAAAAGCACGAGGCAAGGGGCTCGCCAAGTAACAAAGCACGAATAGCAGCTCTTTCAACTCCAACACGCGTCGCTTATCAAAACGTTACGTTTTATCGCAGTAGCCAGGGATGGCAGGCTCAGTTGACGAATTGGCCCAGCTCAGAATAGTCAAGCTAGTCGTGTAGGCCATGGCGATGAAGCCGAAGAAGCAGAGGACAAGGTCGCTGATCTTCCACAGCCGGCTGCGCGCCACGCTCTTGTAGTGAAGCAGGGGAGGATAGATGTACACCAGCGGGATGCAGGCAAAGTTGCCGACGAGGGCAACGAACTTGTCGAGGTTGTCAGCACCACCCCACGCAATGGCCGCACAGCCCACCACAACAAAGAAGCGGAAGACGTTCTTCTGCCACTTGATGTACGGGTTGTACTTGCCGCTGCGTGTAAACAGGCCGTTCTCCGTGATGCGAATGGCCGGGAAGATCTGCAGCGGCGTAGACAGCAGGATAGCCAGCGAATACAGGAACTGCACGCTGTTGACCATTTTGCTGCCCTGTGGCAGGTTCAAGAGCACCACTGTCTCCGTCTTGGAGCCGTACGCGGCGTACGACACGGCGCCCATCGTGACGAACACCGTCGTAATGATAACCATGACGGCGAGCATGACCTTGGGGAACTTCTCCGGGTGGCGCATCGACTCCTGAACTGGGATGATGAGGCCGATGCCCTCAAAGGTAAAGATTGCCGTACCGATAAATAGGGTCCAGCTGTCTTGGTTGAACATGGTAATGTCCGCCACGCCAAACTTGTCGAGAGTCAGGACATCGTAGTAGAACAGGTACGCGAGACCAATTACGATGAAGGCGTCAGCCACAAGCGCCGTGAAGGCCAACTTGTTGATGTCGCGCAGCAGCGAGAACGGCAGGAAGATGACCATCTGCATCAGAATCAGGTACTTGGTCGGGATCAGCGTCTTGCACTCGGTGACGGCGAGGATGACGGCTTGCAGGTTCTCCGAGGTGAAGACAATGTATGCAGCCACAAAGCCAACCTGGCTGATGACAATCGACGTCAAGATCATGAACCGTAACCATTTGCCATAAAGAATACCGCCGATGTCACCAAAGGAGCCCACGATCTTGAGCCGCGTCGTCACCAGCAGCACGAAGCAGTAGTAGCTCAGGGCCGCCACGAACAGCAACACCAGGTTGCTAAAGAGCATGCCACCGTTGAGGTACGCCCGCGGCAAGAACAGCACGCCCGTGCCCACAAACGACTTGAGCAAGACAGCAGCGGCGCTCATGGGGCTCGCCTTGCCGCTGCCGCCCCGGGACTTCCGCCGCCGTTTCCGCCGCGAGGGCGTCAGAAGCGCACTGTCTTCCATCGGCTCGCGCTCATCGTCCGAGCTGCCGCTGCCCTCACTGCTGCAGTACTCGCCGTCGGCGACATCCTGGCCAGACACGTCGTCGCCGGACGAGAAATACTCGCCGGGGTTGAGCACCTCGTCATCCTCTTCGAGCTCCTCGCCAGCAAAGTGGCCGTAGATGGACAAGAACTCGAGGAAGCTCGAGGTGAACAGTTGCGGCTGCTGCTGTGGCGGGCCCTGGTGGTGGGGGTGGGGGTGGTGGTGGTGGTGGTGGTGGTGAGCGTGGCGGTGGCCGCCGTTCTCGTCGTCGTCGTAGGTGCCGTACCCCTCCTCGGCTGTGCGGCGGAGGTAGTTTCTGCGGAACCCGCCAGGAACTTTGATCGTGTTGATGTCGAGCACCTCGCTCTCGGGTTCCGGTCGCGGCATTGTGAAACTCTTGCTGCGCTGTATCTTGTTCGTGGCCTCTTCCGTCCACTTGTAGATCGGCCTTGTGATGTCGCCGCCCTGCAGCCGCAGACTAGAGAACTCGTCGTCGTCAATGCCAGAGGCGCCCACCGCACCCACCGAGTCAGTGTCGCCGCCACCCCCAGCTGCGCCATCGACGGCGCCGTTCTTCTGCGCAGTTTGCTTTCCCTTGGCATCGGCCGCACTCTCAGAGATGCTGGAAGCGTCGGTGCGCTGCACCAAGTGTCTCCGCACAATCTCCGGGTCTTCGTAGGCGCCGCTCGTGCTCGCATACCGTTGTCTTGAGTCGAAGGAGCCGAAGTTTGTGGGTGTCAGACCGGTGCCGCCGACAGAGGGCGTGCTGCTAAAGTTGGTCGCAGCCGCAGCAGTCGAAATAGCAGCCGCTGAGGAAGGCGACGCAGGCCGCACAGCAGGGGTACCGAACCGCGGAGGAGACGTGCCAATAGAGTTTGAGAGTGCCATAGCCAGAGCAGACACGCCCGGTCCGGCAGAGTACGACGCTCCGGAAGCACTTCCGCCAGCGAGGGGGGTCATGTTGCCTGAGGGTGACCAACGTCCCGAGCCCCCACGGCCACCGACGCCGGCCGCCGATGCAGGCGACGTGCCAAGATTTTGGACGGGATTTGCGAGACGGGCAGTCGTATCAGCTCGAGGTACAGAGGTGCCAAGGGACCGCGCGCGAAAGGAGCCGATCGGCGAGGACGTAGGGAGGGCCGCATTTGCACGGGGAGACGGTTGCGGAGCCGGCGAGCTCCGCCCTTTATCACTCATGGCCGTGATAGTTGGTGGTAGTGAGAGAGGGGAGAAGGGTCGAGATAGAGACGTTTGAGGTTGAGGCTATCGTCGCATATCGGGGCGTCTGAGTCGAAGAAAACGGCGTCGGTTAGCGCTGAGGGGCACAGGCGACGACCGTCTGTTCCTATCGCGAGAAGTGCAGCTGTTCTGCAGGAGGCCCTTCCGTGGCCAATGGCAGAGCCGACAGCAGATATGACAGCCGAGCTGTCGCAAAGGCGTTTGTCGAGAGAGCGCCAGGAGAAAGCGGACAAGTTAAGAAGACGTAAAACAAGATAGAAGCAATAAAAAAGGAAATCGAAGTGGGAAAATGCCTAAAAGCAGCGGTCGAATAGTGGATGCAAATGCCCAACAGCTGACAAAAGAGTCGAAGCTGTGGGCGGGATGAGACAATGGGGAGGTGATGTGCGTTATTTGAAGACGCAATATTAATTGGAGAGGGGAGGCAGCAGAGTCGGAGGAGGTTGTTGATTGCTGCAGTATGACACGGGAAAAGAGCCAGGCGACTGCCCGAAACAAGCGCCGGTCGTTGGTCGATTCACGCAGTGCCTGTGGGCTCGTGATACCAAGCTCCGTCCTTATCTCGTCCTGGCACAGGTGGCTCCTGCCCCGTAAAGTCTTGGTCTGTCAAGCTATCCGCAGGTGACTGTCAGGCGACCGGACCACCACCACGACGAAAATAGACTACTGAGGCCCTGGTCGGTCGTGCCTGCCCGCGCCGCCAGCGACCTCCACAGCCTAGCGGACCACTTCTCTGCTTATTAACTGAGTCATACAGCAAAAGAGGGCTTATACGCCGTTGTCCGAGCCGTATTAGTTCGCCAGTGTCCCCTTTTTTCTTCCTATATACGGAGTGCAACTCTATAGCATTAATTGCACAGCGTAGGACCAACGGAGAGGACAAGGATTTCGCTGTAGGAAACTGTCGGGGAAGCAGTAAATGGCTCCCTTCGATCCTTCCGTCGAGGATTATCGTGCTACCGCTGAGACAAGATGACGCAGTTGCCATTCTTGTCAAAATTCTCGCGCGCGAACCATTGCACCTGCCCCTTTGCGATGAGGTGCCTGCAGTCACCCATCTAGACGGGGAAGGTACGAAAAGACTTGTAAATAAAACTATGGAAAGAGCTCTTTAGAGCAGAAAGGCGTTTGTCTCAATTTCAAAATACACATCCTTCGTTCCTCATTCACGTTGTTCTTAAGCAAGACATTCCATTGGTAAACAGCACCCTGCCTTGTACCCGCCAAGCCGCGCTCCCCCAAGCGCCCTGTGCCAGGGCGACCAGCTCCACCATGCCAAACCAACGCAGCAATGACCCTGCTGTCGCGAGACGTCAGGCCAAAATGGCCTCGGATTGAGCCTCGTATCATAGGTTGAAAGGTAACTTTTCTCGGCCGTTTGAAGCTCTCAAATTGAACTCGCTCTCGCGCTAACCTGGGTCCCGTCACACATGTGCAGTATCGAGCCTCCGAGTGCAGCTGCAAAAACCTTGGAAATCGCAAGGACCACGAGCATTGTCGATCCCTGGTCCGGTTAAGTTTCCATCTATGCAGACCAGATCTTGCTTGCATTCTCCCCGCAGCGTCGACAACATCTCGGCTTCTCATAGCTGCCACGAATTATCTGGGATATCCCGGGATTGATGGTTACTTTTTCAACCCTTCCGTGGCCTTATTCTCACAACTTCTCTAGTATACCATCTTCAGCAACCTCGACTTCGAAACGTACTAGAAATCAAGCCACTAGTATTCGCGTCGGCAGACGCGCATGGCACCCTTCGGCATCTCTCTTGGCGTCTGGTGAGCTTCCGGCGAGCGCATATACCTCTTCTACCTGTCATGGAACGAGTCGAGCGCGAGCATGGTGCCAAGAAGCACAAGCTGGGCGTCGTTTCCGGCGTCTATGTGCCTGTCTGCCTCAGCATCTTGAGCATTCTCATGTTCCTGCGGTTTGGCAGCATCCTTGGACAGATCGGCCTCTTGGGCATGCTCGGTAAGCAAAGTCCTATCCACCTGTTTTGTTATTCTTTACATACTATTATCTGATTATCTGGGCCTAACCATCTACTCAGGTCTCTTCGTCGTGTCATATCTCGTCGATTTTGTGACAGCACTGTCCCTCTCGGCTGTCGCTTCAAACGGCGAGGTTAAGGGCGGTGGCACTTATTATCTCATCTCTCGGTCCTTGGGACCCGAGTTCGGCGGCTCCATCGGCCTCTTGTTCTACCTCTCCCAAGTGCTCAATACCGCACTCAACGTCGTCGGTCTCATCGACTGCATCGACCTCAGTTTCGACTCGCTTGTGCCACACGGCTACTGGTGGGGCTACTTTTCTCAGACCGTCGTTTTGGTCATCTGCACATCGCTATGCTTCGCCGGCAGCGCCCTCTTTGCCAAGGCGAGCAATGGCCTTCTTGTAGTCCTTGCCATCGCAACCCTGAGCATTCCTCTGTCCGTGCTCGTTCGCAAGCCCTTTACAGACCCAGTGAGCGGCGTTGAGTTCACAGGCATGCGGCTGGCCACGCTCCGGTCCAACCTCTTCCCCCATTCTGGAGAGGACTTTGCCTTCCGTGGTCTGCACACATTTCGGGACCTGTTTGGCATCCTGTTCCCTGCTACGTCTGGCATCTTTGCCGGTGCATCGATGTCGGGTGATCTCCGGAATCCGAGCAATTCCATCCCGGCCGGCACCCTCTGGGCCATGGCCTCTACACTTTCCTTATATCTCATCGTGATTATGTCACTAGCCTCCAGCACAACGCACATGTCGCTCTTAACGCAGCCGAACATCATCAAGGAAACAAGCTTATGGGCACCTATCATTTTGGCTGGCGAATGCGCAGTGACATTCTTCTCTGCCTTAATGGGTCTTATCGGAGCGTCCAAGCTGATGCAGGCTCTTGGTAGAGACAAGCTGCTGCCTGGTCTGTCTGTGTTTGCGTGGGGCACGGAAAAACACGACGAACCTCTTCTTGCTCTCCTCGTGACGTACGCAATTGCCCAGCTGGCGCTCTTTGCCAACCTCAACCAAATCGCCACCTTCATTTCCATGGGCTACATGGTGACATTTTTTGTCATGAACCTGGCTTGCTTCTTGCTCAAGATTGGGTCCGCACCCAATTTTCGGCCGGCTTTCAAGTTCTTCAGTTGGCAAACGGCCCTGCTTGGCAGTGTTATGTCGGCCGCTGCCATGTTCTTTATTGACGAAACCTATGCTACCTCGTCTGTCGTTTTGCTTGTGATGCTTTTCTTGCTGATCCACTATCTCTGCCCGCCAAAACGCTGGGGTGATGTCTCGCAAAATCTAATCTATCACCAGGTCCGCAAATACTTGCTCCGTTTGAAGCCCGAGCACATCAAATTCTGGCGGCCTCAGATCATTCTATTGACCAACGACCCCCGTCGACAAACTCGCCTTATCCAATTCTGCAACTCGATGAAGAAGGGCGGCCTCTATATCCTAGGCCACGTCATCGTCACGGATGACTTCACGACAGGCGTCCTGGAAGCCAAGCTACAGCAGACTTTGTGGTCGCAGTACATCACCGAGTATTCTCGCATCAAGGCCTTCGTTCAGCTGACCATGTCGCCGTCGATCACATGGGGCGCACGAAATCTCATCTTGGCAAGTGGCCTGGGTGGCATGCGCCCGAATATTGCTGTTTTGGGATTCTACAACATGGACGAACTCCGCTCGACAAATCCTGTCCTAAGGATTCCAGAACTGCCATTGTCTGATGCGGCAGCCATTCCGGCAGGACGAGCCACAGGAACGGCAACAGATCTGCCGTCGAAGGTCAGCAATACAGCGGTCATCCGGCCACGACGGCGCCGTGGTGATACTACATCTAGGATTCTGGAAGGCGTCCTGCCAACAGATGTGATCAAGACGGAAGGCATGATGAAGGCCACCGAATATCTCACCATTCTAGAAGATCTGGCCTTGCGGCACCGCATCAATGTTGCTGTTGCCAAGGGATTCCACAGCCTGGAGACGCCGCGGACAGACGGGACTAACACGAAGAAGTACATCGACCTGTGGCCCATTCAAATGTCAGCAGAGCTCGAAGCCGATGGCAAGAGCGTCCTAACAACAAACTTTGATACGTGTAAGTGTCCATCTAGCAAAATGCCATGGGTCACTATCTAATGCTGTTCTGCCAGATACATTGATTCTCCAACTCGGGTATATCCTTCACACTGTCCCGGCCTGGAAACGAGTGTACAGTCTACGCGTCATGGTATTTGTTGAGTACGAAAATGAAGTCGAGGAAGAACGTGGAAGAGTAGAAGCGCTCCTTGAAAAGCTACGCATCACTGCCGAGGTACATGTATTTTGGCTGGCAAGCGGTGATTTGGCCACCTACGAAGCCATTGTCCAAGGCGACGCCGACCCATCCATTGAAAAAATTGTGGATGATGTATTGGGGGCCTCTTTGTGGTGGTCAAAGCTACAAGAAATCCGTGGAAAAGGAACGCCGCGGCCAAACAGCGGGAATGATGACGGCTCTTCAGTCGCAAATTGGAAGGACGACGTACGCAGGCGACGTCCAAGCATAGCGCACATCGAAGAGCTGCAAAAGCACCAGACTGTGTCAGCCCTGGCTCGCTTTGGCGTGAGCTTGGGTATCCGCACACAGAACCTTGCCGGGCAGCAGCCTGCTTATCCACACTATAATCGCGACGATAACGGTGACGAGTATAGCAGTGCGATCAGTGACAACAGTTCCACGTCCGATGAAGAAGATTTTAACGCCACCGACTTCAACGATGTTGAGAGTGCGGCTACCGAAGGCGACATGGACGATGTGGACGACGAATCAGATGCGATTCGTCGTCCGCTTCTGGCGGCACCTGATCGCAGAAAAAGCCACGGCGATGCATTCGCCCAGAGACCAACATTGCGCCGCAAAAAGACAGACGAGTCAAAGCGTGCAAAGCAGTCAACGTCTACATCGACGGCCCCATCCTCACTTACGCCTGCTTTCATGCCATCGCTCAACACCGCTTCCGATCGCACCTACGGCACGATGTCAACCCCAGCGCTGTCTTCAGTCAGTAGCCAGTCTGGCGAAGACAAGTCTCGACAGCATCAAGACACCTCCTCGTTGACGGTGTATGGCAAACCACGTAAGTCCAAGCAGTGTCCCAGTATTACGGGACGAACGTCTACTAATTTGCCGCCCTTGCACCTGTAGCGCCAACATCGTCGTCGTCTATACGCTTCTCGAGCAATATTGTGCCAGAAACTCGAATTACGAATCCCGAAGACTCGGGTCGCACAATCATGTTTGCTGAGATATCGGAGTCGAATCGGCCAGAACGTCCGCCCTTTTCGCGGACAAATTCGCGACAAAGCCGAGTTAGTCTCGCAGAATCCGCGACGAAGAAACGTTCCAAGGCAGCGACGCCACGACCATCCGTCTCGTTTGCTGAGCCAGAAAGAGATTCGTCCGCACAACAAGAGCAGCGACCGCATCGTCCTCTCCTCTCACGACATTCGTCAACGCCAGTCGTGCAGCGTGCATCCTTCACCGAGAACGACTTGGGAGAAGAAAATGGCGGCGGCGACGTTCGCATCGGCATCACGCACCTGTTGGCCGACTACAAGTCCCGGCAGCGTGTCAATAGTACCGCCAGCGGTAAAAGTAGCGGTAGCAATGACAGCACCGACGACAGGAGTGGAACTGGCTCAAGTTATTCTACTCAGGACTTGGCCCTGTCGTTCAACGATCTACCATGCCGAGCACAACACCTAATCTTGAACGAGTTGATGCGACAGCAGAGCGGCGAAAGCGACGATCTGTCAGGCGGTGCTGCAGTCTTATTTACAACGTTGCCGATTCCAGACGAAGGCACCCATCGGGACGAGAGTGCCAGCGTGCAGTATTTATCAGATGTCGAGCTGCTCTGCCAGGGGCTGCCTCCAGTGCTCATGATTCTGAGCAACAACATGACGGTCACGGTCAGCCTCTAGCCCTTCGATTTGCTGAATGCGACCGGAAGCACTATTTCTGGACTTGAGGATAGCCGCAACGGGTTGGCTTCGCAGGCGCCCTCTTTATTTCTTTGACCTATTTGTTTTCACCGACAAAGCGGCCTGTACTGCTGTTGAAAGAACCACCAACCGCAGCAACCACGATACGACAAAGAGCATTCGGAGGTGTTCAACACGAACCTTTGTCCACCAGCATGCATCGCCATTGGGCGTCTTCGAAAGTAAGAAAACCAGCGCCATGCCGTCGTCAAACGCTCGTTGAGGGGAAATAAGAAGAAAGATAGATTGTCTTGTTCAATCATGAACAGCATGGATATTTGCAGTTCATAACTTTTTCGATGAACAATTTATGACTGTTGTACCTTTGATCCGTATCTCGCATTGCCATCCCCCTCGCCTTTTTAAGAGTGACGACTTTCTTCTCTAATTTGTTTTGTTTTCTACACTTCACAAATGAAAAACCCACTTAAACACCAAAGTGCACCCGTTGCAGCAAGAACAGCTGAAAGCAGCAACTCCCGCGAACACTGCCACAGCCGCAACCACAGTCACAACAGCGCCATCGGGCACCTCTTCCAGGGCCTCACACATCGACTACGAAGCGACACACCAAATCGCGCCCAGCAACAAACGACAGCCAGGAACAGTTTCCATATCGTGCACCTCCCTGACCGTCCAGTCGTTCCTATCCTGCCATCCGACGCCCCATCTGAAGACGAGTGCCGTGTCCTATTCCAGGAACTGCAGGCAGGCGACGGCTTCTTCGGCCAAAGAGCGATATCCCACCAAGAGGTGAGTCCATAAAGGGAGAAAGCTAGAATGATGAAAGGCCGAGTTCGTGAGCAGGCGGAGCACGTCGCGCATACACAAACAGTCGTGAAAACCCAAGAGAAAGGGCCCTCTCCGTCCAAGCATGCTCCAGCCTCGTCATCTTCTTTTTCTTCACCTTCCAGGCGCCAAACTTCCCATTCGGTGATGCCCCCAGCACCTTTGACTGGCAGTCGTACTTCTCCGCGCAAAATAGCGCCATCTTCTCAAGCGAGATTCACGGCCGCTACATCATCTTCTCGTACCTACTCCTCTCCCGCGGCACCAGGTCCGGCTACTTCAGCTAACACAGCGCGTGACCACCAGACAAGAGTTTCACTCCCAAGTGTTCTTCCGCAGCCGGTACGGTCAACAACTAATGCTGCATCGAGGCCCAGTACTCGCAGCAATGCCAGCACCGTGAGGAGCAGAACAAGTGGCACAAGTGGCACAAGTGGCACCAATAGCAGCGCTGCCAGCGGTGGCGACAACGGTGATAGCAGCCGCGTTCAGAGGGAGCCAAGCAATAGCAGCAGCCGGTCTACGCAGCCCCGGAGAACGTCAGGGCGACCGCCAACACCCATCCACGTTAATACGGCGAGATTCTATACAAATCGGCCCCTCCCGCACATTCCCCAGTCGCCAGTCTACCCGCCGTCACCAAGCCAACAATCGCCTCACCAGCCGCCATCACGCCAACAGACACCGCGCCAGATTCGTCCTCCGCCTCCCCTCTCTGCGAGGCCGCTTCTCCAGCGTCGCCCAATCTTGCCACCCCACGAGCTGGTTTCGTTCGCCGAGCGTGTTGCCCGCGATCAAACTGGCCAAAGCATTAACCTTCCCCAGCCCGTCAGAGTCGGAATTTCCAACAACGTTCACGTACTTCCACCCCGCCAAATCCTAATAGACAGCCAGACATATGATGAGACGCATCCTTCCAAGAATGGAAACTACCAAGGACAAACGGGGCCGTTGACAGGCGCAGATAATAACATGACGGGACAAATCCAAGGTATTACGGAGCCACGGTGGCAAGAGCGGAAGCCGAGCTCCCCGCCGCGCCCACCGCTGCCACCACCACTGCATCGGTCTGCACCCTCTCCGTCACAGCGACCGTTGTCACTACCTCAGCAATCCCAGCACAAGAGAAAAAACAATCTACCACGGCATCCCGAGCTCTGGGTGCCCCGAATCTCTTCGCCACTGCGGCAAGCACAGCTCTCGAGCCCGTATCAGGCGCACAATCCGGAACCGCAAAATCTCCCGAGCCCACGGCCAAACTCAGCAGACGTCTCTCCACTAACACCACCTCCCCAGTCTCCGGCGCGTGACAAAGCTTTGAGTCCAGAGAGAAAAACGCTTTTCGCCGTGCCCGATACCGGATCTCAGCCTTCCATATACGGCACACAGGATCCTGCCATTGTCGAGGCCCTCCTGGTCGCCGAGGAGGAAAAAGGAGAGCCCCTCCTCGAGTGGGAGAGTGAAACAATCAAGGCAAGTAGAGGGAGCAAAGCGAGGACTTCCAAGGTCCATCGTCGCTCTGTATTTTGCCGCTGGGAGAGAGACCCCTGTGCTAACCGTGCGGCGTCCGAGTCGTCTTCGACGGCTCTCGCCTTTTTGCTCAAGTCCATGACCGGTATGCCATCCAAGGAGCAGAAGCAGATGGGCATCGTGTCCATTGGCTCTGTGAGTCAAAAATGCCTTCAGCCGTCCGAAGCAGTTGCCGCTGTGACCACTGTGCCTACAGTCCCGGCCATCGACTACGAGGCCCGGGCCCAACAGGCGCTTTTGTACGAGAATGATGGCAGCAGCAACGATGGTAGCAGCTGTGGCGACTACACGACCATATGGCCAGAAAGTTCGTACTATTTCAGCAGCAACCCGGGGACAGCCATTGAGAAGCGGCACCGCAGCCAGCCGACACCCACAAACCGAAGCAGCAGAAGCAGAAGCAACAGAAGCAGCGCGGAAAGCAACGCACTCAAAAGAGAATCACACGCCTCGAAAACAACCGAAACGCGCCAGGTGCACTTTGCTCCACCGTTGTAATTTAGAATTAGTTTATGGTCGCTCTGTTTTCTTCACGTGTTCTCTATATTCCCCCACAACTTATTGTTTATAAAATGCAACGCCTATATTATCCCCAGTGTAATCTTTATAATAACAAATGAGACCGTACATCTCGTATGGTACCTTACCAAAACGCCCTCTAGTGTATCATGCATGTAATTCGTGAACTAACCCCACCTGTCCCAGCTTCTCCTCCCTCACGCAATCTTTGTAACCGCCAACGCATCCTTCGCTGCGCCTGCGTCGCCGGCCAGGGCCAAAAAGTCGCCCGTCTGCAACTTTTTGGTCCACTTGGTGCTCTCATAACGGGCCAAAATCATCGTCATGCGCAGGGGCGCATGCTCGCTCGATGCGTGCTCGTCTATACCCGGTGCCACGGGCGTAATCGTCCAGCGGCCAAAGGCCCAGTTGAGAATGTAACGTACTGTTCCCGTCTTCTCTGTCGAGGTAGATGTTTCTGCTAGCTCTTCTGTCGATGGGTTCACATTGATACTGTCGTCTGAGTTCGTAAGCTGCGACGCCGATGCAGCATCGACCGAGAGCACGGCCTTGATGCGGTATACCTCGTCCTTGGAAGCCGACGACAGCAGCTTCGACAGCTTGGCGACGTCCACAGACGCGTTTTCGCTGTCCCCCTTGAGCGTTACAGAGAGCACCTCGACCTCGGACTGGTGGTCGTCCTTGTGCTCGTGGTCGTGGTTGTGGCTGTGGCCGTCTGCAGGGCCATTCGCATGGCCATTGCTGTCGCCGTTCAGCTTGGGCGTTCCATCGCCTAGTGCTTTGGCCAGCAGCCCGCCATCCACGCCAAAGACCAGCCCCGCGTCCACCCAGCCGCGCCGGCTCTTGACCCACGCCACGTCGTCTGTGTGCAGATCGCCGAGCCGGTCCAGGCACACATCAAAGCGCTGCTCGTTGCACGCCTCCCACTTGTTGAACACAATCAGATCCGTGTACCGCGCCTGCAGCTTGGCCGTGTAGCTCGTGTCCTCGTAGCCCGCCCAGTTCTCAACATCAATCACGCTGACGACGCCGTCGAGCGCAAAACGGCCGCCCGTCGCCCGCGCCAGGCGGTTGACTTCGAGCGCCAGCGTCGCAGGAAAGGCGGACCCGGACGTCTCGACAACAATGCGCGACGGGATGCCTGCACCGTCGCCCTTGTCTGTCGTCAGCTCCTCCAGCGCGTCGCCCAGCTGGCCAACGAGATTGCAGCAGATGCAGCCATTCAGCAGCTCGCGGACACCGGCGACCGCGCTCGACGCGGCAAGCTGGGAGTCGACAGCGAGGTCGCCAAACTCATTCTTGAGCAGAGCCAGGCGGTAGTTGGGGTTGGCGGCGCGCAGCTGGGGGATCAAGTTGAGAATGAGTGTCGTCTTGCCGGACCCGAGGAAGCCCGTGACGATCGTGATAGGAATCGGTGCCATTTTAGTTGGTGAGATGGGAAGGTTCGCAGAGTTTTATTCCTTACTGTCCTCATAGAGCATGGTATTGTCGAACAAACCAAAATGGAGAAAAAGAAAAAGAACATGCAATTTGGAAATACCAAGAAAACAGTTACGATGTGTATCGCAACGGATGGTCCGATCAGACCGACCAAATGGTGGGATGTTGAGATATTTTGTAATGCCCGATCTCACCGCCTTCTAGTTTAGGCAACTGTACCTGACTACAGCGGATTCTGCCGCTCCCGCCGCCCGAGTGTTGGGCTGTTGTCAGTCCAGACGTCCAGACGGCCAGCGTAACAAAATACGACAAACTACGGCAAGAAGTAACTCATACTAGGCATATCTATGAAGAAACGGCAAAGGATCATTCCGTCGACTGCGAGTAAACACAAGTTGGACCTTAACGCTCATATTGTGCTTAATCGGCCATATCAGAAATGACGTCATAATTATGAAACGCTCTTTCCTTTGGCGGACGAAGTTAGGTTCAAGTCCCTGAAAATTGGTGACTATTTAAGACACGAGCAAGCAAATCATGACAATATTCATTTCACAGCGCGTCAAAGAAAACGTGTTTTAATTAAATTAAAGAAACGAATATTGATGAGACCCATTGGGTTCGGTTCAATCCAATAAGTCCAAGACAATGCCTCCGTAAAAAAAGTTAAAGATGGCTCACCAGGGCGATGAGCAAAGAAGCGACCTATGACGAAAGGGTGCAAAGGTCGTGAAGCGAGTGAAAGAAAAAAGGCCCAAAGTAGAAAAACGACAAATTAAATTCCCATAAAAGACAAAAGAAATCAAGTAGCAGCAACTCCTTATGAATACATTATATGAATGACAAAGTCGGCGAAGAATGCCAAGACATTTACAGAAGGAAGGGGCCGACCAGCAGGAACGCAGCGCCCGCCAGGGTCAGGGAGTTCTTGAGCGTAGCCGAGCCAGCCGTCACGACCGCGGTAGCATGGGCCGAAGCGCTGGCCGAAGCGCGCCCACCCGAACCAGTGTTGGTGCCATTGTGCCAGGTGCTGGAGCACTTGCCGTTGATGCAGACGGTGGTGCCGGAGTTGCCGTTGGAGTTGGCGTTCGCATTGGCCGACGATGACGACGAGCCGCCGTTGCCGCCGTTGCCGCCGTTGCCGCCAGCGTTCGCGTTCGCATTGGCATTGGCATTGGCCGAAGCACCAGCAGAAGAGCCGCCGCTGCCACCCTTGCCGCCAGCATTGGCGTTGGCATTGGCGTTGGCGTTGGCCGAAGCACCAGCAGAAGAGCCGCCGCTGCCACCCTTGCCGCCAGCGTTGGCGTTGGCATTAGCCTCAGCGTGGGCTTCGGCAGAAGCAGATGAACCACCGTTACCGCCCGCGTTGGCATTAGCATTGGCGTTGGCATTGGCATTGGCCGAGGCGGATGAGCCGCCGTTACCGCCCGCGTTGGCGTTGGCAGTGGCATGGGCATCGGCCGCGGCCGTGGCGGTCACACCGTTGCCGTAGATGGAGACGCTGCCGGTCTGCTTGCCGGTCTCCACGGGGCAGGTGATAGTCACGGGAGTCTCGTTGCAGACAACAACGGTCTCGACAAAGTTGGGAGGGATGGTGGGCTTGGTCCAGCTACCCGAATCGCCGCAGACGACCTCAATGATGGTGTAGGTGGCATCCCAAACAGTGGTGGCATCAGCAGCCTTGCCACAATGAGTGTAGGTGGTGGTAAAGGTCTCCGTGGTAGTGGCAGTGGTCGTGGTCGTGGTCGGGTAGATGGTGCCGTTGTGCACGGCAGCGCTAGACGAAAGAGCAGACATTTTGAATGTGGCTGGGGGGGGTTGTGTTTTAAAAACAACAAAAAAAATGTGAAGAGAAGCAAAAGTAGACAAGATTAAAAAGAGTGGCCTGAGCTATAGAGCTGCAAATAAACGAGTGACTGAAAGGAGTGTCGAAGAAGATAACTGTCGAAGCGTTGTTGGATGATGAGGAGAAGAACGAAAGCTGGACGAACAACAGGCGAGAGAAGCGGCCTTCATATAGACGTTCAGAAGGACGGGAATCGCGAGATCGTGCCTCGACTAAAACAAGCAACATGCGAGGGAAACGCCGGCGAAAGGGAGGCACGTTTGCTGCAGAATCCGCGTGCCTGGAGCACTGTTCAGTAGGCAGAGAGCAAGAAGTGCGGAGATGCGTCCGTCGTATGATTTTTTGGCATTGGTCCAGGGCGTGAAGAATGGGTGGGAAATTCAGTCACATTCTTAGCTGCATCAGACGATGCCTCTGTCGAATCTACGGCTTGCAACGGGGCCAATCGCATGTGCCACAGCAGAAGCATTCTTGGGCGATCGCTAAGGCCTGCAGAGGCATCCGGCGATGCATAGCAGCGCTGGCCTCGCTGCCATGCGATTGTGGTGTCAGAATAATTAAGAAGAATTAAACCCATGAAAAAGAAATGAATACGAGACTTGGCCGCCTGTTCTTGAGATCTTGCACCCACATAAGGACGATCTGAAAAGGACAAAAGACACAAGGCGCGAAACAGAACACTGGTTCAGACGAATGACAAAGCAAAAGCACAGAGGACTATGGAAACACGCGCCGCCGCTAATGGAAAGTGGTGAGACACTGCATGTTTGTGCCCATTAGTACAGCTGAAGAGTGGCAATGTTGACGATGTTGACGACGTTGACGACGTGGAGTATAGTCAACCTCACAGGCCAGCTTGACGATGTTCGCTTCCAGACCAAGAAGCAACAACATGTCCAAATAAATTGCGTACTTTGCAGCGAGCGAACGACGATCGAATCATCGTCCTCGGAAAGTCTACTTTAACTGGCCATGAGTAGTCTCCTTATGCTTACCTTGACAGCAAGGGAGACCACGATGCACGGGGTGCTCACAACAACACGCAAGCTGGCCAGGAACGTGGCCGAGAGCTGGTCCCGCACCAAAGTGTTAGAAAAGGCCTACTAAAGCCATACGCGAAAAAAGATGAAGCGAGGACGCCAGGGAGATCACACCACCGGGGCTGACCGGCACGCGGCTCGCAAATAAAAAGCAAAAGTACAAAAGCAAACGGGATAGAATGCAGACGGCGCAAATAAACAAAGCAAAAAGAGACGAGGAAAGGGGAGACGCGACTTTGCTTTTCAGGGTCGCTGCAAACGAGCCAAGTGACATCGCGGTCAGGCATGGTACTTCCACCTCCTGTTTGGCCGCCTGGTCGTCTTCGACATGCCGCTCAAGGCGCGCTTATAATTTATCGCTGGAATTTAATCCGACTTAAGCCCGTCGTGTTGCGCTCGTATTAATCGAAGTCCGGCGACGGAATGCATCGCAAATTGGCTGTGAATATGCGGGATACGGGTACGCAAACACGAAGCGCGCAGAACGAGGACATAATCTGAACGTCCTACGCTATTCCGGTCGTGAGAAGACTAGCCAAGGCGCTCAGCGTATGATACGATATGCAAAACTGGCGATGCATGACTGGTTCTGAGATGTATCCGAAATTTCGACATTTGCGCGCTCATGGCCCGAGGGCGAGACGACAAACTTCCTATCGTGGACTTCAATCTGCAGAGGGATCCCTTCGGAGAAGGAATACAAATCTAGCAACGCATCACCGTGGGTTTGGAATTTCGAGATGATGGTCGTGGCGCCTCTGGGTATACTTTTTGATCTGAGGGAGGAAAAAAGAAGAGAAGAAAGCGAGAAAGGTTTTCGGCGGCAGGAATGCAAAGAAATAGTGATTTTGGCAGGAGTGGGGCTCTGCTGCAAAGGCGGTGGAGGAAGGTGCGTGCAAAACAAGGTTCAGCCGCGTTTAGTAGGCACGTGACTCTTATCCACGGCCACAACTGCCAATCGATAAGAGCCAGGCGCCACTGGCGTCCAACATCCAACGTCCAACGTTCTTTCCTCTTCGTCGTATTCCTCCAGCCCATCGCCCCAGCTGCATCCAGACTCGGCAGGGACCTCTCGCCTCCATTCCTCCGGGCCTGGGGTATGCATCTTGCGTTTCTCGCGCCTGTCCACACACAAAACGGCCGGCGCTCGTCTCTCGAAAACACAACTACTCTTTCGCGTCGGAACCGCGTTCTCTGGTCCCCGGGACCAAGGAGCCGTCGTTCCGCGCTCCCCGTCACAAGACACAAACAGTGTCCCACATAGGTCCCTGCAGGAAGTAGGTTCAAGAACCGTTTGAGTTTTGCGGGGAGAGGCTTCCCAGCCATACCAACACACACACACACACACACACACACACACTACGTTACGCCCACAAACACTGGCCATGCCGTCTGGCGAGTACGCGTCTGCGAGCGGCGGCGCATTGCGGCTGAAAGGCGCCAAGGTGGAGAAGCACAAAAGCAAGAAGCACAAGAAGAAAAGAAGCAGCCGGGACAAGGATAAGGAGGGCAACCGGGCACGCCACGCTGAGGACGAGCTGGAGCAGGTGGGCTCTGGCGGTGAGGACCGGGATAGGAGGAAGAAGAAGAGCGAAACGAAGAACAAGGAAGGCAAGGGCGGCAGTGACGACGAAGACTACGACGACGACTATGACGACCTGAAAAACGACCCGTATGCGCGCATGACAACTGCAGAGCGCCGGTTTGCCGAAGCACAAGACAAAAAGGTAAGCCAGTCGCCAGTGCGCATGCGAGGCTAGTGTTTGGTAACCGAAGTTGCGATCGTCTCTTTCCTCTGCTAACCATTAGATCCGTGATTTGATGCACGCATCGCCCGAGGAGGCGCGCGCCGCACGCCCTGAGCTATTCAAGTCCCACAAGGAGCGGCTCGCGGATCTCAACAATTACCTATCACGCCTTAGCGAACACAACGACATGCCCAAGATTGGCCCGGGGTAGAGGGAAAGAAGATGTCAGGTTGTAGAGCCAAACGATCGGCGCAGTGGAAGGACGGGAACAAGGGTCTGTTGGAATTTGACAAGAAAAAACAGATGGGAGATCACAACAAAAAGGTGATGCTGGTAAATCCATTTTGTTAGGCGTCCATTGGTTTGTTGATATAATTTCTTATTTTGGCGTACATGGTATACCGCGGTTTCGAAGGTGAGGCGTCGTGCTTTTTTGGCTTTTTAAAATATACATTGATTTATAGCAATTAAAGATTATGGCTTTTTTGGTCTTTTTATGACTGGGGTGACTGGTTCGATTTCTTTTGATTTTTGGCATTTTACCTATTCCAGGGCTTTCCATATATATTTTTTATATGACTTGCATTTTTGTTCGTTCCGTTTCTGTCTTTTTTAAAAAAATAAAAAAAATAAAAAAAAAATAAAAACATGTTATCATTAAGATTTTTAAAACGATCCCTCACGCTGCCATTTTATTTATTTTATTTATCCACCCCGGATTTACAAGAACATTTATTAACTTTAAACTTTAAATATTTCTTTTGTGGGCACATCCTCAATAACGAAGGCCATGGACAGTAAACATTGTATCATATCAGTTTCGGTACATAAAATCAATATCGATGTTTTTACCCGTCTAGTTGCAATGAACGCCGCCGTATGTTGTCTTCCCAGAGACATTTGCCTCTCAGATCTCCATAGGAAAAGATCTACAGTAACAAGCTCCGAGGCCAGGCACCGCCATCCCTTTCGTCGTTGGACAACCAATATATCCATTCCGACCCATCCGATCCCGAAGCAAGGAGCATAGTCTCGCGCGTTTTGACATTGCGTGTTTTTCTGTACTCTTTATTTCGGAACTGTCGACGAAGGAGAAGAGCAATGCTAAAATGGATACCGTTAAGTTAGCAGCTTCCTCACCCACGAGTCTTAGACTTTTGTTGCTGCGTGCCAGAGGGGTTTCTTCAGACATTGTGGAAGAGAGTATTTAATTTTAACACACTGCAGAAAATCATGATTGTCCGCCGTGCCAGAGGTACTCTTCGTCCGATTGTATTCTACAAATTCAAGTGCAAGCCTCGAAGGTCGCTGTACAGCTTGACTGTCAGGCATGTGTGGCACATTTTCGCCCACGAATTAGCTTCTAGTCTCCACGGCCCGTGGTTCGTTGGACTTTGAACGCGTTGGGTACTTTTCAAGAACGCGTCGAGTATCTTTTGAACTGGTTATTAAACTGTAGTATTCTATTCTCCGTGTTTTGTATGTCCTGCGACCTATGTAGTACTCGTGAATCCAGAGACCTAAAGAGGCTATTCTCGATAGGAATAAAAAAGCAAACTCAAGTCCAATGAAACAATGATAAACGCCCCGTCCATGCAAAGGAATGTGGTAATGTGGTGCAAAACAGGCTCAAGGAAAGTAAACAGTTTGGGCTGACGACAATGATGCAAAAGGAGTGACAAGGAGGGGGAATCAAAAGAGAGAGACAGAGAGCAGTAGCCAATGATGTAAGGAAACGACAAATTAGAAAAATGAAAAAAGAGAATTTGAGAGCGGGAGGATCATGATTTAAAAGGCCATAAAGGGCAGCGAGCAGACTTGAGCACAGTGCATCTGACGCGCCGGAGGAGGAAAGGATGACAGAAGGGTGCAGAAACGCAATACCCAAACCGCCCAGTGAACCAAAATCAGGATGACCACAGGTAAGGGCAGTGACAGGCCGCTGTTTGTGGAGTAGGAATCGAGGTCTTCTGCCAGATCTGCACCGTGTCACTTCCTGCAGGTGCCGATTTGATCCCCTTGTCATTTCATCCCCAACGCTGGTTCGTCTGCGATGCTTAGATTAGCATGGCACCGACAAGGACACCGGCGACAGCCTCAGCGAAGCGGGCTTTGTTACCGGCCCCCATGGGCGCGGCGGCACCCGTTTGCAGGGTGCCCGAGTTCGTGGGAGAGCCGGCAGAGTTGGTGGGTCCGGCACCGACAACGGATGTGGCTGTCACGACGGTGGGCGTGCCGTTGATGGTCGACGTAAAGACGTTTGTGACCCTCCGGCCGGTGGTGGTCGTACCCGACGAGCTCGACTTGGACGTGGTGTGCGAGGACGTCGACGAGGCCGATGTGGGTGAGTTCATGGACGTCGACGACGGCAGGGACGTCGTACTGCCGCTCCTGGTCGAGGTCGAGGAGGGCGTGGAGGAGATGGGTGAGGTGCTGGACGTCGAGCTGTTCAGGTCGCGCCGGGCCAGCTGGACAATGGATGTTGCCAGGGCGGCGTTCTGACGGTGGACAGCCTCAAGGGCGTGCTTTTCCGAGGGGTAGACGCCATGCTTGTAGGTGTTCGGCAGGTACTCGTGCAGCAGGTCGTGTAGGGCCTCGGGAGAGACGGCCTCGAGCAGGCGGGAGAAGCTGCTGCCGGTAGGGGCGGCGCCGTCGGCGACAACAACCGCAGCGCCGTTCCGGTCAGCACCGCCAACGTTGTGGGCACCGCTGTGCTTGCTGCAGGGGCGGGCGTAACGAATAGTGCCGATAGCGAGGGAGCCGAGGCCGAAGACGGCGATGCAACAGGCCACGACGAAGGCGAGGGTCACGGTGAAGTGGACGACCTTCTTGGCCTTGGCCACACGGCGTCTGCAGGCATGCGAACATTTGGACTTCCGGCTATCGGCGGCGATGGTGGTCGTCGTCGTCTCGGCGGCGTGGGCAAGCAGCCGCTTCTCGTCCTCTGCTGTGGGATAGGAGGCCATTGTGGATGTGGTGATGTCGAAGAAGTGTGGTGAGGTGAATGATAGGAAAGAGTTGAAAAAGGAAGAACGGAAAAGAGAAGACAGCAGTATAGAATATGTGGTCGAGAGCCCAGTGGGAGTCAGCCTCGTTTTGTTGACCTAAAAAAAGCAGGCAACACAGATGTGTGTGTGGGGGTCGTTGGCACACGGAGTACACGTTCCAGAGACACCAAGTACGGAGTCACGACAACGCAGTGTCACTGTCGTCGGGACAAAGAGGAAACGGTGGCGCCAGAAGCTGCACCTCTCAGTGGTTGCTGTCTCGCTTCTCCGACTTGTGGACGGGTGGAAAAGCAAGTGGCTGGCACAACGAATTTCTCGTATTTGGCTCTGAGGCAGACACGGAGCGTCAGGAAGGGGCGTATGCTAGGTAACAAAGAAGAAACGAAGGTTGCCAGGGTCTAACGTAAACAGTGAAAGAATTTTAAAGAGGAAAAGAAGACAAAGCGAGAGGATTGAGAAGCATCGAGGCAAAAATAGTAACAAAACAAAAGAACGCAGAGAGAACCAGAACGAGGTTTTTGCTGGGATCGCGGAATATGGCATTCGAAGGGGAGATTGGAAGGAGGTCGGGACATGAGTACGCCGTAGTGGCCTTGCCGTTTTGGCCGGGCCAGCCGAAAAGGGAGAGAGCGATTGGCGACTGAGCTGCCAAAAGGTACAAGTCAGGGGCAGGCCCAATGCCAGCCAAATGGAGACACCCACGCGAAAATTCGCAAACACAAACTGAAGAGGGAAGGCGCCACCGAAACAAAAGTCGGCCATTTTTTGGAAACGGCCAGACGGCGAACCAAAGAGCACTCTCCACTTAGCGCCGTGGCAGTCTTCTGCTACAACCCACCGTAATGCACTTTCTCAGCTCTCCATGCCCGTCTTGGCTGGTGGATAGGGTGGTCCGCCTGGGCATCCTGGACGTGGTCCAGGCGGTGCCTAGGGCGATATTCTCGATCCTTCTTCCCCTGGTCGCCTCGCGGCTTCCTAAAGCGAAGGGTAGGGCCAAACGAACAAGGCAGGAGGGCACAGGGCGTGTCAGTCCCTGTCCTACGTTGGGCGGTGCTTCTTTTAGGAGTAGAGTGGTTGTTTGTGACAAAAAGGAGGTTGAAACACGTAAGATACTTTGCAGGATACGAACTGTCTGGATACGACGACAACTTACGAAGTACGACACAGTGAGGACAACAATGCGTGGCAGGAGCATGGGCGACGCCGTCGGTTGGTTGCATGTTTTGCGAGTGCTCTTCGGTCTCCCGCCTGCTTCCTCTCATGTTGGTGACCTCGTATCGGACGAGGCAACCCAGTTTTCGTGCCTTTGGGGCCTTTTTCGGCAGTAACGCCAAGGCCAATGTGGCCGGGCTGCGTCAGCGTTCGGTGTTGGAGCCCAGCCAGCCAGCCAAGCTAGGCGGACCCAGAAGGCAGGCCCAGAACGGGGCATGCAGGACCCCCACCGCATATGCAGGTAAGTCGACGCCCGGGCGTTTCTTGACAAAAGGACCTCTCAAGGTTGGTGACGTGTTTGGCGCTTTCGTTGACATGTCAAAACAAAAAGAGCCCGAGTTGACCGCCTCTCTTCGTTCTTCACGCGATACCATCCAGGACGGCATCTGGCTATGCGGTTTGCTCTGCATTTCGGTTTTGGTGCCTCGTCCCACCTTACTTTGATGGACTCGGCCTGGCTCACGATGGGCGGACAAACGCACAGGCGTCATGACGTTTGACAATGCCGGATTTGCGGTTGGCCCCAGCAGGTGTTGTGTATTTGGGTCAGCCCGAGCTGGGGGATGAACGCGAGACGCAAAAGCCTGCAAAGCTTGGTGTTTCTCCATAACCTAAGCTTACCAGACCGCAGCCACTGCTGAAGTGAGCAACATGTTTTGCTGGCCGACGTTTGTCGGCGTTCCGTCCTGAACCAACGGCAGTCGAGATCTGTGGAAATGGTGGTGAATGTTGACACTGTTTGGTGACGGGACACAATGTAGCGTCCATACAGCTTTGTACATTGGAGCATTGGAGATGGTGAGATGCGGATCTGGGGTTGTTCGGCTCCTGGCTGTGCAGGGCGAGTAATTAAGTGCAGTCGGTAAGTGGAAAAGGTTCATTGCAAGGGGTGTTTATTTTTGGAATACCGGTTTAAGTGTTATGGTGTAGATCGCCGAGATCGCCGCTTATCGATGGAGCATGACCCGAGATATGTTGTCTTTAAGATATTGCAAGACGATGATTTTGTAACAGCGGTCTGTTTGGATATTATTTGTTTTATGTTCGGCAGCTTTGCCTTGGGAATATAGAGAAAAATAAATAAATAAATACTTTTTTTTTCAATCTTCCTTTTTACACGTTTTTTTTTCTTCTTTGATAAAAAAATAAAAATAAAATAAAATAAAAATAATAAAAATAATAAAACAGAAGAAACGAGTATTCTCATTTTAAACCATAGAATAAAGTTCAAAAATAGTGTGCGTATAGATTTGTCTGGCCACGTTTATGCATCCACCGCAGACTACAAGATATCAACTTCTTCCAATAATTGTTTGTGTCATCAACCCAACAAAGCCGCAGGACGACTGCTCCACTTGCCGCAGCTCGGTTACATATCAAACTCTCTTCGACATGGCCTTATTTTCCTATCGGATATTTAATGCTTTATTCGACGTATATTGTCGTCTAGTCCAGATACATCTGCCAAGCGACAACGGGGTTAGAGATGAGTCTGTGTCGACCAAAAAGTAAGGTTTGAGACTCGCAGAGATGAGACGCATCACCTGATATTATCGACGTGCATCTTGAAAGTCGGCCGCTCTCTATATCCCTTGACAGGGAGAGCATCAAACAACACCGTGTCGTCAAAATGAGGAAATCGCATTATTAGGTGTCAGATACAGCACCAATAGCGCTGTTAACCGCGCTAAAGTCGCGCAGCTCCCAATCTAGCCGCGTCGCTAGCCAATGGCTAGCCCAATAATGTCGATAAATGTGGCCAAATCACAAGCCAAGCGCACCTTCCCTAAGTCGTACAGTGCGACCATTCTGTCGCGCCTGCCATTGTGGGCCACCAACAACTTACGACGAAAACACATTTGTGGACATCACCAGCCTCGAGCCTCTCTTTCATGTGATTTGTCCTCCACCAAGCCGCATCGCACGACATCAATGACGGGCCGACCAGCTCACCTGTGGCACCTCTGTCACATTTAGCACCTCACCCTCTTGATGCGTATCCGATATTTTCGACGGCCAGACCTCGAGCCATGTAACTGCGCACGACCTCTCGTCATCTGGATTTTGCCGTCCCAACGGCCCGACCGTCTTCGGCCTCCTTCGGCTCGAAACATCGACACATCGATAACACACCGCGGCTGTCCCTGGAAGACGCCGCGACTGTGACAAAAAACATCATGACGGCCACCGACGGCGGCGACAATGCGTCGGACAGCTCCGTATCGAACGGATTCGGCAGCATGGGCGGCGATGGCGGCCGAAACGAGACGATAGAAACCACGGCCTTGATGGCATCAACAATGTCGAAAGCACCGATGGGCGAGCCACCAATACGAGATCCAGGCGATGACGACGGCCCCCCAATACCACATGCTGTGAGCGGACTGCGGCTGCTGTCCCGCTCGCCGCACCCCTACCACCACCGCAACAGCGACCTCCTCCACCCAGCCGACCGCATCGAAGTGCATGCGCACGCAACACAAACAAACAACACACACGACACGCTCGACACACTTCACGCAGCTGGTGCAGGTGACACATCGCACCCGGCCCATGCTGCTGGGGCCATCCCGTCCCCTGCATCCGCACTGTCGCTGGCGTCGTTTGCGTCCGGGTTTGGCTTCTTCAAAGACTCGTCGCCCGCTAGCGACAGCGGCACCGAGGCCGACGACGAGCACTTTCTCAAAGGTCTGCCCGCGCCGCGATCGAAGCCACACAAGGGCCTGCGCGGAATGAACGAGGTGCTGTCGGGCATGTCGACACCGCTGCTGCCCGTGCCGCCACATAGTTTCGGTAGCGGTGGTGGTGGTAATGTTGGCGGTGCCCACGAAAGCGAACAGCATCGTCGATCACGGAGTGGGAGGAAAAGGACAGGGAGGCTGGAGCAGCGCGACAACGGCAGCGGCGCGGACACGGATGCCGGCGATAGTGTGGCCGGCAGCGTCTACAGCTTTGTGGGGGACGACGCGCAGGACAAACAGCTTGATAGAGCTGCCACAGCTGGCCGCGACGTCAACGCTCACGGCGAAGGACGGCGTCCACAGGGCCACGCGTCCATATCCCCGCAGACGCTCTTCCAGAAGCTGAAGCGCGATGCCGTCGCTGCATCTGCCGCTCTCGACAGTCGCGACAAGGATCGTCGTCAGGGCAGGGGCAGCGCCGAGCGCAGCCGCCGCCGCCGCGAGATCGTCCGCCGGTCCACCGAACTGCTGCTGCTCGTCTCGTTGGCCGCCCTGCTCTTCTCGAACCCGGACGTGCGTCCCTTGCTCCTTCACTGGCGCTACGAGCTGCAGGCCGTGACGGCTGTCATCGGCGGCCTGCTCTTGCTCTACCCATTGCGTCTCGTCCTCTGGCTGCGCCACTACGAAACGCGTGGCAGAGGTGACAATGCCGAGGAGCAACCCCCGAGCACCCCTCTTCGCCAGCTCATCGCCATCCCGGCCTCTTTCGACCCGGCCCCTCTCTTCTACCCGCTGACCATTCCCGTTTTTGTCTCCTTTTTGCTCGCCACGCCGACTTTGCACGCGGCTCCCCTCCTCAACCTCGTCTTGAGCATCTGCACGCTGCCCAGGCCTCTTATTCCCTTCTCGCTGTCCACGGAGCTCTGCAGCCCGATCCACTGGACCCTCTCTGTCGTCCCACTTACGGTTGCTGAGGCTCTGCCCTCGTCCTTCAAGGGACGCGCTTTGCATTCCACCATTCAAACGCCCGTCGCGCCACTCTCGCCCGACCTGGCCACCCTCATCTACCCGTTGCACCAGACCTTGTGCTGGCTGCTGCACGACTTGACGACGACCAGCCTGCTCCCCGCCGAGCTACAGCTGCTGTCCGTCGCCCTCATCAACCTGCTCTTCCTGGCTACCTCGCCCCAGGCCGTCATTCTGCAGGCTCTCCTCTGGGCCGGCGGTGTCGGCATCCTCGTACTCGGCGGTGGCGTTGTCCGTCGCGGCATTCTCCTTGCCCGCATCCCTCGCTGGCGCTTTCGAAGGGACGATCCCAGCGCCCAAAAAACCGACAGCCTTTGGTGGCTGCTGTCGCCTGCCGCTGTCGTGAGCCGTGTCTGGGCCGAGCTCAAGTCGCTGCGGCGCGCCCGAATCGAGTTGATGTATGGTCCAGGCCCGGGCGGCGCGGACTTCCGGGGCAACAGCTTCGGCGACTCGGACGACTCAACCGACAATGGCAACCACTCGCCGCCGCGGGATGGTGGTGTCGTGGACGCAGCCGCATGGAAGACTATGTCGCACAAGATGCCCAAGATGCACAACACGCAAAAGACTGTGAAGCGTTCTGCGACCGTGGTGGCTGCCAGATTGACCACCGCTCCTCTCGATGCGACCGCCGAAGGTGCCAACGCTGGCGGCAGACCCCGTCGACACTCCACTACACAGACCGTCACACATACGCCCTCTGGCCGCCGCAAGCGCGCCACCTCGCCCACCATCCGTGCCTTCTTCTCCCTCACGCACGAACAGGCCGGCCGTCGCAAGTGGCTCTATGCCGGCTTCCTCTACGCCTGCATCGCCTTTGTCATCCTGGCCGGCATCCGTCCCTATGTCGCGGCATTTGCGCTGCACGGCCGTGACCCCTTTGGCTGGGCGCTGGGCTACCTGTTTGGCGACATCGACTGGTTCCGTCTCGAAGTCGTCAAGGCCAACCTCGAGGGCTGGGTGTGTTTGCCGCCGCGCACGGTGTCGTCCATGTCCTCGGCCCCCTGTCCCTCGTGTGCCGCCGGCTGGGTCGAGCACATCCGCCAGGCCTGGCTCGGCGCCGCCACCACCCGTCTTCTGCTGGCGGCCTACTGGTGCATCGTCATCGTCTTTGGCCTTGCCGTCGTCTTTACCCTGTCGCCCGTCTACGAGGTCGACACCCGCCGCAAGGTCTTTCACTTTATGATGGTCGCCATGCTCTTGCCCGCCGCCTTTGTCGACCCGGCCTACGCCGCCCTCGCCCTCTCTCTCGTCCTGGCTGTGTTTTTGCTGCTCGACCTCGTGCGCGCCAGCCAACTGCCACCCCTGTCGCGGCCCATTGCCACCTTCTTGACGCCCTACGTCGACGGCCGCGACCTGCGCGGCCCAGTCGTCATTTCCCACATCTTTCTACTCATTGGCTGTGCCATCCCGCTGTGGCTGTCCATGGCTTCGTTGCCGCGGATGCCGACGACTCCAGACACGCCCGGAACATCTGGAACATCTGGAACATCTGGAACATCGGGAACATCGGGAACATCGGGAACATTTGGTATACCCACCGACGGCTGGAACGTCCCCACGCGTGATGTCAGCATGGTTTCCGGCATCATCTGTGTCGGTCTGGGCGACGCCGCCGCGTCCCTGATTGGCCGTCGCTGGGGCCGCCGCAAGTGGCTCTGGGGCGGCGGCAAGAGTCTCGAGGGCAGCGCCGCGTTTGCCCTGGCGGTCTTTGCGGGCCTGATGCTGGCGAGTTTGTGGCTGCGCGTGGGCGGATGGGCAGCAACGGGGGAGGCCCTGGCGCCTGTGAGCGTGAGTGCAGCGAGCGTGGGAACAGACGCGACAGGTGCGAGCGCAGCGAGCACAAAAGGCGTCGTCCACACTCTCAGGGCCGCGCTCCCTCCCTCCCTCCAGCGCGTCGTGTCGTGGATCGGGTGCAAGGCAGCACAGTCGGTCGCGCCCCGTGCCGCCGTGTGCGCCTCCGTGGCCAGCTTGACCGAGGCCGTGCTGACGGGTGGCAACGACAATGTTGTCGTGCCCGTCATCTTATGGACATGTGTCAAGAGTTTTGGCTTATAATGTGGTGTACACAAACCTTTCTGTACGCGTCTATGTGCAACGATACCCTTTCAACATGTTTTTAAAAGTAAACAGATACACAATATCCATAGATATGCAGTAATTAGCAGCAGTAATACCCTGCGTCTTTTTCACTCATTTGTTATGCTCTATTCTATGGCGACTGATATGAGAGTAACATGAATCCGCAATGATAAACGCCGATGTTTGCTATGATGAACTCCAGTATCATGAATGTTGTCCCCGGTGAAACAAGTCGGCAGGTATACCTTTTCCCGGTCTCACGAGGCAAGGTCTTCCAAAAGCGCCTCTAGCTCGTCGCGCCGGAATGGCAGGCTTAGCATTTCTGTACCAAATGCATCTTTTCGGCTCAACACCATTTGATGGTCGTGGAATCTAACGAGTAGAGAGTTAGTACGACCGAACCGAAAAAAAAAAGAATGAAAAAAAAAGGCAGAAAACGTACTCCTTCAGCAGCGTCCGGAAGGCCATCTCGGAACTACAGATGAATTCTTCGACCGCCTTGTTGTACAGCATGCGGTACTCAAGCGCTACCGACTCGCCGGCACCGTCGTCGTGGTCACCTCCGTCGTTGTCACCGTATTCGTCGTCCTCGTCGTCGTAGCCGAAGCCACCGGCGCCACCACTACCACCGCCCTTTTGTCCCTCGTCGGCCGCCAGCACCTCGCCCACCAGCAGCTGGAAGAGCGTCCGCGCATTCTCTGGTAGACTCCGTAACACAAACGCTGCGCCGTCCTTGCCGCCCACGCGCCGCATGCGCCGCCCTAGCAACGCGTGCACCTCGTCCACCGTGTCCAGCCCTGCCAGCGGCCGGAACGTCGTCGCGTCGTGGAACACAAAGTTCTGCTGGCTGCGCGCGGCGCCGTCCCACAGCAGCGGGAACCCGGGCGTGTCGGCTGCGCACAGCAGGCTGATGCTGCGGTGGGCGGCCAGCCGCGCGAGCGTTGCCTGGGCAGCCGGGCGGCGGAGGCTGGGGCTGTCGATGCCGCTGATGATGAGGGTGACCCGGAAGGCGCTCTCGGCCTTGCCAGCCTTATCCAGGAGAGACATTACAATGCGTTCCGCGGCAGCGAGCCCGGAGGGCAACTTTGGTGCTGCTGTATGTGCGGCGTCATTCCCATTTGTGGACGCCACGCCGCCGGCGGCGGCGGCCACGACAAGCATAATGTCCCGCAGCGTGGAGGCGGCCGCGGACGCGGTCATACCCATGCTACCTCCTGTGGTCGAGGGCGCAGCGGCTGCCGCGGCCGCCGTGGCCGCCGCGCCGGCTGTGTTTGTGTTCACCATGACAATTTTGTGGGCGTCGTGGTCGCGGATGCCCTTGTGCAGCGCTCTTGCAAATGCGCGGAGTACGCGCTGCTTCGAGCCGTACCCGTACAAACACACACTAAACCCTTGCGAGAGCTCAAACGCCCACTGTGCAAACGACTGCGAATGCAGCTCTTCGAGGTAGCCGATTTGCTTTTCGTGGCGGTTGACAATGTTGTCCGTGCCGCCGTCGCGCAGTCGAAAATACTCGTCGTATGTCAGAAGACGCAGCGCAGCCAGTGTGTTGTTGGACGTCTTGATGCCGGCACCGGCGCGGTTCTGGAAGAAGTAGTGCTCGTGGGCCGGCAGGTCGCGCGGTGGCGTGGCGTCTCGTGCTGCAGCCGAAGAGGTGGACGGACCGGTATCCGTTTTGCGCGGCCGGCCACGACCCCGCTTGGCAGGTTGTCCATTAGCACCTGGAACAGCAGGAGCCGCCTTTGCGGGGGTTGCAGCGCCCTTGGCCTTTGGTGGTCTGCCGCGTTTTCTCGGCGTTGGGGCGTCAAGGGATGCCTCGTGGGCTTCGAGAACGGCAGGGGGTTCCTGTCCTAGCTCGAAAGCAGCCGGTTCTGCGGCAGCCTCTGGATCCTCGTCGTCTTCAACGTCTTCACCGTCTTCACCATCTTCGTCGTCTGCATCAAGGATGGCGTCATTTAGAGCTGCTTCGTCCTCATCATCGTCGTCAGCCCCAGCCACCATGCGGTCAATAAGCGCACGTGTGCTCTTCTTTCGTGCCGACCGGTCTGCCAGTGTTCGCCGCGTGTTTGGAGTCTGGGCAACACTGCCACGAGCTGCCTTGGTTGGCGTCGATTTGGTCGGCGTCGCAAACGCGTCGCCTGTACGGCGCCGTTTGCTCGTGGGAGTCTGCTCGACAGAGCGGCCGGGCGAATCGAAACGGTCGGCCAAAGCGTGCCTTGGGTGGCCGTCCACGCTTCCTTGGCGTCTCGACGGGTCCTGCCACGGGCGGCTCAGCCTCTATGGCAGAGTCCAATGCTGTCTCTGCAGCCACAGACAGAGAACGCGCGGGGCCATCGCCCGAGTCCGTCCCTTCGCCGTCATCTCCATGGCCATTCGCCTGTATGCCTTCTTCGCCACGGTCGTCGATTTCTTCGTCCAAGTTTGTTGTGACGAGAGGCTCGGCAGATGTGGCTTTCCGCTTCCGACTCGATCGACTGCCATTGGGCTTGTGGGCAGTTGCCACGGATAGGTAACGTTCGTCGGTCTTGCGCGAGTTTTCAAAGACGTCGCGTCCATCATCGCCCGGCACATCGTATACGCTGCCGCTGGCGGTGCCGTTCGTTCTCCGAGCTGCAGTCGTAGATCGTTTCCTCGTCGGCGTGTTCAGCTGCTCGGCGACGCTTGTGTCGCTGGGCGGCGACACCTGTCGTCGATCGAGACGAGTGGCAGATGGGGAGGAGGTCGGCACGGTGGTTGCCTCAGCCACGCCGCCGCGGTTACTATTCCGTGGTGTGGTCGTGCGCGCCATTGGTGCGGAGGGATGGCGACAGCCTGCGTAGAAAGAGGCGTTTATTGCATGCTGTGTTGTGTCATGGGAAGAAAGAAGTTTGAGAAGAAAGGTCGAACGCAAAAGAGCACGGAGCAAAACAATGCGATAATGCCAGTCGCACCTTCCACAGCGCGCGTCCGAGTCGCGATTCGCTGGCTGGCTCTTTTGCCCCTTCCCATTAACTCGTTACTGGACCCACTTTACCTGCCGCTCCGCTCCTTCCAACCAAATGTCAATGCGCCAACAGCTCTTTCCAGCTTCAGCGCACTAAGAGCTCTTAGAAAGGCAGGTGCAAAAGACAACGCAGATTCGAACCTCCTCGGTTGATGTTGAAGTTGTCGATATCGACTCTGTAGAGCTTTCCAAGCATACGCCGTACGCCTGGATAAAAGCAGAAGATAACTACCGACGCTCCTCAAAATGAATCTCAACTTGTCGGCCTCCGTCAACGTCTTCCGTCTGCTGGCGAGGCCGGCGTTGTGCCTGCCTCATGGCGTGGTGGCGACATTCAACGACATTCCCATTCCGCTCGACAGTGCGTTTGTAGCTCGGACGGGCGGCCGCAAGCCCGAGATCAAGGCCGTCGTGCTCGACAAGGACGACTGCTTTGCCTTTCCCGAGAGCAGCGAGGTGTATCCGGCATATGAGGTGAGGCTGGGCGGGGTATATCGGGAGAACAAAGGCGAAGAGAGGACAACGTCACAACTGACTCGTGGCTCGGGCCTTTCTGGCAGCAACACTTTAAGAAACTGCGCGAGGCGTACCCCGGCCGGAAGCTTCTCATCGTGTCTAACACGGCGGGCGCACTGAGCCACGACAAGGACCGCAGTCTGCTGGCGACCGTGGAGGCGAGCACAGGCGTCGCGGTGCTGCCCCATGCGACCAAGAAGCCCGGCTGTGGCGACGAGATCATGGCCTACTTTCGTGCGCACCCAGAAACAGGCGTGACAGCACCCAACCAGATTGCCGTCGTCGGCGACCGGCTGACAACGGATATGATGCTGGCCAACACAATGGGCGGTTGGGGATTGTGGGTGCGTGAGGGTGTCGTGGCGCCTCGGAAGAAGAGTGTGGTAAGTAAAATCCAAGGTGGGATGAAATGTAAAGACGTAAGAGGGGCAGGAGGGTATGCTTTGGTGTTGTCGTTGTCTTGTCACTATGTTGTCACTAACAACGTAGTTTGCTCGCTTGGAACGACGGCTCGCCGACTCACTGACAGCGCGCGGTTACGAAGCACCACTGCCATCAAGTCCATTTGAATAATGCTGACTATGTGGCTGCTGGACATTGAGCTTTCCACCATTGAAGAATCATGGAGGAAAGTCTATTGAAAAGGCACTCCGAAGATGCTCCCGTCTTGGCTGATTTCAGCGTCACTTGCTGTCACTTTGCTCTCACTTTCACGTCAAGAAGCTAGACAGCCCACACAGTCGGGGCATCGACTTGGCTTCGGACGGAAGAATATGTGGTCATGAGGACGTTGCAGGACGATAAAGTTGGCCAAGAATCGTCCTTGTGCGAGAATATGCAACCAAATTCCTCGCTCATGGTCGTTCCCTCCTTTTTGAAGCTCACTTTGCTGCTTCCTAGATTGCCATAAATATTCTCTCAAATATCGTGACAGCTCCTTTTCTCAACATCATCTTCGCCAGCCTTTGTCCTCTCCACGTCTTTCGTCGCTTTCTTTTCATCATCACAACGCCACGTTTCAACATACTTAACAATCGTCCAACAGCTCACGACTCGAAGCTCGTCATATCTCGATCACCGACCGTCCTTCGTCATCCAGGCATCTTGGTGCGCGATGCTGAGCACTTTCTTTTGACCTTCTTCTTTTCTCTTTCGCCATCTCTGTACTCTCATCGTTTTGTAAACTGGTGTATTTATTACTGTACCATCCTCGCTTCTCTTCCGCCCTCATTCTTTGTGCCTTTGTCTGCATACCTGTCTCTCCACTTCCTTCTGTCTGTGCATTTGACTGCCACTTCTATTCTATTTTGTCAAGCATTTTGACACGCACTCCTGCGGGTTTGCCAACGTACTTCCTGGGCACTTCCTGGCTTTCTTTCCCACTTCACAGTTACGACAACAAGGCACTCTTCCGCAGCCATGGGAGGTAAGGTCTGGTCTGAGGAGGAAGAACGAGTGTTCTGGACCGAGATCATTCCATCCTCCAAGAAGCGGCAGCTCTATTCTCGCCCCAGTCGCGAGCCTCACGGCTGGGAGTCTCTTCGGAAGGTGATGCAGGACAGAATGGGGAGCCTGGCGCGGCGCACCTATACGGCCCTCATGTTGTGTGAGATTTCCTCTTTCTCCATCGCTCATCACATTTCTTTCTGCTTTTCAGGCCTACTAACGATTCTTAAGACGAGCATTTCTTCCAAAACTGTGTTCTCGAGCGGTTCTCGCCCAATGCTGCCCGCTTTGTGCGGTCGTACATTGCAGACGAACGTATGCTTCTTCCATCTGCCGCCTTCTATATGACCCTGCTATTCTTCTTCTTTTTCCTCATTATCGAAGACAGCTTCGATATGCCTCTCAATCTGATCCCAATCTGAAGGAGGCCCATGACTAATCGTTTCCTCTAGGCCTCACAACTGGCCACGCGCCGATTCAACGCAGCCGTACTGCCCAAAACTCTGTGCGGCGTGGTATTCTGGTCGGTGACTCAGTTCGCCTTCCGTCGAACCGCGCGCGTTTTGCTGAGCTCCGCCTTGCAGCCAGTGCTGACACAGTGACGCAACCATTCAGACAGCACCGCAGCGCATACTACGATACGGGCTCGGCTCACCAGAGGACGACCACCCTGTCTGGGCTGGGCTACACGGCAACAAAGACTGCCAATGGCGGTACCAATGACGGAGCAGACGCGGCAGATGCTGCAGGCGTCGGTAGATTTGACATCGGCTTGGCTGCTGCGCCGAGAGATACTTCCGCCGCACTGACGCTCCCCGCGCTCTCTTCGCTCGGACTCCCCGGCCACTTCGCCCAAGATCCACTCGTATTCACAATGCCGTCCTTGTCGGCGATCATGTCTCTTCCGCTCCTTCAGCCGCCAGCTTTCTCTAGCATGCCGCCTCCGACTCATTCAACAGAGCCTCTTCGACTGACTCATGTGCCTCTCCCCGACAACATCCAGGAGATGCAACGGCAAGGTGGCCCGAAGCCCTTGCCGGCTCAGAGCTACGTTGACGGTTTGTTATTTCCTCAGCAGCGGAAAGACCAACGCCAAGACCGACAGCAGGACCAGGGCCGGCAGGAGCTGAGTCTCGAGCCAAGTGTGACACGATCTGCGATGGCGGACGTTGGTCCGGTGGGTGGCGGTTTGTTGTCGGTCCGTGACCTGCTGCTGCCCGTGTCGGCGCCGATGCAGGTGGCAATGTCTTCAGAACCAAGGTCCACTTCCCCCACGATCACCCCATCCGCCATGGATGAACAGCTGTCCGCTGCAAATGACTGGCAGTCTGCCATCGACGAAATTAAGGAAGACGAAGAGGCAGACAGCATGTTTGTCAGCCAATGGCCCCAAGAGTAGGACATGGTAACCCCCCCCTCCCCCCCCCCCCTCCCACACCATGTCTTTTCTACGCTGTCCCCGATCTCTTTGCACATTTATTGTTTTGTCCTTTCGTTATTAGTTTTACTGGTGAGTTTTCTACCTTTTTGCAAACACCTCGGCAGGAATCATGACCGGCGTCGTCGAGAAGCATGGACTTCTGATACTGCTTTTCACTTTTGGGATAATTGTTTTGAGCATTGGTGCACGGTGATTTGGCTTGGGAGCAGGGATAGGATGCATTGGCAAGGAAAGCACTCTAACTTCACGGCGCCTTGAAGGATTGAACGATTTCGATATCTATTTGGTTTTTGGTTTTGTGTTGCGTCGACTTAAGTCCTTTTGTTGAACATCTCTCCTAACTCCTTGTCTTTTGCGATGTCTTACCAAATGAAATTATTTCTTACCTTTCTTGTGCTTGCAGTGTTGAGTGTCAGTGTTGATGGATTACCGTTATTCTACCAAGTGTCGTTGAGAAAACTGGAGCAAGAGGGTCTGGGAGTGGCCCTGATGTCATACATAAATTGGACACGGGAATCGTTGCACCTTTTATATTAGTCGCGGTTGCAGGCCCCACATTTTACATCACACCGAACGACATTGACTACTGGACAACTCACGGATCAACCTTCCATCTTCAATTCACTTTTCAGTTGACTCTTCAGCTGTCAAAGTATATGGCCACATTCCCCGCTTCGACCTTGCTACAGAACAAAACAAATCGCAGGCCAGAACATGCCCGCCGTATTTGAGATCCCCGTCTTCTCGGCGGCAGCGGCCAAAGTCGCCGTCGAACACGGCGCCACGCGCCTCGAAGTCAACCGCACAGGCTCCTATGCTGCTGGCGGACTCACACCGACACGTGCTGAAGTTGAGGCCGTGTCGTCGGCTCTTGGCCCCACGTCAACCGTCCCATTGCGCGTCATGATCCGACCGCGGGGGCCGCCGTCGTCGGATTTGGGCGAGCCCGACTTCTTGTATACCGACGACGAGTTTCGCGAGATGCGCAGCGACCTCGAAGCCTTTGTAGCCAGTGGTTTGTTACGAGCAACGCGCGGCGACGGCTTTGTCTTTGGCATTCTTGCGAGAGAAGACGGCAAAGATGGGCAAGTCCGCATTGACGCCGACCGCAATCGCCAGCTCGTGCAGGCCGCCGAGCCGTACGCATGCGTCTTCCATCGGGCGTTCGACCTGGTTCTGGGCAGCGATGCGACAAACCACGCGGCCGAAGAAGGGTTGGCTGCCCTGCGCGACTGTGGCTTTGCGGGCGTGCTGACAGCCGGCGGGCCGGGCAAGGGCGGCGCTGTCGACCATGCAGACACATTGCAGGCACTGGTCGCTGCCGAACGGGACGTGGCCGGCGCAGCCCAGGCGCGGCCACATGCGAGCATTGAGATTGTCGTGGGCGGTGGTGTGCGCAGCCAGAATGTGAGCACGCTGGAAAAGGCCATTTTGGGTGCGAAAAAGGAGGAGGGCCGCCACACCAGCGTGGTGTCGTTCCACTCATCGTGTCTGGAAGACGCGGCAGCAGCAACGGCAAAGGGTGCCGAGGCCGAGACGGTTAGCGGCGAGGAGGTCCGCCGGATACATGCGGCGCTGGGATCTGTGGAGGGATGGTAGAAATTTCATTGTGGATGGGATGAATGCATTATAGACGTGTACCTAATTACATTATGGTGGCCATTCTAGGCCGTGATAGTATAAAGGGAGCCACTTAGCTGCGGTCACTGTGTTCCTCGCCCCATATCGTTGTCCCAAAGCTATGACCGTAAAACTACATGGGGAACACCCAAATCGCATCGCTGCGGTAAAGTCTAAATCTTCCGTCTCGGTCTTCCTTTTCTTCTCCTTAACGCTGAGGCTCAGGGCAAGGCCACCGCCGATTCGCGTCCTCTTCGTCTTCGTAGTCTCCCTCGGTCCCCTCGTCGTCCTGGTCTTCCTCCTTGTCGCCCTCTTTATCACGGTCTTCAACCGCACTCATGGGATTGGGATCCATAAAGTCGTGGATGTTAAAGGCGGTCGTGACTCTGCTGAGCTGACTAAAGTCATAGTCACCATAACCATAGTAGCTAAGGTCGTGTTGTGTTTGTGTCTGGTCGTCTTGCTCTGTCTCGACGTCCTTTGACGTAGCCTCTTCGGCTTGCTTTGTTAGGCTGTCACCTGTATCTTTTGGTAGATAGTTGTCGGTACTTTGCCAGCTGCTAGAAGCAGCTGCAATGCTTTGAGGGAATGCATCCTCTTCTTCGCTGTCCTCCTCCTCGTCGCCGTAGTCGTAGCGGTCAAAGAAGCGTATGTCGCCGCCGTCGTACCACTCCCCCGACTCGTCGTCGAAGCGATAGTGCATATCACTTCCCGTGTACACGCGGAGGTAAGGCTTGATGGTCATTGTAGTGGACCTTGCAGAAGTCATTGTTGCGGTCATATTCTTGGGTGAGGCGCCGTTTCTCTTTTGAGAGTCCGTTTTGGCAGAATTTTGAGTTAGTCGAGTTTGCGAGCAAAGTGAGATGTTTTGGTTGCCTTTATTTGTTTATAGATAAAGAGAACATGGATGACAAAAAAGCAGATGATTTGAGGTGTTTGTCAGATGACGCAGGCTGTGAGGTGATGGATCGCACGTGTTGTACAGGTGAGATTTCGTATTATCCGTGTAAGACAAGAGAGTCAACAGATTATATTTCTTGTGTATTTTTTTCCCTCGCAGGATACGAAAAGGTGGGCTTCAACATATATACATAAACGAAAGTCTCAAAACCCAGCGAAGCACATGCCCGTTTGACCCTTTTTGCCGACGCATGCAGTGACGAGGCAATTAGGACGAATGTATGGTGATGCCTACGGTCGAGGAGTCTGACAGCGAAATTCAGCAGCAAACGCACCGAGTCACGGGGCGATGCCGCTGTAAGCGGGCTTAGACACCTAGTCACCCAGATGGTCGGGGCGTTTGGTGGAGAGAAGTAACGTCATGGGGGCCGGGGGACCGAAAGAGCGAAAGGCAATGGCGAACCAAGCATTTGGGACCAAATGAGATATGCTGAAACGCTTGCCGGCAGGCGAAAACCAGACAAACAGCGAGGGCTCCCACAAAGTCCACTCGCCTATTCGCTGGGTTTCAAGGCTCTGAGTGTTTTGGCGGGCTTTGAGCGCTGAAAAGGGTGCGCTCTTTTCCTCATTCTTCATGCTGTTTGCTTGTTCAGCAGGTTAAATGTGGCTGGTCGACTGAACATTAGGGCGGGAAGTCCGACGCCGAGGTTGCTCCAAAGCTTGAAACGGACGACCCGTACGAAGATTCTCGTAAGGGACGTGTGCCTCTGTAATCATGCAGAGAATGCCCTGGAAGGGTTTGTGCAGGCCCTGAAAACAGGAAGAGACGGAGGGAGAGGTGGGAAGGGGACGAGGATGAAGAGACAGGGGGTGCGATTGGCTGACCGATGGTCGACCGTTGCCTGGGTCTGTTCTTGGCTGGGTTTGACTGGATGAGCCAGTAAAAATAGAACATGCGTTTCTTTCGGGCGTCAAAGCCCACTGCGAAGGCAAAAACGTCAACCACGACGACGACGTGCATATAGGCAACCGAATTTTCAGTGGAATGGCATTTGGGTGGCTGAACGGCCGCCACGAAAAAAACAGGCAAAGACAAGAAGTGGAAAATCGCTCGAATGCGAAAACGGACAAGATTTCAACAAAAAAGCCTGAAACGGATTGTGATGAAAGTTGGGAAGTTGCTTGTCTCCTTGCGAATTGCTCGTGAAAGGTGTCTCGAACTATCGTGGCTCGTGTAGATTTCAGCCGACTTGGGCCACTTGTGGCCGCTTGCCTTCGAGGCCTCCTCAGCCTCGTCTCCCCGTCTCGCAATTCCTGCAGCTGCCGCGCTCGGAGGTATCGGCGGTGGCAACAAGGGCCAGCATCGAGATTTCTGGCAGGACCTATTGCAGTCGTGGCTCCGGGCTCCATCGGATTCCTTTGATCTAGGAATATCATCCGTGGTCTGTCCTCCCGCGCTTTCCCCCCAGAGAGCTGCGTGGCGCTTTTCAAAACGATCCGTACAGACTGACGGGAAAGCGTGGATAAGCACCGCAGGGTTGCTGGGGCAGTGTCTGCTCTTCCTGCCACTGGAAATGGGGCACAGCAGGTACCTTGCGCCAGGGGCACGATACAACCGGGAATCAACGCATAGATGCATGTGGTAGCTGTTATTAATTCCCATCCGCTTTCCTCTTTTTTCACTGGTTCGGGCGCTTGGTGGTCTCTGCCTTGCCGCTGCCGTTGCCGGCTCTCCCAGAAAGACTTGACAGGATTGACTTGCTCGCATGCGCCCGGCGTGCTCGTCGTTCTTGAATGCGGGCAGCAGCTATCGACGACGATGGCGATGGCGACGAAGACGACGACGCCGCCAACTCTGAGTCGTACCCGGCCGCCGGCTGCCGCGTCCGCCAGTCGCACAGCGCTGCGGACGACGCGCTCTCAGGTACGACGGCTCGCAGCGCATTGTACACGAACGTGTCGCGGTAGTTGTCGGTGTTGGCTGATACAATGGTCGCCATGCCCGAAGGACCCTCGTCACGGTCCCGAGGCCACGGTCCGCGGAGCGGGTTACTGCGGACGACCGTGCGGTGGTGGTAGTCGATGCTGGGGAAGACGCTGACCACGAACGAGCGCTGATGGATGGGGGAGGACGATGTCGACGAAGTCGACCAGTTTGGAGAGGACGAAGATGACGGCGGGGGCGGCAAGGGCGGCGAGCCGGACCTGGCGGTCGCCGTCGACATGGACGTCGTCTCAATCGGCTGCACCAACTGCGCCACCCGCGGATGGCCCCACGGCTGTGCAGCCTGCAGCGTCTCGGCCAGCAGCTCGTACTGCAGCGGACTCCGCTGGATCAGCGCTGCCGCCATGGCCGTGCTCGACGCAATGCATACAAACGAGCTGTTGTCAGCCAGCTTCTTGAACAGCTCGGCCTTGCCGTACCGCTCGAGCACGCCCAGCACAGACCGGCGCTCGGAAAGAGACGCGGGAGGTGGACGGACATTGATGAAAAGAGAACGCTGCGCGAGGTCCGCGGAAGACGACGATGAGCTTGAAGAGCTGGAAGAGCTTGAAGAGCGTGAATGAGTGTTGACCACGATCGGCCTACTCTTGATGCGACCGGCAAGAGATGACAGGCATCTGTACGGACGCATGTTGACGATGACAATTGGCAAGGTTTTGTTGTGTTTGTTTGTTTCTCTCGTCTTGGTTGACTGCTCAGTCGTTGCTTCCTTCTCGAATCGCCAAATTCACCTTTCACATTTTTAGGGCACCTTCTCCGAGTTGCGCGAGGTCACGTGTGATCGACGAGCGCTGTGGTATGCACTGACACCGCACTAACATTTAGCGGGCCATCCCGTCTTTCATCCCATTTGCCTCCGGGTTTTATGACGACTTATCGACGGGAGCACTCTCACATCAACAGTCGTGCTTTTCGTGATCTCATACAGACGCGAGGGACATCTTCAAGTTAGTTCTGATGACGAAATAAAAGGAGAATGAAAGTCATAGAAGACACGGGGGGTCTGTTTCATCACAGCCCCAGCAGCGTTGGGTCCGGAAACTTTCAGTTGCCTTCGGTCCAGTGCCCGACCATGAAATACGATGGCTGGCTTAGTATTACGCAACAAAACAGTGTAACTCGGGAGAGGCTTGCAGCAGACGACAACAAGCGGTATCAAGCAGCAACAACCTTGGCATATATTAATTACCCAGCCTTTGAAACAGCCGCTCTGGCTTTTCCCTTGTGCTTTTCATCTCTTCCACGACTTGCCTGTCTGTGTCTTCTGCTTGGTCTATTTCGGCCCCTTTTCGAGCATGGTTCATCCCGGCTTGTAGCCGAAACAGCTTAATGGCCCTGGTGTTGGGTCTTATGATGGTTGTGATATACACGGGGAAGTATACGGACACAAATTGGTTTTCTGAAGCGTTCTGTCCAACACGTACTCCACTTCAAAAGGTAAAAGGGACGGGCATGCTATCCTTTGCGGACACGGCCACAACGGTCAAAACCAATGGACAGAGCCAACTTTGACTGCATTCTTCCCTGGAGAAAGAGTGAGAGTATTTTGGGCGAAGTTTGAAAATATTGTGATCTATCACATTTTGCCACTTTTCGCACTAACAAAAAAACCGTTGACGCTTTGCCGCCGCCATTGCAGTACTCAGACATTCTAGTACCTGTGTTGCTCCAAAGGGAAACAGCGTACGAGATGAACACTGACAACAAGGCAATGCCGTCAATCGGCAAAACCTAGAAGATCTCAAGCCAATCGTTCGAGCAAAGTAGACAAACACAAGGACGGCTACTTGGCAGTAGTTACTGACAAACTGACAAACTAGCAGGGCAGCAAGTGCCAGAGGACGTGCCAACATCAATGACCGGACAATCAACATGAAAGTGAACAAAGAAATAATCGAAATGAAATGCTACAATCCATGGGTCGCCTGAATGTTGCATGATGACAATGCGCGTATCCAGGTGGTGATGACGTTGAGATCGATCATGGGTGTCTTTTGTGAAATGTGATCAACAGAGAGGACGGCAACAAGGAAAAATGAAAGGGCAATTGTGTGTGAAAAGACGTGCAGTGTGCATGAGAGAAATGATCTGTCTGACATCTGGTCTGCTTGCTTTTTTCATCTTCCTTTTGCCAAGGTATGTTTTCCACTCTTGCCAACCGAAACCCTTTTCTTTTTTCCAGCGCGTTCCCTTGCAGAAGTCCCTAGACATGGTGCTAAGCGAACCTGCAATGTTCCCGTCGATCAGTAGTATTTACTGCAGAGGAGAGCGGCAGTACCGACTGACGATCAGCGGAGATTCCTTTCCTTTTCTCCTTTTGTCTCTCCTGCTCAGCTTTGTTTCTGTATTTACTTCAATTCCAGTCACAAGTCGTCCTCGGCCATTGCCGTGGTAATGATCCCAAGACAAATGCAACAAAAAGGCGTACGGAACAGCGCCCACCGCTACTTGGTTGTGAACCGTAGTGTTATGTCCCCGTGGTTGGAAACTGTAAACCATGAGGCACAGTTATATTGTCCAATCCGTAGCTCTGGCCACGACAGAGAAATTGGAGAAATAGTGACAGTAAAGGAGTGCCGCGTCAAGGGAGATATATCCCATAACGCCATAGTGGACATGAGGTCCATTACGGAAGTCAAAGGGCCAGAAAAGCACGTCGTACAGTATGACTATACCTGGCCACCGCCGGACATTGTTCGGTAGAGACAGGTTGTACAGAACAGCGGCGAATTTCTTTTAGGGTTGTTTTTTGTGCAACAAATGGCGTTTCTACCTCAAAAATAGACTGACGTTTACAATTTACAACGATCATGAGATCTAGTGTGGCGTGCATGTCTAAACTCAGGCCTTGTGATTTGTCCAATTTTCTTGTCGACAGGGGAGTCGCCGTCCTCGGAGCTAAGTCCGTGTCAGTTGGTTCTCGGGGTCCATCCTCGCTGCCCATTGTTCTGTTGTGCCTAAGTAAATACGGATACGGGAAGGGGAAAGCGTCCATTCACCGGGCCCATAAACGAAACAACCCCGTGACAGGGTATGAAAAGAGAGAAAATGATGACAAAAATGTGGAATGTTGCTGTCAGTAAAGACGCCACAAAGTAGGAATCATACAAGTAGCCCCTCAGGAGAAGTAAACATGATGGAATGGACTGGACACGCGATGTAGAATCTATTACGGTTGCACTGTTTCTCCGACAGGGTGTATCAAAATACCACAGCCTCCATCGTTGGTCGGTCCCGAGATTTGTTGATCTCAATTGGAGTACCCAGTAAGTTAAAGCCCACTCTCAAACCTTCACCGGGGTATGGGCTCTGTGTGATCCCTGCCCAGCGGCTGCTGCCCGAACCAGACATTCTATGCTGCTCCCATACCTCTATGCATATATTCTTTCCCCACCCGTATTTACGTCGTAATATGTCGCACATATTCCGGTCGTCACCCAGGTTACTTTCGCCGCCTCACGTTTGCTTCCATTCTTTTCTTTTCTTTTTTTCTCGCTTACATCTTCCCTACCACGGCGACCACTCAAGTCACTCCTCTGCACCGCACCAATACAAGTCTTTGAACAGACACAAGAGTCGGCCAGAGATTGGCCTAGCCACCCTTCCCCCACCCCTTGTCTTCCATGCTATCCTCCCCATTGGTCGCACCAGCTGTAGCCGAACCAAGCCCGCCAGAAATAAGGACTTTGTCGACCAGGGTTGGTCTGTCACCTCGCCGATGGTTGTGTTTGAATGCCCACAGGGCTTGACCTGGTCCCAAAAGCGTGGTTCTCCCGGGAAACTGCCTCTGATCCCCTTTCCCGTTCCTCGCAATTCCGTCGACTCTATTTGTCGGATTTCATGGGTTGTTACGAGCATCCCATACGGTCGTAGTCTGTTCTGCTTGCTTAATTCGTAGGGGAAGTGTCCCGTAATACAACGGACATTCTTCTCGCCCATCCACGATTATTGACCGCCACATGTCTGGAGAGGCATTTGAACATCTGCACACCACTCCCTCGCATTTGCTTTATTCTTTTATATTTTCGTTGCGCATCTCTTTTCTTTTCTTTTCGTATATCGTCGCAAGATGTCGGCTATGACGATCGCTGCACGCACATAAACCCGTCCAATGAGCACCTGCGTCCGACCCGCGCTATAGCCACTGATTGCCTAGAGAATCTCACGCATCAATCCTCTCGTGCCTGCCTGTCAGCCACCTCGTAGCTCTCATGAATGGCTAAATAGTAAGATGCAGAGTAGCGGCGGGTTTCCTTGATTGGAGGCCACCCGGCCGCTCCTTCAATGCCGTCGGAGGAGCAGCAAAGACGAAACCAAAATGCGACACTTGGTCTCGTTAGAAGTGAGGATATTTAAGTTTTCTCGGTATCGCACCCGAGTGTACGACACTTCACTTTGGTTGAACTTTGGTAAGCCTGGAAAAGAACCACAATGTAAGATACCACCATGGGTCTGATCTTTGTTCCTTCTCTCACGGTTTTCTTTCTTGGAGAGGTTAAAGCGCCACAAGAAGATGAAAGGCGGTCTCCCTCGCACTTCCATGCGCCGCCTTCCCCCCCTCTCCACCCACACCATCCCTATTTCGTGACCTCGCTTGGAGCGCATGCCCATTCTGGATTGCATCTGTGTTCCAACCAAACTGTACCCAGCGGGTTCCCTCACGACGATTGGCTAGCAATGGTGCTTCCGGACGCCACAATTTTGGTTCTCCGCTCCCTTTGCTACTCGACGCCCTGCTGTCCTTCGTTGCTCCAAGGGAGGCTGTACGAAACATGTTGAGTTTAAGTTTGCAGCGAGTCGCGGGTACATCCTCCGTCGCAGAAGTGTGTGCTCTTTTCCTGTACCGAGTACTTGCGCGGCTCACACCTTTGAGCAGTTGTGGCAGGACTGATGATGGAACAAAAAAAGAAGTCAAAAAATCCCGCCACTGCATTCTCGCTGTCACATCCTGGCGATCACCTGGCCTTGGATGCACCCAAAACATATCTTACGTTGAACCTGGCCATGTTTTCATGATTCTACGCGAGGAGAGCTCTTGGCCCCGATGAGGAGTGTTTTCGCGGCGCCGTATCTGGCAACCCGTTTAAAGTGCTGAGCATGCTGTCACACAGAGATCAATAAGGTCTGATGCAACCAATAAACACTCACGGAGTCCATGCGTTTACGGTCTATTGTGCCGTGTCACAGTGCATTGTTCCGCCTCTACGTCTCTTCTGTCGGTTGAGCATGCAGGCCGCCGTGGCTCGAGTATGATGGAAAACTACCGAAACCCCGAAATCCAGACTCCAAACAACAATCCTTCAGATCCTCCGTAATTACTATGTCATACTCATCAGCACACTCGCCCGTCTTCAGCGCTCAGATGACCTGTGAGGCGCTGCGATTCGCCGTTTTTGCTGCTCCGCTCCGGCATCGAGATACGAATTACACACACAAAAATCCCACCACCATGGCCCCAGGACGAACTGCTGCTGTCCCAAGGTCTGCGCCCCACTGCCCACGAATTGGGTCGTTGGGTTTATTGGTACGGACTTTGGTGTTATTGGTGATTGGGCGGCAGCTCATTTCTCTTTTGTCTCGCAATGCTTCTCGTGCGTGTTTCTCGTGCTTCACGCCTTGCCTTTCGTACTCGCATCTTTTGGGCCAGTCGCTCCTCCCTTCGTGCCTGCCACCTGCCACCTGCCACCTGCCCCTGTACTGAGCTTCGTAGAACGATCGCCATCGTTCTTTCTCTGTTGCGAAACTAGCAAGAAGAGCGATGAAAAGAACAGGAAGGAGCAACTGCCTGTATTGTGCAGCAGCGTCCGGAGCGCTCTGCACATTGTACGCTGCAGTCGTAGACGATTACGATTGACCTCTGCACCTGCCCACGCTCCTGCCTTCAAGGTGCATCTTCAGCGTGTCGCTCGCGTCGCTCTTGCCTCGTCTGGCTCGTAGCAGTTGTGCCCCGTGCATGCCAAACACAGCCGTTGAGCCTCTTTCCCGTTTCTCCCTTTCTGTGTTTCCAGTCGGCCCCTTTCTGCCTTCCCCTCTCTCTCTCCAGCATTTCATCCCTTCTGCATTCCTCGCATCGCCATGGGCATCGTGCGCCCCCCCCCCCCCCCCCATGCATCTTCATACCGCCAATCTTTCCTCACTCCTCGCCTCCGCGTCCCAACATCGACTTCCCGATCTTTGTGTTTCGGTCACACCGAGCCCAGCCTATCTATCACAATCCCTATTGCCGGGTCTGTCCGACCGCCTTTTTGTTATCCTCTCATTCCGCCCTTTTTGTTTCTTCTCGTCTCTACGCCCCTCGAGTGGTACGATGAAGCCTTTACGCATCCAACAGGCTTTGTATTCACAGGTTGTTCCTTTGTCCTCTTGTCTGTATTGTCATTGTCGTCGGCAATTGGCAAGCAAACTTTACAAGGTAAGTTTCAATATGAAAAAGCGACGACGGTAATTCGTACCCAGGTTCGCATTCCACATCTCACAGTCAATTCTCAGTCTCCCATGTTGCTACCCACCGCTTCCCCTGTCTCCCTGCAGCCTTCCAATTTCCCCCATTATTGGGGGTCCCTTCCGGGTCCTTCCTGGTCGACACGCTGATTTCTCCCTCCACTCCAGCCAGGCCGACCCGGCGTCAAGCCTTTACCCGTCCTAGCCATCCTAGCCCCGAAACGCTTTCGCCAGCTCCACCGTAGAGGACATGTGCATATCCAGATGATATGTAAGATATTATCTTGCCACTGAATCGTTAACATTGTGAACAACAATGATGGACCCGCCCAAATACGGAGTGCTTCTGGTCTATGCACTGCCCACAACCAGAATGTTTCTCAGGTTTATCTCTTCGACAGTGAATACAACACGAAAAAAAAAAAAATAGAAAGAAACGTCTTGTCCCATCACCTTTTCAAGAGCCACGCCTCCGTTTTCTATGGGGGCTAGGTCTGGCCTCTTCCGTTTCCTGGGGGGTGTCATTGTCCCTCCCATCTCCACCAAAACTCAGATATCCACACACCCGTCCACCCACGCCCTTGTCTCTCTCAAGCTCACGACCTGGCCTTCACCCTTTTTCGTCTACTCATGCCCTGTCTCTCCTTTTTGACCAGTGAGTAGCGTCTTCTAACCAAGTGTTTGTCAAGTATTATCCCATCGAGTCCCAGCACTGCTGCGGCCCCACAAACTACGAACCTTGTCCAAAAGAACCGCGGAGACTCGCTGTAAACCTCAAATCCCAAGCGAGGGGACGGCTGGGCCTGAAAGGATCGTCTTCCCGACGACGGCGGGATACTACCACGACCAAACCACGGAGTAGCCAAGAAAAGAGGGGACCACCGACAGAAACACGGCCAGGCGTTTCTTCTCCAGTGAACAAACCTTCCTTCTTTACCTTGTTGGTCCCATCGTGCTGTCTCCGTCTCTTTTCCTTCGCAGTCTGCATCGTGCGTTTGTCAACACTGCCGACTTTACGACGTTCTTGGCCTCGACTCCCATCTTTCAACTGTCGACATTGAACCAGACGGCTACGCCTCAGACGCCAACGCTTTCACTCAGGCCTCTCGTCGTCTCTCTTGTGGGCTTCCGCTCTGCTACTCTTTCACTGCAGCCACCCGCATTCTGCTTTCCGCGTTCTTGATCGTCCTTCTCACCACATTTGTCGTCTCCTCCTGCCAATCGATCGTTATTTCGCACGATCCACCTTGTCGTGTAACACTCGCCTTTTATCCCGCCTCTTTGTCTTTTTCTCTCTCACTATCTCACTCTCTCACTCTCTGTCGTCTCCTTCTCTCACGCCCACCTCCTCATTTCCTCGTCTGGCTTCCCCAAGTTGCACAGTCGTATATCCTGTGTACGCCCTCCTGCGTCTCCTGGCGCCTGGCACTGGGCCTCACTTTGTGTTCCCTGTATCCCGTACACCTTGCGCCTTCGCCCTCGTCTTAGACACTTTGTGTTTCATTCGCTCTCTCTCTCCTTCTTCGGTCTTGCGTTCCATCGTCTTCGTCTCTTCACATTCTCACCTTATCGCCGTCTCATTTTTTATCTCTCGTCCGGTCCATGGTGTCTCGTCTTGTGAGCATCAGCATTGCTCTGACACCACAATCGTGAACTGTACGGCCAATCAACAAACTCGCCGAATGGACCAGCAGCGATAACATGGCCAAATAGTATCAAACACCCAACGGGTTGCCCGAAATTGACGACGCTGTTGTCGTGAGGCCGTGGGCCCCGTCGTCCCCATCCACATTGAGGGATGTTCGGACAACCACATGGCTCAGGCCAGCCGCCGCCGCTGCCGCCTGATGATGGCGATGGCCGCGGCGGCGACCTCGACAACAGGAATATTCACCGCAGTATACCAATAAACAACGACCCAGGAACCGTCACCGACTCCATTGAAGCTGTTGACACCGACGATGCGTCGTCAATGCCGTCATCTTTTGCTTTACTCTCAGCATTGCGGCAACGAAACTTGCGCACATGGCCGCGCCAACGGCGACGTGACTCCAAATCGCCTCGTCCACCGTCAAAAACGCAACCACAAGGACAGTCGCAACCACAGCAACCCATCTCATCATCGGCTTCAAGTTCAAGTCTACAACAGCATACGCCAAACTCATCACAATCTAGGGCTGCACAGCACATCCAATCGCCACTCGTGTCCTTGCTTGCCATGCCGCCAGCAGGCTCCGCCTTCTTGCACCACCGATCCCAGGCTACGAAGCAACCGAAACAGTCACGCCAACGGCGACGGATGCCGTACCCACTCGATGCCAACCCGCAGGAACGCTCGCCCTCACATTCGCCGCCGTTCCTGTTCTCGCCGTCCGCATCGGCTCCGTCTATTGCGGAAACACCACGGGAAGTCGAACAGCTCGCCGGCGAGTTCAGCCGCCACCATCTCGAGCATACGAAGGCAGCCAGACCATGTAGCACTAGCGGCAGTATCAACACTAGTGTCAGTGGATGCGGAAGTGGAAGTGGTATTGGCAGCGGACGCAGCGGACGCAGCCGAGGCGGCGAGCTTTGTAGTGGCCCCGGAAATCGATATGAAAGCCGATATGGGGACGCCCTGGCTAATTTCAGCCCTGGCATGGCCGAGTTCCGTCTGCGCCGTTGTGGCAACGAACCCGTCATGGATCTCGAAGTCGACATGGACCAGGATAATCGAAATGACGATGGTGACTGTGTGATTCGGCCGCCGTCACCATCGCCCTTAGAGTCAGCGTCCCAGCGCGGTCCCTCGTCGTCGTATGCGCCTAGTGTGGATATCGATGCCGGTCCCGTTGTTCCGCACGGCTTGCAGCGCATGCGGATGCGCCAAACCGCTTTAGCTGATGCCAGCGTGCGTCATCTCAACCTCGACCTGAAGCCGTTTCATCGGCAGACCGGCCCCGAGACCGACATATCACAAGAGCCGAAACCAGAGACGGTACCTCCCGCAGAAACGGCAACACCAACAGCAACATTAGCCGCCGCGCAGGCGGAGCAGACAATACCAGCACTGGTACCAGCTGGTACTGGAGCGGCAGCTTTGGCGGCAGCATCGTCGATTGAGTTGGGAGACGATAACTTGGCACCGCTTCCCCTCGAATCCATGGCTATGCTAGCACCATATCCGCAACACTCGTTCCACCCTCACCCACAGCCCTACGCACGCTCCTACTACTCACAATCACTGTCCTACTCTCACTCTCTGCCACAATCGCGCCCTCACTCCCGTCAACCCTCCATATCCGCATCAACACGAAGCGATATCCCGCCCCCGCACTCCCTTCCCTTGTCACGCGAAGCTCTCACTATGCCGCACTTGGCTCCCTTGCACAACGATGTTCCGTCGTCCGGCTACGATATGAAGGGCTGGTTGAGTTCCAGCAGCATGGTCGAGGCTTCTACGTCGCTTATCACGGGTACCATTGACAACCACAGCGAAACGATTGCAATTGATATGGTTGCACATAAGACCGAGGCCGACTCTTCCGTTGTTCGTAGCCCACATGCTATGGATACACGTGTTGAAGATACCACTTCCAACAATGACCAGCGCAGCGACTACCCATCTACTGAAGCATCATCAGCAAGAGAAACAACCCGAACCAGCGAGCGCCTACAGCCGAGAAAACAGTTCTACACTGCCTACCTCCAGCCACACCAACTTTCCTTTTTACATAACAGTGACGGGCCGAACCCGCCCATGGATACGTTAGAGGCCGACATGGATAAACCCAATACGGAGAGCATTGCCGACCGCGTTTCCACAATCCCGGAAGAAGCTGAGGGCGCGCAAACACCTGTATCCGGATCTGCGTCGGGCTCGACCACTCTCTCGCACGCAACTAATCAAGACAGCGCGAAGACCACCACCCCGAGCGGCCAGTACATGCTCCCCTCTCAACGTGTGCGGCTGATCCAAATGGCCATGGCCCGTGAGGCCGAGCGTGTTCGGTCGGAAAACTCTGCCGATGGTAGCTCGACAAATGGCTCGAATGTCGTAGTACCGACCGACGACCGGATGGATGTCGAGATGGCAGACCCAATCGCCATCGAAGCGCAGGCTCCGTCTCTCGGCCTTTCCTCCAGCATCAACAGTTCGCTCATTGGATCACTGCCACCACTATGGGACCCGGATCAGCCCGAGTCTCTCCACAAGTACATAGGACCCTTCCGTTACCGCCTGTCGTCCGAAGTGGCCATGCGCTGTACGAATCTCGTGCACAACAAGCCGCGTATGCGTCGGCGGCGACCGCCTGGCGATGGCAGCGTGGCCACCAATGACAGCACCAGCAGCCTTCGGGGCGGCAGCCACAAAGACGGCAGCGGTTTGCAAAGCGATCAGCGCAGCGAACGGCGCAGGGAACGCCATCGGGAACGAGCTCGCAAACGCGAAGAGAGAGCAAACCGTGATCCAAACCGAGAACGAGAACAGGATGCGAACCAACCCCGTGAAAGCCGAGAGAGGAGAAGCAGGACAAGCCAAACCCGCGAGCACGCTCGTTTGGCCACAGCCCACTCCGAAGCTCAGAAGCAGTCTGTCCCACTAGCGAAGCCCTCACCACCGCCTGAGCCCTTGGTACCGCCGGTCCCGGACCCAGCTCTCATGCAGGTTGAGCAGCCTCAACTGCAACAGCCTGAACAAGTGCAACGACCGACGCAGCAGTACCTGCTTCCTGTTTGGGCACCGTCCGCCCCTGAGTCGATCGATGTGCCCGCCGACATGTCTTGATTCGGCCTTGTCTTCATTTACATCTTGCTTCAACTTATTATTTTTGACGTTTTGACGACGATAGCTTCTGGCGTTTTTCAACCTTTATTGTAGACGACCGTTTCTGATATCCTACATGGGATACAAAACAACAGCATTTCGTTTCTTTTTTTGTTGATTTACATTTGTTGTCATTTTATGCACCTTTGCAAGATTCCTCGTTTCGATTTTCAGGACGTTTTGGGATTCTTTTAGACGGGTGTTTGCCATAGTGCTCATTTAGTGCTGTTGACCAGGCGTTTCTTTGCGTTGTCCGCTCTGCTCTTCTTACTTCAGCTTACATTCTCCGCGTGGGACGATACCCTTATCTCTTTCTCTTTCCCGTTGCATCATTCTCGCATCTATTCTTCTTTTTGTTCATTGCCCTTTGGACCTTCTTTTGTTGTCTCATTCTGAGTCGCTTTGGTCGGTTGTTTTCATGGATACCTGGGCTTTTTGGGAAGAAGGAAACAGGATTAAAAAGCTCGTTGTCACTCACCCACTGGCCCTGAAAACCAGGGGAAACGGTTTGATCGCGGCTTGGGTTGATGGCTCAGTCACAAATGCCCACTCTAAAACATCTCAATAATATTCAAAATTCAGAATACCTTCAAATCAGCCTCCACGCGGTGCCCTTGCCTGCTGGCTCTCAACATGTACTGACTGGCAGCTAGAAAAAAAGAAAGCACTGCGAACTGACGAGTGCTGACAATGCGTCTGGGAGGACGCGAGGAAGTGGTGTTCTACAGCGACGGCTAATTCATGGGCCATCGTGCATATCCCGATGGTACCCTCGCCCACACCCACGGCATCCTGGATGAGGCTAAGTATTTTCACAGACCGTACCTCGACTGGGACCGGCCGCGTCGACGTCTTGTCTCCAACGACCAGCGAAATCATGATGTAAGCTGAATAGAGCAACGAAAATGTTCTGTGCCGTCCGAAAACCAGTGGCAAGCGGACTTGATGTATGGAGCGCGCCCATAATGACACTCGGAGGAGTCCGAATACCATTGTACATACTGACACCACATTTTGGAAGGCTCTCAGTTCGGAGGACGGTTCAGGAAGGTAGGTGTATGGCGCACTCACGTCTCATTCTCTCTCTCGATCCGGATTACCGCCGTGCGCTGCTGCGCTATACGTCGCATCATACGGAATACATGGACCTCCCTCCCTCCTCCTGAACAATCCCAACTCATTCTCCCGGCTTCCTGATACGGACGAGCACGATGCGCACCCGACCGGGCACGCCGGCGACAGGCTGCTGCATACCTACTTCAGGGCACCGGACATCCATCCAGTCAACTTAGCAAGTGCTTAGTGTGGCTGCTCGTCAGTACTGAAAAGGCTGGGTTCAGGACAGGGGAAAGGCATGCAAGGGGCCTCGACACCCTGCAGAAGCAGAGGACAACAGACAGGCCCGGGCATCGGCAGATGGGATGGCACACTTTCTATTCTCGTCTTTCGAGTCCATTTTGACAGGCCTACTTTTTTACTGTGACATGCACTTTTGACATGTTCCCACACCTCGCGTCAATTGACACGCCTCTGCCTCCTTCTCTATCTTTCTGTGTGTGTGTCTGTTCGTTGTATTGCTTCAACAGTTTTCTCGCTTGTGTATCCTCTTCCGTACAAACAGACAGTCGATTGCCCCTCCCTTCCTTCTCGCTTCGCAGTTGTGCAGCACATAAACGATGTCCTATTGGTCTGGATACTTGTTCTGACTATTCTGGTCAGTCGCGACTGTTGTTCGCCCGGTCATGATTGCCTACAGTTTTGTAAAGCCGGGTTTAATCCTTGTAAGGATTAGTGTGGTATGAAGCCATGTGTTAGAACCGGGTTTACAGAGAGAGAGAGGAAAGAGGAGAGCGAGAAAATACAAAGTACTTGTCTACAAGTAGCAGTGAGACAGGCGTTAGTGTAGACTATATCTCAAAAAGTCTCGTTGGCCATTGTCTCGTTTGTTGTGTTTAAAGGCAACGACGACAAACCAGGTTCGAGGAACAGGATGGTATATGCGGCACGGCGTGTGCAATAATAGTCAGTTCATGCATACGTGCCGCGACCACGAAGAGCAGAAGAATGGGACGTGGGAAAGAAAGAAGGAATCGAAGGCTCGGAGAAGGCGAAAGGAAGGAATTGGAAGTTGGCCGTGGTACAGGGGTGGTTGGCTGTCAACAAAGAAAAAAGGAAGAAGGGGATGCAGGAGAAGAAAGAGATCAAAAAAGGAGGGGTGGGAGGAAGCGATGCGGACAAAGAAGGCTATGCAATGTTGTGGGGGATAATGGTGTGTGCAAAGTAACGCCGAAGCAGACGGCCAAAAATAACAAGCGATCCAAAAACGACGCAAATAATGGACTCCACCACTACGCAGAGCCCCCTCGTGGCTCGTGGTCGACTGCAGCAAACAAAGAGAATACCATACGGCATACGGCAGTGAGAAGTTAGTAAATTGAAAAGAAGATGGGGGGTAGTCAAGAAGATCTGAATGTCAAAATAGGTGGGAGCAGTAGTTCTCGTGGGACCACAGCCTCCCTTTCTACTTGTGGCTGCAAGCTCAAATGTTCCAGAAACGCCGTAGAAGTGATTTTCGTCAGGGGAGTGGTAAAAGAGAAGCGGTCGTGGTGAAGGAGGTCTGCCGATGTCAGGGTGACGCAGTAGAAGTAAGAAATCAAATAAATAAATAAATCAAATTAAATCAAATCAAAATCCTACTCAACATGAAATGGCAGTCGTCTTGTCCTTGCGGTATGCTTAACAGTAATGCAGACGTCCCCCCTATCCTGCTATCGTAACGGCCGGCCATTGGCTTCTGTAGTCATATTTCTCTTCCTTTTTTCTTCTTTCTTTTTTTCCCTTTAATTTCTCATCGTCTTCTTGCCACAAAACAAATACTGGTGGTGATGGCCTCGATAGCAAGGAGCAATATTCGTCCGCCCTGCTTCTGCCTGGCTGTCTGCAGCTAGATTCTTGCATCTTGCATCCTCTTGCGTCGTACATCTTTACGCATCTGTGTGCAACATACAGCCATGTCTTGTCCTTTCCATTCTTTGTTCCTGCAAGTCACCTCTCCGGCCTCGTCGTTTTTCATAAGGTGGACGGACATCGGATAATGCACAAATTTGCAACATGGACAAAATAGGCAACTCTTCCAACCTCAACCTCCCCAGCCACCTGGTTACCTTCGTATGGATAACACCAGTGAACAGACGTTTTTGTCTCTTTGTCTTTTGTGCGACGTACGGGCTAGAGACTTCTAACAGGAAAGGAATCTGCGCCTGCATCTGCATCCTTCATCTACACGGCACGAATGCGAAGCAAATCATTGCAAACACGGGCCCCCCTTCGGTCATTGCTCTCTCTATTTCGCCCTCCGAAAAAGTTTAAAAATACAATCCCTGTGCGTCAGGTATCCGCCCCGAGGAGTCGGGCAGTTCGGTCGCGAACCTATTGTCTTCGTACCCGGGGTCTCGGTAGATATGTTTTCTGCAAGGAGTGAACGACAATGAAAGGGAAAACGGAGAGGAGTGAAACGAAAGAAGACAAACGAGGAGTAAACAAAAGGAAACAAGAACGCCAGAGACGAGTATAGAGGATAATAATGAAGAAGAAAAACGGTCTGCCAACAACAAACAAAAACAGCCCGTCCACGCTATCAAAAGCCTCAACGGCTGTCGAGATACAGGTTGTTGGCTGATCGTCTGTTGGGCCCAGCAGCACAAGGTCGTCTGATCATCCATTCAAGCCTTTTTATCATTCTTTTCCCTTCTTTTCCCCTGTCTCTGTCTTTTGTCTTTTGCGTTTTGTCTTTTTTGACTTTAAACTATCCATCTTGGTCTCCCTTGTTGCATTGCAGCAGGCTGGACAAGCATAGTGTTGAGCTGCCGTCAGTTGGTGTACTAAGGATCACATCTCCGGATCTTGGCCCGTTTGGGTTTGGCGGCCACAATAAGTAGGTTGGCGTCCAACCAAAAGCAAAAGAAGACAGGCCGGAATACGACAGCCTGAGAAAAAATACTGCGTATGACAGAATTACGATATGTAGCGCACAAAAAAGCATTATGCACACAAGCTCAAAATGGGGTTAGTGCCGTCTGTTGGTTCTGACAGTTGCACTCTGGTCGAACTGGCGCATAAAAGACATCATGCTAGGCACCTTTTTGGCATATCCTGGGCGTAGTTGGGGGTGGCGGATGACAGTTTGGCTTCTGACAAGATTGTTGAGTGGATGTGGGACAGAAGACATGACAGGGTGCACTATCCGAAAGAGCGGAGAGCATAATAGGTGTCGGCCGGTAAGATCAAGAAACAAACGAAAAAGAAAGAGAGAAAAGAAATAAAAGGAATAAAAAAAATAAAATAAAAATAAAAGAAAAGAACTCGACGTACACAATAGCTTCAGGCCACGTTTTGAGCTAGTCATGCCATTTGCCTTACCCCCAGGTTTTATTCTCTTTCGCCTTTACTTGACGGTACGGCAGATTATCTTACCTTTACCTGCTTAAGATGGGGAACGGTGAACAGGGCCTGAAGGCTCCTTCGAGGCGCGCTTAAGCGGCAAACGGCATCAAATAAGTCTAAAGACAAAATCGACGCCAAATCCAAAGCCAAAAGCACATCAGTCGACGGTCTGGCGATCCAAGGGCTCACTTAGCTCTAGCCACATGGCCGTCGTTCATCACCCGCCACGAGCAAAGGGAGATGGTCAACTCCGGCGCCAACACCAATCATGAGCCAAAAAATGACGAGTGAGCATTGAGTATCGAGAATAAGTCAACCGTTGAGGCAAGTACGAGATGGCGGAAATCTGCCAACAGTATCGGAGGAAAATATAAAATAAAATAACTAAAAAAAGGCGGTTCATTGCCCAATGTGGATGCATTGAGGGGGTGGGCATGTCGGTCTCCTTGCCTTCTCCCCAGCAAGCGACTTGTCCATCACATCCCTCTCTTTGCATCTTTTCAGCTGCCGCTTCATGAAGATGGAAATAATCGTCCCTCGAGAAATACATCTCTTGCATCTTCTCAACACCATCTTTCGTATTCAAGCATATTTCCCACTGTCGCCCCCAGTACAACCGGACGTCGTATTCTATCTACCATCAGTTCAGCTGTGTAGGGAGAAGACTACAGAAATATGCCTTATTTTGTGCCATGTAAATGAGGAGGCGGTAGTACTGTGTTTCGTACAGTCTTTAACTTGCATATTCGGCTCCGGGAGACTTTCTTTTTCCCTTTTTCAAGGCACCCGTTTTTACTCGGAGTTATTCACCGCCTCTCTGTGGTGGACTCGACGATTGCACAAGTGTGCTGTATTATTTATGGCAGCAAAGGATACGTTAGTTTCCGTGGTCTTTCCCCTCTTACCTTCGTCCTCGACCTTCATTTTCTTCGCTCATTCATCCAACTCTTCCGGTTTCCTTGGCCTCTTATTCGTCGACTCTCCTCTTCCATGGCCGCTTTTCCTTTTCCTATCGTCCAGCGCCTTGCACTCTGGTCTATTCTGCCCCCTGTTCTTTTCAACCTCTCGTATGCTCAAATTCCCGTAATATTGCACCCCTCCCCTCCCCCATGTCCGGCTTTGTCTGCCAAGCCACAATCCGGAGCTGTCAAAGACAACTTGGTCAAAGGCAAAGAAAGAGCAAGCCAGAAGGCTGAAAACATACTTTGTACTTTGTATCTGTACGTTGTTCTGTCTTTCTTTTCGTTTCTGTTATTCTGTTCTCTTTGACTGGAGTTGTTTTACTTTTCTGTCCTCTTTATTCTCTTTTCTTTCTTTTTACTTCTTTCGTTCTTTTTTTGGCTTATCCTCCCACCGCAAATTGGTCTCAATTGTTTCCTTTTCAACGGAAACAGGACACACCACTTGTACACACGCCTGGACACATGTCTTGCACTCGCCTACCAATACCAACTGGCATGCTGGACTTGTTGACACGAAAGCCCACAAGGACGAGGAAATCACACTATGTAGATGAGGAATGGCCGTCCCACTCTCCCTGACTATTCAGCCAATCGTATTACAGGGATCAGTACATGACCCATCTTTCTCTAGAACCAACAACACAACAAAACTCGCACCGTTCTTTTGCAGCGCCCATACGGCATGGCCAAAATACAGTGCTGCTTTTTCTTTGCCCTGGTGTCGTGCTTCTGGTTGGGTTTGTGTCGATACTATGTCGATTGTCGCTTCTGAAGATTTACGGCCTTCTCCATCGGGTTAAGCTGTAGTGTTGTAAAGTCAAGGCACAATTTGGCCAACGTTTTGCAAAACAACTCGCACTAGCAAGTGCAGACTAGTCTTCAAACGTTGATGTAATACGATGTGCGGCTGTTTGCTGAAAGAGGCTTGTCGACTGAAACCTCGGGTGATCTTCGCCGGTCGTTTTGGCCTGCTCTGGCCCCATTTCCAGCAAGTTTGGTGCACGTCAGAAATGTAAACGATTGCCTTGACGACGCCGTTTCGCCGTACAGTTCCTTGTGACCGACTGCCCTCTTCCATACAGCTACTATCAGTGCTGTTCTGTCGTGTACCTACTTGAAAGTTGAAGAACCAAAAAAAGTCGCCTGCCTCGTCTTGTTGCCGTGCCAGTGATGCTGCAGTCCATTGTAATATTTTGTTGACAGCGCTGGGGAGCAAACAGACTGAGTCGGACACTTGGAAAGCATGCTCGGACTCTGATATACTTTGTTGCTGTTTTGCTTCTCTCGCCTTGATACTTTTTTGCCTCACAAAACTCTCCTTCTCATCGACGTGATCGTCTATTATGGATGTTCTTCGTCTTCGTCTCCGTCGCGATTGTTAGAGCCTTTCAAGCATCAATTGACTTCTACTGCATTTTCCAGCCAGCATCGACACACAATCCTTTCAGTCTTCAGCTCTTCTGCACCTTCATCTTATTTTTTATTTTTATTTTTATTTTCTAAACTTATATTTCTTTACTCCTTGAAACGCCATCGCTCCTTCCCATTCAACATTATTTCCGTTTCAAGTCGAGCTGACCAGTTTCCCACAACGACTACAATCCCCAAGTCACCACCTTCCTTGTCGTACACAAAGGAAGACGGAAGTTGCGGCAGCCAGATTCCAAAATCATTGCGAAAAAGAGTCCGAACGAGAAACAAAAAACAAGAAGCAAGGGTGGCAGGAACGACCAAGCATCGACACCAACGGTCATAAACGGGCATCACGGGGGAAAGCACAATCGAACGGTGCTCTTCAAAACGGGAAAGTGCCCGCCGATTCGACCGAAGAGGAAAGACCAGCTCGACGTGTTCTCCCTCTCCTTCTGCCTTTTGCACATCGTCTAGAACGTCGCTCCTTCCTGTTCACAACAACCCAACCAGGAAGTCACACCATTCAATAACGGAGCTTTACTTTTTCGGGACAATCCAAGTCTCGCGACCTCACAACAACCAAAAAAAAAGCAACCAAAAACAAACCCAGGCCACATCACTCCGCAAGCCACACCGTGGACGTTATACCTCGACCTCTGGAGATCGTCAACGGCCTCTCCACCGAAGCCAAGTCGAGCATCACCACCTGCTTCGGCCTCTTTACAGTTTATCTTTGCCCTGATCGTCTATCCCTGCGCAGGGACAGACTAGTCTACCTTCACACCCACACACTCCAGAAAAGACGTGCACCGTCTGCGTTAGACTGATTTGTCTGTCAAAGAAGACGATAAAGACAGGCCGAGGAAAGGACTGAAAGAAATTCTGAAAGAAAGAAAAATCGGCAGTAAACAAGACCACGCGAGTCGAGAAAGAACGCGGCTGCCAAAAAAAGACCGTCCGGGGATCGCCGTTGCAGAAGCAAACAAAGAAACCCGTCTGCATCGTCCACATCGCCTGCATCGTCTGCAGTACTGCGGCTACTGCACCCTGCGACTGCAACTACTGCAGGTCCGTGAGCCTGATTGGTCGAAACGGGAAGCGTACGGCTAGTTTACGTCGTGTTCCTGGGCTTCTTTTTTCTTTCTTTCTTTTCTTTCTTTCTCTTTTTTTCGTTTCTTTTTTGAAAGAGAGAGAGATCCCCATCTCGTGACAATGGACGCCCAGGGCCACGCCATGGACGGCGAGTATGACCGGCTCCAGCAGCTCCAGCAGCAGCTCCAGCAGATGAGCCAGGAGGAGATTGACGAGATGAATGCTGTTCTGAGCCAGTATCAGATGGTCCCGGCCGCTGGTGAAGGAGGTTTTGAGGGCGACAATCTGTTCGGAGACGACGAGAACCGTCGTCTCCGCCAGCAGCAGGCACAGCAGCAGCATACACAGTACCTGCAGACCATCTACCTCCAGCAGCTGCAGGAGCACAACGAGCAGATGCGCCAGATGCAAGAGTCGGTCACTTGCAGCCAAGAGCAGCTGGTGCATGTCCCTCAGGCACATCCTCAGGCACATCCTCAGGCACATCCCCAGGCACATCCCCAGTCACACTCCCTCGTGCACCTGCAGCAGCCCTTTCCCCACGACGCACCCCCCCTTGGAGCCACGCCCCAGCAGCTGCACTATGATCTCCAGCAGCAGCCTCCTCAACAAAGAACACCCCCAGTCACCTGGCCCCAAGGCGATGCCGGCGTTTCTGATGCCTCTCTCCCGATCGGGAATGTGCCCGCTAACCAAGGACAGACGGCCAGGGGTCGCAGCCACGCCAGGATGGCCTCTGCCTCGACTACTAGCGCCGCATCTGCTCGGCCTCCCTCACAACCTGCGACGGTTGAGTCAGTAGCAGCAACAGCCGCGCCAGCGACAGCTCCGGCGCCAGGAAATGCGCCAACCTCCAACAGCAACACCACGGACGACGACCAGCTCCTCCGTCTCCAAGATCTCTCGATCATGCATCGCCCAGACGAGGACATTGCGGCCACCGCCTCGTCCATATCGTCCATGACCAGTTCTGTTAGCACTGCGACCATAACAGGCCCAACAACCTCTGCCTCGCCGTCTCGTTCTGAGGCTCCCCAACTTCTTTATTTACCCTCTAACCCCCCGCCCTCATCGCCTTCCCGTCCTGCTCCTTCTTCCCATTCTTCCCATTCTCATCCCAAGCCTCATTCTCCGTCTCATTCTCACAATCTTCAACAGTCTGCTCATCCCCCTCTTCCTCCTCCTCCTCTTCCCTCTGCCCAAGTTGCTCGCATATCGCCGAGACACCCCCAGCAGCCTCTGCCCGGCTCCCAGCCTGTCCACCCTCATCCCAACCACCGAGCATCTGCCTCCTGCTCGTCCCTGTCTGGAGACAACATCCCTTTGCCTCCCCCCAGCCAGCCTGCACTCTCCCCTAGGAAGCAGCGCACGGCCTCGTCCTCACCCAAGAAGACGGGCCGCTTTGAGAGCATCTACGCAACTCTCCGCAACAAGGCGTCAAACATGCGTCGCTCACGCACCGCATTTATGCATGAGGCCGTGCCACCTACTGTTGCGCCCATGGCCACCCTCAACGACGCCGGCATGCCGGAGCTTAACAAGACCCACCACGCTCACTACCGCAGCCACCGCTCGGACAACCCGGAGTTTGACTTTGACATGTCGGCCGCACACGCCGCCGCCTTGGGCAGCTACCCGCCAACTCCACCACATACCGGCACGGCATCGTCTCTGTCCTCCACATCGTCGACGTTCTCTACGTCTGCGTGTTCTTCTGTCGCCTCGTCCGTCGCTGACGGCCCCCAGTTCCACCGTCTGGTGGCCGCACAGTTTCCACAGCACTCTTTGCACCATCACCACCAACTGGTGCACCACCACCAGAACGTCAGCGAAGAGGACCTGCACCGGACCGAGATGGCCACATTTGTGAACGGCCTGGTCGACGATCCGTTTGCGGATACCAACGCCTTCTTTGGTGGAGGTGGTGCCCCAGGGCCCCAGCCGCACCCGCAGCATGCCATGCTTGCTCTGCGCCCGCACGTCAAGACGGAGTATCCGCCACAACAGCAGCAGAAGCAGCCGCACCCGCACCTTCAGCCGCCGCCGCCCAGTGGTGTGAGCAGCGCGTGCTGGCCCTCTGTGATGCCGTCAGCGCCCAGCGGCAGGACTTCACCACAGCACATCCAAGATGAGGACAACGACATCACGCCTGTCACGAGTGCCATAAAAATTTCTGGGAGAAGCACGGGACACGGCCAGTTGGTCTCGCCGAGCGCGTACCTGGCAGACGCCGCGGCCAACATGTCCGGCTCCAACATTGTTGCCTCGGCCAGTGCCACAGCTGCCATGGCTGCCATGGCAGCTACCGTGGAGGACGACGCCTCTGCTATGGCAATGGACACCGATGAAGACTGGTGGCAGCAGTCCATCGTCGAGTCCGCCGTCGGTGACCCGCTGGAGCAGGCCAGTCAGGCCAGCGACGCCGACACCCTCTACACCACAAACGTCCACACTGGCTTCCCGCCCGAGTACATGGCTACCAACGCGCAGGCGTTTGATGTCAATGGCAACCTCTGCTACGGCATGCCCGACCTGGCCACCAACGGTCTCATGATCCACATGCCGCCTGCGGCCGGCACCACCACACCGGGCAGCCAGCAGAACCAGTACTACTTCCCGGGCGTCACCGGCGCACCACAGGGTACGGGCTACCCCCCGCCTCCGCCGGTTCCTGCTACTGAGTACGAGCACCGCCATGACCACCGCGCTACAGCCAACGGTGGCAGCCGTCGGCCCAAGCCGCGCGCCCCCTCGGCCGGTGCCCGTTACCATGGCAGCCGTGGCGACGGACTGCACTCTCCGCGCAAGCGGTCCAGTGTCAATAACCTGCCCAAGGTCAGCAGCGGTGACGATGGCTCCGGCATGTCGGCCGCCGCCATGACCGGACCCAGCACGCCACGTGGCCACCAGCTGGGCCGCCGCTCACACTCCATGCAGGCACTGCCGCGGACATCACCCACTCCCGGCAGTAGCAGCTTCAGCACCGTGCCCAGTGGTGCCACCACACCCTCTAGCCATGGCGCAATCCGCAAGCGCCGTTCGGCCAGCAACATGCGCCGCGTGTCCTCCACGCAGGGCATTACCAGCATGACGGCTGCGGCTGCCATTGCCACGGCAGTTGGCGCATCCACAGTCGAGCCCAAGACGCCCAGCCGTCGCCAGCGGTCTACCTCAGTCGAGGCCAACCGCCCACGGTCCGCTTCTTCCAACGGCGGCAGTTGTTTTGTCAACTTTACGCCCAACGACCACAGCCTGCTTATGAGCGGCGTCGCACCCAGCGGCTCGTCCAAGACCAAGGCCCGTCGCGAGCGCGAGCTGCAAGAAAAGACCCGCAAGTTCAGCGAGCGTCTTGTGCGTGCCGTGGCTGAGGCCGGTGGCACCGACGCCGCCATGCGCCAGCTCGAGGCCGAGGGTCTCAGCGATCTTAAGAGCATTGCTCTATGATTGTTGCCTCTCGTCACCCAACTTCCTTTGCTTATTTTCTTTCTTTTTCTTTTCTTCTCCATCTATCTCTTCTAGATCGTCTTGTGCTTCCTCGTCTTTTCTTTTCCTTGTGACTACATTTTTCTGACCTCTTTTATTTGTACTCTTGGCTCTCGTCTCTTGTACCATTTCTCTGGTTCTCCCTCTCTCTTTTTCTATCTCCTTGTATTATGTGTTTGCTCTTTCTTTTGCCTGTGTACTCTATCTCTTAATGACTTGAAAACGACTGCGAATTGGCTTTTCTTCATTATCAACCTTCTATTTTGCCTGACTTCATTAATATTTATCTTGTTTCCTATGTGTAACAACTACGTAACAAGCCCCGAAGGCTATTTGTTTTCCCAACTTTCCCTTGAATATTCCACCCCAAAAGAATGCGATGAATAAAAACTTCCAAACTGCCTCACAACTTACGTGTGTATTTCTGAGGTGAACTACAAATGTGAAGGATAAGAAGTACTTTAGAACAGTGATTGAAGTAAGAAAAAAGATAACTAGTGAAGCGTGATCTGTAGACTGAAAAAAAAGTTGACTGATAGTAAAGAGATGAAAGACAAAAAGAAAGTACCGCAGATGCGATAATGGACGATGTCGGTTGTGTACAGAGGGAATAGAGTAAGCCGTCCCTGATATGCAATGGGAGGAGGCTGGGGGGATGAAGCGTGGTGGTGACAAAAGAAATACTCGAACGCACTTCCGATACAGAAGACAAGAGAAAAGAGAACAAAAAAAAACTACCCTAGGCTTTAGTGTCGCCCTCCTTTCCTTAGACGCCTTTTTGACATGCTGTTTATAAAAAAGAGATTAAAAAAAGACCGAAAGACCAATAAAATTTCAACAAGCAAGGGACTGCTCTGCCAGATGCAGACAGACGTTCTTGCCAAGCACACGCTACCCAACAAATGGCTGGATGGGCCAGTCCGTCCAAGCACAATCAAACAACACAACTTTCACAATGCTTTGGAGCTCTGTTGGTGCCGCTGTAGCGTTCCCCTCTAGTGGTCGTAGCCGGCACCACGCTGCCATGGGCTGGCATTGTTCTGCTGGCGGAAGCCTGCCGGGCTGGCGTTGTTTTGTTGGCGGAAGCTGGCAGGGCTAGCGTTGTTCTGCTGGCGGAAACCGTTGCCACCGTTCGGTGGCCGGTAGCCGCCCGCCGACAGATTGGAAGCGGAGTTGTTGTACGGGCTCGGCGAGCGAGCGTTGCCAGGAACGGGGCCGTAGCCACCGTACGCTTGAGGCGCACCGCCCGAGTTCTGCAACGACGCGTGGCTGCGGTTGTCGGCAGGGAAGAGGGGCATGGACGGGTCCACGGGCGAGCGGGGCGGGTCGCGGTACAAGTTATTGTTGGGAGCCGCGACGCTATTGGCCGACGCCAAGTTGGGGTCGGTGCGGCGGCGCAGCGACTCGGACGAGATGGACTCGTTGTCATCGTCCAGGTCAAGGTTGGACTTGTAGCCAGCCTTGTCGCCACGGGCGGTAACAGCGAGGGCGTCCAGCTCAGTGGTCGTGTTGAGCTGCGTCTGCGACTTCATGAACGAGGCGCGGTCGTCGGCCATGAACTGGTACCGGGTATCGGGGTTCTTGCGGATGAAGACCAGAGTCGTCGTCACAATCAGCATAATCAGCAGCACCAGGGAGAAGACGGCGTTCATGATCCACAGAACGACACCCACAATGCCAATGACGAGGCCAGGCATGCCGAAGACGTCGGTGAAGATCAGCAGGAAAATGGCGTTGACAAAGTTGAAGACGCAAATGGCAATGTTGTAGGCGTTGGTCTTCTTGTCCATCCAGGGGCGGAGGACAGTGGCGGCGATCAGAGCAAAGGCCTCAAGCAGGATAAAGGCAATCGCCTGCACAACGCCCTTGGACTGGGCGAAGGCGACAAACATGCCCTTGACCAGGGTGTACACCAGCATGGGGACAATGTAGTAATAGGCCGAGGCACGGAACTGGACGTAGAGGAAACCCCACTTGTTCAGGGCCTGGGGGTCCGAGAACAGGATGTAAGCCGGGTTGCGGTGCATCGCGACGGAGCGGCGGGCGATCCGGATGACCTTGGAAGCGGCCCAGCCAAGCGTGATGAGCATGCCGAAGAAGAAGAAGACGGCCAGAACAACAATGGCAGGCGAGTCGACCTGGGTAAACTCCCACAGGCAGAGAATGCACATCTGGGGGAAGCCAATAAGCGTGACGCGGAAGAGGATGCCCTTGAGGACGGTGAACCAGCCGTTGCGGAACTCAAGGAACGTGTCGCTCTTGATCCAGCGCTGCTTGGCGGCAAGCTCGCAGAAGCCCTTGAAAGCAGCAACGCCGAGAATGACAACGACGACAAAGATGCAGAAGAAGGTCAGGCCCGTCAGAACCAAGTTCGTCGACTCAATACCGGCGACGTACGCGACGCGCTGGATACCGTACACAACGTAGCTGCCGGAGCTGTTAACCTCAAGAGTGGAGCGCTTCGCAACGGCGTTGGTCACAGCGCTGACACCGGTCGTCACATGGCGGACCAGGCTGCGCGGGGCCATGGCAATGTGGCGCGGCATGAACGAAATGGCGTTCGGAAGGTACTGCGAGGCGGCATCCGCAAGGCTGAGCGAGCGCTTCTCGACCTGGACGGAAACAGCCGTGAGCGAATTGAACAGCTGGGACGGCGTGCCGCCCGTGGCACGCTGGTACCAGGTGAAGATGGTCTGCATGAAGCCCACACGGATGATGCCCATACTCCACTGGAAGTCCTGCGTCCAGGACGAAGCAGCAGGCGGCAGCTTGACACCCGTCAGACCGAGCATGGCCTGGCCCTGGAAGTAGCTGAACAGAGACAGAGCGTTGGCGGCGACGTGGGACGCAGCGTTTGAGTGGCCCAGGCCCGAGACAACAGCCGAAGACGCCAGAGCCAGGCCAGCCACGATGGCGGTGGCCCACTTGACGCCGAGCAAGTTGACCGTCTTGCCGTTGGAGATGTCGGCCTCGACACAGGCAACGGTCTGGCCGGCCTGGTCACCTGATGTCATGTTGATGTAGACCTTGACGGTGGCGTCGAGATCCGGGAAGCTGTAAGCGATGCCGGGAATAACGTCGCTGGCATCGGAGCCGACTTGGATGTTGAACGTCATGGAAAGCTTGCCGGCGGTCATGGGGCAGAGACCGGCCAGGCCGGCGTCACAGGGGTTGACCGTGCGGCGGATGAGCTGCAGGCCGTAGGCGATAATGTTCACGTCGAACAGGACATGGCCCTCGATAGAGGAGACGGCGACCATGTTGACGCTGGCGGAGTTGTTGTTGGGCGTGAAGACGACATCGAAGAGACTGGCCGTGAAACCGGAGTTGGCCTGGCAAGTGTTGAGCGAGTTGGACTTTAGCAATTGGTCGGCCGAAGCCGCGGTGATGCTGAGCGCGCCGACCAAGGCAAAGAGGAGCGACCTCGCGGAAGACCACATGATTGCGGATAGAGGGGGACCGGGTGGTGGTGGTCCTCTGTTCGATTTGGTTGTGGTTGTCGAGTTGGAAGTCGATGGATAACGATTTACGTCTGGGAAATCATGGGTCGCTATTGAACGAGTCGTCGACGAAATCGATGCTGACGATACAAAAACGAGAGAAAATGCGAAAAGTTATTTTCACAGGCTAAGCGAGTGTCGAACGATGTGCAGGACGGTCGATGGCAAAGACGACGACCCACGACGACAAGCGAGGGAGGAAATTGACCGTTTTCAAGGGGGGGGGAGCGCGACCGCAGGCGAGAGGAAGGGAGGCCGAAGGGAGAGCCGGTTGCTGGCGAGTCGAAAACAAAAAGTGAGAGCGGCGATTGCACCACAGATAAAGAGCGAAGGAAACGCGGATGGGAGAGGGGACGAAATCAAAGTGGTGATGGACGGTTGGTGATGATGAAAACGAGAGGAAGTGGACAATGACGAGAGGAAAAGGAGGAAAGCGAGAGCATGGACCGCCTCCTTCTGTTTTTCCTTTGTGGTACGGTGGTGGTTGGTGTCTGTCTCTGGCTGGCAGGAGCAAAGGGGAGTTACGAGGGAAAAGACAAGGACATGGCCGGGGGCAGGAGCAACAGAGCAAACAGGGAAGGCCGGGGCCACAAAAAGTGGGTGCCAGTGTATCTTACGTAGCCAGCGAGAGGGCCGTGGCTACTTCTGGATTGGGACGAATTGAGACCTGGACAGTCGCTGAAGCTCGTACTCGGGCGGAGCGAAGTGGTGACAGTGCAGGAGAGGCACCAAACCACACCCAAGCGCACAGAAGTCTGGGACGAGCAGGTCAGGAGAGCGACTGGGGTGTGGGCGCATCCATGCATGGACAAATGAAAGTGCGGGATAGAGGGGGTGAAGGGTGTGCCAATAGCGATTGGACTGTTAACAGGGGCATTAATGGGCGCCCGACGCCTGTAGAGCGCGGATAGCGTGCTGCTGTAGCCTGTAGAGTATGCGTACGAATACAGTAATGCACACTGAATGTCCCCTGGAGCCCCTCCTGTTTATCGCTATTAATGATGGTGCCCGACCGGCGTTCCACCCACACGGTGGCCACAGGTGCTGGGGTACATGCCGCTGCTACGTCTGGCGTTGCACTAAATATGTACCATAACACAGTGTGCATATTTGTGGGATTCTTGTTACCCGCAATAATGTATCTCACCACGATTATTATGGGAGAGAGTACATCTTCATGCCTCTTCTCCAGTATAGACACTGTGTGTCACCTCGTATTGAAGAGAAATCAAATGCAGCGCCGAGCCAGCCGGTCAAGGGCGTCGCATGGAATCTTTTCAGTTCTCGTTGCAATGCATCTCGTGTGTGTTTTTTGCATCGACTTATCGGGCGCGTTTGTCGTTTGTCATAATTCGTACGTGGCTGCGCCGTATTCTGAACGGCGGCGCCGTGTGCATTTCGTCCCTATTTTCGGCTTTGGATGCTGTTTCTGGTTTCGTATTGCGGTCGCTGACGAAGAACCGTCTCGTAGTCGTAGGCTTGGATGACAGGCCGTCGTTTTGCAAGGGTGTGTTGCCTGCCTCGATCTTTGGTTCTTTTGTCTCTTGTCTTGGTTGCGCACTTCCTTGTTGTCTCGCCACACTGCGACACCTTTTCCTGCATCGTGCTTCTTTCAGGTGCTTCTTTCAGGTGCTTTGCTTCTTTCAGGTCCTTCTTTCAGGTCCTTCCTGGGCTTTCACAGTGCACATCACTATCAGAACACGACGGCTGCTTGGTGACCCTCGTTGACATCTTTCCCCCATTTTTTCTTGCGCTCTTTGTTTCTTAATTTAGATGCAATGTCGCGCGTTTTTTTTTTTTTGCCTCTAGGCCAGACCTGGACAACTGGACTTGCTGGCCTGTCCTTCACGTCGTCTTGGCGCCTTGGCTCTTCGACTACCTCTACTCCTCTACTCCTCTACTCTTGTGCCCAGGAATTGATCTCTCACTCTTTCTTGCCAATTGGGGCGTGCCCCGGCCCACTTGCAGAACACTTGCACCCCTGAGCGCAGTGGGGAAGGAGCGTTCACCAGTAGAGATAAAATAGGAAGCGACAAAGGAGAGCGAGAAGTGATTGCAAGGTGACGCGCACTCCAGTGAAGGAGCGGCCTGGCACAGTGCTACATGCGTTGCAACACTGTCTTCTTGGGCGCAATTGATACGAGCTTACTCCGTATTAATTCTCGGGTCGCTTTGGGAAACGCACCTTCCCGGATTGTTCAGGGGAATGGAGGCCCAGAAATCAGGAGACAATGCCAAAATTCCAAAATACCAAAATACCAAAATACGGGGAAGGCGCGTCGCAACGAACGAAATGAAGCTTCTCTCCCCATTCTGCACTGCCACCATCGGCTCGTGTTTGGGAGCTGTTTGGAACAAGACAAAGGGACATTGGAAAGGAGGCCCCAAGCCGAACGGCCTGCAGCTCTCAGCTCTCAGCTCTCAGGCTGGCTGTTGCCCATAGTTCAGCCAGATTCAGCGTCGGCTATCTTGAAACACGGCGAACAAGCCCATCCTGAGGCCCAAGAGCGCGATGTGGTCCTTGGAACAACGAAAGAGAGTATTACGGCGTACTGTTGTGACAACAGGCACAGGGCTGTCCTGCAACGATACGGGTGATGCAGTGTTGCTCAGAACGCGTGGTCAGCCGCCGGACGACCAGCCTTTCGGTCCAGCCAAGGTCTATTGGCTGGCGAGTCTTCCAACAACAAGATCAAAGAAGACAACAGAGTCTCAGGAGGTGGGGACATTCGCTTGTAGCCTGTCTCAAAACACCAATTGTCAGAGGCCAGCGGCCGCATGTCACTTCCAGAGCACGACGGCTACCAAGGCCAGGCCATCAAAAGATTCATTTGACCAGGAATCCGATACACGACTCCGTCTGCAAAGGTCGTGCCTGCGTCTGCGTACGACTGCATTGTCGCGCGTGCTCCATCAGAACACAAATCGCAATCTTAGTTGCACAGCCACGCAGTTGTTACGAACAAAAGGGGTGGAGGAACAGTGGGACAACTGGGCACACGCTCTAATAACAGAGCAAAGGGCCAATCACAGTATGGGACCGTCGCCGACAACGATCGATTTGTCTGCGTAATGTTTGGGGAGTCGTAACAAAGAGAGCACTCAAATGATCGACAAGACATAAGAAGATAGACGTGGATTGAGACAAGAACGACAAACACCAAGCCTCTCGACCAAAGTCCAAATAAAGGACGACGCCCGACGACGGACACAACACGGTACTAGGGCTCTTCGAAACGATGAATGAGGCTGTACACCCACGAAAGGACTGTGGTCGATGTCATCTGTCGGCACTGACTGGAATGCGATACTGGGGCGGCTGCTCGGGCAAAAGAGCAGAAGCCAGAGGAACGGGGGCTGGCCCGTATTGATACGGCTTGACTTGATGCACGGCGCGAGACGCTGTACTGTTGTAATCCATCCGAGATGCCAGTCGGGGTGGGAAATACAGTTTGTCTTCCTACCCCTCCGATCATCGACATCTGGATCCGGCCAAATCTTGTCGACACTTTTTGGATGCCTGACGGGATGAACGGACGATAGAACTGACCGACAGCTTCACAAATCAAAACTTGGGGACGGATAACACGAATTCTTGGCAGTCTGCGACCCGAGCTGTGTTTTGGGTCGCCGGTCGATGTGATGCACTCGCTCTCTTGGATGGCAGAGCCCGGCCGGATCCCGTTCTGCCCGATCCAGGTAAAGGGAACGAGAACGCACGCCGGACAAGGCAGCATGTGCTCTTGTTGCAGAAATAAAATTAAAGTTGTCAGAGGACGAGGCAAAGAAATGGAAAACAAGGTTTAAACTCAGGGTCGCAGGGTCCAGACGATCGAGTCCGTTGGGAGCTCTTGGGAGCTCTTGGGAGACAAAACGTGGGAGACGGCCGAATCAGAAACAAACGAGGGGAGCCCGCAAGGGAGCCCCTTCGCGATCATCAAACATGACCATGAACACTCTCTAGAGAGAAGAGGGCTGCATAGGGGGTTGGCTGGCGGCTGCATCTAGGCCCAGCCATCCACGCAGTGTGTGACCGTGGTCATGAGGAACAGACAAGAGAGGCATCTATGGTTCTGGTTGATCTGCGAGGCTTTTGTGGTGTGAACGTCGAGAGTCGTGATTTTCACTCTGTGCGTATTGTATTTTCTGTTTAACCTTTCTCGCATCCATTTTCTTTTTCACTTTCAGTGAGCTACGGCGTACTTCGTACTCTGTACGGAGTACTGCGGCACTCAACCTTGACAACGTACGTGTGCCTTGCGCTGTGTCTATTCCAAACAGCGAAAAGGGGCCGCTCCCAGTTTTGAAACAGCGCGGAACAAGACACCTGGGGCGTGCCACTTTTGCCGCCTTTACCCATTTTGCTACAATGCACTGCGAGACGGAAAAGAAAGGCACGGTAGTGCGACGTACACCGTTGGGGGGGCAATCTATTCGATAGTGAGGCGTGTGCAGAAAAGCCGGAAAGGGAGATCGTGACAGCGAGGAGTTGGAAGAGGCCAAGCCGGGAAGGATCGACGACGGATTGCCTTGTGTTTACTACGTGTGCTTTATTTAATCTATTCTGCTGTGTGAGTATGGAGTATGCGCTGCAGTTCGCGGGCAGAGGCGAGCGGGCCAAGCAAATAAGGATGGATGCCGCAGGGCGGCATGTGTAATATGAACAAACTGGTGATGCCTTCTTTTCGTGGAGGAAAAATCCTGCTTAATCAACAGCAATCTCGCAACCCAGAAATCCGGGACTGCTTGGCTTTTTGGTCGGTAGGACGTCATAGTCACGAGATGCGATGGCATGAAAATGGACGGGCCATCAAAGAGAGAGAAGTACAAAAAGTAAAATAAACCAAATATTTTTAAAATACGTATATTGCTTTTTTATTTTTATTCGTAATATTTCATATGCACGCAGACCTCGTCGTATCTATGCATACAATAGTAAAAAACACATAAATTAAAACATATGTCACTAATCGCAAGTTAAACAATTCATCAAAATCGACTGGAATACATTTGACATATGTTACATGAGAGACAGATGCATTATAGTCCATGTCTGTGAACATGCTTCTGGATATCATTTCCACGCCTTTTCGCCAGGACAACATGTCATAGTAAAACACCAAAACGCCTGAATAGACTTGACAACATCACCACAACTCGAGCTCTGCCGCGCACATCTACAGCCACTCCTCGGGCTGATCGTTCCACGGCTTGTTGCTTCGCGAGTAGTCGTAGCCCAGCTTGTAGCTGCTCATCAGCTCCTCCTGGTCCACGCCACAGTGCGTCTGTCCGTCACGGCCCTCGAACCATCCCAGCCCGTACTTGTGGCCCATCGCCTCGAGCTTGACCAGCATCTCGGCATTGCTGCTCTTGCTCGTGCCCACAAAGCTCCACAGCATCTTGCTCTGGTGGATGTACGCAAGCACCGACGCGATCGTGTTGGGCTGCCGAGGCAGGAATGACCGCCGCCGCCGGATAAACACCACTGTCGCCACGATGCTCATATACGACAGGATAAATGTGACGAGGCCGAGCGTCAACCAAAACGACAGCGCCGTCTCCTCACCGCTGTCCGCATCGGTGTCCGCCGTGGGAGACGACGCGCCCGTTCCGATAAAGTCGTGACCCTCGACTGTGGCTAGCGACGTCACCAATACTGTCAGAACTTCGGTCATGACCGTGCCGAAGCCCACAAAGAACACCAAGTAATGTCCGTTCTTGAGCGCCTGCAGCGCCACCCACAGGAAGGGCATCGCCGTGTAGTCGAGAGTCAGCGTCTTGGCCGGTGCGTGCCGGCGCCACAGGATGTAGTATGGTTCCATCATGCGCACCGATGTCTCCAGACCGCCCCAGCCGAGCTTGATCGCGACGGCCAGCGCGGTCAGCAGCCACGCCGCCTTGTCGGTCAGCACGTTGGCCGGCGTGAAGAGCACAATGGGAATCAGCGCCGCGAACAACAGAATGCCGGCAATGTAGGGGATGCAGCCCCGTGCGCGCAGCATCAGTGGGTGTGGGTTCTCAGACATGTGGCTGTCAAACTCCTTGTAGCGCTCGCGCTCGGCCAGCGAGACTGGGTTTTCGTCGTCGGGCGCCAGTGAGGAGTTGCGCAGCACGTACCGGTGGTCCTTGAGCTTGTTGTGGATCTCCTTGTGCGTGACAAGATCCATACCTTTGAAGTCGGTCATGATATGGCTGACAACGGCCATGGACGCAAGACCCGCAATGCCCTTGACGTCCGACATGAGGCCCGAGCGCCGTCGCTGGAGCAGAAAGAACAGCACACAGCCCAGCGCGGCGATCACAAAGAGAACGACGGTCAAGAACCGGGACCACACGGCACCAATCACCACTTGTTTCTCGCCCTGGGGGCTCGCCAGCCGCGCGTCGCGATTCGGGGTCAGCACGATGGTCGCGGCGCTGAGCGTCGGCACGAGGGACACGGCCAGCAGCGACGCAATGGAAGACACGGCCACCGCATAATGCTTGCAGTAGAGGGCGCGGAAGGGCCGGAAGAAAGTAAAGTACGTCACATAGTCCACGTTGATGGACTCGTCCGCCACGGCACCGTCCCCCTTGCTCATCTGATAGAACGCTTCGAGCCGCTTGACTTCAAAGTCGGTGATCTGCCAAAGAACGCCGAACGTAACGGCGACAATGGTCGGCACAAACTTGACCGTGAAGTAGAGCCCGCCCGGAATTTCCTCAGGAGAGTGGAACTTGACCAGCGGCCGTTTCAATGACATGCGGTAGATGAGCTCCTGTGCAACGCCAAGCACAATCGACAGAAGAATCAAGGTCATGAGATAAGGCCATCGCATGGAAAAGGGTCGCCAGTTGGGCTGCGGGTAAAACACCTGCGTCCTCTGCGTTCCGTCGGTGGTGCCCATGCGTAATGGGATGGACGACTGCCGCCGATTCGCGCTGCTCATGCTGCCACCCGAAAGGGGATCGGGCCCCTCGGGGCCCGACATCACGCTCAAGTCGACCTTGGAGCCGACGTTGGCGATGTCGGAATCATCGTTGGCTGTATCGTCGCTAAGGTTTCGACTATGTCCATTGTCTCGATTGTTGGTCGTGGTATCGTCCTCCTCCTCCTCTTCCATAATGATTTCGACGATTTCACCCCTCCGGTTGGCCTCGCTCTGTGCGAGTGCCCGCACAGTGCCCTGTCGGGACAGCTGGCTGGTGCTGGTGGGCGAGCCGGCGGCGGGTGTGAGTGGCGTGGAGGCCGAGGCAGATGCCGCAGACGAGGACGCCCATCTTCTAGACAGCGTCCGGCGCAGCGACGTTCCGCGGCCCGAGCCAAAGATTGACGTGGGGCTGTTTGCCGACGTGGTGTGGTGGTCAGAATGAGAGGCGTTGGCCAGCAGCTCCGACTCCTTAAGCTTCGCTCCTGGTTCAAAACCCGCTCCCAGGCCCATTGTCAGCGTTCCTTGAGCCTCCTGTTCATGGAGACGCTTGATAAACGCCTCGTCTTGACCCGTTGTTGGGCCAAAGAAGCTAGACAGGTCTACGGGGACACTGCTGGACGCCATACCGCCTGCGCTCCGTTGGGGCGGCATATTGTCGTCGCCGTTCTCCATGTCGTGCTCGGCTAGGCGAGAGTATGGCTTGGACGAGGTCGGCGACATGCTGATAGGTGCTGCATTCTGAACCAAGCTGGTCATGTCGATGCTTTCCCTCGTGCCACCGTACGGCCCTTCTTCCATTATGGTACTATGTGATGAATTGGCGCGGCGCATGCTCTGCCGCCGTCCGGAGAGCATGTTGCTGAGCCGACGGGTGATTGTGGCGCCCGCAACTGTGGGTGCAGAGCCAGCACCATATCCAGAGTTGTACGTTGAGTATGGAGCCGGTTCGGATGCAACTGTGGACACTGCCCACGCACCGCCACCACCACCCTGTGTTGTCGGTGGAAGATCTCTATATTGAAGAACTGGTGGTACAGTGGAGGTCGGTGCCAAAGGCACGGGCGTTGACGGGGCCACAGCTGGCAATATTGTCGGTGGACTACCTGTATATTGCAAAACTGGCGGTACGGTCGAGATCGGCGCAGATGGTACTGGAGTTAACGGAGCCACTGCTGGCAATGTTGTCGGAGGGAGGGCAGTTGGCGGAGCGGCTGGTATTGGTACTCTCGTGTAAGCGTTGAGGGATTCATCATAGACGAGCGAGTCGAGGGATACAAGCGACGGACGACCGCGTAGGGTCGGCTGCGGGTCGTATGGAGACGGCGCAGCCGCTTGCTGGGCGCCATAGTTGTCATAGTCGGCAATGTCCGAGAGGCTGGAGATGCGATGGCCAACTGTGTCTTGAGATCCCTGTGATCGGTTGAGAGGAGGCGCGTTGCTAGGTGTGGCAGACCCGGACGAGGGCACGGAGACGGAAGCGGAGGATGGTGCTGGAGGAACGTGGCCCGGGGCCCATGTAGAGCCGTACGGATCCATGGCCTCTTATGCGCACATGGTATTAAGAAGGACGAGGAAGAGAGGAGGATGGTGAGGAACAAGGAAAATGTTGGAAGGTAGCAAACGAGGTAAACAGGCGCTAAGCCAAACAGAGGAGTACAGGCACTGCCCTCGACTGGCTATGTTTATAGGTATCTTTTGTCGTGTTTGCTGCTTTACTGAGACAGGCGCAACGAATTAAGAAGAGTCGTCAAGACGGTCGGTGCAGACTGAACAGAGTGGCCAACAGCGTAAATACTGGCGGAGGATGTGCCTGAAACGAGTGGCTTGCTGCTTTTCCCTTCGCGTGATGTGGTTGGCGGGGATAGGATTGTCGGCTGGTCGAGATCCGCGGTAGTGGCATGCGATATCAAAAAAGGAAAAAAAAAAAAAAAAAAAGAAAAGATAGACAGAAAGAAAAGAAGAGAAAAAAAAAGCAACGGCAGCGAAAGACCGAGTATCGTGGAATGGGAGGGAGAAAATGCGGCTGATGTGGACGAAAGATTAAGGTAAATCTAAAAACAGCTCTAGCAAGACAAAGACAGCGATCACCGGGTATCTTTGGACTGAAAAGGGTAGTCTAGCCGGCTCTAATGAGACCTTTGGTGAGGAAATGGGACTGGACCAGGGGGTAGGTGAGAAGGTATTCGTCGAGGAGGGGGGAATCCGTCAGCAGTGCTGACACCAGTGGTGATTGGAGGCGACGACCTCTAGTTCGTTTTGCCAGGCCGCGCATGCAGGCCGTCTGTGGACGCAACGGAGATGTATAGGATGCGATGATCGAAGCGAAGGACACAATGGCGATAATGAAAAGAAGAGAGGAGAGGAGAGCGACCCGAAAAGAAGGAGGACAGTAGTAGATGGAAACAGCAACAAGCGGAGGGAAGTTGCGGAAAGAGCTCCTGGAAGGTACTGCTGGAGAAACAAAGGCAAGAGCAGAAAGGGGGAAAGCGCGACAGGGCTGAAGCGCCGCCCACGGGACGAGCGACCGTTTGACACTGGGAAAAGAAAAAGGGAAGTTGCTACGGCCGTCCTGTTGGCAGATTGCTCCTTCCCTGGATTTGTATCAAGGCCTCGATCTCGCTATACAGGGCAACAGCAGCAACACCACGTTGCGTACCCATGCAACGTATTGAAGGAAGGTACACCTTGCCATGCCTTCCGAATAAGATGCAACAAGCGCCGCATTCGCTTTCACCTACACATGCAAAATGGCCCCGATATTGGTCGGTATTTTACGATTTAGAAAGACGCTTCAACGCAGCCGCGACGTCGTAACGGAGGACGAAGCGGCTCTTTCGTGTGTGGTCCGACACGCTTCCAACAGCCAAAATTTATTGGCGGCCAGCGGGAGGCCTACGACAACGGCCGCCCTAAGACAAGCGCTAGCGCGCCGCGTTCGTTTGACAGATGTACGGAAGGGACGACGGGCCTGCTGGCCAGGAACTGGGGCAGGCACTGGCCAACCACTGGCCCAGCCAGCGACCCGCGCAGTTGAGAAATCGACACGGGGCTTGGGAAGGGCTGGTGGGGCATCCCTATGCACCCTCGTTAGCGACTGGGACGACCCAATCGCCTGACGACATAGGACCTGCCATTGCCTGCCGCACCACCTTGCGCATTTGGCCGATTTCGTGAGCAATCGTGCTGCAATTGTTTTGCTGCTGGGAGAGGTGCCAAGTCTAAATTTAGGCGGGCTGTGCTCCTTCCCTCCCAAAAAGACCACACCAACGAAAGGAAGTAACGATGCACACTTTTTGATCGAATGCAGGGCGCGCACCTTCTCTGCGAACTTGACTTCGCACATGCCTGAGCTGGTCGTGGAAGGAACCTGCAAATGGAAAGAACGGACGCCGAAAATACGGTGCCTGCCGTGCGAACAACTTTTTGAACCAGATGTTTCTATTTTCTGTCATCGTCTGCTTTGCTTGCTGTTTTCTGGTTTCTTAATGGGCCCGGATTGCCGCGTTCTGTTTTTCGTCTCAGATACGTTGTGCCACAACGTCGCTCGTTTTTACGAGGCTCTCGAACTGGTAGGGTACCACTGCATGGCCCCCATCGGACAACCCTCCATCATGCACGCTTGTCTTGTCTTTTTCGAATATCTTTTTTGGGAAATGTTATCATTTGCTGTTGCGTTTGATTTTGCTTGCTTTTCCTCTGCTATCTGCTCTTGCTTTTTGTGTTCGCTCACCCAATTTTGATAGCTCCTCGACTCTCTTCTTCCCCCTCTTTACCTGAGGTGTCGTCACTCTCGAGTGGTAGCTGCAATGTTTGCAGCGCGTTCGGCGCGTGCTCGCTCGCCAGGATGACTGCGCCAGCCTTGGATGTGGACAGGTAGGACAGCTCGGGCAGCTCGGCCGGCGCGTTGTCGTTTTTGCCCATCTCGGCAACCAACTTGCCAGCGACGCCCGAGACAATACCCGTGGCCTCAAAGGGCAGTGTGACGAGGTCGAGGAAGATGGGTGCGAGGTCGCCGGCGACGTCGCCGACCAGTGCACTGCCAAACAGCGGCAGCAGCGTCTTGTCGAGCAGGACGGACGGCGGGTCGGGCGCGGCCAGTGTGACGGACAAGAAGCGCGGGGGCAGCGCCAGGGCGGCCACCAAACAAGTGTAGAAGCGTGTGTCTACGGTGTCGACCCAGCTTTCCCGCTGCTGCGTGCCGCGACGCTGGGGCCCGTGGCCGCCGAGGTGGTGGCCGCCGCCGCCGCTGCCACCACCGCCTCCTCCTGCACCTCCACCGCCGCTGCCACTGCCGCCGCTCGTGATGCCCTTGCCAGAGCAGTGCGCCAAGTTCAGACCAGGGACAATGTATGGTACGACGTTCCGTTTTCGCAGCAGGTTGAATGTGCGGTGCTGCAGCTCGGCCGGGTTGGTGGGTAGCGGATCGAGGTCGACCTGGTGGAGCGACGGCAGGCTGGCGATGTTGCTGCTCATATTGTTTCCGCTGCTTCTGTTGCTGGGCCCGCCGCGCTGGTGATGCGTCTGGGACTGCGGGTGTGACAGCGAGCCCGGCGAGACAAACGACGACTCGAGCTCGGAGAATTCAAAACCACGGGACAGTAGCGCCCGGAGGACACTTTGGCGGTCTTTGCTGGGCACAAGTATAAAGTCGGAGTAGTATGTGGTGATAAAGAAGAGGGGGATGCCGGCCAGAGCGAGTGGCGACGACAGATCGACAACACGCGAGCCGGCGTCCATGCCGCCGCTCATGACACAAAGTGCTATGTAGGCTTCCTTGGCAATGGACACGGTATTGAGCACGTCGGCAGGCAGGTGCTCGGTGGCGGCCTGGAGTGCTGGCGCAAAGACGTGGGTCGCCCAATAGGTGTGGCAGACGATGGAGCACTCAACGGGGGTGATACTGAGATTGAAGAAGGCGTGGGTGTACTCGGATGTGAGGCCCCCGGGCGGGTCGGGGTCATCCTCTGGCTTGGAGAGGCTGTGCGCCTGGGGCAGGAGCATCTGCAAGATGGGCTGGAAGAAGACCGAATACAGGTCCAATGGAATGTGGATGAGGCTCAGCTCGCCATCCTATGGTTGTTAGCCAAGAGGCACTGTGAGGCAGTAAGGCACTGAAGTTGTGATGCCGCAGCGTCGTGATGTTAAGCGGACTCACCAGAAACGAAACCTGGGCATTCATCCTGTGCCAGAGGTTTTGCCCCGCCAGGCAGGGTGCGTTTCCGTGATGCTGAGAGACTGAAACGTGCGTTTAGGTGTTGTGGTTGCTAGTTGTTTGGTCGTATCAGGGAGACGCTGCTTTAGGCGATGGTTCGGTGAAGCTTTTTTGAGTCGTGACCAGTCACTGTAAGATGGCGACAAAAGAAGGTAAGACAAGAATACAGCAGGTCCAGTGACAAAGCCGAAACGAAGACAACAGCATCAAAAAAGAAACAAAGATGAGCCGGTCCGGATGCGTGTCTTGGGAACCGTATGCCGATAAAGAATGTAGTTCGTATTATGGCGATGCATTATCACAATGGTATAATGCTATCGCCAGTGGCCGACTAGTGGTGGAGCCTTGCGTGATCACTGGAACGACGTAAGAGAAAATCGATCAATCAGTAATAGCTTTCGATGGGCCCCAAATTGGCGGCGATAAAGGAGAACAACTGGGGAAAAAGGACAAGGAGGGAGCTCCAACAGCCGGACCAAGACTAAGATGACGTTCAGAAGGCGTTAAAGCAGCGTTGTGGCGGCCGTGGGGAAGCTAAAAAAGAGGGATCTAAGAAGGAGTCCGAGATAGGAAATAGGAATGAACGAGAGTGGGACAACATGAGAAAAAACCGGCAGGGAATTGAAAAACGAATCAAAGGCTCCAGCTGCACACGGTGAGAGTTCGTTTTCAACGTCCCATTTCGATAAGGAAGCCGTCAAGACGACAGGACGAGACGTTATGTGGCACTGACACCATGAAGCGAGGAGCTAGTGACGAATATGCAGAATGTGCAGAATATGCAGAACATACAGAAAACGTGCAGCCGTTGTTGCGGAGGGGAAAAAAAGAAGGTTAAAAGAAGGACAGAAAAAGAAACTAATGTCACATACAATGAAATAAGGTAATGAGCTGTCGTAAATTGGCTGGCGCCGGCATCTCAGGGGAAACGCGTCGTGGTCCGAGTTGTGCAGGGGGGGATGTGGAGCCTTTTCTTTTTCTTTTTCTTTTTTTTATACAGAAAAAAGAACTTATCTTACCGCTTTTCATTTCCTTTTTCCCTTTTATATTGCAGAGGGCCAACAAAAGGCCGCAGGATGTCACGACAGACTGCGATTTCGGTGGCCAGAAGACAAACTGAGGAGGTGAGAAAGTGGGAGACGGAGATAGATAAGAGATGGAACGTGAGTTAACAATGGGGAACTTGATATTCCGTCAATAGCCGTGAAATATCAGAGTTTTGTCAGGGTGGAAATTAAGTGGTTATGTGAATTGCTTTCCGCAGGCTGCTTGTCTTAGTTGACAACCCGGGAAGGAGTCAAAGACAGTTGTGAACTCGAGATGGTCCGAGTTGCGGAAGGTGCGAGTGCAAGTATCAGCGAAAACGGAAGGAAGCTGCGGTGGACCCACCATCCGAGGACAACCGTCAATTGCGTTTATGGGGAAGAGGGCGAGCACGGCGAGCAGGGTGGACGATACGAAGAAGCAAAGGCAAGGTCAAAATGAGGTGATCACCGCAACGACTTCTTTGGATAAGAAGGGTGGGAGAGAGGGCACAGGGAACGACGAGGGCCGCCATATTAAAGAACATCGGCTGCTCGTGATCACAAGAGGGGAAGCAACAACGAAGCAAACCAACAAAGCAGAAACGTTGCAAAATGCCGAATGAAAACGAGGGGAATGTACCCCCACGCTCAGGAACGGGCTGTCCTCGTGGGGAGGGGCGATTGGGGTCAGATGGCCTCGCTGCCCAAAGTGCATCTTGAGCGAGACGACAATAACGCCACGGACTATTAGACGATGACCAAAGCAGTCGCATCGTGGTGGTAATCCTGACGGTAATCCTGGTGGTGACCTGCCATCCTGGAGTGAAACGACGGATTCGGGTGACAAGCGAGCTGTGTTTTGTGGTCCAGACCGGGTCGGACGATGAACTGACCGGTAAGAGACAAGTACTAAGCTGAAGGCCAATACGCAGCAAACATGTCAAAACCATAAGGCTACGAACAAAAATAGTGATAGATAGAAACCCAAACACGGCGCCCATGCGATTATGCCTATAAAATATGTCCCATGTCCATCTGGTAGTCTACACAGGCTCGCACACAGGCCCACCGTCGCCTCGGATGCCCACGACCACGAGGTTGCGCGGGCTCTGGTCGTACGAAAAGACACTCTCGACCCAGCAGTCGCGCACCAGCCCGCGTGCTTGCAACTCACGCAGGTACTGCCAGCGGTCGGCGACGATGGCTGACTCGACGACGCCGGCGCTGAAAGCCATGAGCGACCACACGGCGCTCAGTTCGCGCCGCCGCCGCGCATTGCCGCCGAAGCGCACATTGTACTCCTCTAGATCGGCATCCGTCAACCCAGCCATCTTTTCGGCGACAGCTGCGTTGACTGCGGCGTTCTCGGCCGACGAGGCAGCGCCATAGCCGTTCCCCTGTGCGGCCATCTTGGCCACGGCGCCGCGCACGTAAGCTGGGAGCGATGCGTAGCACGCCTTGCGCAGCGAGCCGACAATAATGGGCGTGACGGCGGTGCCACTCTCGTCGCCGGGAGCATTGTCGCTCTTCGCCGTGTCTCCCAGCCGGACTCTCTGCAGCACACCCCGGTCTAGGAAAATGCGCTGCAGGATGGCGCGGTAAAAGTGGCGCGTGAAAAAGGCCTCACTCTCGGCCTCGGTCCAGTTGGCCGGCGCCTGGCACGCCATCATGCGTGCCGTGATATTGAACCGGATCCCTTCATCGGCGTCTGCTTCCGGTGTATATTTAGCAAACCGCTCGCTCATGGGGAAGCCTTCCGGGTCCCGCCGCTCCTCCTCGCGCACGACGCGACCGTTGACCGGCTGCAGTGTCGGACGCCGCTGCATTCCCGGCACCTTGTAGGTCGGTGGACCCAGTCGCTCCGTCAATAGGTTGTAGCAACAGCCAACAATAGCAACGGCTCTGACGGCCGGGTTGAGCTCCAGTGCACGCAGGCCGTAGTGCGACAGGTTGCCACACGAGTGAATGGAGACTGTGAGGAAGCTAGACGGGCTGCTGAGGTTGCTGTCTTTCTCGCTTTCTCCATTTTCATTTTCTTGCCGTAACGGTTGGACCTGAGCGAGAATGTGCGACAGGTCGCCGTTCTCCAGCCGGCCCTCGACATACTGGATGAGGTTGTCTGCCTCAGCTGCCATCTCCCTATCCTTATCTTTTTGTGACTGTTTCTGGCTTTGATTCTCCTGGATCTGTGCGTACGCTTCCGCGGCAATCTCGTTCCTGGACCGCATGTCGGCCACGATCGTTGGCTTTGGCACTGTCGCCGCTGTCTGTTCGGATGGGCCCGTCGGGTCCGCTTCACCACGTTCACTCCCTTCACCTTCGTCACCATCTTCACCCTCTTTCTCGTCGTCGCCATCCTTCTCGACCTTTCCACGCTCTAATTTTGCAACCCGGTTCCGCACTTTGTCCGTCTGCTTGGCCGCCGCGCCCTTTTGGCTCAGCAGCTGCTGCTGGTACAGCTTCTTGTTGCGCATTGGCCGCACTGGCGCCGCCATCACGCCGGTCATCATGTCCAGACCCTTGGCACCGGCAATGTTGTGGCCCTTGCTCTCGACTGCAACAACGCCACGACGAAGACGCCTGCTCTCACCGCCACTGGCCCTCGATTTGCTGGCCAATGCGCGCCCGAGATAGTTCTGTCCGCTGCCGACGTCCACTAGATGCGTAATGGGCGTAGTCGGCATATCGCCTGACAGAGCGTCCGCCAAGCGATCCACATACTCGGAAAACTGCGTCACCTCGTGTATCTTCTTGACATTCATGCCCATGGTAATTTTGCGCGGCAGTTTCGCTGTCGTAGCCGCAGCCGCCGTCGCCGGCGGCAAGTTTCGCCGCAGACTGAACCGCCGCACGTCGTGGACGTAGTGGACGAGGCTGGGTGGCGGTGGGACGCGGCCACCGCTGGAAGATATAGCTGCAACAGACGCATCGACGTCGTCTCGCAGCAAAAAGTCGAGCAGCTCCATGGGCGTGCGATCCAGTAGAAATGGCTGCCAGTCGGCCGGAACTACCGAATAGAAAAGGCCCGGTTCTGTCGTGTAAAAATCCATAATGTGCACGCCGCCGCACAGCACTTGAAATACGGGCGTTGACGCCACATAGTGTAGCAGTTGCTCGACGTAGTCGTCTGCCGATGCGAAGTCGTCCGCGTACGGCAGCGACCTTTCTGGTCTCATGGCGGCTGGGGCGCCCCTGAGCGTCTATGACAGTGTCTCTGAGATGCAGCTACGCAGCTTTGCGCTACGACACCATCCTAGTAGTCAAACGAAAAACGCTTGGACTTGAAGATGATGATCTTGAGTCCAAAGGTGGTGTAGTTAAAAATTAAGGCGTCGTCCTGTGGGGTCGTAGTAGGGCATGAAATAGAGAAGCAAAACAGATCAAAAACATTCGTGAAAAGTAATAACAAACTGAATTGAAGCCAGGCACCAAAATTCAACCTATCGTTGACGTAAGTCTGCCGTGCGTTTTGTTGTTGTTGTTGTCAATTTGATATCACAGCCTGGCTATACTGAAAAATTAGGGCCTTTGTGGCCGCTATTGGCTATTGGACGGCAGGAGCAAGGCTGGCTCACAGGCCGTTGCTTCCTGGCCAATCACAACCCTGCACTGGCCGCAAAAATGCAAGTACCCACTTTTCCAGCTTCAATAGGCCAAATTTTCGAGATGCATTCCGACAAATACCTTTAGTCGAACCATCGCCATCGCTATTGACCTCGATCACGGGCCGTTCTCACGACGAACGACCCGATAACGACGATCCGACTTTTGTACAACTCAACCCACCCACACAGACACTGCTGCTGGTCCCCTTCCGGCACCACAGCAACCCTCCAACCGCCAAGATGGTTTTCATCCTCGGCGTCAACTTTCACGAGATGAAGCTCGTCCAGGTGCGGACCTCCACTACCCTCGGCCGTCGTCGTAGTGCTCCGTCTCTCCCGTCCTTTATTCACTCGCTGACTCCTACCCAGAAAGCACTGCAGAGATTCTACGCTATCGGCCCGCAGACGTCGGCCCGCATCCTCGCCAAATTCTCCATCCACCCGCGTGCAAAGATCGGCTCCTTGCCGGCCAAGACCATCACAAGCCTCACAGCTGAACTGTCCAACATGACAATAGAAAACGACGCCCGCCGCATCGTCCAGGACAACATCAAGCGCCTGCGCGACATGGGCACCTACCGCGGTAAGCGGCACGCCATGAACCTGCCGACGCGCGGCCAAAAGACGCGGAACCAGATCATGACGGCTCGGAAGCTCAACAGGGTCGAGCGGACCGGTTAAGGCTGCGCTAGGTGGGAGGCAGAGGCAAAGGGGAGGAAGGGAGAGTGCGGAAGAGCATTGTTACGACCGATGACCAGACATGCATTTTGCTTTTTTCGGTGCTATGAAGCTTTGTATATACACATCTAAAGATGGGGTTGGACCCTGTACGATTACGGAAGAAATGGAGCTGTATCTGTTCAAGAAGTCCAACGGCTATGACTCGACAGCTTGAGAGTTTGTCAGCTTGAAGTCGAGAGCTCGACAGCTTGACAGCCTAGTTGTGTCCTTTGTGCAATGTCACCTCTCTACGCACTTGTGTCTTCTTTCAAACGTACTGGGTCGTCCTCGAGCGGGGGGACACCAGCCGCCTGCAGCTTCTCGGCCACTGCGTCCACCTCGCGCCAGACACGCAGAACGTTGCCGCCCGCCACCAACGCCGCTTCCTTGTCCGTTACGCCGCGCCGCAGCAGCTCTGCCACCAGCGCCGGGTACGCCGCCACGTCGTCGAGGCCGCGCGGCGTCGATCCAATACCGTCAAAGTCGCTGCCGAAGCCCACGTGCTCAAAGCCAATCAGACGGCCAATGTGCAAAATGTGCGTCGCCACGTGCTCGAGTGTCGAGTTGCCCGGGAAGAAGGACGGCACGCCGTTGGCCTCCTCGGGGCTGCCCGTCCAGTGGCACGACACAAAGTCGGGCGCAAAGTTGACCATGACCAAGCCGCGGCGCGCCTTGACCAGCTGCAGCACATGGTCCGGCACGTTGCGCGGGTGCGGGCATACGCTGTACGCGCTGCTGTGGCTGAAGATAATGGGCGCCTGCGAGCCGTGCCACCCCGCCTCCTCGTCCGGCCGGCCGCCGAGCACGTCCTCCATCGTGTCGACGCTCGTGTGCGACAGGTCCACAATCAGGCCGATGCGGTTCATCTCCAGCACCACCTTGCGGCCCAGCTCGCTCAGGCCGTCAAAGAACTTGGGTGCCTTGCGGAATGGGCTCTCCCAGAGCGCAGCGTCGGCATATATGTTGGGGCACTGTTTCCGGGTGAGTGATCAGTCCTGGCAAAACTGGTAAATACGAACGAAGAGGACCTGGGTCACTTACGTTGTGCGTCAGCGTCGCGTACCGCGCACCGAGGGCGTGGTACAGACGCAGGTTCGACACCGAGTTGCCGATCTGGTGCAGGCCCTCGACGCCCAGCGGCGAGATCAGCTGGCCCTTTTCAAACGCCGCCAGCGCCGTCGAGCTATTCACGTTGGGCGAGAACACGTCCGGGTACTGCTCCTTGAGCCGCGCCACGAGGTCGATCTGCAGCAGGGTGTCGCGCACACTGGCCACGTAGTTGGCGTCCGACAAGTCCGTGCCGTTCTTGGGGCACGGCGCGAACACGCTCCAGAACGCGCCGCCGTTCTTGCCCGCCCGCAGCCGGGGCAGATCCACATGCTGCGGCAGCCCGTCCTTCTCAAACCCGTTGCGGAACTCGTCGCTGTTGATGTGGTTGTTAAAGTACGCGCGAATCGCAATCGGGAAGTCGTTGTGTCCGTCAATCAGCGGCGTCGCCGCCAGGATCTTATCCACTCGCTCCTCCACCGTCAGGTTCGAACGGTGCCGGCCGCTGCGGCATGGCATCATGTGCCGGCCGTGGAGCATGTGCAGGCCCAACAGCAGCGTCAGGACCACGAGGACCAATGCCCGCACGACAATGGCGGACGTTGACAGCTGCGCCCGCTTCACTCGCTGCAGAAGTGTTTGCGGGCGGTCTGCTTTGGTGTCGGTGGTCAGCTCAAGTGGCTGGTAGGAATACCCTGCCTTTTCGTGAGCCTGGAAGTCGGCCATTGTTGCCGGGGTGAGATTCACGCTTGGAACTTGGAGTATGAGTGTGAAGCTGCAATGAGCTGGAATCGGTTTACAATCAGCTACCAAGCGACGATGTTGAAATAAAGGAAAGAGGCAGATGCCGAGAGGGGCGGAAACGGCACACCACAGGGAAGGCGCTCTTGGTGACTGTCCGTCTATGTCGCCATCTCTAGGAGGAACGTGCAATTTGTTGAGATAGCTGGATGAGGAAGCTGCTTGGTAAGTGGGTTGGAGCTTTCGCTATCGCTTACAAGGAAGGTACGCAAAACAGTGCGAATAAAAGACAGTGAGGACAAGACAGCCTAAACTCTGACAACAGCACTGTACCGCAGATGCCGGGTATTTGAGCACACTGAAGAGGCCTAAGCGTCCAAGACCATTATCGACGATGTTTATCTGATGCCTCTGTTGAACTGGCAAGGAAACGAATGTCGCTTTACATCAAACACTGTATACTATAGTTTCTCGCACGGCTACCCCCAGAATTGCTGCGCCGTCCTACAGTGCGAATAGAGACAGATCGTCGTTTCGTTCCTGGCGCTTCTGTTTCATGGCTGCAGAAAGACCTGTGCACACTGATCCTCATGCGTCTACGGAGTACTCGAATAATTACCGCATTGCTGGGTCAACTGACTGAAGACGCGGAGCGTATGTTCATGTATGAGCTTCAGGGGTCTCCCTCCTCGTAAGCCAATATAAAGTGGAGGTCGAGGCGTTTTCCTGCTCCTTCCAAGTCCACTGACAAGAGGACAAGAGGGAAAGCGACATGCGCCGTTGGAGTCCGTTTGAATTGTAGACCAATCAGCGGCCGCGTATGACTGCCACAACATACCGTGCGCCACAGCGCTGAGCACAGTACAGCGCTGTAGTGGAGCAGGAAGGAACGGCGCAAAGCTACCAGCCAGCAACGGCAGGGGCAAGAACCGTCCAAATTGGGGCCGCGTTCTTACCCCTTGCGGACGTCTGGGTCACAGGCGTAAAGTGCAAACAACCTCCTGCTGAAAGCTGACGGCAGGAACTAGGGCTGACTTGGCCTGCGCTGTGCCTTCCTATCCAGTCGTTGCCAGTTGTGTTGTTATTTTTCTGCAGCAGCTGCATCATCTTCGCATTGCCTCCTTGTCCTTTGTGCTGCGTAACTATCACGATCCCGTTTGTTCGACAGCGGCCAGCGCTTCTTCATTCGCCCACTCTCTTTGTCATCAGCATCCTCGATTTTGCATTCGCTGCAGACTTCCTGCAGCCTGGCCACGGCTCGACGAACTGTCTCGGCTATTTGGCGACATCGTCACTCTACGACCAAAAGCTTCAACGTCCAGCGACAGTCGACATTGACGCTGCCCCCTCTGCTATACGACGGGGCAGAAGCCCGGTCCCATATTCCCTTCGAGCCGCCTCTGCGGTAATCGTTTCTTAGCGCGCGCCCTTTTGCTTCCCGCATCGACTTGACGAGACCGTTGCAGTTCGACTCGAGTCTCGAACGTCGATCCCAGTCTCCGAAACCCTTCGCTTCTTCCCCGCGTACCCGGCTCGGCGTCGCCCGTCATGCCTGGATTCGCAGATTCTTTCTGGTCTTCGGACTATGCTGCAGGTAGGCGCTCACCAGGAGGCCGGGCTCTGAACATGGCGACTTCCGTGGATACCATGGTGAGACACAGCTAACGGCTTTTTCCTTTTGTTTTTGTTCTTAGGCCTGGGCATCCTGTTCAGCAAGCTCCAGCAGGGCGTCATCGAGAACCGGCAGCTGCTGATCGTGTCCCGGATGCGTGCCGAGGCCGAGGAGTTGTACGGCCAGAAGCTTGGTGACATCCCATTGACCGTCGACAAGGTCCAAGGCGGCTTCTCGCGCGACGACGGCGCCAGCGTGCGCAAGGCCTACGAGGGCGTCCGCATGGAGATGGAAGACGCCGCACGCAACCACCGCAAGATTGCGCAGAACATCCGCGACCTCGTCGTGAATCCCTTCTCGCGCTGGTGCGACGCCCACGAGGCACGCATTCAGGACAACCAGGACGAGCTGCAGACACGCATCAAGACACATGACCGCCAGCTCGAGCAGGTCAAGAAGCTGCGCAACAACTACTTCAACAAGTCGCGGCTGCTCGAAGACCTCGAGGAAGAGAACAAGCTGGCCTTCCAAGACCCCGAGACGAGCCCCAAGAACAAGATCCCCGAGATCAAGGTCGACAAGGAGGAAGGGCCCGAGGAGGAAGAGGAGCCCTACGAGATCGGCGACGAGACCTACCAGCCCGACCAGGTCAAGAAGATCCTGGCGCACATGCTCAACAACATCAAGATGGGCGAGACCAAGGTGCCCATTCTCGGCACGTACCAGAACACTTCGGCCGGTTCCGACATTGTTGAGTACCTGCAGAAGAACATGAATACCAGCAGCGTCAGCTATGCCGAGCGTATTGGCCAGGATCTGGTCACGCACGGCTTCCTGCGGCTCGTCGGCAATGTCGGAAACACGTTCGCCAACAGCTCCAAGATGTCGTACCAGTGGCGACCCAAGGCCTTCCAGCTGAGCGGCGTGCCCGAGAAGAAGGCTGCGCTGGGCCGCACGTTCTCGCTGAACGCTGCCGGCACCGACCCCAACTCCATCGACTCGCCCGTCATCGGCACCGTCAACGAGTACCTTGAGAAGTGGAACGTGCTGGGCACAGCCTATCCCAACGAGACGCCCAGCGACCGCATGCGGCGCGAGGCGCGCGAGGCTGACGAGCGCTACAAGGCTGGTGTACGGCGGTTGGACGAGCTCCGCTGCGAGCTAGAGGAAGCCATCTTTGACCACCTGCGCTTCCTGGAGCGCTGCGAGCTCGATCGCCTCAAGGCTATCAAGACAGTGGTTCTCGATTTCTCGGGCACGATCAGCAACGTGATCCCCAGCCTACAGTCGACCGTCGACAAGCTCGTGCTGTACCAGGAGACGGTGCAGCCTCTCGGCGATCTGCGCTACCTGCTCGAGAACTACCGCACCGGCAGCTTTATTCCCAAGGTCGTCACGTACGAAAACTACTACAACCGGGTGGACGAGGATACGTTTGGCGTGGACCTGGAGGCGCGTGCGCGCGCAGACAAGAAGCGTGTTCCCATTGTGGTCACGACACTGCTGACGTACCTCGACCACCACTACCCCGACCTCGAAGGCGACGAGGCGCGGCGCAACGTCTGGCTGATCGAGGTGCCGCTGCACCAGGTGCACAAGCTTCGTGCCAAGGTCAACCACGGCAAGACGTTCTCGCCTGAGATCCTTCAGGACTTCGATATTCCGACCATTGCCAGCCTGCTCAAGCTCTATCTACGCGAACTTCCCGGTATGTGCCCGCCGCTTTACATATCTTTACATATCCATTTTACCAATCACCTCTTGTTACTAACAACTCGCCCTCTCGCTTTCCAGACTCCCTTGTTTCCTCCCACGTCTACGAGATCATCCGGACCATCTACCAGACGCCAGCCGGTGAGATGCCCGACGATGCACGCCGTGTGCCGGTGCTGCAACAAACGCTCTCGCAGCTGCGCTTGACGAACATTGCGACACTCGATGCGTGCATGAACCACTTTACGCGACTCATCGAGCTGACATCGGCGGACGAGACGTACGTGACTGCACTGGCAACGACCATTGCGCCTTGTGTGCTCCGACCTCGGGTCGAGAGCTCGCTGACGATGGAGGAGCGCCACGCATACCGGCTGGTGCGCGACCTGTTTGCGCACAAGGACGCCATCTTCTCGGAGCTCAAGCGCCTGTCGGCGCTGACACACTCGTCATCCATTAGCCGGCCTTCGGGTAACCTAGCTGCCGCTAACACTCCTGGCGGCGGTGGTGGCCCGGGCAATGGTGGTGTGGGTGTGGGTAACCGGCCGCGCGCCATCAGCACGGACGAGAGCAACCGCAAGGCGCACATGGAGGAGCGCACGCGGGCGCTGCTCGAGAAGGCCAACGGTGGCCGCAGCCGTGCGACGTCACCGGCACCCAGCCCACGCGCCAGCACACACCGGCGGGAGCGCAGCATTGGCGGGCCCGAGACGCGCTTCCCCATCCAGACGAGCCCGACGGCGTCGGTTGAACGCCACCGGCAGAGCATCGGCCCCATCCTGGGTGTCAAGCGCTCGAGCCTCGAGGTGCCGGGTGACGGCATAGCAGCGGCAGGCATTGCTGACTTGTCAGCTACGGGTGCCAACGGTGGTACATCGGGCCTGGAGGCCTCGGCCCTGCCTGCGGACGGCACCTCGTCTGGTTCGCCTGCTGACAAGCGCAGCAACGTGAACCGGAGTAGTGTGCGGTTCGTCGGCGGCCGGCGGATCGTGCCTGTAGCAGCAGGCGGTTCAGCCGGTACCACTGGCGCCTCCACAGCAGGTGCCGCAGCGCCAGCTTCCGACTCAGGGAGTGTTGATGAGTCGGGAAGCCACCGGCACTCCCAGTATGCTGTGACGCTGGTGGACCGGCCGATGGACTAAGAGACGTTGAACAGGATATGATGCCAGGCGCTTTGTAGGACTGATGAAAGCAACAGACCATTACGTGGCAGTGCCAGCTTGCGCAGTCTTCACGCCTTTTCTGGACCTGGATTATTTTTTGACTGATTTGTTTTCGTATGTTTCTTATGTTTCCTTTTTACTTGCTTTGCGGGATTGACTTTCCGGTATGCCATTTTTGTTTCCCTCCATCTTGTGCTTCTTTTGTCTTTTGCACTTGCGCTTTTGTACTAGACAAGCCGTGTTTTTGATTATGGAAAGCAACGGTAATAAAAGCTGCTTTGTTACCTTGCGATGATCGTTCTGGGCTGCATGAGCTGTGTCTGGAGTGCCCTGTCACAACGATACATGTACAGTGCATTTCTCTGCATGTACACATCAATGCCGAAACAGGTCGCGTGGCTGGCCAGCTGTCACTTTTTCTATTGTCTGTCAGGCCGAACGAAACCAATCCCAGAGCGCCACATGCTCACGGCTGAAAGATGGAGCGGTTGACCCCATTGCGCCCATTGGTGTTGACCCGTGCTTTTCGGCTGCGAATATGGGTCAGCTCATTGGAGGCAGCGCGGCAGCGGTGAGCATGCATACGTCGTACTTTGAAAGTGTCCTGCCGATGCCAAGGTGACGAGTCGCGGGTAGTAAGATTACTTTTGGTGGAGCTCAGAAGTACATCATGTTGTTCGTTACCTTAACGGTCCTCTGTTTACTTTATCGAAAGGCTGATCATAGGTCGTGTCCTCGTTGAGAGATGGACTCTGGAGAGCCCAGACCTTTACAGCATTTCCTTCGTCTACATCATAGGTGCAATTGAGCGCTCATCTGTCTCGGCACTTCCTTTTTCTCTTCTTTATATATATATATATATATATATATATATTTCTCCTTTGGTCTCATGTGGCACTGTCGATCAGGTATACCTGGAGCGAACCGTATTAGTGAAATTGCGGTTTTTTATCACGGGCTCCGTTTTGCGTTTTACGAAGGACGTTTTATGTCTTGAATACGGGTAGTGGATTTTCTGTTCTTTTTTTTCTTCTTCCCCTTATCACCTGTCGTCTGGTATTTCGTTCCCTCCCGCTGTGTCCTTCTCTATCCCCCATTTTCCCGTTTTGTTTCACAAACGAATCATTTCCCGCATTCTGCCTGAGAGCCGTCAGTGCCCTTTGCGCGGCCCCTCAACCGATTTGTTGGCTCCGTGTACTTCATCCCAATACCGACTTTTGATTTCTTGTTCGTATTTTACGCGACTCTACCTATTTGGCTGTCCGGATACGCACAAAACCGAGCCACAGTCCAGCTGAATCGTGTGTGCCAGTGGTACCCGCAGATGAGAGGAAGTACTCGGCTCATTTGCTTGTGCCCTTTTCCATTTCGCTTCATTTCCTTTCTCTATTGTTCTTAAAGAGCCACAGAGACCAAAGCGTGCTTGGCGTGTTGGTCGGAAGGTACCAGACCCGCCCCAGACCAGGAAAACAAACCGACAAAGAGGAGCACGGGGAGTCAAAAACATCGATGGGCCTCTGATGGCCTCGATCTGAAGGTCCCCTGTGATATCCTGTGCCCATTTCCCTAGTTCCAGTGGCGGTGGCCCATTTGGCCAGCGCCAGTCAAGGATTAGTGCAAATTCGCTCCAGGTCCAGGCCTGAAGCGACATGGGGTGCGTCCAAGGCGAGGACAACGCCGAAAGCACACTGACCTCATTACTCCGTACACAAACACCCCCTGGTCCGAGCTGTGTCGCGAAAGATGTCACAACTTTCTTGCCTTGCCTTGCCTTGCCGTTTCTGTTTCTTTCTTTCTTAAAAATACTCTAAATCCAGCTGCAGAGATCCACCTACAACGGAGCAAGCCCCTTCAACTACGGCGCGAAAGGGCCGCTCGAGCAGAACAGGGAAACGAACCAGAATGTGGTCCACGAACGATAGCGTTCTCCGGCGCCCCCTTTTGCCTTGATTTGTGTAGTATTGAAGCCCTTCGAGAGCATCGTGAAATGAAGACATGACGATGCAAAGGATAAGTGAGCATGGCGCGCAGTACATTGTTACAAAGTACGACGAAGTCGAGCACTTCAACGTGTACTTTGAGCGCCTTTGAAGTTCGAAATTGTCCGCACGTTCGATGCACCTACTCCGTACTTCATAGAATGTCCGATCGTACTTCCGGAGCAATTTGACCGTGGCCATTTCCTTGCTATTTGTTCAGGTCAATTGGGGCCCACTCGCTCTTTCCGTTTAAATGATTTCACTTCGTCTTTTTTTGTTTCTGTCTTGTTGGGGTGCCATTGGCCCTTTCCGTTTTACAACCGCCCCACCCACCAGCCACTCACTGCCATATGATGACGTACTTTGCGCAGGCGGGCTGTGGCCAAGCTCATCAGGCACCCTCATTCCTTCCCTTCCTCCTTCCCAGGCGCAAGGCCCGAGGGTCCATCGTCGCACTTGCCCTGAACTGGGGGTATGGCGCGCTAGACAAAAGTTTGCTCGAACTTCTCCGAATGCATCGTTAAAGGAGAAAATAGAAACACGGGAGAAGTTGTACGTTTGTCTAAAGCGGAATAGCGAATTGGTACAGAACAAAGCCCCTGGAAGCGCCGCCTCAAGAGTCCGAAATAGCAGCGACAGACTGGAAGGGTGCCTGATCTAACCTTCCGCTACCATCTTTAGCGACGGCGATCACGTTTAATAAAGACGACGACCGTCAAAGAAAGACCTACGAGAAGTCAAAACGATAGCGCTCGTCGTACGACGCTGCTCCTTACCAGTTCAAAAAGCAGACTGGGCGGAAGACGGAAGCAAAATCGAATCGAGCAGAGCTGAAGCCAAAAAAAGAACATGAGAGGAAGGTCAAAACTGGTCGTCAGCCGAACGGTAGTTGTCAGCCCCCGCCTTTACCTTCTTTGGGCTTTCTGTTCTGTGTCTCTTTCACAGCTTTGATTGGGCTCGTCTTTCGACTCCCGTGTTGCTTTTTCCGGTGTGGCAGTGTGCAAGTGCAAAAAGGGTTGTCTGGAGCCTGGAAGGACCCGAAAGGTAGAACAACCAGAGCTTGGAGGTGTCCCCAAGACAGCTCCACGATACCTGAGCAGTTTGCGCGTCGAGTGTGGCCGAGGCAGAGGGTGACCAAGGGCACTAGCAACCCGCATGAGCGGAAAGACGGTTCGTGGCTGGACGACGTATGGTACGGCCTGGCCGTCGCCCAAGACCAGCGAACCAAGCTTCCTCCAAGCAAGCTCAGGGAGGCAGCCCTGCAGAGTGACGACGTTGGTAACTTGGGCGATTCCAAGGCAGGAACACAAAACGACAAACCGCCCACAATGCACGAGACTGCAGACGGACGCTGGAACGGCACTTGGGCTTGCATGCACAAGTCTACTACGTAGTGACGTCGCACCCCTGTCTCACCACCCCTGCTCGCCCTGCCCATGACGCTTCCACGAAGTGCGCTTGGACAGGACAGCCATTTTGCAGCTCCACCCAAACAAAACCAAAGCAACGCCACTGTAGTGGCATGTGTCGTGTTGACCCACCCCCTGTCCAGTCAGTGACGATGTTTGAATTTTAGAGTGCGTTCCGTCACAATACGGAGTTCCCTCACACACCCAAGAGAACGTCGTAATACGTCGTATGGCGCGAGGGTGTATTGTTGCTCCATACAGCACATTTTGCAGACGTGACAAGGTACCTTTGTACCTGTGACGATCTGTACCTTGTTTTATTTCTTTGCCTTTTTTTCGTCTCCAGTCTTCCTTGTCTTGTGTTGGCGTATTCCCTTTTTGGGACAAAGCCTGCGCCCTCCTTCGTCTTGCCGTTCGTTGTTCGACGACGTTGTTTGTGCCCAGTTCCTGTCTGAAACTGTCTCCCCAGTTTCTGTCAAGGGTCGCCTCTCACACACTCCCAGACGTTTATATCTTGCCCGTCCCGCCACCTCTGATCCCACGTTTTATTTCTTTTTCTCATTCATTCCATTTTATCATTTACATTCCTCTGTCCTACATTGGTTCACAAAGGCCAGCCTTTGAGCTTCGCATCACTCTCTCTCTCTCTCTCTGTCACACACACCCTTTCTTTTCTGCCTGACCTACTGTCTTCCGACAACAAGCACAATGGCCCGCACTGGCTTCTTCCACCACATCGGCAGCTTCTTGCTGTTCGCCGCCACCATCCTGCTGCTGGTCACGACCATCTCGGCACCCGTCGTCGACAACATCTCCTTGCTCAAGGTCGACCTGGCCAACGGCACCAGCGAACACCAGTCCGCCATCACCTTTGGCACGTTCGGCTACTGCACCATCCACACCGCCGACGGCCACAATGTCTGCTCGCCCCGCAAGATTGGCTACAACCCTGCTGCGGTTATCCACGATGACGAGCACTTCTCCAACGCCTCGGAAGACTCCACCAAGGCCCTGACCCGTGTCATGGTCTTGCACCCCATTGCCACGGGCGTTGCCTTTATTGCGTTCCTGCTGGCTGTCGGCGCCGGTGTCATCGGCTCGTTCCTTGGCGCGCTCGTCTCACTCGTCGCGTTTCTCATCACCGTTATTGTCCTGATTACCGACTTTGTGCTCTTCCACATTGTCAAGAAGCACGTCAACGACGACCTCCGGGGCGCCTCGGCCAAGTACGGTGTCGGTCTCTGGCTGATCCTGGCCGCCGCCATCGCCCTGCTGCTCGGCACCCTGGTTGTCTTCTTCACGTGCTGCAGCGCCCGTCTGCACCGCTCGCGCAATCACTCGAACAAGGTCGACCCAGCCTACGTTGCGCAGCCCCGCCGCCGCCGCTTCTTCTAAGCGCACGGCAGCGGCACTACCTGCACCCAGCACAGTGTAACTTTTTAAACAAAAAACTCCAATGTTTGTGTTGAAGAGAGGGAGTGTTGACGACAGCTCCATAATGACCGGTGTATGACCAAAAACGACTGCTTCGGCAGGCTCACTCACGATCGTTTTGACGAAGTTACAAGGCGATACCACTTGATTTTCACTGAAGTTCCAAGACGCAATATCCGCCATTTTGATTTTTTTTTGCAAACCAATTTCCCCATTTCGATCTATATGATATCCCATTCCTTTTTTTTTTTTACTCGCAACTTCTGCAAAGAAACCAATCTGTACCATAATAAGATCAAAGACGTCAATAAACAACCAAATTAATAAATCAACGGTACTGTAATAAATTGCATGTATGTGACTTGACGTGAACGCTTTCACGATAAGATTCTGCAGCTACCGAAGTATGAGTGTGAATCTTGTTAATCTAGAGAGGATATTTTCTGCACCTCTGCTGTGATATCACTATACAGTTCTAGATATCATTGGCGTGTCTGCTCATCTACGACATACACACATGTAGACCCATTCGACAGATACGCGTGCTGATCCATTCTCACAGCTGTCAAGCCTCTGGAGTACTCGAGCCACAGCCATTTGCACTACTTTGCTGCCAACAATGACGTCAGAGGACCGACTTAACGGCCCGTCTGCGATGTCTGCAACCACATCGAAAACGGACTACTCCGAAAACAGGACACAGATTTCAAGACCTTTTGGTTACGTTGTATCCTTGTCTTTGGATCACGACGAGTTTACGTCAATAGCATTCATAGTGGCCACCCCTACCTGTCGCTCGTGATGCCGATTTCCTGCGTCCCTCTGCGGCATCCGGTGCTAGGGAAGGAACCCGCTAAGACGACACTGATCGTCGGTGAATGCGCTGAAGAGTATCGCAAGAGAAAGCGATGTCCTCAACACTCCATAACAATAGATATCACTGCCACTAGTCGTCCTGACTGTTTCCGTCTTGGATGCACCTTCCTCAACGACGCTGTGATCCCACGTGACTATATTGGCATCTCAATTCTGTGGCAGCGACAGACCACGGCAAGCTAATTACGGCGGATAGTCCGTTGCGGGTGGCTCCTTCCAGGCAGTCCCTGAACTCCCCTACAGAGTTAAAGCCCCCAACAACCGCCACTGGACAAAGACGCCAGCGGGAGCTAATTGATTGCTGAAAGTCGCTATCGGGCAACTGCGAGGCTACATGCCTTTCCCATCGGCGACTGCCGTCAGCCCTCAATTGTGCATCATCTGTCGTCGGCCGGGGTTTTGCCAAATCTGTCGACACGCATGCCTGACTTGCGTGTGGCCTTTACCATCTCTACGGTCGTTGCCATCTCTACCGCCAGCGCCAAGTCCAGCAACCTGCATTCTTCCGACACGGACACTCTTACGGTCCACTCTACCACGAGTCGACCACATCGAATCACCACAATGACGGCTTGGCCCTGGCAGCACGTCGCCCGCAGCGGCCGCCATAGCTTGGCAACGCTCCGCCGCAGCCCGCTTGCCGAGATCTCGGGCGCCCTGGGTGACTTGGGCACGCTGCTGCCGCTGATGGCCGCGCTCGCCCTCCAGGGATCCGTGTCGCTGTCGTCGACCCTCGTTTTTTCGGGCCTGTTCAACATGGTCACGGGTCTCTGGTTCGGCATCCCGCTGCCCGTCCAGCCCATGAAGGCCATTGCCGCCGCCGCCATTGCCCAGAACGCCTCGCTGCGCGACACCCTGGCGGCCGGGGCGCTTGTGAGCGGTGTCGTGCTGTTGCTGGCCGTGACGGGCCTGCTGCGCCGTCTCGCCGAGGTCGTGCCGGTGCCGGTCGTCAAGGGCATCCAGTTGGGTGCGGGCCTGTCGCTGGCGCTGTCGGCGGGCGGGCCGTCTTTACTAGGTGGCCTGGGCTGGCTGGACCACCCATCGGTGCTGGACAACCGGCTGTGGGCGCTGGCGGCGTTTGCCGGTCTGCTCTTGACGCAGCGAATGGCCCCAGTGGGACCCTCGTCGTCGTCGTCCGTCCGTACAGCCTTTTTGCCGTTCGCCCTCGTTGTGTTTCTGCTTGGCCTCGTCTTTGCGCTGCTCGACCACAGCCACCATGCCGGCCACGTGCTCCCCCATTTCGCCTTGTGGACGCCCCGCCTGGTTTTGCCGCATTGGCTGTCCAGCAATGCCTGGGCCATGGCCGTTGCGCAGTTGCCTCTAACGACGCTCAACTCGGTCGTTGCCGTGTCCGCCTTGGCCGAGGAGCTGTTCTCACCGTCCGCTCTGCCCCTTCTATCGCTCTCGTCGTCGTCGCCCTTCACACCCGCTACCTCCGTCACGGCGTTCGGCTGCAGCGTCGGCGCCATGAACCTTGTCGGCTGCTGGTTTGGTGCCATGCCCGTCTGCCACGGCGCTGGCGGACTGGCTGCCCAGTACCGGTTCGGTGCGCGGAGTGGCGCGAGCGTTATTTTGCTCGGCGCTGCCAAACTGCTGTTGGGCCTGTTTTGGGGCGAAACGTTGTTGGAACTCCTGCGTGCCTTTCCGCGCAGCTTCCTCGGTGTGCTTGTCCTGGCCGCCGGCTTGGAGCTGACAGCCGCGGGTGCGACCCTCAACGAAGGTGGTGATACATCGTACAGCGCCCAGCAGAAACGCGAGCGGTGGACGGTCATGCTTATGACGGCCGCCTGTCTGCTGGCGTTCAAGAATGACGCCGTCGGTTTTGTTGCCGGCCTGCTCTGTCACGGCGCCTACCGTTTGGCAGACGCGCTTGAGGCTCGGCGCAGCCGCCACAGCCGTCTCCGTCGTCCAGGTCACCCCGATGAATCAAGCACACTTTTGGCTTCATAGACGTTTGCAATAAGGGTACGAGAACCAGCACGGGATGACGGAGATTAATGATGCCGAAAAGCGGCGCGTAGAATTTTATTAAATATATATATTACTACCCTTGTCTTTGGTCTTCTCCTGTATGGTGTATACTTGTACATATGGGACTTTTGCCTTTGCATTTCTTTCATACGCCCCCTTTTTCTCGTCCCCTCCTTCTCTCCCAACTCTAGTCGTAGTTCTTGTCATAGTAGACAACTCTCCTATGGTGCCCATAAAGGATATTGTTGACGGTAATGTAAGGAAGAAAGCAGAACAGAGTTCGATACTAGGGCAGGCCAGCTGGGCAGGGCCGTTCCATAATTCATTCTTCCTGTGGCCCCAAAGTAGTCTACCTGCGTCATCATCGAGCTGGTCATGACTGGCCACGATGCCGATTAATCTGCACTTTGTGTTCCAATGCCGCACATAGTGGACGACGTATATCACCACTCGCAACATATATGTTTCTACAGTATGCTAACGAGCTATCAGCATTCGGTATGGAAATATTGCAGTTGCACTTATCGGCGCGCTCACTGCATCTGCCTTAGTATTTGTTTTCCTTCCTCTAAAAGTTTTCTGTTCAACTTCTTCGTCCAGCCATACGCAATGTTAACAAATTCAATTTAGGCGCTCTTTCTTCTTTCCCGACATTCGTTTGACACAGAAAACATAAAAAACCCGATTTTTTCTTGGAAGTCCCAGAAACTAACACAGATTTTGCCAAGAATCTCTCCCGTACGTGCTTGTCGTGCAGTCTATCACTCGTGAAATCGCTGAGGTCGAGGCTCGATTGGGCGGTCTCGAGATCGCTTAGACGCGATTCGCCCATGTCGACTCGGCCCCGCTTATTTACTGGCATGTGCCAGTGCACGCGCTGGATTGGCCCAAACTGACAAGACCCACTTTAATCATGCCCCGACTTCCTTCCTTTTTTTTGCCAAATTTTTTTTGGACTTGGCAATATTAGCCAATCACGGCCCTCGATTACACACCGCCCAAAGACGAGCCGCTCCCCCACGACGGCATTTCAGAACAATCCAACATCGCCAACTTTCAGCTTCACTTCGCTTCTCGCACCCCTTGCGCCAACCCTCCCACTGTCCGTGTCTACGAGATACGAGTCCGTTGCCTTTGATATCGAAGGCTTACCCTACGTCAGCGACGGGCCGTCGGAACCCAATCGCCCCATCCATTATTACTGGGGCCCACAGCAACAACATCCTCGGCGAAGGAGCTGCCATGTCCGCAGCGATGACTTCGCCCACTGACGCGGCCGCCGGCCCGGCCACGGCCGACATCATCGACGGCATGTACATGTTTGGGTCGGTGCCGGGCCAGGAAGACGCCGCGGCCGGTCCGGCGGGTGCCGCCCAAACAAACAACGATGTGACGGCCTTGAATCAGCTTCAATCCCAAATTCAGTCGCAAAACAACACCCATCAGACCCCAGGCGGCGCTCCCTTTGTCGACCCGGCCGCGATGCGCCTCCCCGGCACCGACGACTACTTCCTTCACGCCGACGAAACCCAGCCGCCACGCAAAACCACCCTGCGACGCCACAGCCACAATCACGTCCCCGACGACGAGGACACCGAACACATTCACTCCTTTGCCCGCCTTATCTTTGCCGACGCAGTCTTCCACATGACCACCAACAGCGTACTCATCGGCCGCGACCAGCTCGCCGTCGACGAGGCCCGCCGCTTAAAAGAGGCAGGACACAGCATGCGAACCCAGGGCGGCAGCGGCGGGATCGACGAGAACGGCAACACCCAGGGCCTCGACAACGGCAATTTTGAGCCGCCTCGCGTGCCAAAGTACAGCCGCTCGTACGTCAGCGAGGAGGGCGGGTTCCTGGGTCCCTCGCGGTCCGCCGAGCGCAGACGCCGCAAGCGCAAGTCGTCGCGTCCTGCCAGCTCGCACTCCAACGGCGGCGCGGGAGCCTCAGCAGGGAGTGGCGGCAGCCGCAACAGCCAGGCCGATGCAGACGAGCCGATGCCGGACCAGTACCAAGACCAGGACCAAGACCAAGACCAGGACCAGGACCAGGACCAGCAACAGCAGACGCCGTCAAAGCACGAACAGCACGCGGCTGCGCCCAAGGGCGAGGCCGAAGAGACCGATCTCGAGCTGGTGCCGCGTGCGCCGAACCCGATCTCGGACCGCGAGTACGTTGCACACACGCCCGGTTCCAAGCGCCTGACCGTCAACGACTTTATGCCGTCTGCCGACACGGAACCCTTTATCGGCATCCACTCGCCCGGCAACCTCGACGAGATGCTGCGCCGCACCAAGGGCATTTCTCGCCAGCACATGAAGATCTGCTTCAACGCCGACACGCACACATTCGAGGCCATCCCTATCCACAAGAACGGCTTCTTCATCAACGACAAGCTCATTGCTGGCCATACCGCCACGCTGCGCAGCAACGACTGCGTCCAGATCAAGGACATCCACTTCCGCTTCGCCATCAGCTACGTCCCCGACGGCATGACCGGCGGCGAGCCCGAGTTCGTCAACGGGCCCCACGGCAAGAGTAAGAAGAGACGCAATGGGAGAGCACAGGCCACAGGCGGCAAAGAGATCAGCTTTGAGTTTGAGAAAAATAACGGCTCCTCGCCTCACGCTCGTGACACCAGCGAGGAAGACGACGACGCCGACCTAGGTGCCGGCGAGCCGTCGGCGGTGGCACGGTTCTTCCCGCACGGTCAGGACCACGCCCCGGCCAAGGCTGCCTCCCGCGCCACCAACACAAAAAACACAAACCACACAAACACTGCCACTTTCTCATCCTCCAATCCGCCATACACCGCGCCGTCTTCCAACGGCAACGCAAAACTAACCAACCTGGCTTCAGGGACCGCAACAGTGCCGAAAGCTCAGCAGCTGAGCCCCGAGCAGACGCGAGCGAACCTGGCGGCGGCGAACGCGGCGCATGCGACCCACGCTGCCCAGGCAAATGCGGCCGACACCAACCCACTCAACGACGGCGTCGAGGCTGCTGCTGCGGCTGCCGAAATGGACGAGCAGCTCGCCGAGATCGCCGAGATCATGCAGACCTTCCGCGAGCAGAAGGACGCTGGCCAGCCAAAGAAGCGCGGCCCCGGTCGTCCTCCGAAGAACGGCCTCTTCTCGATCCGCGAAATGAAGGACCGCATCGAGCACGGCGGCCTCTCTCCCGAGCAAGAAACGCTTCTTCAAAAGGCCATCCAGTCCATGCGGCACAAGCAAAAGAAGTCACGGAATCCTGCAGCAGGAGCGGCGTCCGGTTCTGGCTCGCAGGACAAAAAAGCCCAAGACGCGACCGCCCAAAAGGGATCTCAACAGGCGCAACTCAAGGCCCAGCAGCAGCAGCAGCAGCAGCAGCAGCCACCGCCAAATGCGCAGCAGCAAGCCCAGCAACAAGTCCACCAGCAACAGCAGCAACAACAGCAACAGCTGCAGATGCTGCAGCAACTACAACAGCAGCCTCTTCTCGCCGCGTCCACCGATGGCCAGCCAGCCCAGCAGCAACAGCGGCGGCTCGACGAGAATGATGTCGAAATGCACGACCTCCACCTGGTGCAGGCGCACATGAACCAGCCGAGTATGGACTACCTGCACCCTATTCCCAACAACCCCAACGCCGACCCCATCGACCAGCAGACCGCCCATATGCTGCTCGAGGCCATTGGTGCTACCTCGACCGGCGAACTTGCCGACGCCGCCGCTCTGCACCAGCAGCTTGCCAACGTCGACGCCAAAGGGAAGGGTGCTGCCACCAACAACGGCAATGCTGCCAATGGCGGGTTCGACAACACCGCCAACGGACACCAGGGACTTGACAACCTCGTCCCCGGCACACCCGACGGCAATGTTGATTCTCAAGGCTATCCGTTTAATGCGCAGTTCGGCACCCCCGGCACGGCCACCGCCGCCGGGACGCCGAGTGTGGCCGGGACGCCCGGCATGGACGGCCAGACTCCTGTCAAGCGCAAGGTCGGCCGCCCACGCAAGCACCCGCTGCCCGAAGGCGCCGAAAACCAGCCCGAGAAGCGAAGATACAAGCCGCGCAAGCCCAGGGTTGGCGAAGAAGGCCAGCTCATTGACGACGGCAATGGCGGCTTCATCGAGGTCGGTCCTGACGGCAATGTGGTCAGTGCCGGCGGTTTCGGTGGTGGAGGCATGGAAGACAACGGCGGCGAGGGGAGCAGTGCTGGTGCTGGTGGTGCCGGCGGCGGCGGGCCGTCCGGACAGAATCGGGGCCGCGTCGAGCGGTACAAGACGCCGCCGCTGGAACTCAATGCGGACGACTACACGGCCGCCGAAAAGACCAAACCCAGCAAGAACTACAGCGTTCTTATCGACGAAGTGCTTACCGAAGCCGTGCCCCACGGCTTGTCGCTCAAGCAGATCTACAAGCGCATCCAAATGAAGTACAAGTACTTTTACTTTTGCGTTGAGACCAAGGGCTGGGAAAGCAGCGTCCGCCACAACCTTATCGGGAACGTCGCGTTTCGCAAAGACGAGGCCACCAGCACGTGGCACCGCGTGCTGGGCGTCGAGCTGGACGCCGGAAAGAAGCGTGCCAAGGGTGGCTCGCCCGAGAACCAAGTCGCCACGCCCTACCAGAATTACGCCGGCCAGTGGCAGCAGCAGCAGCAGCAGCAGCAGCAACAGCAGCAGCAGGGCTACGTCCAAGGTTTCCCGCCGCAGCAGCAGTTCCAGCAGCAAGGCCAACAGTACGTCGGTCAGCCTCAGCAACAGCAGTTCACCCAAGGCGCGATGGCTCCGCCTCAACAGCAGCAGCAACAGCATGCTCCGGCAGGTTTTGCGCCCTTGCCTACCGGTACTACGCCAAACGGCGCCAACGCCAATGGCAACGGAGTTGCAGCTCAAGGCCAACCTCAACCGCAACACATTTATGCTTCGGTGGAGGACCAAGGTCACGAACAACAACAGCCGCAACAACACCAGCCTCAGCAACAACACCAGCCTCAGCAACAGCAGCAGCAGCAGCAACAGCGCCCCAGCCAGCCTGCTGCTCCATTCCCCTTCGCCCAGGCCACACCCCGCAGCCAACAGCAGCCTGCTGCCGCAGTTGGTGGTGTTGTGAACCAAGACCACGCCGATCAGCAGATGCGCCCGATTTCTGCCCGGCCGCCACAGGCCACGACTCAGCAGACGCAACAGCATCAACAGCATCAACAGCAAGCTCAGCATCTTCAGCAGACCGCACAGGGACTGCAACGCATGCCACCGCCGCCGCAACAGCCACAGCAAGCCCAGCAACAGCAACAGCAGCTCCAACAGGCATCCACGTCGGCTACTGGCACTCCTGCTTCGGCGGCCGCTGCCCAGGCTGTCTCGACAGCGACGCCCCGCAGCACACCAGCGCCGAGCGAGCTGCCGCCAGCCGTGTCCCAGGAACTCGTCAACCTTGTCCGCCTCTTCCGCGCGCAGGTCGTGACGCAAGCCAACACGCTCTCCGAGAACGTGGAGGGCATCGCCATGGCCGTCGCCAACCGCGGTCTGGGGCTGACCAAGACGATCAACGCCAACGCGCAGCTCGACGAGATTCTCTATGGCGTCTTTCTCAACGTCAAGGCCACGCTCGCTGTCAGTGCCCTGCCCGACCCGGACCTGATTGCGAAACTCGCCGCGTTCAACGACACCTTTTCGTCGCTGCTCAAGAGCAAGATGGGCGACATGGCCGAAGCGCTTGTGCTGTCGGCCATTGACCGCGTGCTCGACTTTACCGAAGCGTCGCTGATGCGGCCCAAGACCGAGGCTGAGCGCAGAGAGATAGAGGGCGCCGAGAAGTTGATTATGGAGGAGGCTCAGAAAGTTGTTGACGCGCACCGTCTGACGCTGGCGTCGTCCATGCCGGCTCCAGCTGCTGCTGCTCTGGCACGTACGACGCCGGCTCCCGCCCCAGTTGCTACTCCCGCTCCCACACGACAGCCCCATGCAGCGGCAGTTCCTGCACCACAGCAGCAAACGGTCCCGGCTGCTCCAGCTGCTCAACCGTCCCAGCCGGTTCCGGCCGCTCCGACTGACCCAGTTGTTCAAGGTTCTCATGTCATTCAGGCAGTTCAAGCCTCCCCGGAAGTCCAGACCACGTCAGTTGCCACACCTTCTCCAGCTGCTCCCGCCACACTGGCAGTACCACCTACTCCTGCCGCTCGGGCAGTCCAAGCGCCTCCGGCTGTTCAACCGATCCAGGCCGCACCGGTTGCCACCTCTCCAACAGCCACCACGCCTGCGCCAACTACCACACCTGCTCCTTCTGTCAAGGTAGCGCCAGCAACTCCAGCAGCTCCAGCAGCTCCAGCAGCCCCAGCAACTCCAGCAACTCCAGCTGCTCCGGCCGCTCCGTCTGCTCCGGCCGCTCCGTCTGCTCCGGCCGCTCTGTCTGCTCCAGTCGCGACACCTGCTCCCGCTGCCCCGACCGTCCAGACCGCACCAGATGTTCCAGCTGCCACGACTGCCCCGTCCAAGCCAACACTGACCCCATCCTCTCCTCCGGCGCAAGCTCCGGCTCCAGCCCTGGCACCTGTGCCTCCCACTTCGTCTGCATAGATGTACCTGGTGGCAGGGGGGACCTATGTCCTGACGACGTTATATCTTCATATCACGTCTTGACGATTGACGATTGACTTGGTAACATTATGTCTAGATCACGTTTGTGTCCCAACGACATTGCTTTTCGAAAAGTTTTGACATTTCGGCGGCGTCCCAACCCGGGCAGGGTCCCCTTTTGACACGAATGCTTCTCTTCCCCCAACCCTTGTCACCGGCGGACCCTTTTTTCCTTCTCTTGTGTCTTTTTCCATTGCCTTTCTTTAGTATTCTTTTGTCCTTTATGTTTTGTTTGTCCCGTCCGTACAGCACCCGGTTACACAAAAATAGAATCGGATTTGGTTATGGAAAATGGGTTGGGACGGTTCCAATAAATAGGAGCTCGACTCCTCCCTTCCAGAAGGTGTTTACGGCGTTTCTCCTTTCCACGACACCCACCGGTTTGGTTAATCGGTTTATTTTGTCGTTTTTTCTTGTTTCTTGTTTCTTTTCTCCATTGACTTCCTATTTACTTCTTCTTTTTCGGTTTGGGTGTATTTCGCAGCGAAGGGCGTTTCGGAGTTTTGTCTCTTAATATTGACGACGTCTACCTTCTCGCTCTCCTCACCCTCCTCTTTTCTCTCAACACACTCGTTTTCTTGTCGTCTCTTGTACAAGCAAAACAGTGGCTCTGGTGGGCCTCACGGCTTTGGGCTTTCGGGTTTTGTCACAAGGAGTTTTTCATGTATCTGTGTATGAGATTTGCCTCATCGTTTATTTCCCATGTCCCTTCAAGTATGTTCACAGGAGTATTTCTTTCCTGAAAGCATTCACGATAATACAAAATACGCTGTCACGTTTTATGCTTTGCGACCGCTCGTTGTGAGTTGAGTCGTAGTTTTCCATTGTATACAATGCCCCTATATTTACGTCTAAATGTCACCCAAAACTCCTTCAAAGGCCGAAATCGCCTCGAGAGCTCCAAGACATCCAGCGTTGCTCAACATGGTATTTACACGACTTGATTCGGCCCCCATTCCGACATGTACTGTCCGTAGCCTCCGCCCACTCTTGTCCCTTGCAGAGTGACATGCCAACTGTCCTGGCTTCGGTTCGAGTCGCCATCCGCTTCGATGCAACATCCTTCCGTCCTGGCTCGCTTGGCCTTGTCTTGGTCTGCAGTCGGTTCGGCTCTCTGCTGTTGCTGCCGTCGATTTCGTTATCGTCTATCGTCTATTCGCAACACCTTACAGCTTCGACGCCTCGCCTACAGTGCCGACCTTGAGGCGGTCCGAGTACTTGTCAAGGACCTTTTGGCTGTGGTACTTCCAGAACGACTTGGTGGCGTCGCGGCCAGCCATGCGCTTCAGGATCTTGGCGCCGCCGGGGTGCTCATCGACGAAGCCTGGGATGCGATTAGCAGTCATTCGCTACTCTGGCGGTGCATTGCTCCTGGCGTAGAGCGAAACTCACCAGTAATATCGTAGACGCCGTTGTCGACAATAATGTAGATGCCAGAATCATCGGTCTTGTGCTTAGCGACCTCTGCCGGGGTGAATGACTTGGACATTGTTGCGGTGTGTGGGAGCGAAAGTGTTGCAGGAAGGATTTCGGCTGTTGGCTTGAAAAAGAGAATATGGCGCAAGAAGACGGAGCGTCGCGGACGAGAAAGAGAATTGGGACGAAGTTAAAACGAAGTGTGAACTGAAAATCAACAGTAAGTACCCTCCCCAGTCGTGCCTTCCGCAGCGAAACCAAGTTACCTCGGCTCGCTACCCATTAGGAAAGAGCGAGTGCAGTGCTAACAAAATGGCCCCCAAATGCTGGTTGGGTCCTTTGGTAGGTGACTCGCCCCAATCAGACATGGCGCGCTACTGACTACGACGTATCTTAGGTTCCGCGGGGGGGCACTTCTTGTGGTGCAAAGCAGCAAAGGCGGAGAAACTCGAAATTGGTCATACCAAGTCATTTAGCTGCACGCTGATGGGCTGGATTTGGGGGTCGATGGAGCCTCTGGATCGCTCCTGCCCTTGTCCCGCGAGCCCGCCTCGATTGCACCGACGAGACCGGACCAGGGAAAGCCCAGGGCAGTTGCCGTCCCCAACCAACTCCCCTCTTCCCCTGGCCCCTTCCCCATCTTTTTGTGCAATGACGTTTTCTATCTTTTGTGGTCTGGTGCCTGCCACGCATCGCCGCCACTGATTCAAACTTAGCACGTGGACAACGTCGTGAGCCTCTCATTTTCGAAAGGTGGTCTATTCCCTGGACCGGCGTCTAGAGGCCTAATGGATTGCAACTAAAGAAGACGTCACCGCTCTGTAGTGATTCACTAACGTCTATTTATCGGTCACGCAAACTGACAAAAACCCATGACGATGCACAACAGTCGACTCGGTGAACGATTGTACATTACACAATATGAGCGAACTTGTCGTTCTCCGAGCCGCAAAAGAGAGAGAAGTGGTGGAAATATGAAGCTGAAGAGAATCTGTGATATAAAGGGAACAAAGAAGCAGATTCTATATTAAAACCCGTCTCGGGCTGCCTACGAAGACAGCCCAGCCTTCTATCTCGCCCGAAAGGAGGAATGAAATGGAATGTGCTCGTTGGCAAAAAGAAAGGTACAAAAACGGTTGAAAAAGTCATAAAGCAGAGGGCCGCCCTAGCAATAAAATCCCAGATATTCCAGCGTAAAAAGTTCAAATCCAAATAGACGCCCAATAGATTCCGGCTTCCCAAAAACATAGAAACATCCCCCATGTATGCGAGGGGTGAAGAAAAGAAAGAATTAACAACACAAAACGTAGGTCAGGCAGAGAGGCGGGTCTGTCGAGTGTAGCGAGGAGTGTATCAATGACGGAAGCCGTTTCGGAGGGAAATGGACCGCCCGTTCGCAATCTCCAAGATCGAACGAAGGAGACAATCAGACCGCAAACGAGGAGGCGCTGATGGCGACTTCGATGGTGTTGTCAGTGTTGCAGGGCGCAACGTTTGTTTCGGGTGTGGTGTCGTGGCTGGAGAGGATTTTTGGCTTGATCTCCTTCGTTGTACCCGATTTCTCCGCCGACTCCCTGGGCTCGACTCAACTTCCGTTTCTACCCGGATAGGCCGACATTTTCAAAATCGCGCATCATAACGGCGACCTGGGCGCGTTTTGCGGCTTCGGCGACGAGGGTGAAGTCTTTGAGGAAGGACTCGGTCGTCGATGCCTTGACCGTAATAGGTGATGGAGGCACAATCTTGCCGCCTGCTGTTGCCGCCGTTGTGGAAGACGACCGTCCGGCGACGGCGGCTACCTGTTGCGATGCGTTCATCGTTGTGGTGGGTGGACTTGAATGTGGTGGGACAGAGAAATAGAAAGACTAGCGGAGGCTGTTAGAAGTCGGCGTTGAGGCGAGAAACGAAGAAACAAATGCGGTGTGCGCAACCGAGGTTTATAAACAAAATGAACAAATGGAAATGGCAGAACGCAACAACAAATAAATGACAGATAACAGAGAGCCACAAGGCCGAGACAAAGATGACAACACGGCAGTGCCTCGTTATTGCGCGGGAGATAAAGTAGAGAGAAGCCTCACTAGAATTGTGGCAGAAGAGAGAATGCAAACAAAAACATAATAAATGCAGAAAAGGCCAAACCAGCGGTTTAAGCGAATAGGGCCGGCTAAACTGAGCAAACGCAAGAAAAACGGCGACGTATAACGGGACACCAAATTGGGGGCCGATTGGCGAGGCCAGTAAATCGCGAGACTAGAAAAAAGTACATGTGATATTCGCAGAAAGCAGCACAAAATCAGCAACTTACGAGAAAAGTGCTTTGTCTCCTTCTGACTATCGGAACCGGAATAAGTGTCGAGATGTGGCTATTCGGAAGAAGAGTGCTACATCTGCAAGCGCTGAAAGAAGATTGGAAGAGTTCGATAAAACGGCAACAAGCGAGGACGAGGCGAGACGGGTATCGAGGTTGAGCCGCGTGGAAGAATGAAAAGAGAGTGGATTTTGCGTTTTGATTTCCTTCTTCCTCGGAGGTTTCCTCGATATTAATGACTTGCTGAGACTGGAAATAACAGACGGCGGATGCGACTGTCAAAGCTCGGGCTGGACCGGTCAAGGTGTACTGCTGCGGGACGGCGATCTGGCCCGTGGTAAAGCGTCGAGATAATGTGCGATGAAGAGACAAGGGCCGGGCACAGGTGAGACGGGAAACGCAGGGGGTTGTGCCCGAGCGAGACTGTCCTTTACTGTCCTGACAAGCGACGAGAAGACGGCCAGAGACAGCCGACGAAAACGTAGGGAAAGAGAAAAACAAAAGTATTGTAATATCGAATTTGCGCGTGTGGATGGTCGGCGCAATTGTGCGAGGGCACGAGGCTCGTGAACGTGGGGGCGTACTGGGGGTAATGGCGGGATCGGAATGCGAAAATGATGTAAAGGGAGACAAAAGAAGATTAAGAACAAGAATGGCAACGGCAAAGAGACGAATTTCTCCAACACAAAATACTACTTCTGACGGCTTCCGCGTGAGATCAAAGAAATTATAGCGAGAATGGAGAAATGGAGAACCAAAGAAAGCCGAGACGAGCAAGTGTAAAGCCGGGCAAACCTCGGGAGACGAGAAGCGAACAGCGCAGCAGAATCGACATGAGAGAGATAAAGAGAGCCGGGGGTTTTATTGCGGAGTCAACTCTGGGGGGATCTGCATGTCGAGGTCGTTGAAAAGCCGTTGACGAAACCGAGAGAGCACATGGAACTGTTCCCGGACGAAAGCCGTGCGTGCGATTGGGTGATAACGAGGTAGAGAAAAGCACCAAAAAAATTCAGAAAGACTTTCGAAGGCGGCCCAAAGGAGAAAAAAGGGTTCATGAAAGAGGCAATTGCAGAATTGCTCGGCTTGCGCAGCCACTAGTGCGCGATACCGACCCAGCGATGACGATGGACTCCACAGTGCGTATGATCGAGCGGAAGAGGTGAGCGAGGCACGTAAAATACCGACCTTGTAACAGTATTTTTGGCACAGTACTAGTGTTTTCGCACGGTACATGACTGTGTGCGGGAAGACTCGGAAAAGGCGCTGCTAGTTTTGGGCGACTTACGACATACATATGACGGCTGGTGGATGCTCTCACAAAGGGCGAATGGTCGTCTAGACTTTGGATATGTGTAAGACATCGCTGCAGTCAGTGGCTAGTCGTTCCTGGCCGTGCTGTACCATTGTGGACAGGGCAAGAAATTGGAGAGCACACCATTGGCGATGGAGATGGAGAGAAGATTTTGTGACGTGGACTCGACGCAACGAAGATGAGACGATGCTCTTGAATCAGCCGTACCAAGTGTCGCAAGGCTTCCGGATTGTCGAAACCGATCCATTCTAGACGTTATACCGTACCGCTAGAGGCCGAATCGAGGGTAGCAAAGACAGTACCAAGAAGACAACAGACAGGGGCGATGGGGCCGAGAGGGTGGTCAACAAAACGAACAAGACGAACGAAATGATTGTCATTTGAACCAAGGACGGCATGCCGCGCATCCGTGCCGCCGCAATCTGACAAAGTTGAAGGCATGTCAATCGTTGGAGGCCATGCAAATAATCGTTTACACGAATGGCTGGCTCACCCTTGTAAGACGCAAACAAGTCGAGTGTGAGGCAGCTTTTCGTGTAAACAACTATCTCAAGTTGGGGAATCTGGATTGGGCGTTGCCCCTTTTTCAAGATGCAGCTCTTTGGTAGAAGAACTGCTACATAAACAGAAGTTACGGATAGGTCTATCGCAAGAAGGTACGATGCACACTTCGACGCACGGTTAGTTGTGAGGTTGAGCATGAGGGAAGGAGCGTATAAGCGAAGTACGGTAGTCCTCATAAGGAAAGCACGATATAGATGACTACCCAAACAGGAAGGAACAGCCACACCACGAACAAAATGCCAAAATTCAGTCAAACACAAATAGTCGCTCTGTCTGTCGGATTTCGGTATTTCCTTTCATGCACTCACGACAGCCTTTTTCTTCACGTCGGCCGATAGCCTGGAAGCAGCGGAAGAGCGGCGCGGGCTACGGAATCTGCATGCTATACGTCCGGTGCAGCCCATTTGAAAAGCGGCTGTGCGGTATGACTTCGCCAATGTGCAATTGCAGTTCCTTCCCATCGCCCCTTCCCTGTCTTTTCCTATGATCATGGAACAATCTGAAACATACGCTTCCAATGCCAAGTGGCGTCCGCGGGCGTAGGGTCGCACCTTCTCTTGTTCAATTCTCCCCTCCCCTTTCTCATCTTCCATCGCTCCTCCCGCCCATACCCCTGCGGATCCTCCGTGGCTGCCGTTTACGATTGGCTCGCAAAGACGGAGCACGCATCCCTCAAACCACGGTTCCCACAAGAAATCGCAAAATCGCATCTTGCCATCCTTCACCTCTTTGCACATTTCCTCTCTAAACGTCAACATGTCAACCATGCAACCATGGTGCCAGACAGCACCTCCCCCAGCATTCACCCATACCCCAAACGCCCATGACCCATGACGACGATCAACCCTTCTGAAAATAACCGTCCCATCCATCTCAAACATTGATAGCGAGAAGTCAAGTAGGGACTATTGAAGAGCTGTTTGTTTTCGCAGGAAAACAAGCCATTGCCTCGCTATTTTACGATGTGGTGCAAGGCGTCGTCACACGACACCGCTGCGGACAGCTCGCTTGTCCGGCGTCCCCCGTACGTCGTATCCGACCAGCCAACTGGATGAATGCGGTTCATCTTTTGTCGATGTCATCCCCCATCATTCCTGACCCTCTTTGACCATCTTTGGCCATCCTCGCCCATCTTCATGACCATCCTCTTTGCCACAGTCTCGGCAGTGCCTGGCGATGGGCCTGGATCTGTCACCATTCCCCCCTCCCCGGCTCTTTGCGAGTGTCCCTTCACACGTCCGTGGATTGTCGCTCTGCAGAGCACTCTCTGGTCTGGCTGCGTCCCGTCCAAGTCCAAAAGTGCGTTTTATGAAGCAGTGCGAGATGGCAAAATGGAATGGAAGAGGCAAAAGATAAAGAAGTCTCATGTGAAGGCATATAACCAACGGCTTTTGCCCTTTCTTCCTCGTTCGGTCTGAACGTCTGAGAGTCTTCTCTTTTTCATTTTTGTCATCTCTCCACCGAGAATTCACTCTTTCACCGACTTTTATTGCTTCATCCACTTCTACTTCTTACTACCTTTACTTGTTTACGCCTCGTTCTACTCACTTTTCATAGTTTCTACCCCCTGTTCTAACAGTCAGCGCTCCGTAATACACACAGACCCTATTTTTCTGCGTCCATTTCCGCTGTTGTTTTCATTCTCTCGTTCTCCATCTCGCTTCTTGCGAAGAAACAGCTGTCTCTCATTCTATTGTTGTACTTTCTCCCCTCCCGTTTTTGCGTTGTGAAACCAACGAAAGAGCACACCAAGGCCAAACCCCTGTGGCATACCCTGTCCAGCCAGCACGAAAATCGCCAGCGCTGCTGCACCTGGCCGCAGACGTCTGCGACATCTAGCCTGCCATCGAACCCGCTCAACCCGCTTCAGGGCTCGCTGCAACATCGCTGCATCCACACTGCCAACACTCGAAAGGATCCCTGTCCTCCGCCCAGGACATTACGCAGGATGCTCTCCATCCTGAGTCGTTCCAGATCCCTCAGAGGGGGTGGCCACCACCAACATGGTGTCAGTAAGAATGGGAACGACACTGCAGACGCTTCTGTAAACGCCTCATCGGCCTCCACGAACCATGCGACAAGCCAGGGTAAGACGCACGGCCCAAACGCGCCGGTGTCTCTGCTCTCGACCATGGTGGTCCCCTCGAATGTGCCTGCCATTGTTATCCCCATGGCCAGTGCCAGAAACGACACGTCCGTTTCTGTTTCTGCTTCTGTTTCTACCTCTGCTTCGACGTCTCTCAATTCAACGTCCTCCTTTCCCTCGTCTTCTTCCTCTCCCTCCTCGTCCAACACCGGCACCAGTTCGTTTTCCAACACCTCGTCCATCGAGCCCGGCTTTGTCTCCAAGCCAACGCTGCAGACGTCGACCGTCTTGGGACTCGTTGAAGACAAGAACGAAAATAACGTGAATACTGCCACTTTCAGAAGGAACGATAAGCCAGTCCCAACTGACAAGGTATCGCCTGGCTCGAGACCGCCATCGCCTGGTATCGACGGCAAACGAGAATGCCCATACGTGAACCGGCCACTGCCGCTGCCTCCGCCTCCCAAAACGCCTTCTTCTTCGGCCAACACTGCTGCAGCTAATATGACTTCGCGGCCAAACAAAACAGGCGGCAATGCCCTGAATCGGCCTGGCCCTCCTGCCTTTTCAGGCTCGCTCGCACCACCCGGCAGACCTGCTGACTTCAACCGGCGCATATCGCGGGACGACATGTTCCTCGGATCCCAGTCAAAGAAGTCGGCAGCTGCCTTTGACAGGCGGATTTCCCGCGACGATCTCTACCTGGGGACGCGGCCTCCAGCAGCACGCAGCGGCGCCTTCCACATTCCCAACCGCCAACAGCCTACCACAGTGGCCGAGCTCGGTGGCCTTGACCCGCCAGGTGCATGGCCGACTCGCCGTGCTTCGCCCGAATCGCTGATGTCGGGTGAGATCCAGATCGGCATGGCTCTCGGAAGCCCGGTCAACGCTTCGCCAGCGGAGCCTATTACGTCCTTCCGGCCCCCGCAGCGTGCACAGGCAGACCGCCTTCAAAGGACAGATCCGGCTACATATGCCTCGTGGCAGCCGAGAGAAATGGCACAGACATACGAGAGCCTCGCTGCCGCCTCAGAGTCTTCTTCCACAAGCGGTAACGGTGACACTATGCCCATTCAACGCTCCAAGACGACGCGACGAAAGCTGTTTGGCATTTTTAGCAGCAAACGGCATCACGACCCAGTCAAGTCCACTCTGACTTCGACAGCTTCATCCCAGTCGCTCGAAGCTAGCGACGCGTCGTCGCTTGTCATGACCTCGGCCGTTCCAACATCCACAAATGCCTTGTCGGCATCCGTGGCAACAGAGCGGCCAGGTACTCGCAGCGGCAGCAAAAAGCACCAGCCAATTATTGTCCAGATCGTCCCTGAGCCTGCCACCATCACAAACATCCAAGCGAGCAACGGCTCCTCGCCTGACCCCGCGTCGTTTGGAGTACCGGCCGCCACAGCTACAGCAGCCCCAGGCAACAAGGAGGGCCGCGGTAAACGTCCATTCTTACGGTCGAAGGCATCGGAGCCTGCTTTCCGGAAAGCACCCGTCGTCTCCAATCGGATGCCTATGGGTCTAGGGAACAACACGATGGCCAATCTCACTGCCGCAAGTGGATATCCTCCTGCCGGTGACAGCAACTACCTGATGCCGCCACCAATGCTGGGTGCAAGCCCATACCTCGATGTGGAAATTCCCGAGGCCCGTTTGGAGCGATACAGCGTGATGTTTGGCAACCTTCTCGGCTGTGGTCCGTCCTGGCAGCCTGCATCGTCGCTGCTTGCGCGGCGCCAGGCCACGCTGGACAAGCTCAAGAACATCAACGACCGCATCCGCCAGGAAGACTTTGAGCGGGACTTTGCGGCGGCGGCCGCAGCCGACGCCACAATGGCCATCAACGGCTTGCCCAGCCCTGGCCTGCAGCGCCGGGCCACGTCGCCGCACGTCACGCGGTCGCCTGCGTTTTCGCTCTTTCCTGGCCGACCACACAACACTGACAACAATAGCACCTCCGGACCGGCCTTGACCAATACGACTAACGTCAATAGCCCGCTGCTGTCGCCGCGACTTCGGTCCAACACTACCTCCGCGACCACGCGCTCACCCACACGAGCTGGTTTTCATTTCCAGCAGCCGCCGGGCGTGGCCGTGTCCACATCACAGAAGACAGCACAACCTTTGTTGGTATCGGCATCTCAACGATACAACAAGAGTCCCCTCCGCAGCGATATCAATGGTCACAGCAACCCATCAAGCATGCTGAACCGTCGCGGACCACCGGCCAAGACACAAGTTATGCCGACGTCTGTACCAGCGCCAGCACCTGCACCTGTATCGGTGGTCCACTTCGACCCGACGCAGTCGAGGCTGATTCTGGACTCTCCCACAGAAATGGACTACCCTGTGGAGCAGACTTTGCAGCCGTTCAAACCGGTGATCGAGGAGCCGCAGTGGCAGATGATCTCACCGCCGTCATCGACAGGCTCAGTGTCCAGTAGCAGTGCGGGCAGTGCTGGCAGTGCAACGAGCAAGCTTTTGCGCAGCCGGACGTCGGGCTCACCGGCGTCGACGACGTCGCTGGAGCTCGATGTGGAAGAGCCGGACCCGACGCTCAAGTCGGCCGTGGAGATTTCCATTGCGCGCCAGATTAGCGTGTCGCGGCAGCAGCGGCAGCTTCTGAGGCCACTCAAGACAAATAACCTGGCAGTGCCCGCAGCCCAGACCACGACGACTTCGACCACGCCGATGTCTTCGTCCTCGTCGCCGTCACGGTCGGCCACGCTCCGTTTGGGCCGCAACGAGCGACTGCAGGAGACGAAAATGTCGACACCGACCCTGGTTGTTGCGCCGACGTCGCTCGATAATACAACTGTCAACAACTACAAGTACGTCGGCGAGAACGACAGCAACGGTAGTCGTGGTTGGGCGATGTCGTCGGCATCTTCTTCTCAGCAGCAGCAGCAGCAGCAACAGCAGTTGCGGTACCTGTCGCCGAGAAACAACGCCAGCGCGAACAGCAACAGCAACATGCAGGCGTATCAGCTGGCGCAGAACCGCAAGAGCGAGCGCGTCATCCTCGAGGCAGTGTAGTCCTCCGTGCCATATCATTCGTTCATCCTATGTTCCTTTCACTTCGTTCTTGTCCCTGGGAGCTGGTGCTATGCTCAGGGCAAGCCCTTTTCTTATTTTCTTTTTTCCTCCGTCTTGATCGACGAGATTTTTACCTTCCCCCGGCTGGGCAGAGTCCCCTTTTCATTTCTATTGTCTAGTACTTATTACTTTTCTTGGGCTGGCACTCTATTTTTATTTTGTCTGGGACAGTCTTCTTTTCATTGCACACTTTTTTTTCGTAACTTGGACCACAAGTCTGGTTCCGTATTTTCTTTTCCTTATTTTTCACTACTCTATGTGCGATACCACGAGTTGGACCTCGACAAACAGGACACTCAATATAAAGGGAAATATAAATGCAAATATAGAAATGACCCTACTATGATAATTTGCCTAGTGAAACACCCAAGTCTCTCTAACACACTTTCGCCGACTTGTTTCACCATTCCTGTTTACCCTGTCGGCTGGAACTGACGTCTTAAAGCATGACAAGGAGAGATGCACAGGGTCCAGCCGATACAAACGACTCGTGATTTGAGAAAGCATGAACATGATTGAAGAAAAATAAAACAAAAAGTTACTTGTCCGAGACAAGGTTGCCAGCTAAACTCTATTTCCCCCAAAAAAGGCACACAATTAACGGTGAAGCGTTTACTTGATTTGTCCAATTACCTAAATTATGTTTCGTACTTCACAGTCAATGTCATATATCAAATCATTTAGAAACCGATATCAAGAGTTATAATGCGATGAAAATTAACTACAAATAAAAACAAAGAAGAAAAAACGCCGTACCATATTATGATGGTATCCCAACAATGAAGGAAAACAAAACAGACGTAATTATAATAGACGACCCAAACAGACCAACCTCGCATGCATGTCATCGTCTAGCCCGGCCGTCTCGGCCCCCGGCACCCATTTACATCACCACACAGCACGAGTTCTGCTTCTTTGCTTGCGTGTAGAACATCTTCGACTGGGCGCTGAGGCCGTCGGACTTGGCGACGAGGTCGTCAATCTTCTCGCCGCGCTGGAGGACGCTCTCAATGGTCTTGTGCAGGACGATCTTGGTCTCGTCGAGCTGCTGCTGGATCTTCATGATGCTGTCGGCCTGCTGGGGGTCCTGGTACTTGACAATGTACTCCTTGAGCTCGGGGAAGGAGACGGAGGGATGCTCGCCGGTGGCCCAGGCAGAGCGCGGGCTGGCGGCGAGGAACTCGTCGACGACCTTGCCGAGCAGCTGATGGGCGACCAGGCTGACGGGGCGTTAATACAGAGTGCAGAAGCAACGAGGGGGAAAGGGGGAAGGGGGAAGAGTGCAATCTCACGGAGGGTAGGCTTGGTCCGAAATGATGATGCCGCAGATGCCCTCGCTGCGGCCGTAGGCGTGGAAGGTGTAGGCCTGCTCCTCGACGTCCTGGCGCTGGCCAGGCTTTGTGCGCTCGGCGACGGTCTTGGAGAAGAGCGTCATGAACTCGCCGATGCTGGAGCGGGTGAAGCGGGAGTACTCGCTGAGGTCCTTTTCGGCGACGAGCTCAACAGACTTGTTCTGGCCGCCTTCATTGCGGATGATCTGTGGGTTGTCAGCGTCGTTGCAGGGCACAAAAGACGTGTGTTCCCCTCCGACTCTTGCCTGGCTTGACGTACACCAATGTAGTAGAGCTTCATGATGGCGACGGGTGGCAGACGTCGACTGTGGCGGTGAAGTAGGTTGTCGATGCAAAGGCAAGGCGAAACGAAAAGGGGGCGAGGGGAGCGGGCAGTCGAGCGACAAGGCCACCGGAGAGAGACACGGATCGATCGAGACGACGGAGGCTGGAAGATGTCGGTGGTTGTCGCAATGCGCAATGTCAGAGGCAGAAACGAAAATGCGAGTTGGACAGTTGGATAGCGCAGAAAGGCAACTGGTGGCGGCTATGCTGAACGACTGGTCGTTTGGTGAGACGGGACCTCGCATGGGTTGAAACTCCGAACAGGGGAAGGCGGGGTGGATGGTGGTTGCCCGCAGTGAACTTCGGTGGACTCTAATTACAGGTTGCTGCTTCCCAGCAGGAGTGCCTGGAGCCTTCCCTTTTGGCGCTGTCACATGCCCCTCGCCAGTGGCGGATTTGGTGGTGGGGACCAGTTATGCTTGTTCTGTTGGGGCAGGTGCGGAAGGGTAGACCAGGCCAAGGCGGTGAGTAGATCCAGCAAGGAAGGTCCGCGCGCCGGGTGCGCCTGTCCAGTAGGCTTCAGTAGGCTTCAGTAGGCTTCAGTAGGCTTCAGTAGGCTTCAGTAGACTGTAATGACTGCCTCCACTCTTCCGTTGCTGTCGAAAATTTTGACCTCTCCTCTCTCCTCTCTCCTTTTCCTCTCAACAACGACGATCGTGGAAGCACAAGAGCAACAGCTGAACAACGCAACAAGAGCCCCTCTTCCCTGCCGGAACGAACAGTTGAATTGCATGGAATGCATCTGCCTAGTGCGCAACGCATTTTATTCCATGCGCGACTGAAGACTGTCACGCGATGCGAGTCTGACGAAGGATGCCTAAGTAGGCGTTCAAGGGGCGGCTCAAGCTGAGTGCGGCTGTCTGTCCCTTTCTGGAGCTCTCTACCGATCTGTCCCACTGCCACGACGACCTGGCGTCCTGCTATGGTAACCGATTACTATCCCCCTACGTTTTCGGTGGTCAGTCGACGAGCGAGCCTCGTGCTTGCTTGGATGGCAGAGATTAGACGTTCTTCTTGACCACGATTAAGCCGGAGCACCGCGCTCGCTCACGTCGCTGAGAGGCGACGGGTGCATAGCTGGGGCTCGATTTGTGAGGGTCATACATTGGATGTGTATATTGTGTACATTGTGTATATTGTCGTCTTTTCTTGAGCTATAATGTACAAGATGGCCATGTCCATTCGTAAATGCATCTGGAAACACATCCGCAACGCCTGCGTAACGCCCGCTGTCCCAAATAACCCTTCTTCCGAAAAACCAACTCCGTTTCCTCCTTCTCTTACTTCAGCACCGTGTGGGCACCGCGCGTCTCCAGGTACTGCTCGGCCACACCCTGCTGGAAGTTCCGGATCGCCGCAAAGACCTCCATGTTGTGGTAGCGCAGCCGCGTCTTGGGGTCTGTGTACGGTGCCGACAGGCCCGTGATGTCGCAGTACCGCCGCTGCGGCGCCAGGCTCGGCGCGCTCTCGATGTTGGTGTAGGTCACGCTGGGGGCGGACGCGCCCACGGCGGACAGGGCCGCGGCGCCCGCCGAATGTCCAGTACCGGCGGCCCCCGGCAGCCGCAGGCTCTTTTCGAGCACCAGTTTTGACAGACTGCGGTTGGCCTGGGCCAGGTTGGGCGGCAGACCGGCCCCTCCATTGCTGCCTGTCGCCGGCCCGGCCGGCGTCGACGCGCCGCTCGTGGACAGGCCGTCGCCGTCATCGTCCGCTTTCCCGGCCGCTGCCGCCGCAGCCGCCGCCGCGTTTCTCGACGCCCGGGGCGTGTTGGCACCGCTGTTGTTCTCCTGCGGCGTGGCCAGAGCTGAGGCTTCTCGCCGCGACGCGTCGCCCAGGATGGTCTTGACGTTCTTGTTGCGCCGCTGGTTCGGCTTCCACGACGGGTTGCGGAACGTCTTGTGGATAGAGTGGATGTCACGCTGCTCAATGAGCTCGACGTGCGCAGCCTGTGCGGCGATCTGTTCGGGTGTTTGGGTGGCCATTGTGAGGGTGTCGCTGGAGACGAGTTGTGGCTGTGGAAAGTCGAGATGCAAAGAAGCACTCCCTGTAGAGCTCCAACATATCTTATTTCTGGCGGGTATGGTCGGGCGGTCATATTCTGCCGAGGCACACCGCCTACTTACTCTGGCACGCAGCGGCCCCACCAACGGCCATTTTACGATTCGTAGTGACGCGCGCCGCGTGCGAATGGCTTCTTGTTTACTTACTCAATCGCTTCGCAAACGCCGACCTCTCGATAGACCAAAATGGTATGACCAAATTTACGGGACGCCCCCAGTATGAGATGGTTGATTTCTTCGGCGACATACAGGCTGACCCGTCACAGGAGAGCCCGCACGAGCACCAGCAGAACTTGCTGCTGTCGCGCATCATCACGAATGTGGTATGTAGAGACAAGATGGTGGGAGATGAGACGGATGGCAATCGAAATGGCTGGATATGGGCAGGGAACCCACAACGGCGAAGACCAGCTAACAAAATATGCAGGAGAAGCTCAACGAGGCCGTCATGGTCATGAACAAGGCACTGCAGGTGTGTGCTCTCCAGACATGACGCTGACGAGCGGCACGATGCCACGAGAGATGCCACGGGAGCACAGCTAACTTTGGCTCGTCTAGGACATTAACATCCAGAACATGGATGTCGAGCTTGTTGCCCAGATGTTCAAGAACTACCGCTCCAACGTGCTTTTCCACTTGGAAGGTGAGTTTTGCGTCCGTTCCACAGGCAGATCTTCTAACCAAACGTTGTTTCTAACTCCCAGGAAGCCACCGACAAACTGTCCGAGCCGTCATAAGAGCCAGAGACTCTTTCTGCTTGTTGTTTCGACGGCCTCATCTCTCTTTTGCAATATTTCTCCGTGTTTTATGCCTGCGCTTTACGACCCATGATGCTCAGTACCGGCAGCTTTCCTTTCTGGGCGATGTCTGTTTATAGGAATTACGTTCACTGCCATGAATATACAAACGTACTTTTGTTTCATTAGAACGTCCTGTCATGACGTGAATGTGCATACTTGGTGGCATCAACATACGAAATGCCAGCCTGCTGACCGCCGCCTAGAAGCGCCCTAACGTTCACTGAAATAGCGCCTCACATGGCTCAACGTCACTGAACGCAACCCCACCAAAACGGCCAATTTATAGTGGAGTCGTCTTGCCCCCAAAAACTTTACTTCAACTACGACTTCATCGAAACAGCCTCTCTCTCAAACACCTCTCAATGTCGCCCGCAACAGCGCCGCCACAACAGCCCGCCGGCACACCAAAGACACAGAAAACGCAAAAGATGGCTTCCTCTTCGACGTCATCACCGCCCTCCCTCTTCCCGCCAATCCCCGCGCCCCTCCAACGCCTCTTCGATCTCGTGCCCCTCATCACATATCCAGCAAATGCTCTGCCCGGCGACGACGACCCTGGCCTCGACAGCCTCGACAACGACCTCGCAGGCGATTCAGACGGCAACCTGAGCTTTCTTCCCACCCTCTACGTCTTTATCGAACCCGCCGACGCCGCGCGTGGCCGCGCGAGCTTCAACCCAACGTGTCTCAAGTGGCAGGTAAGTTGAGCTTCTTCGCGATGGAAGACCGTGACGACGAAAACGAACAAAACAAAAGGATGCTGACCTGTTACTCAAGACATTCCTGCGGTTTGCCGACATCCCTGTGCGTTTGGCTGCCTCGTCCAACCATGCCTCGCCCACCGGCGCCCTGCCATTCTTGCAGCCCGCCCGACGGAGGACGCCGTCCCAGCCGAAGTCAAAGGCAACAACGACACCACAGCCGCCACGGCCCATTCCGGCCCACGACTTCCCGGCATTTGTCAAGAAGAATGCCCAGGCGTCACAGTCATCGTCGTCATCGTCAACTATAATCCCCTCGACCCTGCGTGACAACCCCAAGGCCGCCGCCTACCAAGCCCTGCTCGATACCAGCCTGCGCCGCGCTTGGCTGCACGCCGTCTACCTCGACGAGACTGCGCCATCCACGTCATCCACGCCATCCACACCAAAAAAAGCATCTGGGCAGTCCATTGCTGCCCGCCTCTACGCCCATGCCGCCTCGACGTCGCCGCTCATCCGCTGCGCTCTGGCCGGGCAGCTGCGCACCGCCGCGGCCGCCGAGGTTTGGGGCAGCAGCAGCGGTGCACAGGCCGTGACGGCGTCGGCGACGGCGCAGCTGTACCGCGATGCAGAGGCTGCATTGGCGGCGTTGTCGACGCTGTTGGCGGGGGAAGACGCAAACGAAGAGGCAGATGGCCGGTACTTTTTTGGCAGCCGCGAGCCGACCCTGTTTGATGCGGCCGTGTTTTCGTACACGCACCTGTTGCTGGAGGACGACGATGACAACGACCAAAGCGGACGGCGGCCCCGCTTCAGGTGGCACAATCGTGTGCTGCCCGATATGGTGCGTGCGCACCCGCGGCTGGTCGAGCACCGCGACCGCATTGTGGCACGATACTGGCCGAAGCAGGATGTGGATGGGTCGGAAACAGCGGCCGAAAAGACTCCAGCCGCCGACACATCCGCGAGCTGGATCCAGGTCTAGCAGGTGGAAAGTCAGTGGAAAGAGAGTGGCAGTGCGCTGCTTTTGTACAACACCTCCCCTCTTGTTATGATACCCATAGAAATACACAAATGGTTGCACATGGACAAAGTACGTCGAAGTGGATTGCATTCTGTCTTCTACGGTCGGTCATATTAAAGGCCCCCAGGGCGGCTGGTAACAGGTGTAAAGACGTAAGCCGGCAGACGGCAACGTGGGAAAAAAGGAGCGAGACGGAAGATGGAAATGGACATGGAAACAAAACGCCTCATAACGCCTTGTTCTATAACAGTGAAGATAAGGAACAATGAAATGTAAAGTATGATTGATGCGCCCAGTGCAACACACGACGTCGAAACCAAGGGAAAAGAGAAGAGACAGTTGCAGAAGACAAACTCTCAGATCCAATGAGTCCCGTACCTAGAGGCCTACAATAAAAATAAAACGCCTGAGAGTTGACCATGGAAGGGATAAGTACAAAATGAGACAAAACAAACACCTGGATATGAAGAAGAGCTGGCGAGCGAGGCACCGGAAAGAAGAAAAAAAATGAGAGAATAAAACAGGGGACACAGGCAGCAAACACAAAGACGGATGCTTTATGATCCGAGTGTTTCGACGACCGCGCCACTTATGGCGTATAGGGCTGTGGGATGCCGTCCAACACGCCCTGTATCGTCACAAACGAGCCCGGCCCGCCGTTCTGCCGCAGGTCTTCGAGGAGCACATTGGTTTGCGCGTGCAGGTTCTCCAGCGCCGAGCGCGACGACTTTCCGGTGGATACTGTTGGCGTAGTTAGTGTCGGAATCAACCTCTACATTCAACGTGGTAAAGACAGGGATCAGGGCAAGGGGAACGGAACATACACAAAATGGCCGAGTTGAGCTCTTCGGCAACTGCCACCCGTCCTCGCTGGTCCAGCAAATGCGCCACTTCCGGCTGCTTGAGCGGGTTCGGATATGCCAATAGAGAGAATATCTCGTTCAGTGCGTTTTGAATCTTCGGCCGCATGTCGCTGTTAAACTCAATCTGCAGATACTGGCCGTATCTGACTGCGTTTTGCACCAGCGCCTGGCTCACCGGCTGGTCCGCTGGCTGGCTCTCCGCCGTACCGCTGTCCTCGACCATCATGACGTCGTCGACATCCATCTGCGGGTTGTGGCCGTTGGCCTGTCTCGCAGCATCGCCGCCGGCCTGGCTTGGGTCGGCACCATTTGTGCTACCATTGGCATTGCTGGACCCATGGCCGCTGCCAACAATGTTCAGCTCGGCTTCTTTGCGGATCATTTCGACGAACTTGCGGCACTTCAGGTGGAAATGAACAGTCTCGTTTTGGTGCAGCACGGTCGGGTAGTCTGCCTTAGTCAACTCGAGCGCCCGGTCAATGTCGCCTTCGAGCACAGCGCGGCGGATGCGCTGCCTCTTGTTGGCATCCTCGTCGTCGGCAATGTTGTATCCCCGCACGGGGTGCTTCGAGTCGATGTTTAGGGCCTCTTTCTCGGCCTCGATTTCCTTCGCAAAGGCGCGGGCGGTGTCGACATAGCCGTCCTGTTGCAAAAATTGCAGGACCTACTTCGTGTTAACATGTGCCTGTTGTTTACGTCGACAAGACGTACGAGTGGAGACTTACCAGCTGCTGGACAAGGTCGGTCTCGCTCGTAGCAGTTGCAAGATCATCGGTGCTTTCCGGTTCGTTAGCTTCCAAGCAATGGGCCCGACATGATGAGAAAAAGACGGGAGGTACCTTGTTTTCAGAATCTGCTGATTGATGTCCTGTTTCTCTTTCTGTGATACAAGTCTCGTTAGTAACCGGACGAGCCAACAAGGATAACGTAGAAAGCAAGACGGCCAAAATTTGCACCAGACGACGCCAAACACAAACGCCCATAGTTAAAACATCGCTCACACTAGTAGGCGAGCTTGACTGATGAGGCACAAAACAACAAATCCAGTACGAAACGGGTTTCAATGACGCTTGTGACTTGGGTGCTGCCGATTTCGGTGCTGCCATCTAAGCACTGGCGGCCTGGTCGCTCGCACCGTCGCGGCCACGCGCAACTAGGATTCTGGTAGCCTGTGCAGACCGACAACAGTCTGAAAGTGGAACCTCTGCTTCGAGTTCATGGGCCACGGCGAAAGACTGTGCAACTTTTCATAAAGCGCCGCCCCCAACCAAATCGACGCTGCTATCTTGGCCCTCGGGGTCCATGTGAAACAGCAAGGCGACGAGAGAGGCGACAACGAAATAAAAGATACAAAAAACAATGACATAGGGTAGTGTTGGGATAAGGAATACAATGTAGAGGGTAAAGCAGCAACCATATATGAACGGAGGTAGGATGTGGTAAGGTATCAGAGGTTCCGACATTCGGTCGATAATGGGATGCAGGAGGACGCAAACGAAAAATAAATAAGTAACAGACAATGGGAGAACAGTTTGTGGATTGCATGAGATGTCGTGAAAGCAGGAAAACGAAGACGCATAACTGGTGACGAAGCAGAACAAAACAAAAGTGCGAGACGGTACAAAACACGCAAAAAGGGAAAAGAAGGAAATAGGTTCCTACCTTCATGACACCGTCGATATCAAAAGTGAAAGGCACCTGCCCAAAATTGACGCGAATGTGCTCGCCCAGCTTCTTCATTCCAACGGAGGGAAAGAGCTTTAGGCTGGAGCTTTTGATGTCCTTGAACGCAACGCCTGGGAAGGAGCGGTTGGTTAGTTGGGTCGAGAAGAAGGAAGGAGCCGCGCGACAGAGCTAAAACAGAAAAAGAAATAAGAAAGGACAAACGAAACAAAAGGAGCATACCCAAATCTTCGCCGTTCTTGGTGAAGAAGGCGGTGCCCGTCCGAAAGTTGACGCCACAGCCCACAATATCACCTGGGCCAAACGAAGGGCCGTACTTCTTGCCGGAGCCATGGTCAGTGAAGACGTTGCCATCATCGCTGTGATAGCCCCACGAGCCGGGCTCCCAGCCAGGCGGACGCGACAGCTTGGCTGATGCTTCGGAGAAGCCGATGCCAATGGTCGACTCTTCCCGCTTCTTGGAGAGAATCGTCACCTCGTAGTAGTAGATGCCGCACTGTGGCGGCATGTAGTGGTCGGCGCGCACGGAGCCGGCCTCTTGAGCGTGCTGGTTGTGGTCGCTTGCGGACCGGGACCCGGCGAACTTGACGTCGAGGCCGTCCGACAACACGTCCAGCGACGACGCCTTGTCGTCCTTGTCCCAGCGTGACGGCAGGGGTGCCATGGGCTCCTCGTCGTCCGCCAGGCCGCCGCCGCCGCCGCCGCCGCCGCTGCCACTGCTGCCGCCAATGCCAATACCGCTGCCGCTTCCGCCGCCCAGACCTTTCTCGACCACATCGAATGCCAGACCACGGTGCGACCCGGGGCCACCAATCTTGCCGTTGCCGAGGCCGCCGGGGCCGTTGTTGATGCTGATGCTGGTCAGGCTGGCATAGGTGCTGAGGCCGTCGAGTCCGCCGCTGCCGCCGCCACCCAACAGCGAGCTGCTATGCCGGCCGTGCAGTCCACCCAGGTTGCCTGCTCCCAGCATCATGCCACCACTGCTGGATGCCCCTGCACCTGGTTGGGCCGCTGCTGGCTGGCGTGCGTGGAGCTGCTGGCTCTCGCGTGCGGCCTGCACCTTGGCTTTGTACTGCTCCTCGAGGCGCTGGACGTACACCGATTCGCGGAGGTAGGAAGGCGTGAAGAAGCCCGCGTTGTTGTTGGGAACGATCGTCGTGCCCGGGGCATCCGTGTAGGAGGGGCCTCGCAAGAAGGGCTCAAACGCACGCGAGAACGAGGGCAGCTGGCCTCGCGAGCCGAGCAGACGCATTAGGGCGCTGTCGGGAACGTTCGTGTTCAGGCCGGACCACATGGGATCCGCGTCGTCGTCGTTGCTGCCGGTCAGGTTGGCGCTGCTGCTGCTGTGGCTGCCATAAGGTGGCCGTATGCTCGTGTGGAAGTTCGCGCCATTGCTCTCGGAGCCGTCGGCATTGGTGGTGTTGAGTAGCTGTTGGAAGGTGGCGCCGGAGCGGCCGTAGCCACCGGGGCTACCTGCAGCCGAGGCGTAGGAGGGCCGTCGTGGCGAGAAGCCCGGCAGGCCGGTGGGCAAGCCCGAGTCGGGATAAGAGTATGGGTTTGACATTGTCGGATTGGGGGACGCAGACGACCGACGGAATGTCGCTTGGGAGGGACGCAAGCTGCACAGGTAAGGTGCAACAGGCGAGGATGAAAATACGCCAGAGAAATAAGTAGAATCTAGTCTCAGGTCAGGCAGGCCGGCAATCGGTCGTTTGGGCTCGTGAGATGACGGTGTGCGTATCGAAGGTCTGGTTGATGTCAAGTCAAGGTAGAAACGATAGATAGCGGCAAGAAGCCGAGCAGAAGACAATCATCAACTGGCGTATCAAATGATGGCCGACACAGGGAGGTGGCGTCCCGAAAACGCTAGAAAAATGGACGCCGCGGTGGAAACTGAGAAAGGCTGGCCAGAGCGCTGGGTGACAGGGCGTCGGAGAGAAAAGAGAGGAGATGATGCAGGGCGAAAGATGAGGCCCGAGACAGCAAATGCCGAGAGCAGCGGTGCGTCGGCTCTCGTGCTGTGTCGACCCGGCTTGTCTGGGTCTAGGCGGTCGGTCGGTCGGCCGGTCGTCTAATCACCTTACCCGCTTGTTCGTTGTCCGTTGTCGTCGTCTGCTCTGCACGTGTCGTTGACTCTTGGATGCTCTGTGGTGTTGAGATTGACGCCGTTGAGGTCTCCGCTCCGAGGATAGGCGTTGAGATAAGCAATGCAAGGGAACTGGCGTTGATGGGAGCTGCCAATCGTGTGTGCCGTAGTGAAGTCAGCGTTGGGCGCCGAAGATGGGAGGAGAGAGCAGCCTGTCGTGGAGGGATCGTCAGGCAGAACGGCGAGGAAAGCTTTAGGGGGGAAGTATTCGGAAACGAGAGGAGAGAGGTGCGGTTCTCTTTCGATGGCGGGTCGTGCTGCCGTTGTGCTTGGACACTGGCGATGGGGGAAGGAGGGATGGGCTAACAGAGCTGGTGGCGGGCGCGGTCGAGGTTGGCAAGGACGAATGGTGCGTAATCGTGTGCTAGTTCGCCGTGGAGGGTGTTCTGCAGTGGTCGTCTAAGCGCTGTAGCAAAGAGCAGCTAGCACGGGGCGACGAATCACGGGATGCTTTACAGGGCAGTTCGAAACACCTGAGACCAGAGCGAACGGGGCATACTCGACCAGCTTTTCAATTGTTGTCCGAAAATAAAAGAAGGGGCGAGCCTTTGCAGAAAAAAGGCATGTTTTAGGAAAGCATCTTATTTCCTGCTTCTGCTCGAGGACTTTCAAGATACGAGCTGTGCCGTGACCGATCCGACACACGAGGTAGAGCAGTGCACATGACGGCAGAACGCTGGAAGGGACCGCCTGTACTCCGTACAGAATAGAGATATGAATGATGCGACCTAGGCCCTGGACTGCAGCGTAGGCGAGACATGCTGTCGCTGACGGAATCGTTGAGGTGATTGCTTCGGTAGTGGGCTAATCGACAGTCGTTTAGCGGGTACTTTGCGAGCGAGGCTGCTTGCTGGTGGTTTTGCGGGGGGAGCCACAATTGAGTATGTACCTCCAGATCAATAAGTGCCAGCATCCACATCAGAGTGGGTCCATCCACCACTTGCAAGCAGCTGGACTTTTCGAGCTACACCAGTCCTGGGCTGGCCTTGCAGGAGTGGTCACTGGACCATCTGTTTGCAGGATGGGAGAACACGGCCACAGCATATTGCAGCCAGGAGCAATCTAGACGCAAGAAAATACTGCCAAGGATGTGTGTACGGGTGAGAAAGGAACAATGGGAAGTGCCTTTTATATTGTTACAACGTAGGGCTGCTTGCATATGAGGTTTCGATGTTTCGAAGTTGAGGTAAGAGAGCATTTAAGAACATGGTGAACTATGGCACGCTGGAGGACACTGTGTGTGGTGAAGACAAAAACTTTTCAATACTGGGGGGTCGCTGCACATATGGTCTTCCTTTTCCATTCTTCTGCTCCAGGTGAACCCACCTCCAGCAAGCACTGAAAAGAAACGCAGAGCAAAAGATGCAGACAAAGCACTGGAAGATGATTTGCTTAAATTGGCGGAACACAAGCCTGATAGCCGCCCTATACCCAACTCCCCATCCTGATAAATCCCTTTTGACCGAAGAAGACATCGATAAGAACAAAGAAACGCACAAAATGACACGGGCCTGATAGACTATTGACCAACGCCAGAAAGCAACCTGTAGAAGAAAAAAACAGAGACCGCAGCCATCACTATTGTACACGCCGTGAGAAAAACAAATACAACCATTACCATAACAAAACCGCTAGAAGGACCGAAAGGAAAGAGGAGACATGAAAAGGAAAACAGAGTCGACGGGTCTCCTTCTATGCTGCCGCGGCAACGGGTGTTGCCGCCTCGGTGGCCGGCTCGACAGACGGACTCGGTACGGCGCTCGTGTTGGCCATGTCGACGTCGCTGGGCGGAGCCGTGGCATCGCCGTTGGTGACTCCATGCACATGGCCGTTGGTCTTGGCGCCCGCGTTCTGGTCCTTCTTGTCGCTGTTGCTGTCCTTGCCGTTCTCCTTGTTGCTGCCCGTGCCGTCGGCCGACGCCGTGGCGGAGGTCGACTCGTCGCCGCCGTCGGTGTCGGTGGCGGACGTCTTGGGCGGCGCACGCCAGCGGGGGATGCTCCAATGCACGCCGGTAAAGCTCTTGAGCTGGAAGCTGCCCTTGGCCCATTTGCGGCAGGGCTTGCCGGAGCGGTCGAGGGCGCGCAGGCCGGCATTGATGGCGCCCATGCTGGCCTTGGGGCCGAGCTTGTGTGCGCCAGCGGCAGACGCGCGAATTTCAACGCCGTCCTCACTGGTCTGTTAGTGTCCATAACAAAACACACACTCACACACACACCAAAAGGGCTGAGGGGGAGTGACATACAGTTTGGCCTTCTTCTTGGGTCCTGGCTTGCTGCGGACGCGTGCAGCGGGCTGCGGTGTGTCGCCGTTGGTGCTAGCCGGTCCGGCGCTGGCAGTGCCATCGACACCGGCAGCGGCGGCCGTGCGCTTCAGGCTGCCCCTCTTTTTGCTGGCGGCATTGCTATTGCTCTCCTCGTCGGCTGCAGCGGCCGCAGCTCCGTTGGGTGGTCCCATGGTCGAGGACGAGACGGGTGTATCGGCAGCAGCTCCGGTGGGAGTTGCAGGCGTCGACTCGGACGCGTTGTCGTCCTTGGCAGCAGCGGCAAGCTTGGCGTTTTCGGCGTTGTCTTCGTCCTTGGCGGGCAGAGGCGTCGAGGGGGCGGGTGTGTGTGTGTCTGAGACAGTGCTTTCGTGGCTGTCGGGGAAGATAGCACGCAGCTTGTCGGGAGACACGGTCAAGGTGATGATGCCAGGGGCGTTCTTGTCCAACTTCTCTGACTTCCGGCGGTCTTTCGATGACATACTGTGATGGGCGTGTGGACCAAAGAAGAACCAAAATGCGTATGGGAGAAAACAAAAGCAGTCGAAAGCGTGAGCCGACAAGGGAGGCTCGATTGTTTATTTGGATCGACGGTGCCCAAAAAAACTGATGATAGTTTGTAAAAGGTGTGTTCGAACCCTTTCGATGTCAACGCCGCCTGTGGACGAAATTCGCGTTGTAGTGGGAGTTGGCTGGACTGCAGGAGACCAAAGGCGACCTCAAAGCACAAAAGAGACACGGTGTGGAAAAGACGTCCCGAAAAATCAAGTCACAAAAGGACGGTCGTGAAGACAGAAAAAAGGGCGTTGGCACAAGAGCCAAAGACGGCCCCAACGAGAATCCTCTTCGTCTTCTCGAGCGTTGTGCTGGCAGCCACTCAATCGATTAATCGGTGGGCTGGGCGGTGACGATCGCGAGATGGGCGCGACAGCGGACGTAGTCGGCGGCAGGGGCAATCATGGGCGTGGTGGTGAGAGCAGTGGAGCGGTGGTGGTGATGGGCGTCGATGGGCCTTGGTCACGATGGTGATGATGGTGATGGGATGGCGACGATTGAGGCCGACGGGGGAAGGGGGAGCGAAAGGGATTTTATTGTGGCGTGCAAAGGCATCCTGGGGGAAATAGAGGGTTTGGGTTTTGGGGCCATTCTCGCAATGGGAGCGGCCGGAGCGTTGGACAGCTAAAAAAGGAGGGCGCATTTTTGATGGGTTTTTTTCTCTCGCCTTGTTCGCGCCGCCAAAATGCTGAATGAAGTCTCCAGGCGAGCCCGGAACGAGAACTGTGTAAGTTACGTGGTTTGGCCCGTGGCAGCAAGTGTTTTAGTCTGGCGACTGGGGCCCGTGTTTTTGCATTTATTTTTGCTATTTTGTTTAATTCGGCCGCCAAATACGCCAATAACACGCCAGAAGGCTCAGAGCGCTGGCCTGAGGCAGGAAGCTGCTCCATAAAAAAGGAGGATGTAACCAATCAGGTCCATGTTTTGATTCCAAATGCGGACTAGCGCATTTGTATTGACAGTCAGGGGCACACAGTGCCGAACATGTGCGAGGCACGGAGCGACTACGGAGTCAGTTTGGTGATGATGTGCTGCCTTCTGCCCTTTGAAATCTGCTGTTTCGTCACCCGTTTTGTGGCTTTACCGCCTGGATTTTGCGTTTCTGGCTGCTTCTGTCGGCATTACGGAGCAGCACCTAGCAGCCAAGGAACAAAGTAATAGACACGACACAGGACACACAGGACACACAGGACACAGACACAGCCTGCGACCATTCATTTTCCACTTGGTGGCGCAGACCACCATTCGCCTGTCAGTCTCGCCAACTCCCGGCTGACGCCAGCCAGGATGCAGGAATCAGGGAGCTGAGGATGCGCGCTCAGGTGCGATACTGTGAGACAGACGCATCCCACAGGACGCACGCATTTCCGATCACAGTCGCTGTAATGGACAGTTGCACCTTCTAACCGTGACAAGAGCGGCCTGGGATGGCAATAGCGATAGGGGAGTGAGGGGCCGACGTGCTGTTTTGCGCGCATCTTTGCAACGTTCGGAAAGAACTACTGGGTAAAATCGATCTAAGTCGCCCAAGTGTTCCCGGAGAAGAAGGAACGAGAAAATGAACGGAAGGAGCGAGAGACCGTTGGGCAACGGTAGTCCACACAGTGCCCATGAGCTGGCGAGACCTTTTTGCTCGTCGCACTTCTTTCACCATTTCTACTTTGTCGCGATAACCGTGCAATTTGGTAGATCGGTTGACGGACGGCCCTAAAATGGTGCCTGTCAATAATTCGATGGGAAAGAGTTGTGTTGCCTCAGCGTCACTGCCTCCCACCTGCCCGAAACTGCTCCAACTGCTCCTTGCCTGTCCGCATTGCCCCATTCCGTGAGACAGCACCCACGCTTCTTAGAACGGAGGAAAGAGGCAACAATGAGGAAAGAGCCGAGCAGCGTCGTATGGCCCATGCGCCCACGTTCTAAGCTGGCGGACGGCCATTACTATGCAAAGCACGGCATTTCTTTCAGCACTGACACATCTGGCAAAGGCCTTCTCAGTCACTTCGCTTTTCGGTCACTCTTTATCTTCCAGCCATGAATCATTGACAGCACGGGATAGGAAATGCTGGGGAGTTTGCTGCCTCTCAAGGGATGCTGCCGCAGTACCAAACTGCGCCGCTGAACCAATTTGCATCTGCAAATTGCAAGCGACGTCGATAATACTCCGGGATAAACCCTTACGACAACGTTTACAGAACCACCTGTGTCCGGGCCGTGCGGGACGGCAGTCGTCACCTCGGGCGCTCCAACCGCCGTCCTCGGGGGAGGCGTCACGTGCCATATAATTTGATTACATAATATCGCAGCCTTGCGAGACATACTCGACGCCGAAAATGTACACTTCCTCAACACCTTGGCCTCAGTATGTTGCTCGAAACTCTTACGAATCAGATTGTTGCTAAGAAAATGTGCACCGGGTGAGTGGCTTCTAAGCGAATATACGGAGTTCTACGAAAAGTTACTACAATTTCGAGAAAGAATATCTCATGTGAAGTGCCTGGAGGCGTCATTATCTCGGCCATGAATTTTTGGAAGGAAATCCAAGGTGTCTATCAGATTTGGAAAGGATTTCAGTGATGTAAACACATGATAGTTGTGATGCAGCCGGGTGGCTGGCGAAATTGTCTTGAACCCTCCTTAAAGAGGTATTTTCATAATTCACAATATCAGCTTAATAAACGCAGCTTTTATATTCAAGACACCTCTGACCTGTTGACCGCTGCAGCCGCACTCTTGAAACGATCCATACGTGCGTCCAATATGTCCCAAAGGTGTTGAGACTCGTGTTTCCTGTCAAGAAAGCAACAAAAGAGAGACAGCGACGAAAGTCCTGAGATAAATTTTTGCATTGATTTAACTGAACTTCTAGCATGTCAATTCTACCAACTACAATTACAACGTCCGCCATACAATTCAAAAACGACATGAACCTTGCCGGTAGTATTCGTTCTGTCTACACAGGACGTCGCAAATATCGTGTGGGAAACGGGGGTTGTCTGTTAGCTTTCGGGCGTCATTAGCGCGCACGTCATTGTTGGATTGGTTGATGAGACGTGCTGGACCACTTCTGTTTTAACCCTTGGCGGCCCCCAAGTTTGTAGGTTATGACGGCCACCAGTTCCGCCGCTCACATCTCGTTTAGTGCATCGCCGACGACAACGCTCGGCGTCGTTTTATGTGGTTTCTGTATTGTTACGCCGGAATACCGATTTAATTTGTGGGAGCGTGTATCTGCCGACCATGACCAGAAATGCAGGAGGTAGGCTACAAAACGGGGTTATTATGTACTTTGATTTTGTGTCTTTTTTTATTGCAAGAACTAACATGACAGCCGGCCTGCCCATCACGACGTTCGACGTCAACCACATCCAAGTCGACCCGACAACATTCAATAAAAAGCGGAAGCGGACAAACACAGCCTGCGTGCGGTGTCATGAGCGCAAAATCAAGTGCGATGCTGGTAGGTGGATGAAATCGTTTATTGCGATTTCAGATCGACGACCGACTGCGAGCAAAAACTGACTGTTAGGATCACTGCCAGGTAATACGCCATGCAGGGTACGTTTTGATCCCATTTTTTCCTGCCATTGTTGTTTGCATGCAAAGGTATACTGACAAATATAGAACTGCCTGTCTGCCAGTGCGTCGTGTGTGTAAGTTGGGACGACAAGACGACAAGGACCTACAACTACCTCGCACAAATCCGATTCTGACCCAGCAGGATGCATATCGATGGTCGAACACGAGCTGGCCCGATCCAGGCAACCCTTGACGTTGTAACTAACGGCAACACCCGCGGCGATGATGAAGATGATGACGGTGATGAGGATGATGGCGTTGACGGCGGCATTGGTGGAAACAGCACGACCAACCCAAACAGCATATTCGAAACGACACAGCCCATTTTCCATGCTGCAAACTCTGCGCATGCTCTCCCATCGCCATCTCGTTCACTTCCACCACCGTCTGCCTCAGCATCAGCGCTTCTTCTCCCACGACAGCCCAGTCCTGCACCACGGGCGCCAGCGGATGTGTCTGTGCAGCGGTTCGAAGCATACGTAGAGGACAATCTTGGTTCGTACGCACCATCGTTTCGAGCGTCGAGGGGCGAGGACTATGTAAATGTGAACCCCAAAACAAACAACAACACATCTGCCTCGGATGATGCGCTTGCAGCTGCCGTATTGTCGTCCTTTACGCCAAGTGCCACCACGCATGACAGCCACAACAACAGCGACCCTTTCCTCGGGGCAGGCACCAGCTCCGTGTCCAATGCGAATGCCAACGGCGGCGGCAGCAACTACAGCGTCGACAGTTCGGCATATGCAGACCGAAACTACCGTAGTGGGTACAACAACAACCAACACACACCCGCATCATACACAGCCATTGGGACGGGACCGGCGACGAGCGCTGCAGGCGGCGACCGGATAGAAGTCGAAATGGGCACACGTGCCACACTCGACTGGGAGCGCGAAGTGACGGACCTGGATGCTGCCGACGTCGACTATCTGCGCGCCAAAGGCGCCTTTGACCTGCCACCAGTCGACCTGCAGGCTGACCTCATCGACGCCTTTTTTAGCGACGTACACCCGACGTCGCCCGTCGTCAACCGCTGGGCGTTTCTGGCCGATTTCCGAGCAGGCCGCCGCCAGAGCCGGCTGCTGCTATTTGCCATTTTCACAGCAGCCGCCCGCGCCTGCCGCAATCCGGCGCTGCTGGACGCGCGCGGCACCAACCACGCGAGCGCCTGGCGATTCTACCGCGCAACCAAGGCGCTGCTGGACACGGGGTACGAGCGCAGCCGGCTGGTGGTGGTGCAAGCCTTGCTGATGATTACCTGGTGGTGGGACAAGAAGGACGACGGCGGACGCAACATGCGCAGCTGCGCCGTGGACGCCATCAACACGGCCCAGAGCATCGGCATGCACCGATGGGACCAGTACCCGCGGCAGACGGATGCGTCGGTGTCGAAAGCCAACGCCGAGCTGGGCCTCTGGAAGCGCATCTGGTGGTCGTGTGTCAATCGCGACGTCGGGGTCGCTGTGGGCCATGGCCTGCCGTGCATGATTTCGCTCGACGACTCGGACGTGCACCCGCTGACGCCGCACGACTTCAACGAGGACCCGACGGGCGCCGCGGGCGGGCAGTGGGCGAGCTACAGCGAGGCCGAGGTGTTGTTCATGATTGAGCAGACGCGCGTTGCCGAGGCTATGAGGCATATCCACAACCAGTATTTTGTGCAGCAGAAACTGCAGCTGCGACTGACAGGGTCCATCGCCGCGAGGGAGGAGCAGCTGGGTGGCTCCTTCCCCGGACGGACAAATTATCACGACGGCAGCACCCACAGCCAAGGAAGTCACGCAGGTCACGGGACTGCCGGATCACAGTCCACGTCAGCCCCTTTTTCTTCTGTTGTCGGCCTCCGTTCCGACAACTACAACGACGCCGGTCTGCGTCTATGCCGCGAATGGCTGGCCAACGTGCCTGCCGCTGTGCAGTACGATGTCGACGACGTGCAGGGCCACCGGTTCTGGCCAGCTTTTCTTCACATTCTTTACTAGTGAGTCTCCTCTATTCCGATATCCTACAACCGTTTCTTTCTCGCTAACCACGCGTGTCTCAAGCTCCAATATTATGCTGCGCTTTCGCGAGGTGTCGGTGACGCGCCCGCAGACGCCCCGCGCCGTCGCCGAGCACCAGTACGGCAAGGCCCGCGGCATCGCCGCCGCCACCATGGTCAGCAAGATCATCCGCAACATGCGCGCCCACGGCCACCTTTTGCGGTGCACAGGGCAGCTGACCAGCTCCTTATTCAACTGTCTGCTGTTCTTCCTCATTGAAGGCCACTTGGCCGGCGCGTCCAACAACACCGCGATGCGCGACGACGCCCGCCGCAAGTACACGCTGTGCCTCAACCAGCTCTACGAATTTAGCCAGCTGTGGATCAGCGCCTCGCTCGTGCACCGCCTGTTCGAGGCGCTGCAGGCCAGTCTGCTCCAGCCGGTGACGGCGAAAGCAACAACAGCAACTACGAATGCCGCGTTTGACTCGGGCCACGAGCTGTTCCCTGGCTTTCGCACGTCGAGCGACATTACGCAGTCCTATATGCGGCAGCTTGTCGAGACGGAGTTCTATCACGCCGACACGCTGCCCAACACAGAGATGGTCGTTGGCAATGCGACTGCAGACAGCGCCTCGCTCAGCGCGTGGACCCTGCCTTCCCCGGACGGTATATGGTCGGGGCTGGACCAGCCGCTGTTTGGTGGTCTGCCGGCGACGCTGGATGTGGATACATGGTAAGCCAATGAGATTGATATGATGCCGAACTGGCCTCAAACGAAGCGAGGACAGGACAGAGAGACAGAGAGAAAGAGAGAAAGAGAGAAACGGAGAGAAGACGTCGTAGGGGACGAAGATTGCGTGATGCAAGCTAACCGTGAGTTAACTAGGCTCGATTTCTTCCAGTTTGGGGACGGCAAAACTATGTGAGATCGAAGGGACGTAGAGAAAACGAATTCAAGAGGGAAAAGAGACAAGCAGGCACAAAAAGACACAAAAAAGAATACGACCCAAATTCAACAGAACCGAACCAGGATTCGGCGATGCATGGCCGGAGAAAGAAAAGCGACAAGAGCCCAGGGACGCTAACACGACGAAATCATCGAGGGGTGGGCCTGGACGCTATTCCACTCTGAGCATCACCGATGCGACGTACTTTTGGGGTCATTTGTTTTTTCTGTGCCCTTCTGTGCCTTGTCTTTTTTTGGGAGGGAAGGGGGGGGAGGAGTGATTGCTTTATTGGTTTCACGGGTGCCGTCTTGCGTCACTTTGGCCATGTCAAAACGAATGACGCAAAAAAATAAATCGAAAGGCGAGACGGAAAAAGGCACGACAAACCTGAGAGTCACGGCATCGCTTTCGGCGTCAATACATCAACATACCACCACTTACACGGGCAGTTCGCTTTCTATCCGTTCGCACTGTGAATCAAAGCACTTCTTTCTCCCAACTCGACACCCTTCGTCACCACACTCGCTATGCCCGACTCCGCCCTTTTCTCGCCCGTCCGCGTCGGCCGCCTCGACCTCGCCCACCGCGTGGTCATGGCACCTATGACGCGCCGGCGGGCCACCGTCGACTACGTGCCCACGCCACTCATGGCAGATTACTATGCACAGCGTGCATCGGTACCCGGCACACTCCTCATTTCGGAGGCGACGTCAGTGTCGCCACGCTCCGCGGCGCTTCCCAACACGCCCGGTATTTTCACACAAGAACAAATCGACGCCTGGAAGCCGGTCACAAAGGCCGTGCACGACCGCGGCTCGTTTGTCTACGTGCAGCTGTGGATGTGCGGTCGGGCAGCACGCCCGGGCGCCGTCAAGCGTGGTGCACCAGTCTTGTCTGCCAGCGATGTGCCTGTCGGCCCCGACTCACCTGTGCCGCGACCCTTGACCGAAGACGAGATCCAGACGTGCATCAACGACTACCGGCAGGCCGCCATCAACGCCATCGAGGCCGGCTTTGACGGCGTCGAGCTGCATGGTGCCAATGGCTATTTGTTGGACCAGTTCACGCAAGACGTGTCCAACAAACGCACGGACGACTGGGGCGGCAGCATCGAGAAGCGGTCACGGTTTGCCGTGGCTGTGGCGACGGCCGTTGCAGACGCCATTGGCGCCGACCGCGTGGGCTACCGAGTCAGCCCCTGGAGCCGGCACCATGGCATGCGCATGGCGGGTCCTGTTCCGCAGTTTACGGACCTGGTGACGCGTCTCAAGCCGCTCAAGCTGGCGTATCTGCACGTCATTGAGGGTCGTGTGCAGGCCAACGCCGACCTCCCGGCGCACCTTGTGGCCGAGCCGGTCGACTTTGTGGCGGATATTTGGGGCACGACATCGCCCGTCATTTTCGCGGGGGGATACAATGCGCAGACGGCGCGGGAGCGGGTGGACAGTGAGCAGGCACGAGTGGAGGCGGACGGAAAGGCACGACAGGCGCTGGTTGCGTTTGGACGGACGTTTGTGTCCAACCCGGACCTGCCACGGCGAGTGCACGAGTGGCTGCCCGTGGTGCGGTACAATCGGGACCTATTTTACGAGGTGGAGTCGCCTCATGGATACACGGACTACCCGCTGTGGGAAGAAAGTGGCGAGGGCGAGAAAACAGCCGTACGGACAGGCAGAGATCACGAATGGCCAGCAGCAACAGCGGGTGTTTTAGTTATTAATTAAAAAGAGAGGCCGAACATTAAAACAGAATAGATCAAGATTAAAATAAACTGTTTTAATGAAGCTGCTTGCCATGCGCGAATAAATGTCCCGGGAAGAATCTAAGGATGATAGCGCTCAGAAAACAAAATAGGAAGACCGGAAAGGCGTGGTTTCTCCACACTGACACATATATTTCGCGGTGGCTTAGGGACCACACACGTCCCAACTACAACTCACAATAACCCATAACAATTTGCACCGCACACAGAAATGGCCTCCTTTCCACCCTCTTCTACGGGCTTTGCCGTGGTGTCAACGCAGCCTGATATTCGCCTTTTTTACTCGGTGACGCCGGCACTGCCTCTGGATGCATCCAAGCCCGTGATTGTGCTCGCCAACTCGCTGGCGGCGACCACGGCGCTCTGGGACACGTTTACGACCGAGTTTGCGCCGACACACACGATTGTCCGCTACGACGCGCGATTCCACGGACACTCACCGTTGTCGTCGACCAACGGGTTTGACTACGAAAAGGGCCACTCGATGGACGACCTGGCCGACGATGTGATTGCCGTCCTGGACACGATCGGCGTGGCCTCGCCGCTTACGTTCATCGGCCTCAGCATCGGCGGCGGCGTTGGTGTATCGCTGGCTGCTCGTTACCCGGACCGCTTCTCGTCATTTGTGGTTGTGGGCTCGCGGTCACACGCAGCTCCTGGCGACGCGGCTCGGATGGCCGAACGAGCCGCCTATTACCGTTCGCACGGCGCTCGCGCACAGGCCGAGCAGAGCGTCGAGCGGTGGTTTGGAAACGAGTGGCCCAAAGCATCGCCCGAGAACGAGAAACTCGCCCTCCAGGTGGCCGATATTGTCGTGCAGACACCCGTCGAGGGCTTCGAGGCCAGTGCGGCGGCCCTGAACCGGATGGATCTACGGGGACAGGCGGCCACCATCGGCAGCCGCGGGGATGGAAGAAGAGTGCTCTTTGTAGTCGGCGCCGACGACGGCAAACTGGTGGTGGACGAGAGCCGACAGCTGGCCGAGACGACGGGCAGTCGTCTTGAAGTGGTGGCCGACTGCGGGCACATTGTCAATGTGCAGCAGCCGACACGGTTCCACGCGATTGTGCGGGCGTGGCTAGCGGACACAAAGGCGTAGGCGAACGCGCGGATCGATAGGCGAAACGTCATTCGTGTTTTCTTTCCCATTTCCTGTGGAGTGCATTGTATTTGTGATCATGCTTGTTGTTTCTGTCTGTATCGTTCGCTCCTTCCATTTCGCAAACCTGCCACCCGCGGGCTGTGCCGGCATCCGTTCGGCGTTACCCGATTAGGCAATTCTGGTGTTAGTGCTGTAGCGGAGACCGTTGCGCACAAGTCGCGTGAATGGCGTCACCGCGCCAGCAGATCCAGCGAGCAGGTAGCGCCGACAACGTGCCAGGCACGGCGATATCGCTGTGCGGAAACAAAGACGCGAAGTACGAGGGGCAGAGGAAAGGTATTGGTGATATAGCTGCCTGCACTTATGTCTACATTTTTCTGTTTCTTGGACAATCTACGACGTACAGAGTCCTTTTGCCTTTACAACTTCAACACTTCATCATGACTCTGTCAAACGGCACCACCGGCACCAACGGACACGGTACCGGCACCGCCGGCTACGTCCTTCCTCCAGCGCCTGAGCCATCGCCGATTTCACCGGCCGTCTCGGCCCTCTTCCCCGACAACACGAGCCCGATTGTGAGCAGCACGTACGCACACGAGCCGCGGCCTGTGCGGGCCATTTTCATCGGTGCGGGCCTGTCAGGCGTGGCGTTTGCGTACAAGGCGCGGCTGGTGGAGCAGCTGTCGTACCGCATCTACGAGAAGAACACGGACGTGGGCGGCGTGTGGTTTGAGCACACGTACCCGGGGATCTCGTGCGACGTGCCGGCGCACGGGTACTCGTACACGTTCCGGGCGAACCCCGACTGGAGCCGGTTCTACGCGGGCGGCGACGAGATCAAGCGGTGGCTGCAGACACAGGCGCGGGACTATGAGCTGTACGAGAACGCCAAGTTCGAGCACGAGGTGCAGGGGGCCGTGTGGGACGACGCGCGCGGCGTGTGGACGGTGACGGTCAAGAACCTGGCCACGGGCGACGTGTTTACGGACGAGGCAGAGGTGCTGATCAACGGCAGCGGGTCGCTCAACAACTGGAAGTGGCCGGCCATTGACGGCCTGCACGACTTTGGCGGGACGCTGGTGCACACGGCGCGGTGGGACCAGGGCCTCGATTTGGCCGGCAAACGAGTCGGCGTGGTGGGCTCGGGCGCCACGGGCATCCAGGTCGTCGCGGCCATCCACCCGCAGGTGCAGTCGCTCGTGTCGTTCAACCGCTCGCCGACGTGGATCGCGCCCGATTTTGCGTGGCAGCTGGCGACGGAGGGCCGCGCAACGCGGTACTCGGAGGCGCAGCGCAAAGAGTGGCGCGAGAAGCCCGAGGTGCTTCGGGAGTACCGGCGCAGCATTGAGCACGCAATGAACGCGCGGTTCCCGTCGTTTTACAAGAGCTCGGCGGCGCAGAAGCAGGGCCAGGCGTTTGTGGGCGCAGCGATGCGCAAGAAGCTGGCGGGCCGCCCCGACCTCGTCGACAAGCTGGTGCCGCCGTTTGAGCTCGGCTGCCGGCGCGTGACGCCGGGCGACGGCTACCTCGAGGCGCTGGCGGCGCCCAACTCGACGGTCGTCACGGCCGGCATCCAGCGCGTGACCCAAAAGGGAGTGGTCGACAACGAGGGCACGCTGCACGAGGTGGACGTGCTGATCTGCGCGACGGGCTACGACACGACGTTTGTGCCGCGGATTCCCATTGTCGGCCTGGACGGCGTCAACCTGCAGGACAAGTGGCGCTCAGAGGGCGCGGCGGCGTATCTGTCGGTGGCGGTGCCCGGCTTCCCCAATTACTTCGTGGTGCTGGGCCCCAACTCGCCCATCAGCAACGGGTCGCTCGTGGGTGCCATGGAGGCGCAGCTGGACTACGCGCTGGCGTTTGTGCAGAAGAAGCTGCAGCGGCAGCGCGTGCAGTCGTTTGTGGTGACGGAGGCGGCGGCGCGCGAGTTTGACGCGTGGAAGAACGACCTGATGCGCGGACTGTCGTTTTCAGGCAACTGCACGAGCTGGTACAAGAGCGGGACGCGGGACGGGCCGGTGGTCGGGCCGTGGCCGGGCTCGGTCAACCACTTTATGGAGATTATCAAAGAGCCGCGCTTTGAGGACTTTGCATTCAAGTTTGCGGGGCCGAACCGGTTCACGTACTTTGGCGATGGACGGTCGCCCAAGGAGGCCAAAGGCGAGCCCCTCGGCTGGTATATGAAGTAGGGTGGGGGTCCTTGAGGAGGTGCAATATCCATATATAGACCATATGAACCGAGTCTAACAGTCGTCATTCTATTGGTTATGAAATTGGTAATGAAACTACGAGTCCACACCACCCAGCCATCTACTGTTTCGCAGCTCCTGCTTGTACTGCTGCATTGGTCGCCCCCTCTGCATCGTAGCCAAACAACCAGTCCCGACGCGCACCATGGCCCCAGTAAATAGGATTCGCGTCATTGTCCTGGACCATAGCGGCGTCTCGTTCCTGCTGCTGCCGTCCGTCCGGCAGATGGTAGGACGCCTGCAGCTGGCGGCCCCATCGCTGCAGGGCCGAAGCGCGCGGTTGGCGGACGCGCTCGTAGGTCGAAATGGCGTCGCGGAGCGTCGCGGGTGTCGCGCCTCGCAGCGCGGTGCGCAGGACGGCGGCATCCTCGCAGGCCATGGCGGCGCCCGAGGCCATGTAGGGCAGCATGGGGTGGGCGGCGTCGCCGAGCAAGACAGCCTTGCCGGACGGGTGGGCCCAGTGGTCGACCATGTCGAGGTCGTAGAGGCGCCACTTCAGGAAGCCTTTGCCGGCGAGGGCGGCCAGCGTGCGCACCCGCGGCTCCCAGGCGGCAAAGCGCTCGACGAGCTCGGCGTTGTCGGCGATGACGAGCTTGGTCTCGTTCTCGGCGAGCTTCTGGTCGTGCATGGTGGCCTCGCTGACGCAGAAGACGACGTTGTAGATCTCGCCGCCGCGGACGGGGTAGCCAATGACGTGGGCGTCGGGCCCGCACCAGGACGAGACCCACGGCTGCGACACGAGGTCGCGCATGGCGGGGTCCGACAGCATGTCCTGGCCGGGCACGAGCACGCGGTACGAGATGTCGCCCGTGTCGACGGGCGGCAGGGCGTGGCCCTGGAACGCCTCGCGGGCCTTGGACTGCACGCCGTCGGCGACCACCAGGAGGTCGCCCTGGACGGCGGTCCCGTCGCTCAGAATCGCAGCCGGCGCGTCCCAGTCGTAGCCGTCGACGCGGCGGCTGGCCTGCACGTCGACGCCCAGCTCGCGCGCCTTGACCAGCAGGACCGCGTGGTAGTCGGCGCGGTGGACCATGAGGTAGCTGCCGCCAAAGTCCCACTCGGGGATGCCGTGCGGCATGTCCGCAATGACGCGGCCGTCGTCGTAGCACAGGAAGCGGTTGCCGTTGGAGTACGTCTTCTTCATGTACGTGAGGTCGATGCCCCAGCGGTGCAGCAGCTTGAAACTGTTGGGCGGGATGCGCATGCCGGCGCCGACTTCGCCAAAGGACGACGCCTGGTCGAGGACGGTGACGCGGTGGCCGTCGAAGCGGAGGCCAATGGCTGCGAGGAGGCCGCCGATGCCAGCGCCGACGACGACGACGTGGAGCGGCGGCGAGGGTGACGTCGAAGGCGCAGGTGAGGCCGACGTGCCGTTTGTGGACGGCAGAACGCCGTGTGCTGGCAGGTCTTGGGCAGTCATGATGGCGTGGAGGTGTTCGATTGAATGAAAGGGTATGACGACGACAGCAACTTCGAATCAACCAGCGACAACGACTGTGACCTCTATCAACAGAGGCACAGAAGCATCCATTGGATAGCTCCTTGACCGGACTTGTTCTCTTGATTTACTTGGATTTATTTGATTTATTTTAATTTTCTTTTTTCTTCATTTTCTTTCTATCCGTTCTACCCTCTTTCTTCCTCATTCGTAGCGTCTTCCACTTACACCATTGCCCTAACCTATTCGGTATCGCCGCGATAGCCCAAAGCGATTGCGCCATCGCGACCAGCGTTCAACTCTCTAGCTCCTCTGGTCGGAAGCGGTTCTCCGTCAGATTGGCAGTCCGACTGTGGGCCGACCAAGCTTCTGTACTTGTGCTCCTCGGTGGACCGCCAACGAATGTCGTCGGCCGTCACCATGCCTTCGTTTCCTGTTGCAGACGCCTTCCCGGTCGTGGCCACGCCGTGCCACGGCGACACGACGCCCGTCATCTCCCTGTTTGACCTCACGGGCAAAACAGCCGTCGTTACGGGCGGCAATGGAGGTATTGGCGGCGGCATGGCGCGCGGCCTGGCCGAGGCGGGCGCCGACATCATCATCTTCCAGGTGCCGGGCGAGACGTCCGATTTTGCGACAACACTCGCCGCCGAGACAGGGCGTCGTGTCGACGTCTACGAGGTCGACCTGCTGCAGCCAGACCTGATCACGGCCACCGTCGACAAGGTCCTCCACGCAGACCAGCGGTCCGTCGACATCCTCTGCAACTGCGCCGGCATCACTGGCGGCTTCGTGCCCGTCCTCGACGAGACCGACGCGCACCGCGAACAGGTCGTCCAGATCCACTTCCACGCCGTCTACAGCCTGTCCCAGAAATTCGGCGCCCATTTTGCCCAGCGCGGCCGCGGCGGCAAGATTATCAACATTGCCTCGCTGGCGGCCCATCGGGCCATGACGCGGTTCTCCGTCTACGGCCCCATCAAGGCGGCTGTTGCTCAGCTGACCAACTCGCTGGCGACCGAGCTCGCCGCCTACCACGTCCAGGTCAACACGCTGACGCCCGGCTGGATCCACACGCCGCTGTCCCAGAAGACGGTCGACAACCCAGAGCGCAGTGCCCAGATCGTCGCCGAGATTCCGGCCGGGCGCTGGGGACGGCCCGCCGACTTTAAAGGCGTGGCCGTCTTTCTGGCGAGCGCCGCGAGCGACTACATTACCGGGGCAGAAATATTCGTGGATGGCGGGACGCACACAATGTGACGGCGCGAGCCACGAGAGGTCGATGCTGTCGACTGGGCGTGTAATACATTTTTATTCGTTTATTCGTATATTACTGCTAGCATGTATATTGTATAAAAATCGACTTTTATGTTTTATGCACCGCTCGCCCCGCCACCTACTCGTTTGCAATCGACTTGACATCCTCCCACATCCTCTCGCGCCAGACCTGTGTCGACGCCAGCTTGGGGTGCGACATGAACGCGTGCGGAAGCCCGGGATACGTATAAAGCGTCGTCGGCACACCAGCGGCGCGCAGCTTCGCCTCAAACAGCAGCCCCTCGTCGCGCAGCGGATCGCGGCCGGCGACGTGGACGGCCACACGCTCCAGGCGCAGCGCCGCCAGCGTCGTGCCGTCCACCAACAGAGGCGACACGGCCGGGTGCGTCGGCGGCGTCGGCTGGTACAGGGCCATGAAGCCGCGCAGACGGGCGGCGTTGATAAACGGCGCGTCCGAGTGGGCCACCAGCGACGGCTCTCCTTTGACCGAGTCGGCCGGGAAGTGATCCGGGTGCACCGTCGCCGGTGTCGTCAGCACCAGCCCACGCGGCCGCACGACCGGCTGTGACTGGGACTGCGCCTCGGCCGCCGCCTTGAGAGCAACGGAAATGGCCAGCGTCGCGCCCGCACTGATTCCGCCGACCACAATCCGACTGGTGTCGAGCTTCAGGCCGTCGCCGCCCGCTCCCCCCTGGCTGGCCACCCACTGAAAGACCGCCCAGGCATCGTCCGACGCCGACGGGAACACGTGCTCGGGCGTGTGCCGGTAGTTCACGTTGACGACGGCCACGCCCGTCTGCAGGGCCAGGTGCCGGCAGTTGGCGTCCTCTGTGTCGAGGCTGCCCAGGAAGTAGCCGCCGCCGTGGAAGAATATGTACACGGCAAGGCCGTCGTCACCAGCAGCCGCCGTCGGTCGGTAGACACGCACCGGAATGCTGCTCTCGCCCACTGTATGCTCCGTCACTGTCAGTCCGTCTGCCGGCCGCCCCACCACTGCGTCAAACAGCTTGGCCGTGTTGGTGTTGGCGGCTGCCCGGATCTGCTGCGGCGTCGCTCCGGCTGGCGGCACCGGCGCCGTCCACGTCTTGGCGTACTCTGTCCATTCCGCCGCTTCCTCGGAGAGGTACGAAAAGTCGGACATGTCGTGGGTGCGGTGGGGGAATACAGACGGCATGTATGGTGTGACAGAGACGACGAGCGTCATAAGATGCGAGACGAGCTATGAATTAAAAAGACGCAACGATGGAGCTAGCAACAAAGTAAAAAGCCAAATCCCAGGCGCCAACGGGCGACCGGACATCTCTTTCGGCGGTAGGCCCTGAGACCCTGGGGATATGTCCGTTATGGTGAGGCTGGCGGTCCCACTGTCCGTCTTATGCTAGTTTGGGCTTCGCCGATGTCCACGACGTACTATCCACAACGTACTATCCACAACGTACTATCCACAACATACTATCCACCCACCTCCATTACTCGTCCTGCTTCCCCAGCCGGATGCCGTTGGCTTTGCGCTTCTGGATCCAGTCCTCAAACTGCTGGCCCAACCACACGTTGCGCGTCGTCTCGATTGCGCCTTCAATCTCTGCGTACTGCCCGCCCGCTGCGTAGATGGCCCGGCCGTGGTATGCCCGGTTGAGTCCCAAAAACAACAGAGCATTGGCAATGTCGGCCGGCTGGTTGATTGGCAGGTTCTCTCGCTGCCAGAGGTGCAGCACGTGCGCTGTAAACTGCGTCTGCACAAACGCCGGCGCCACCAGGTTGATGCGGATGGCGCCGTGCGTCTCGCCCTCCAGCTGGTCGCGCAGCGAGCGCACCAGTCCCAGCACGCCGTGCTTGGCTGTGTTGTAGATGGGGATGCCCGGAGTGTCTAGGTACGACGCGGCCGATCCCGTGATCACGAGGCTGCCGCCGCGGGTGTTGCGGGTGTTGCCGGGCGTACCCGTTCTTGCCGTGCCGGCCGCGCCTTCCTTTTCGGCCGCCTTGAGCTGCCGCCGAAACGTGCTGAGCGCCAGCTTTGTCGTCAGAATCACGCCGCGCAGATTCACGTCCAGCACCAACAGCCTGGGCTCCTGCAGCTGTCCCGTCGCTGCGTCCACCGCGTCGACAAACACGTCCTCCACCACCTCGTCGATGCCCGCATTGGCAAACACCATGTCCACGCGCCCGTATTGCGCGACGACGCCGTCAAAGATGCGCAGCTGGTCGGCCCAGACGGACACTGACCCCTCGTAGAAATGCACACCGGCACCCAGCTCCGCGGCCAGCTTTGCGCCGTTGGCGCGATCGACGTCCAGCACGTTGACAATGGCGCCCAGGCTGTGCAGTCGGCGCACGGTCGCCTCGCCGATGCCAGTCGCGCCGCCTGTGAGAATCACGACCTTGTCCTTGGCCTCCTGGAAAAGGGGCAGGTCCGCAGGGATTTCGAGAGATGCCATGGTAACGTGGGTCGAACGTGCGTGTGTCAGTGCTAGGGTCTATTCGTTTACTGTATGCATTGACTCTAGCTTCTGTGTATCGACTATCACGGCCGTCTTTTGGCTCGTGTAGGCTCTTCTTATTTAGACCGTCGTCACTTCGTCGCATCAACACATCCTGCGAAACGAGCCGATGGCAACATTGTGATGGACTCTTGGGTGATTTGTCCATTGTATCCCGTGTGCGACCGCCCGGAAATCCGGAGAGTGACGACTTATGTCGAAATACAAAATGCCCGGATGTTCAACAAGGTCCGGCGGGAATAACGAGGCCATGGGTGTGCACGTTCGGCGTGGTGCAAGGCCGATGCGACGGCAATGCGGTGATGGCTCCGGCGATGCCCAAAGCGGCTACACCGTCGCGCCGTCCCAGACGCGTGCCTCGGAAACGTCAACTAATCAACGATTGAGCCCAAACAAAAGAAAGAAGCTGCTCAACGGTCAAGCCAGCCTAGCTTTCACCTTCCACGCGGGTTCGTCCTCCGAGCGGCAGTTGGCTATCCTCCCCATGCCGTCTTAACCGCAACCTTTCCGGTTCATAGGGCTTGGTCCGGGACCAAAGCAAATAGAAAAATATTGCATCCCTCTTGCGTGATAGCGACTCGACGGGAGTTTACACGAGTCTACCAAAGACTCCACGAGGTCGGTGGAAGGTCCAATGCAGGCCTTGCTACATCAACGCGGCGAACACCATACATAAAATGAAGTCGTTGGCAATTGTGACGAGAAGGAGGGACGGGATTGCCGACCAGAAACAACATTCTCTTCTGCTGATCCCTCATTTTGAGTCCTTGCCACCATCTCGTCACCTTGTTTGTACACGTCCTTTCCCTATCGCCTCTTGTTTTATATAGCCTTTTATTTGTCTCCTCCTCGCCATGGGTCTCTGGGTCCTCGAACCAAAGCAACAAAATGTCAAGGTGCCCGGCACCGTCCACGTCGAGCGCGACACGGACGTGCTCCGCGCCCTGACGGCGCATCTCAAGCACGGCAGCGGTCGTGAAGAAGGTATCGTGCTTGTGCCGCAGCCATCCGACTCTGTCAACGACCCGCTCAACTGGCCGCGCGCCAAGAAGATCTTCCACTCGTACTTTTTGTCGTTTGGCACCGGCCTGGCCTCCGGCACCTGCTACTTCCTTAACCCGTCGGCCACACTCATGGCCAAGCAGGTCGGCACCACGGTCACGCAAATGTCCCGCTCGCTGGCCGTGCTGATGCTGTGCATGGGCATCGCGAGCATCCTCACGACGCCCCTGGCTCGCATCTACGGCAAGCGGCCCATCTTCTTGCTGCTGGGCCTCGTGTCCGTCCTGGGCTACGGCGTGCTGCTGGCACACCCCTACAACCTGCAATACCTCTATGCCGGCCGCGCGCTCTGGGGTGCCGGCGCCAGCGGCCTCGAGTACCTGGTGAGCTCCAGCGTGGGCGATTTGTTCTTTGTCCACCAGCGCGGCTTCCACCTCGCACTGTGGCACTTTGCCCTGGCCGGCGGCAACTCGCTGGGCCAGGTGATTGCGAGCCAGATCGTCGCCGGCCAAGGCTACGTGTGGGCGTTCCGCTATGCCGTCATCTTCATGGCCGCCTATGTCGTGGCGCTCTTCTTCTTTGCGCCCGAGACGACCTATGTGCGCGCCAAAAAGTACGACACGGACGTGCTGGAGCTGCTGTCGGACGAGGTCCGTGAAGGCAGCGGTGCCGCCAGCGCCAGCGTATCGGACCAGCACCTCCCGTCCGGGGGCAACGTCGACGAAAAGACGACCGACTTCGACGCAGAGTCGGCCGGCACGGCTGCGGAGATCGAGACCAAGCGTGCCTACGCCCAGTCCCTCCGCATCTTCAGCGGCCGCTACAGCGACGAGAACTACCTCAGGGCCCTCATCGCGCCCTTTGCCACCTACATGCTGCCCGGCGTCGTCTGGGCCGCCTACTCCTACGGATGCGCCGTTGCCTTTTCGGCCTCGCTCTCCGTCTCGCTGTCGTCGATTTTCACCGTCGCCCCCTATCACTTCTCGACCCGCGCCGTCGGCCTCACCGTGCTCTCGCCCTTTGTCGCCAACATTGTCGGCAACTTCATCCCCGGACCCGTCGCCGACTGGCTCGTCACGTACATGTCGCGCAAAAACGGCGGCGTCTACGAGCCCGAGTTCCGCAACATCCTGTGCCTCCCCGCCCTCCTCACGGGCCTCGCCGGCTACTGGGGCTTTGGGCTCGCCATCCACTACAAGATCCACTGGTTCGCGCCCGTCTTCTTCTTTGGCGTCGCCGCCTTCTCGGGCTCCATCTTGTCCCTCGTCTCCAACACGTACCTGCTCGACTGCCACCGCAAGCATGCGCAGGACGCCTATGCCGCCGTCACGCTCGTCAAGGCCGTCATGACGTTTGCCATTGCCTTTTTTATCAACACGTGGCTGGCCAAGTCGGGCCCTGTGCGCGTCTACTTTATTATTGGCACCATCCACGGCGTCGGCTGCATCTACGGCCTGGTGCTGTACGTCTTTGGCAAGCGTATGCGTCTGGCCGTGCATCAAAACGCCTTTATCCAGCGTCATCTGCGATAATGGCAAAGTGGTGTACGAATAGGTTCCATGGACCACCAAGTTATCTAAATAGATACGAAGTATGCAAAATATAGATAATGTTGTGTTCTTACATATTGATTTTATTCTATTGGGTGCGCCTGGCGAACGCGGCATTCGTAGACACCTTTCAAAGGAATGGAAAAACGACAGCCGGGTTTCACCAGGCCATACAGGTTCTCGATATTGCCAACGGCCGGACAGAGATACGAACACACTTTGCATTAGAATGCGCCGATTGTCCACAGGAGTAGCAGAGCGAGATTGCACCTTCCTAAACCGGTGTCGGCGTCAAGGCCGGGCAAGGCCGGCCTAACGTCACGTGAATGTTTGTCCTGGTATCTCGACACGGCGTCTTGGTCTCGGCTACGAACGGGCCAACCAGAAAGGGGAAGGAGCGAACGGGGTGTGGAGACGAGAGAAGGGGAATGGAAGGGGAAAGGAAGAAAGTCAAGGGGCAAGTGAGGAAGGAGCGGAGCAAAAGCGCTGGACTGCATTTGCTCCACAGTGCAGGAAGGTGCGAGTGCGGAACAACGCTTGTAATACCCAACGACGACGACATCGCGACGAAGACAAGTAAACAAGACGAAAGGGAGAACAGACAGGCAAATAAATAGTTGTGTGACGCACGAGAACGTTATATGCAGTTTTGGACGTATTTTTGCAAAAGTGACGCCGAGTAAAGTGAGTGTTTGCCGGATGCCCCTATTTGGCTTTTGGCTGGTTCTCGTCGTTCGTGATTTCCAGTCCTTCAGAAATCCAACGATTTCCATTCGAGCGGGGGACGAGTTTCTCTGTGTCATGGAAAGATAGGTGAAAACCAAAAGGGCAAAAGGCGCGAAAAAATTTGACTAAAAAAGTGGCGGTGGGCGGTCATCCTGGCACCAACTGGCCAACTTGGACTGGTGGATGAGGCCGGAATATGAGCGTGCGAAGTGGCCGGAACCATTCCGGCCTCGATGCATATAATCGCAGCGCGCGCCGGCTTTGGACACGGCCGCAACCACTTGGCCACGACTTTTTGGTAGTCTTTCCCAGGCATTACCATTCCCTTTTCCGGTACTCTGCCATCCCCCCGTTTCCGTAGACGCTTCATTCTTTGATTTTTTTCTTTTCAAAAAAAAGTCCGCCTTCAGCACCAAATATCACCATCAGCACCATCTTCACCAACTTACCTTTTTGCCACCACATAACTCCCCACACATCCTCTCTGACAATGGGCTCCATCATCGTTGACGACCCTACCATCGCCACCTCGTTCGAGGTGCTCGACGATGCCCATCCCCAGGACACGTCTATGCCGGCGTTCATGGTGTCCAAGACCCGAGGCTTCCTGCCGCGGGCCGAGCCTGTCGTCGAGCTGCCGGCGGTGTTTGCGCCGCTCGAGGACCTCTTGACGCGTATGCCCGTCAAGCGCCTCGACGGCACGCCCGGTCTGCTGGCGGAGGGCAAGCTGGGCGATGCCATTCTCAAGGACAAGCTGCTGCCCGACCTGACAGACGCCATTGACGAGCCCAGCGTCAAGCACAACCTGCCGCTGCTCAACGCGCTGTACCGCGACTATGCGTTCCTGGCGTCGGCCTTTCTCCTGGAGCCCTGCCACCTCCGTTTCCTAAAGGGCGAGCCCTACGGCCTGGGCCGCGACGTGCTGCCGGCGTGCATTGCGCGGCCGATTGCACGGACGGCGCGGCTGTGCGGGTTCAAGCCGTTCATGGAGTACGCCGGCAGCTATGCGCTGTTCAACTACCGGCTGGAGGACCCCGCCAAGGGCCTCGAGTATGACAACCTGCGTCTGATCCGGGCCTTTGAGCACGGCCTGGACCCGACGTCGAGCGAGGCCGGCTTTGTGCTGGTGCACGTCGACATGGTGCGCAACTCGGGCCCGCTGGTGGCCGGCACGGTGGACTGCCTGGACGTGGTCGAGACACAGAAGAAGAGCCAGGGCGGTCGCGAGGCGTTCAACCATGGCCTCGAGCGCATTGTCGCGGCGCTGACCCGCATCAACGGCGTCATGGAGACCATGTGGGCCAAGTCGCGGCCCGAGCAGTACACGAGCTTCCGCACGTTCATCTTTGGCATCACCTCCCAGAGCATGTTCCCCGACGGCGTGGCGTACGAGGGCGTGGGCGCCGACGGGTTCGAGGCCGCGCGTCCCGATGCCGTCACGCGCCTGAGCTTCCGCGGCGAGTCCGGCGCCAACGACTCCATGGTGCCCCTGATGGACAGCTTCCTGCAGATCCCGATGCCCGACACGCCGCTGACGGCCATCCTCAAGGACTTCCGGCAGTACCGCCCCAGCAACCACCGCCAATTCCTGGCGTACGTGCGGCAGCGCTCGGGCGACCTCGGCGTCAAGGACTATGCGCTGAGCGGGGGCGGCGCCGTCAGCGGCGAGGACATGGACGCCGTCCAGAGCGTGCGTCTCTGGCTGCAGATCCTCAACCAGGTGCGCGACTTCCGCTGGCGCCACTGGTGCTTCGGCAAGGAGTACATCCTCAAGCGCACGTCGCACCCGACGGCGACGGGCGGCAGCCCCATTGTCACCTGGCTGCCGAACCAGCTGCAGGCCGTGCTGACGGAAATGCAGGCCATCTATGCAGCGGCCACGGGCACGACGGCGGGCGCGGTGCCGGCCACCAAGACGCGGCTGGGCGAGGATGTCGACGACATGATGGAGATGGTCATCCGCCAGAGCGCGACGCTGGCCAAGGAGGTGGCACGGTACTGTGACGAGCGCGGTGTGTAAAGAGAGTGGCGAAGACGAGACGGGGGCGCCGAAAGGACGTTGGCAGTGAGGAGCTGATAGACGGGAAGGGCCGGTGGACGTGTACCCAAAAGAGGAAAGCACGACTGGCGGTCCTTGAATCCCACTGTAGCCCCACTATTAACAACTGCCAGCACTCATACACAGTAAATCTTGGTGTTTTTCCGCCTTTCAACAGGCACTTTGGCATTTTCGACAACGAAAGTACATCTTACGACATGTAGTTATTCCAACGCAGAGTCTATCTACATAGCTTATCTTCAGACTGTAAATTGACATTCGCTACCGTTTTAAAGCAACCTTTACCTCCATTTCCTGCACTTTGTATGTCTTCGCAGCACGTCGCGCGCCGTCGCTCCTTCCTTCAGGTACTAGCGCTCGCTCCTTCCACTTTCTGTCCACGTATTTACTTGTCATACACGGCAGGTGCATCCACTCTGTGATGTCGTCTCACCTCACGCTTTGCCTCACTAATCTCTCGCGCCTCACTCCTCTCACACGCAACCACGCATCTTACGGCAGACGCGCAGACGGTGGCGAGAACGGGAAACGGGATCGAAAACGGAGCGCGTCGGCTCGTATACGATTGTGTGTCTGGTCCTTTTGCCGTCCTCTCCAGCCTCACTTCCCAAATCTTCACCGTCAAGTTTGGACGTTAAGCTTCGCGGCGATGTAGTGATCAAGATGACCTGTGCCGTGTTGCTTTGGGTATCTTACACCCTCTCTCCATCCGATGCAACCTTATATTACTCATGGGCGGGCTGGGAAACGGGCTGCGACAGGCTCCCGCCACATCGCTCTCGCCCGAACGAATCCAAATCCACGGCAGCCACACATTACGTGTATGTCTGACGGCCCGTATGTCTCTTTTGGACTATCAGCTGTCTTGCCTGTCAGATTTTCTTTCCGTTCGGAGCTTTGCTTGCATCTGGTCGGATCGGCTACATTTGGCAAGGCCATCACGAATTGAAGGAAGAAGAACAAAACGAAGAAGACGAAGGGAAAAGAACAAGAGCAAAAAGGGAACAAAGCATGACATGCGTCGAACCGAAATCACCTGCAGGACTCCCGATCGGCGAGATTCTGCATGTCCATGATCCCTCCTGCAGCATCCGAAGCGCCGGAGAAGACCCTGGACGAAAAGCGAAAAACGGCTAAAGGATGCGCAACAACCCTGGTCGTTTTCTCATTTTCTGCACTTTCTGATTTTTGATTTTCGATTTAATTTCGTTGGCAGAGCCTCCGCCCACCTGCGCAGTGTTGTCATTACAAACAGTTGTGCGCCGCATGCACGTTGTCGCACGCACATCTCTCGCGAATCGTATTTCGTGTCGGTCGTTGTGTTAGATCTGACTGCTGCTTTCTTCCATTCCTTTCTCCTTCCTTTTTGTTCTTTTTTTTTTTTTTTTTTTTTTGTTAATCCTTCGTCTTGTTTTCTTCCAATCTCGACCTTTCCGTCACTTGATACTCGACGTATCTTCCTTTGTCTTTTGTCTGTGCGGACGAGCTCTTGTCTGTTGGTCCTGGAGCTTTAAATAACATTTACACCTTTTCCGGACGCAAGGAGCAAAGGCTGCATGTGCACAAAGAAAACAGTGCCACAAAGCCAAGAAATCTCAGAGTACCCCCGAACGACGAACAAGGGTCCTGGGCCCTGGCTGCATGCGACCTGATAGATGATGCGGTAAAGGGGCCTGTCTCTCGCCTGATTGCGCAGCATTTCTTTTCCCTGCTCTGAGTTGTTTTATTTTTTTTTTATGTTTATTTGATTTTTTTTTGTTCTCTTTCCCTTGTCGTTCCTCCTTTTCGTCCCCATCCTCTCTATAGACACATCGACAATGCCCTTGCGACGATCCGCACCGACAACAGGCGCCCCGGCTTCGGCTTCCCGCTTTCTGTCCACGGCCTGGGCCGTCCTCTTCGTTCTCCTTGCCATCGTCCCCGCCTGCCGCGCCGCCTATGACGGCGATGTTGCGCTCAACGGTGGCCGCGATGCCTTTTTGGCCGAACCCGGCTTTGCCGGCATGGGCTTGTCGCCGCGCTACTTTCTCGACGGCGTCGCGCCGACCGTCGAGCGCCGCGACAGCGCCGACTGCGCAGCCGGCTTCCACTCGTGCCTCGACATCAACTCGACGCTTTGCTGCGCAAACGACCGCTACTGCATCATCGACCCGACGACGCTCCAGGCCGCCTGCTGCTCCATCGGCCTGACCTGCGGCTCGCCTTGCAACGAAACTCAGTACGAGTGCAATGCCACCACGACCAAGACACTGACCCAGACCAAGACCGACCTTGTCGTGTCGGGAACGGCCACTCTGCCGCTGACCAATCCTGCGACGAACGTCGTCACCGGCGCCAACACCGTCATTACCAAGATCACCACGGTCATCACCACCACCTCCGTCTACTCCGCCTGCTGCGCCCGTCGCTGCCAGGGCACCAGCCAGTTCCAGTGCGCCAGCAACTTTGGCGGCGGCTGCTGCAACTACGACCAGACCTGTGCCTCCAACAGCCAGTGCTTCTCGACGAGCCAGCCACCTTCCAGGACGCAAACGGGCGCCACCGCCACCGACACATCTGGCCTTGTGTCCGCCCTGCCCAGCGGCTGCACCACGAGCCAGATTGCCTGCCCCCAAAGCCTGGGTGGTGGCTGCTGCGCGCTCGGCCATACCTGCACCGTCGTGTCCAGCACCATCTTTTGCGCGTCCGCCACTGGCGCGACCGTTTCGGGCGTGACGACAACCGACACCAACAGCAAGAGCCTGTCGGCCGGCGCCAAGGCGGGCATTGCCCTGGGCGCCGTGATTGGTGCGGGCGCGCTCGCCGGTGCGGCCGCCTGGGCCTGCGTGCGTCACCGCAATGCCAAGCGCGGCAGCGTCCGCCGCGACTCGTCCCTGCCGCCCGCCTCCTTTGGCACCCACGATTATGACGACCTGCAGAGCCAGCCGCGCAACGAACCGCAGATGCACCAGCCGCAGCTGCGCCAGCAGGGCATGATTGACGGCCTGGGCGGCGTGTCGGCTGCTGCCAGCTCGCCCGCCACGCGGTCCTGGCGCCATCCCCTCGCCTTCCGGCGCAACACCGCCAGCACAGGCGTCGGCGGCAGCGCAGCTGCGTATAGCAACAGTGGCGATGGAGCAGCAGCAGGTGGAACGGGCATGGGTACGCCGGCCATGCCCACGGGATCCGAACCGGATGCACGGCTCCCCGGATTGACCCAGGACTACTTTGGCCCCAATGCTGTTCCCGGCCCGTACACTGTGGCCCAGTCAGCCGTTGCGCCAGGCAACAATGGTGCTGTGGGTGGTGTGCCGATGCAACCGCACGGCCCGCACGATATTGTGGCGCCTGTCGAAATTGATTCGCGGCAACGGGCCGTGGCCGAGATGGGCGCGGAGAACAATATTGGGCGGAACGACAATGGTGACAATGGTGACAATGGTGACAATGAAAAGGACGCTGCCGCTGTGCAAGCAGCGCCGTACGTTGCCGTCTCGCCACCAGCAGCAGCAGCAGCAGCCGAGCCTACGCCGCACTATGAACTCTATGGCTCCGAGGTGCCGACGCCGTACACCCAGCAGACTGTTTCGCCAAACGAGCGGCCAGGCGATAGCAGCGCAGTGACACCGATTGCCGAGGGAGGTGATCAGGGCGAGCTGGTCGTGTCACCAATGGAGAATGCCAACCGGCCAGGCGGTGGTCCGAGGTTAGAATGAGCTGTGTATGATAATCAGAGAACATAATAATGAAGTAACGGGACAAGGAAGGTCATGAACAAGAAGCGAATGTCAATCAAAAATGTCTATTATATTACAATGTGCGTGTGCGCGCGGCTTTTAGAGGACCATAAAGTGCAAATGCAACCTTGGCCCATGCTCAAGATACGATCGAGGATGTAGGAAGAGAGAAAAACGGAATGAAGGCCAGACAACGATACGCTCAACAATGGTAATACAGCCCTGTGTCGATGGTGCAGGTTTTGTTGGGCGAAAAAGAAGCTGCGCCAGGAGCAGAAATCAAATACAAATGCAAAAGGCAAAAAGAAAAAGAAAGGCACTAAGGAAAATGGAAAATGAACAAAATCAAAATCAAAAACAGAAACAGAAACAAAACAAAACAAAACAAATGGCTTCGCTAAACGCCGTGTCGAATGGTATCGAAAAGAAAATCGGGTCGAGAAAGACGGTCGAAGAGCGGACTGTGTGAAAGGACCATCACCTGCTTCAGCACACGACACCGCCAAAGGGCGTGTGAGCCGTCAGATCGCGCACCAGATCGTCCACGTTGTGCAGGTGCCGCCCCAGCAGCGCCTGTTTGTCCTCGGTTGTCCGCATAAAGTCGGTCTCGTCGTCGCCACGCCGCTTGCGGCCAGACGATGCACTGTTCCCGCCGCCCCCAAAGGCCTTGGCCAGCTTGCTCGGGCTGCGCTGCAGCATCGCCGGCATCGAATCCCGCGCGTCTGCCCGCGGAATGGACGGCGTCTCGGGCATGAGGTAAAAGTACAAGAACTCGACCAGTTTCAGCTTGACCTCGCGCGACGTCGACCGTGACTTGAAGATGGACGTAACCGTCAGCAGGCCATCAAGGGCCTCGAAGGCGCGGGTGTTCTGGGGCGTGTCGATGAGCGCCACGACGAGGGTGAGCAGCGTGGCCGACTGGATGGCTGGGCAGTTGACGGGTTCGAGGAGGTCGAGGAGAAGCTTGGCTGTGTCAGATAACGGCCGAGACAAACGAGAGGAGCAAAGAAGATACCGGCCAAAAAAAAAAAAAAAAAAAAAAAAAAAAAAAAAAAAAAAACTTAAACGTTCATGTATTTCTCTCGTGCAAAGAGCACCTTGCTAGGCGGGTGCAGCAGAAGCACGCCCTGCGTCAGGTCGAGCGTGCTGAGGATCAACAGGTCGTTCTGCCCATCGCTGCCGCGAGACAGCAGCCGGTCGAGCGTATCGAGCAGCCGCTGCGCAATGTTCCACTCAAAGCCCTCCTGCAGCTTGAAGAACTCAAAGAACGCCAGGTCATCGTTGAGCTCTTCAAGCGTCTTATAGGAGCCCTTCTGTTGCTGGTGATCCTCGTCAAGGCCCGATTGCCGCTTCTTGGCTTTGGACGAAGACAGGCAAATGGGTGCCAGCAGGCCTTCGACCTGCTTGAGGCCTTTTTTATCTTGGGACCATCATAGGACGACAGGTTGTCGAATGCGAGTGAAAGGAGGGCCTCCATTGTGCCGTGCGGATAGAGGAAACGAAGGAGGAGGAGGAGGTCGAAAAAGGCTCGTTAGAGGGTAAGAGAGTAGTGTCGAGGGCCGATTGGAGAATGCGTGAAAGGAGGTATCGTGAAGAGTTTGAGAAAAGTTGGAGCTGAAATATCGACGAGAATGAAAACAATGGTGACGGCACTCGTCAACGGGGGCGAAATGCCTTCAGTGAGAAGAGAAAGGCGGAATAAATTATAATACAGGAAACGAAAGAAAGGCGTGCTCATGCGAAAGGCTGCAAATATATCACCAAGAAAAGGAGAAGACATGAGATTTTCTGATGTTCATGGTTCAGATGAATGAATAGATAAGAAAAGGAAGCTGCACGCAATATGGCACCTGCCGTGTGTTTGGCTGTCTTAGATCACCGATAAATGGCCCAGCAACGGCAGGAGCTACCCACCAACCAAGACCGTCGCATTGGGCTGCATACAGCTGGTGGTGGCCTTGGTGGCGCTAAGCCCAATTGGAGCACAACCGCCTCGCAGCGTAGGATACAGCAGACTGGACGGGCAACAGATAGGGCAGAACAGCGGAATGGGCGCTATATTAAAACAAAAGACCACAATATCAACAAACGACGACACCACATCGCCATCAAGCCACTACCACAACGCATGATCAAGTAAATGAAGAGATGATACCGGGTTCGACCTACAACGGATTATGAATAGTGTTTTCATTTCCGTAGCGACGATTGAAACGTATTAAAGCTTCGGCTCTTTGTGTGGCACGTGGAAACGTGAAACCAACTGGGCCACGATGCCCATGTTTGCTGCCAGAGGCAGGGTCTGAAGCGACGGGCAAGACGCGAGAGGCGAAAGGAATACAAGCGACACCCTCCCTCAAAACAGACTGTCTCAGCGCACGCTCAAGACGGGTTTGCTTCTCCTTTCAGAAGATCGTCAAAGCGCGCGCACTTTGGGTCAAGGGGCCTGCATAAACTCAGCCCAAGCATGCAGGGGATGCTGTGGGAACCCGGCTTGTCAGAAAAGCCGATGGAAACAAAACCACACGTCCCGGACGCATCTTTTGTCGACTTGAATCTACAACACACGCCGTAATTGCATCTTTTACATTATCAAATTGCTCAGGTCAGATTATCGCCATCGCGGTGGACCTTCGACCAGTCGCTACTTCCGTTTCCACAGGACGCTTACGACGTCGACGTGCATGCCTTCTTGCACTTACACATTGCACTCACCGGCACTCGCCCCCGCATCAGCTGTCACATGGAAAGAGAGACGCGCATTATTACGTCCAAAGCTCCTGCCCGCCGAACTGACTTCTATTTCGCCTTACATTGAAAGCCCCCGTCATCATCCACTCGACCAATTGAATTTGACCATAGTTTATTGTCAACATCATCGACGTTTCCTGCTGCGCATATTCGCCGCTGTATCACACCGTGTTTTCGGACTCCAGACATTGACAACACGCCACATTGGTTGGGCCTGCAAGGCGTACTCTAATAACACCGGCGCCCAAAATCCTTCTGCCTGGAACAAGGCCTACACTGCAATTGGCGGCGAAGCAAGAACAGTCTGGCAAGCGCCCGCTCTTCCCTAGTCACGCCTTCCGAAGGACCAAGCAATTGATACGCGACAATAAACAAGTCCTACAGCATAACGCTTCAAGGAATTAGCTGGTGCCTGCACTGCACCTTCCACGTTCCACAACGTTCCGTGCCTTCCCGCGGGATACGGAACAGTGGATCGTTCTTGCTCCTTTGGTCGCATGACATCAAAGGACAGCACACCAATAGTCACCAACCTGCCTAGCTCCTGCTGGCCTCGCGCCTGCCTCGTTAGGTACAAAATTTCGTTGAAATAGGAGCCTACTTCCTTCACTTGCACGCCGTCCCAAATCTCCGTCCCGCTCTTGCCACACATGTTTCCATCAGCCGGCCGCCGAAAAGAGAAAGAGCCAGCTACCATGCTGTCCGCACCAGTCGCTTCATCTTCCTCCGGCTCGACATCACCGGCCTTCCTCCAATCTCCCAACGCCATCCCACCACGACGCTCCTCCACCGGCCAGCAGCACCAGCAGCACCAGCACTCTGCGTCATTGCCCCAACCTTCCTCTTCTGCGTCTGCATCTACATCTGCATCTGCCTCTGCCTCTGCCTCGACCTCCCACCAGCGCCATCACCATTCTTCGTCCTCCTCATCCACCGGCGCCGGCAAATCAGCCTCTGTGCTGCGGTCTGTCCCCGAGGCCGACTGGCTACACAACCCCGGTACCCGGCGTCCCCGCAAACCTTCCATCACAATGGCCTCCCTAAAGGCATCAGCTGCCGCCGCAGGCAACCCCAACCTGGCCGCCGGCAGCACTGGCAGCACCGACAAGCCGACCCCGTCTACCTCCTCCGCCTCCGTCCTCGAACCGACAAAACACCAGCCCCTTGTGCCACCAACATCGAAGCCCTTCGCCGGCGCTGCTTCTGGCTCCTCCTCTTCCGTCGCCACCTCTGTGCTCACAGCCACGGCCCTGCAGCCAACACCCCCACCCGACCCGCGGCGGTACGCTTCCGAAGACTTCAATTTTAGCGCGCGACGCACCTGGACGGACGAGAAGGAGCGCATCGTGTGCGGGCCCTTTGACTACCTGAACAGCACGCGCGGCAAGGAGTTCCGCACGCAGCTCATAAACGCCTTCAACGGCTGGCTCGAGGTCCCCGCCGACTCTCTCGAGATTATCACGCGGATCGTCGGCATGCTGCACACGGCGTCGCTGCTGGTCGACGACGTCGAGGACTCGAGCAGCTTGCGACGCGGGTTGCCGGTGGCCCACAACATCTTTGGCGTGCCGCAGACAATCAACAGCGCCAACTACATCTACTTTTTGGCCCTCCAAGAGGTGCAAAAGCTGCGCAACCCCAAGGCGCTGGTCGTTTTCTCCGAGGAGCTGTGCAACCTGCACCGCGGGCAGGGCATGGACCTCTTTTGGCGCGACACGCTGACGTGTCCGACCGAGGACGACTACCTCGAGATGGTCGGCCACAAGACGGGCGGCCTGTTCCGGCTGGGCATCAAGCTGATGCAGGCCGAGTCGCGCTCGCTGGTGGACTGCGTGCCGCTCGTCAACCTGCTGGGCCTGCTGTTCCAGATCCAGGACGACTACCGCAACCTGATGGCGTCCGAGTACAGCCAGAACAAGGGAATGTGCGAGGACTTGACGGAGGGCAAGTTCAGCTTCCCCGTGATCCACAGCATCCGGGCCAACCCCTCGAACTTGCAGCTGCTCAACATTCTGAAGCAGAGGACGACCGACGAGGAGGTCAAGCGCTACGCCGTGGCGCACATGGAGAGCACTGGCTCGTTTGAGTACACCAAGGAGGTGCTGCAGGTGCTCACGGAGCGCGCGCGGAACCTGGCCGACGAGCTTGACGAGGGCAAGGGCCGCAGCCAGGCGGTGCACGTCATCCTCGACCACCTTGCCATCAACTAGATGCACTGCGCCGGTCCGCCATTTACAGCATACGTCGCATTTCCTTCGTATTTACACGTTTCTATACCTTTTATACCAGGTTCATTCAGGGTAACCGGAATTTGTGGGGCATGGTTTGGGTTTCTTGTCTTTTGGTCGTGGATTTTCTGGCCTTTTCGAGTTAAGGATACCAACTGGTTTTGTTTGTTGCACTGTCTTCGCAGGCGGTAGGTTGCCATATATGCTATCAGGAATTTGAGCCATATGCTCGTAGTTGGGGTAGCAATAGACCAAGTTGACCAGTCTGTATCTCCCTCAATCTATGCAGTGACAGTAATCTTCTTCCTCTTGACCATACGCACCCACCGCCGGCGACGCCACTCTCCCCGCCGGCCCATACCCTCCTCGCCCTCTTCCCAGCTCGGGCCCAGCGGGCGCCGTTGCGGCCGGAACGTTGCCGTCGGCGGGTGCAAGCCTGTGCTATCGGCGTAGAAATCGCTGTCTCCGTATCCAGATCCTCCCGTCGACTCCGCAGCAGCTGCCAGCTGGTGCTGCTGTTGCTGCTGCTGCTCATGCTCGTTGTACATGTCGTACACCCAGCGCTCGCCCTCGGTCTCGACCTCGACACCCGTGATGATACGCTCTTCGACCCAGTCGCGGCTCCAGAGATCGAGCGCCCACTTCTTCTCGCTCCATTCCCATCCTTGAGGCGGCAGTACATCTTCAAAGAAACGCGCGCCTTGGGGCCGTCCGCCGCTGCCGCCCAAAAACGCAGCAGCAGGGGACGAGGCCTGCGCGTTGGCATTGAGGCGTGGCTGCGACAGAGGGTCGTATGGGCTCGGACCAAATACCCACGGCTCCCACTCGGCGGCATCGGTCGACCGCCGCTGCAGCTCAAAGATCTCAACCTCGCGCGTTTCAGGAGCTTCATCAAGAATGATGTCGGCAGCTACCCAGGCATTCCACAAGGAGGCGGCTGACGCAGGCTCAGTCTTTGGAACGGCCCCGCCAGTTGCACCGTCTTTCTTGCCATCCGTCGTGGCCTTGTCGCCGCGGGGTGCAGAGGCCGGTGGTGGTGGTGTGCCCATGGACGTCTTCCACACACGCAAAAGGCGGGCCGCGGTCGGGTGGCCACTGCACACGACCACCCAGCCACCCACCAAAAACATCATGCGCCATGGCAGTAAATGGGCAGCGAGGGAGAGCAGGATGGCCGTCACACAGAGGGCGACAAACAAGGCGGACGAAAAGGCTTCGTCGGCAAAGTTGGTGGCCGGCACGACCGTCTGCACAATCTTGTCGTGCGCCACGCTAAAGTCCTCCATGCTGTTCTGCAGATCGCCCATATTATGGAAGAAATCGCGGCTCAGTTCTTTCACAGGCTTCACGGTGTGTGGCGGTGCCAGCGGAGGACCGCGTGCGTAGTACTCGGAGGGAAGCGCCAGGCTCGGCGTATTGGTCGTCGAGGTGCCCGGGTGCCGTGTGATGAAGCCTGGGATAAGAACGCCGAGCAAGAGAATAGCAGGCGGGACCAGCGTCAAGAGGTACGGATCGAGGCACACAAAGGTGTAGACGCCCAAGAACGACAATGTGTGTGAGGCACGGCGCCAGGCCAACAGGCGCTCCACCTTCTTCTGAAAACGAAAGACGACGCCGATGCGTGCGTTGAAACGGCGGAAGTTGGTGGACATGATTGCGACGCTGAAGCCGGGCCGTTGCTTCTTCACAGGCTTGTCGTCGTTGGGGTCGAGACTACCGACGCCGCCATGACCGCCCGTGTCTGCTGCGCTATCACTGACGTTCGGCGGCGCACCAAACGATGGGTCTGAATAGCCCAAATCTGCATCGTCGTTATTTGTGTGGCTATTGTCGATTGGGATCACCTGTTGAAAGAGTCTGGGGACCAGCATTAGTACAAGGGAAAAGAAAGAAGAATCGGTTTGCACACACTTCCACATACTTGTCTAAGAGCTGATCCTGTATATTAGAGTTGGCTTTGCTCAGAAAGTCACGGAAGCCCCGCCGCTTCCGGTGTGTTGCTGGTGTAGGTGAGACGGGCGGCGAGGCGGTTTGCGACTGGTCGTCGGCGACTTCCCCAACGGCCTCGAGTTTCGAATGGCTCATGTGGCCGGACTTGTTGATGTTACTCACCGCCGGGGACGGTGATGCTGGCACAGGAGCGGGTACAGGCGTCTCTTCTTCGGGCGGGTCGTCTTCGTGGCCGGTCAAAAACATGTAGGCAATTTCGTCCATTGCCAAAGACCGCCGTCGGGGGACGCCGAGACGATGGTGGAAAGAAAGCCGGAAACAAAATAAAGGTACAACGTAATTATGCAGTTCCTGCAGGTTGTGTCGATCGGGTGGCGCAAGTTCACAATACGTGTTGGAGCGAAGGGTCTGTCGATGGGATCGTAAAAGGATGACGCTGACGGTAGCAGTTGTTCGTCGTTGGCGGTGCTTTAGTCACATGCCATGTTTTGATGCCCGGATCTAGGCTGGCAGGAGCGATGGACTGAAAGAACTTGCGACGTCAGTGTATGGCAAGTGCTGTCGTAGCGGGATTAGCTCGGCTCGTGCTTCTGTAGGCAACCTTGTTCGAGACTTGCAGAGCCTATGCTTTCCCTGCCACCATCAGAATGCTTAGTGGCGGGAAGAGCCCTGTGGAGTGGGTTGCGGGGAAGGACAGCGCCAGGAAAAAGCACACAATCTCTAATCTTCATAACGACGCACTTTAAAACATCTCACTCAACACCAAACCCCTTCTCATGTGAAAAATGTGTCTTACCACGCTTATTGTTAGGATCACGGTTCATGCCACTCAATTTCAATACTCATAAAAAGGGTATTGAAAGCTACTTGCGATACAGCGTATGCCAATATTTGACTTCACTTTCATGTTGTTCGATACGAAAAACCTTTCAATTTCGACGAAAGATCAGCATCAAGACCGTGTCTAGAATCATCATCTACGGTCATTATTCAGCAATGGCAAGCAGTCAACCCATGTATGGATTACTGCAGGCCTCGCCTTGGTCAAGTAGGACATTCCGAAAGCCGACGTTGACGAACCCCCATGACTCAAAGTATGGAAACACGCAGTGACTCGGTACTAACCAAGCATGCATGCGAGACGAGCAGGCAGTAAAGTCAGCAAAAGTGCGTTGGGTGACACATGTCATGGTTGTTACTGCGGATGAGACCCAGAAAATAAATTGGATTGTTTGAGCTGCAAATTTGCATCGTGACCTCTTTTGCCGTACGACAATTGCGACAAATATTTCTTTCCAGCCATAGTTATTTTCGCTTGGCAGCACGGTTGACAGGTGGCAAAGCCCATTCCAGTGTTGTGAAAGTGGCGTCCTTTGGTTGCGACGCGACGCGTCAACCACTTTAACATTGGCGGTATTGACGACCCAGGCTCAACTTGTGCGGACGACGTGGGATCGCGCAGGAAAAGAGTTGCTGTGTGTGGCAGGGGCCAGCCCGCCCGTCCCTCTCGCCCACATTTCCGAAAGAAAGCAGAGTCGCGAATACTGCCAGCCCGCCAATTTATTTAGATGAAAGAAACATGGGACGGGGAAGGATGAGCGAGGTGCATATCACGGACTACCGGGTCGTTATGAGCAGTCGGTGTTTCCTGAATTGTCGGCGTGGTTAATCTATCTGTCTCGTGGCCTGCATGCAAACGGCCGTGAGGCAGGCCAGATGCGATATCTGGTAATCTCTCCATCTGCAGTATGTGATGAAAGCGAAGGCCGAGACGAAAATGTGCAGGATAACTGGTCAAAAAAGAAACAATTGCCCTTCGTTTTTTTTGGAATGCAAATGAAGTCATTCTTGGCAGCATGCAAATTTTATGTCTCTCACCTCACTGCATCAGCAACACCCAGTGTCGGTGCTCGTTCCCATTAAACAGAAATTCAGGGACGGGTTCCATCATCAAACATGGCCAATGTCAGCAGCCATGCCTGTCCAGCAGCATTGTTGACGCGTCTCAATTTTTCTTTGCACTCTGCTGCTATATGACCAGCAATAAAAGTAACAGTCCGCCACGGAACCGCACAATCGCGGTACATACATAGCTGACCTTTTATATCAACAAACTGAAATGGTCTGGCAAAACACTGGGAAGCCAGTCTGAGTTAATTACCCCGTAAACAAAAACCGTTGGTGCCGTCTCTGACTGGCTGTTGCCGATCGCCAGATCAACTGCCCTCGCTCGTCTCTCAGCTTCGCGGCTACTGGCCCATCACATCAGCGCCCCGTTATTTGGGGTCTCTCTGTGGTGCGTCGTAATATCTTTCGTTTTTTCCGCCTTGGTGCGCTGGTTAATGTGCCCCTTTCTAACGCGTCGACACCTTGCGTTTAGCTTAGCTCGTCCCGGCAGACAGTTTTATTTCCTTTCCCCTGGATTCAGGGTTCATGCATCTCAAGCTAACTTACTTGCCGCGACTGCTGTAAGTTTGGTTGGAACAATTGCGACGTAATTGCTCTATAAGTCTGTGAACAATTGAACATTCCACAAGACTGGCCGATTCCCAAGGAGATCCGGACTGTCACAAAGTTGCCTGGCAGACCGTTTTGGCCTGCCACAGAGGCCAATTTCTCATGGTGGGCCTGGTGGCCTGGTCTCGCTTTTGGAAAATAGATTGGAGGAATGGAACACGGTGCTCACGTTACGATCAACTGTGGAATTGCATATTGCGACTTGCGAATAGGACAGGTTGGTCTTTGTCGGTGGCTGTTTCTTGCCTCTCCGAGAAGTACGACGTGACGACATCGTTGGTTTCCCACCTCTCGTTTTGTTGGTCGCTCCTTCCTCCGCGAGGTGCCGTCGAGCTCCATTTCTCCTTTTTCGCCCAGCCTTCCAAGCCCCTTTTCCTTGCTGGTGGCAGGTCCCCACGTCCCCTGAAGTGCCAGCGCGCTTTCCTGTTAGCTTCCATACACCAGGCCTGTTACCGTACGCTACCGTGGATTGCCCCGTAACGGCGCCCCACTAGCGCCCAGACGCCCTGCAGCTGTTGGATGTTGCTTGTGCTGTCACTACTGTGCTGGTTTTATGCAGGGTCGTGCCTGCTGCTTTCAGAACCTTTAGGTCGCCCCTTCCCACTGTTCCTGTGCCACTCTGTCGTCGCCAGAAACAGCAGCCACTAGCTTACAATCCACCCACTTTCCGTCCCGCACAGGCCAATCCCCTCCTGTCGCTCCTTCCATTCGGGCACAACATCTTGTAGTCGCGCTTTCCTCAGAGACCTGACAGCCAGAGAATCCCAATTCCATCCCCTGTGCGATGGTTGAAGTGCCCCATTCCTTCCCCGTCCTAGTCCCAAGTGGCCAGGAAAGAGCAATCAACAAATCACGGCCAACCTGCTCCTGCATTTGTCCAGTCCTCGTTTTCGTCTTTTGTTCATCACACGCCTCCCGGTCACCTCGAACCTCGCCTCTCGCCGCCCTCAATCCTCTCCCACCACATCCAACCGCCCAACTGCTCGCATCGCGTTGCCATCAGCATTGTCTCTCGTTTCCTCTGTGCATTTGGTGCTTTCTCGTTGTCCGGTCCCGCGACCCGTCGCTGCTCCACGCTAACAACGGGACCGCCTTTTTTGTTTCGAGTTTCGAATCGCCAAAATCGACGTCGACGTTCGTTTTCCCACAGCATCCCTTTCACCTCTTATACCCCCACTCCAGCTCTGTGTCTTCTTGCCTCGAACCTCGACGCTTTTCTCCGGCTTCTTCGACACTGCCTGCCTCTCTCGTCAGCCCCTTTCGATCGTGCGGAATGAGGTAGTTTGCTACATTCTCCAAGGTCTTGTTGGACCGAGTGACGGGCTCGCGATCCGGACCGCCTTTGTGCCTCATCTTTGGGGTCTCAAGTCGATAGAGTATTGCCCTGTTGTCCGCCTATCCACTGGGTGTCCTAACGACGCGCTCCAATCGCCTGTCCGCTCGTTTGCAGACTCGGGGTGCTTTTCGTCTTTATTTCATCTTTATTTTTATTTTTATTTTTTTTCCTATTTTTTTTCCTGCTTCTTGCCCAGCAGCGTGCCCATTGCCAGCATTTGTCGCCTATCCATTGCAGCACCATATCCCATATACACAAGTGATTCAGCGACGTGGGCATCGGCCTCTTGACCTGCCGCTCCCTCCTATGCTGAGGAGCCAACAGCCGCAGGCGGGCTCCCGACCACCAGCTGCATCCCATTCTCTCTCCCAGTCGCCAACTCGGGGCGTACCCGCCGACCAGCCTAGTCCGATGCTGAGCGCCTCTGCCTCCAACAACCACTCGCTCTTCTCCTTTGGCCGGAGCAATGGCACCAGCGCTACCGCCGCAAGCAGTAGCAAGCATCCACAACCTCCACAGCATCTCCCACCGCCACTCCCGCCCCAGATCATCCACACCGACGACGACTCAGACGACCCGGACGACCCCTATCTCGACACCGAAGGCGACTTGGCTGGCTTAAGCGCGAGCTACGACTTTTTGCCTTCGGTCAGCTTCGACGACCTCCAGAGCAGCCTCGAATCTGCCTCCACTGACTTCAAGCTCGCCCAGTTCCCCTCGCCCTCTGGTCACGGCAGCATCCTGGACGCCCAGAGCGCCGTTGACAAGATGGTAGAGCAACAGTCGGCCAGCGGCCCGCGCTCTGCGGCCAATGCGGCTGCGGTGGCTGCCGCAGCCACTGCATCAGGCACCGGATCGACTACAAACAACGCAACAGGCAATATGACGGCAACAAACACGCGCGTCGTTGGCCCACAGTCTGCGTCCGCGTCGACAATAGCGAGCTCGTCGCGAATCTCAAAATCGGGCTCCATTCTGCGCCGTCCTAGCATCACAACACGACAGACTATGAATTTGTCTGGCCCAACCTCGTCTGCCACGGCGCCCGATGCTGGAGTCATCCCTGCGTCGTCGCGCCAACGTCGGCAGAGCCACTACCCGCCAGTGTCCAACAGCAACATCGGCAAGCCGCCGAGAAAGTCAATGGGCCCGGGCGTGTTGGACTCTGAATTCAGCTCAGGTCTGGGGCGCTCGGCTTCACGGCGGCGCCCTAGTTTGGCGTCAAACTCGGATCGACCCATCTCCGGCTCTGCCCGGTCTTCCATCGATGGCGGCAACCGGCTGGGGAGCAGCGGCGGTAGCGATGCTACAAGGAACCTCAATGGCTCACGCGCCTCGAAAACGCGCTCCTTCCAGCAGTCGTCCCGCGCATCCATATCTGTCGCTCTCGATCCTACCAAGGCGTCGGGCTCGGGCTTCCAACGGCCACCAAGGACCGTCAGCCACAGCAGCAGCACCGGTAACTTCAACGGCAGCGCATCGACCAACAGTAACACCCTCAGTACCAAGTCTGCGACGTTTGGTCACTCGACCGCCTCGAAACGCATGTCCATGGCGCCGGTTCTACACGCATCGCACGCTACCGGCCTCGGTGCACGAACTGTCAGTCCGACTGACGCGCGTCGTATGAAGCGCATGTCGATAATGCCCCCATCAACAAACTCCGCCATGTCAGCCGGCAACAGTATCAGCAGCAGCACCGGGACAGGAAACGCGAACGGCAACAACAACAACCGGGATGTTCCCCAGACATCAAACGTTCCTCTTCCCTCCTCGTCTTCGTCAGATCTCCGCGCTTCGTCGCGCTCGCCCTCGATGCTTCCGCGAAAGACATCCACTCCGTCTTCCTCGAGAACAACACCGGATCCCAACCGCAAATCTTACAGCTCCGGCTTTTCTATCGGCTCGTCCATGAGCTTCAACACCGTGCGCAGCTCGACCGGCTCGATCCAACCCCGCTTACCCCAGGGAGGTGCAGGTGCGTCGAGCATCAACAACACAGGATCTCGCCTGCCTGCTCCTAAGCCACCAATCTTGCACAACTCCACTCCCAACATTGATGACAGTGAAGATGTGCCCCCGGTACCTGCCATTCCCAAAGTCTACGACTCACCCAAGGAGTCTCCGGCCGAGCTGTCCTTTTTCGAGAAGCGCAAGTCGAACTTGGCCTACGATGGTAGCAGCATACACAGCGCATCCACGGCAAGCATCTCGGGCACCCAGCCGCTGGGTCTCGACCCACCCGTCAAGATCCAGCGGAAGGCAAGCACAAGAGCTACAAAGGACTATGACAAGGCGAACCACACTGTGACGGGCATAACGTCAATGACTGGAAAGAAGAAGAACTTGCAACCACTTCGCTTGCCTCCCATGAATCTGCAGCCGCTCAGCGTGCCCACCGCCGCCAAGATTGCAGCGCTACAAGAGCAGATTGCGGCCACACCGGACCGGAACCTCAGCCCTCCACCCTCGCGCATCATTGCAAAAACACCGACCACGCCCATGACTGCCTCCAAGGGCTCGTTCTTCTCGCGGCAGCGCAATGAGGAGCGCGCCGAGCTCACTTTGGCCATGCGCAGCAGCTCATCTGTCCATCACCATCACCACCACCACCATCACCACAATACGCTGACAGAAAGCGGCAGCGGCGGCAGCGGTGGCAGCGGCGGCGACGATGACGACACGAGCGCTTCTGACTTTTATGCGGCGGCAGAGCAGGCGACCAAGACATCGTCTCTCCATAAACCCTCGATCTCGCCCTTCCTCTCGTCGTCGGCTCCAAAGGGCAATTCGATGGGCCCGGCCTCATTCAACACGTCCAAGACACCCGGCGACGATAGTGACAGTGCCTACACAACGCCTTCCTCTTTCATGACCCCGATCCCGCCTCCAATCCCTGCATCAGCGTCCGCATCGACAATTCGGAAACCTTCGGGACCTCGCGCGCCTGCGCCTACTCCATCCCGGGCGTTTGCGCCGCTCGAATCCGTCAGCACCATCATCACGGGAGACGCATCGTATCTAGAGCCCATGCCTACTTCCACATCCACTGGGGGCCAGGCTCCAAGATCGCCGCCACCGATCTCGAGCCCTGACGAGCCCCCTACGCCGTCGTCCATAGGCTCGTCTCTGCGTCGCAAGCTGAGCCTATCATGGAAGCGGAGCAACTCCAAGTCGAGCCTTAGTATCCAGGGTGGCTCCATCTCGGACAAGCCAGCAGATATGCCTGCTTCCGACTACAAGCAAATGCCCGCGTTACAGCAGCAGCAAGACGACCAACGTCAGAACACCGGCCACCGTCGGCAGATCTCGATCAATGACAAGCACGATGGCATGCCACCGCCCCGCGTCCCCAAGTCGGCAACGATGAACCAGATGCCTTCGTCCAAGAAGAGCCAGAGTCCGACACTCGTGGCGCCCGCTGCTGCCAAGACGCCGGGGACGTACTTGGATTCGAGACGCCGCAAGAGCTCTGCTTCGAGCCTTAACGCCATTCTAGCCCATGACAAGAAGCCTGAGCCCTCGTGGGCCAACGGTGACCGCCCTCACGCCAAGGACGCGTCTGCGTCTTCAACGGTGGCGGCTAGTTCCGAGGTTGGAACGGCTGTCTCCCATATGCACACCGCACACTCTTCGCACACGTCTTCGGTCATGCAGAAGATCCTCAAGACGAAGCAGTCTACAACGTCCATTCGTCACCACCATGACATGTGGACTGCCGACCTGGACAGCGACGACCTTGTCGCCGAAGAGGAAATGCGGAAACTGGGTGCCCGGCGCAAAGACACCGAGCTGGCGGCCCGCACACTCGACGCCCTGCGCAAGCGTGCCACACCCAAAGAGCGCGTCAGCCACCAGGAAGCTGCCCGCATTGCCATGCTCAACATCTATGAGCGTGGCGAGATTGTCGACTACCACGATATTTACTTTTGCGGTACACAAAACGCAGCCAAGGTGGCCGGCAACCCAGACTCGGACAAGATTCCCAACTTTGGCTACGACGACGAACGTGGTGACTATGCTATCGTTGCCGGCGACCACCTCGCTTACCGCTACGAGATTATCGATCTTCTTGGCAAGGGCAGTTTTGGTCAGGTCGTGCGCTGCATCGATCACAAAACAGGCGTCCTTGTTGCTGTCAAGATCATCCGGAACAAGAAGCGTTTCCACCAGCAGGCTCTTGTCGAAGTCAACATCCTGCAAAAGCTTCGCGAATGGGTATGTGCAACTTTTTTTTTCTACTGTTGTAGTAATTTGCCTAGATTCTAACTGTAACAGGATCCGAAAAACAAACATAGCATGGTCAATTTCACGCACAGCTTTTATTTCCGCGGCCACCTTTGCATTTCGACAGAGCTTCTGGACATGAACCTCTATGAGTTCATCAAAGCCAACTCGTTCCGCGGCTCTTCGCTCAAACTCGTCCGGCGCTTCACCAAGCAGATGCTCAGCTCACTCATGCTCCTCAAGCAGCACAAGGTCATCCATTGCGACTTGAAGCCTGAGAACGTCTTGCTACGGCACCCGCTGCACACGGAGCTCAAGGTCATTGATTTTGGCTCCAGCTGTTTTGAGAACGAAAGGGTCTACACCTACATTCAGTCCCGCTTCTACCGCTCGCCCGAGGTTATCTTGGGCATGACGTACGGCATGCCCATTGACATGTGGAGTTTGGGCTGCATCTTGGCTGAGCTGTTCACAGGAGTGCCCATATTCCCCGGTGAGAACGAGCAGGAACAACTGGCGTGCATCATGGAGGTGTTTGGCCCCCCCGAGAAGCACCTGATCGAAAAGAGCACGCGCAAGAAGCTCTTTTTCGACAGCATGGGCAAGCCGCGCCTAACCGTCTCGTCCAAGGGCCGTCGGCGCCGTCCGTCGTCCAAAACTCTCCAACAGGTCATCAAGTGCGACGATGAGGCGTTCCTCGACTTTTTGAGCCGCTGCCTGCGGTGGGATCCGGACCGACGCCTCAAGCCCGAAGAGGCCATCCGCCACGAATTCATTACGGGCCAAAAAGCCGTCGTCCGCCCGCCCGTTCCCCGCCATAGCTTGAGCACGCGCGACGGTTCGCCAGTGCGCCGCCACCACACCATATCCGTTTCTGGCACGGGCGGGCCACGGCCCTTGCCCGAACCCCCTCACAGCACATCGGGGGGCAGCAATACCGTCAAGATTGGTGCTGCTCCGACGCTCCGTGCCGGTCGGGAGTCTCTGGGTGTCGGCGCCCACAAGTCCATCAATGCCCCGACCATTGCGTCAGCAAGACGGGCCTCTGCCGTATCGGCGTCGACGACGTCGGCGAGCATGAGCAAGCGGACGAGCGGAACGGCAGGGATGGGCGGCAGCAGCACAAGCGGTGGCACTGTGGGGGGCTTGACCAGCAATCTCCCACGGGCGGCTGGCCGTGTTGTTAGCGGCGGCTCCCTCGGGAGTAGCGTGTCAAAGCCGGACCTGGCTGCCGCCGGGGCTGCGGCCGCCATGACCCGGCGGGCATGAAACATAGACACATAGATTGGAGCCGGTGTTACGTTGGAGTGGGCAAGTGAGATTCTTACATGGGAGAACGGCGCATTCAATTTCTCTTTCCGTTTCTGGGTGTGAGTCCTATACCTGGGGCAGCGTACATACAGTCCATTGCGCTTGATGTTTTAGGGGTAAGACAAAAACAGGAAGAAACGACAAAACAGGGTCTACTCATTACATGGGGTCCGGACGTGGTTTTCTTGGAATGGAGTGGATGATGATTTCATAAACATACACAATGGCCTTTCTAACACTAATTCGGAGCGGAAGCCATAAAGCCTAAAGCCCGCCTAATCAGAGCCCCAATCGGGTAGATATTATCAGACGTCATGCCAATCACTACTTTACAATTCTATTTTATGATAATTAGTGGCTCGCAGCGGTGTGGAACAGACACAAATTTTTGATAAAGTCTACTAGAAATATCTTCAAAAGAACTTTCTAATTTTTTTTATTTTTATGTTTTAAGTTTTGTTTCTTTATCATTCCAAATTGTGGTACTTACTGTTCCTCTTCATTCTGCTCTATATGTTACATGTTTCGTTACGACTTTCCCAAAAGGTTTCGTTCATAGCAAAACACACATTTTCCCACAAACGTAAATAAACCCATTACACGACGTCCAATAAACGACGCTCGTACCATCCATCCGTCGATTGACATGTGAAAGCCAAATCTGTGACACTGGCGCCGTCCTACTCTCGTTTCGTTTCGACTTCCCGTTCTTGAATGAGTAATGCAATACCTGGTCGGCAATATCCCGTGTCTTTTGGCTGACGATGCTTCATGGGATGCGGAACGAGAATTACGCAGGAACGCGAGGTCAGAGAACCGGAGGCCGCCTGTCAGCCGCGCCCCAGATATACATGGTATTGTTGTCAGTGTCTATTCAGTCGTATGCAGGTAAGAGAATCGAAGGGTGCATGTAAGGGGCAGAGACTGTCAGCCACACCTACGAAGCATGGTTCTCTGGGCTGGTGGATTTTAACCAGGCACGCACCTAGGTTACAGGGCCAGGACCCCGCTGTAATACAGGCATACACACACGTATCTGCAAGAGAGAGGGGACGAGGAGGAGCGATGCAGCAAGAGGTCGACAACAAGACGCAATGGCGGCTCACGACTCGCTGGATTTTAAAATTACACGATGGATGTACCGACATAGACGAGCCAGGCACAAGAGACGTTTGCCACTCGTCTTGGACCGCCCTCTTCCTTCTCCATACGAAATATGCTCACCTCGTTCTGCGTCTTGACCTTGCAGTTTACGGTTTGGGTCTTCTTTTCTTGCTGTCTCCATTCTCACCTGCAGATGCAAAACGGGCCTTTCCCCTTTTGGCAGCACCTGCATTTCTCCCTGTGTTACTGAAGTGGATGTTGGGGGCCTCGGGGGCCTTGTGGTCCCAGCGGTCCTGCCCGCGAGTGAGCTCGTGGGCTCTGAGGCACTATGGAGTGGTGATACGGCGGGTGCGTTCCACTAAAAAAAGGCCATCCTTCGGCGTTCATCGTTCGCAAGGCATTCTTGTAGGTCCCATTCTTTGGCGTCTGCCCTGCATACAAGTGCAGGTAGTTGCAGGCAAGGCTTTCTGGTCTAACTTTGGATCTCTGTGGGTTGCCGACTGCTTTTCCTTCGTCTTCCCCTATGGTTTCTCATCGAGCGTTGGGTCTGTGTATCTGCCGTGCTCGTAATTGCTTCCACTTCTGTTGGTTATGCTCCTGTCAAGGGTCGGCTTTCACATGCAAATCTTCATTGAAGAGCCATACACTCATAGTCGTGATCTTTTTCAGGCATCCCAAGGTCAACCTTTGGGTACTACTCACCATTCTCTTCAACTCTTTTTCATAGATTTACCAATGTGCCTTTTTGACTTGCACCGCACGGACGACAGAGCCTCACCATATCTGAGAGTACTTGCGTACTTGCTTTCCCAAGACGATTGAAGACTGAACTCTGCGTCTGAACCAGAAAAGGTATCCAAAGCGTACCCTCGTATACGTGATACTCTTTTCGTCAGACCGCTCTCCACTGACTCCTGGGCTGGGAACGTGTATGCCACCTTGATAGGCAATGATTTGGTAGTGGCTGGTGGTTGTCGAGATACCGACCCCTCGGACGTCTGTATTGAATAACTCGAGCCACACGGGGGTGGTAAAATCTGGTCCACCGTTTATCTGTTTTCTGATTCTTATACGCAGTTGAGAAGTGAACTTGTTTTCGAGCTTGGATGTTAACTGGAAACATACCAGACTGGGCCACAACCAGAGGAGACGAGATGAGAGAGGAGACCTTTTACCGTCAGTAACAGGAAAGTCGTATCGTCGAAGCGGGGTGGAGTGTTTTCATCCGAATTTCGACTATGAAGCCGCAAAAGCACGTTGGTATGTTGGTGCTAACGGAAGTTGCGGAGGTTGCCCGAATTTGGCCTTGCCCGTTTTGTCGCAGTCGTCGGGAACAACCATCATGTTGATCGTTCTCGTTCCTCGTAACGAACACGTTGCTCTCAAAACGAGGTTTAGGGATAGACCTTCTCCACGGTCGCTTCATGGGCCATCTGCCGGTGAGGCCGTAGCTTAGACCCTAAGCGATGGTGCTTCCTTCCCACTTGGCTGGGAAGGGTTAGGCTTCCGCAAGTAGCCTTGGGGAGAGGGGAGGTATTGAACAGGTGGTTGGGAAAAAGCAGAGGTACAACCATTGTGTAGGCGACGACCTTGTCGTACATTGCGACTGACAGCGATGTACCAAAATGGGTTCGGACCCACAGGCCTCGCCGACGTCGAGGCGCAGCCCTGAGTTGGAGAAATAGGTGGTGGCCGGGGTCGTGGTTGGTCGGATTTTGGATGGCATCCAATTCATGAGGCCTTTCCTGCCATTGACCTGGTGAGTTTCTGTGTCCTCACGTACTTTCCCAACAAAATGGATCACAGGCACACACCTCTCCAGGTTTTCGTTTAGGGCTGAAGGCAAGTGTGATTGGCTGTCTTCCGAAACAACATTCCACAACCCACCCTTATTGCAGACTCGTCACAGAACATAGCAAAAAGTCGAAGGTAAGAGAAGATACAACGGGACACGATCCATGGTGCCGTCCGAGACATGCAGGACAAATACAAAACAGAACTGCATCGGTGGGGTGCAATGCTGCCAGGTACATCTGCGATTTGCACACACACTTCAAGGACCTACATAGCGATGATGCGAACACACTGCAGTTGGTGATGTGGTTGGTCAGTTTTCGTGAAAGTGCCTCGTTCGTATCAAACATCGTGCTAAGCAAGTCGGAGGAGCGTCGTCTGGTGCTTGCGCCTTGTCTTCATCGCTCATCATGGTAAAGGCACCTGAAAATAGGAGCACTGTCGATTTTGCAAGAAAATAGACAGCAAATGGGGGAAATGGCACGGCTACTCCGGAGCCTTGGTCATTTGGCCAAGGGACGAATGCAGGCATTGCTGCAGGCACAGATGCAGCACCCAGGCAGCAGTTTGTACACCAACCAATGACAAACCGACATTTGCGATCGTATTTCGAGCTCTTTGGGCCCCTTGAACCGTTTGGGACGATATGTCCGCGAAGCAGCAGTAGTGTCTGTTTCATGATAAACTTGTTGACAGGTGTGGGATGTTTGATGTCAAAACGGAGAGCAGCTGATTGATCGCCAGCCTGGGGACGAGGCGTGGGGCTAGAGACGACTTCCTGTTCCTTCCTGTAAGGGTTGCACTCTACCCGTAGAGGACGCCTTGTAGAGCGAGCAAGCATGGCGATGCTTGGACTCAGATGCAAACTATCGTCAAACACGACAAATTGTACATAAAAATAGAATGAGTAATCGGAAATCGAGTGCCTCGGCACCGCTGTTGTGTATCTCCTCAGTTTTTGTGTGGTAATGCCTCCCCGACCATCATTGGTCGACAGCCTTTCACGGGAGCTGTGAGGCTGAGCATGGCTGGACTGTCGTCATTAAGGGAACATGGACTGTTGATTACCGCGATTGTGCGTGCCCTGGGTGGATCGCAGGTGTCTCGCACTTTCGTCGGTTGCAGCCAGGTCCCTTGTAAGACGCCGAGCCTGGCTGTTGCGTTGTAGTCATCCACATCCCCATCTGTCAACCATCGTCGTCTCCGTCTGACATGTATTTCTTGCATCGGCAGGATCTCGGTTGGGACACAGAAAGGCTGAGGGCGTGTCGAGGCAGAGCGCCTGTGCCTGTATTTTTTTTCTTGTTATTCGGTGACGGCCTATTTTATCATACTTTGCAAGTACCTTTTCTGCCTTCTCCTTCACTTTGTCTTAATAAGACTCCTCGTCTTGGGGGCTGACGCCTTGAGCTTTCCAGAAGGCCACCACTGAAGTGTGTCATTTGCACCTCTTGCAGGATCATGCGACACCAAATTCCTAGCCGCTTCGCCTTTGGTGCCTGGAGCAGACATTGTGCTCTTACCGTGCCAGGAACGACTTGGACGCCGCAGCAAGTCACGAGCACAACAGACTCATAGTGGCCAAGCTCTGTGAGTTTGTTTTGGAGGGGGGTAGTGGTGTGCCGATATTGACATCTCCATGGTGTCGTCGCAGCGAGTGGATCGTCTGAATTCTGTCCTGTTCATCCCCCCTTGTTACAATGGCCAAGAGAAAAGAAACGAGCAATAGGGTGGCCGCGCTCTGCCCACCATCTTTAGGAGTTTCCGTCTGCCGTGGGCGGGACGAGTAAGACATGGCGATCTTGGCCCACGGCCATTTGTTGGGCTATCTGAGACATGCATCAGTCGCCTCATTGGGTTGAAAGCTTGGGGGAGCTGGAGTCGATGTGAGGATTGAAAGAGGGCAAAACTCGCTGTGACCATAAGCAAGCAACAAAACCACTCCAGCAAGATACCAGTGCTGGATTCCGGCACAGAAGGCGCGAAGCTAGGGCGACATAGAGCTGGGAAGGGACGATGAAAGGAATTAGGATACTGCCCGAATCAGAAGTCACTACCCAGACACAACGCCATGCAAAGCGGTTAAGAATAGAAACAAATGACGACACGAACGAAACAAATCCGGCAGAACGGGGGAAGGAGCATTGGTGGTCAGCAGGGGCTCGGCATGGCCAGAACAGTGGTGTAAGGCAATGGGAGGAAGCGGCGACCGTTGAAAGCCCGCTCGTTGCTCAACGGTGTGCGGGGTGCCTCTTGGTCCTTCCATCCTCTGTGGACGACGAGCCGCTTCATTCTGGATGTTTCTGAAGTCGGTCTCTCCTTCCCTAATTTGAATGCGGTTTGTCTGCTTGTAGTCCTCTCCCACGGTCTTGTTCCTGCCAAAATGGTCCCGAAAGCTTTGGCCAGCCCGGAGTTTGCGCGCTGTGGACGGGGCGTTCCTTCCCCAAACACTGGAAGGTGTTCGCAAAGACCGTCTTGCTCTAAACAATGCTGGCACCTTCCCCGTTCACAGGCAAACAAACAAACAATTCTACGAGGAAGGAACAAGTTGGGGAAGGACCTCGGGGAAAGGAGAAGGGGGAAAGGGGCATAAACACCAGCCTCTCCGATTGCCAGTTTCATCTGCCCATTTGTCCATTTCTTCCGCGACAGTCTCTTGGCCTCTCCCCTTGTGCCTGACCACCATCCACCTCAATCCGCGCTCCCCTTTTCGCCACCAAGCTAAAAACGGCAGCCCTCAGCCTCAAGTCAGCCAGACTCCAGACTACCACGACCAGGCTGGCTCTTACACTAGGGCTTGGCATGGGCCTTCCGCCAGGCCCGTGGAACTGAGGCCCTCTTACTTCGTGCCGTCCCACTCAATACACGCCAGAAGCACACGCTTTTGGCCTGCAATGATCGAGGATGCGCCGGCTTGTCGATACAGCGGCGCACAGGCCAGTGTACGAGGATTGCTTGTTAGGGCTGACAACGAGGTCGCACGGAGATCACGGCTCCCGAAAGCCCAGTACCTGGCCAGGCCTGCTCCCCCTTCCTCCCCGATCGACCGCGCCATGACAGTGACAGGCATGGCCCACCCCCAGCCACAGCCCTTACGGACCTTTTCCAACCTCAGACCAAATTTGGCATCTACCTCCGTCATGTTCTCCTTCCTTACGAGCAACTCCTCTCGGTGCACACATTGCCGGGGGCGCAAGGAACAGATGGACGCGGCCAACGTTTAACGCTGGCGTCACCCGCAAGTAACTCGGACATAACGGCCCGCAGAGCTTTGTGTCTGTCTGGCCTCATCCCCAATGTCCACTTGACAATTTGCCACTCCTAGGGGGGGTCGGCGGGGGCCAGTTTACGTGAGGCACATCACGATGCGAGAGTGAGCAAGAGGTTTGCAAACCAAAGATGCAACCCACGGGGCACACGAACGTTAGATGACGGAAGCATCGGGGAGGCCAGCTTGCAGCCCATAGTTTTCGGGAATCAGGCCGGCGCTTACAGACGGAGGCCGTCTCGGGGTTGCTTGCGATACGATCACCTCAACATTTCTGACTGTTTCTCAGCCTCAGCTGGTTCTTTTGGCCTGCCCATACCAATTCTGTGTTAAGTTGCTGCATGGCGAATGTTGGGATGCGACCAGATGCTCGCATGAGACAACACCTGGAGAAAAAAGAAATCAAATGCGAAGTGCGTGGTGCTGTCCGCCGCAGAGCTGGAGCAACCCAAGGCTGCTCCTACAGCCAATATGCAAGCCACACACAGTAAGGCCCAGAGCGGGCCAGGCCTCCACCAAGGTTTCGTTTTGCGGTTATGTCACAAGCCGGTATGGAGTGTGATGTCGACAAAACGTCCAACCAATCTACGATCCTGTTCAGGGAGAGCACTCATATGAAGACGATTGAGTAAACGGCACAGTTTGCGATGTGAACAATAACGGGGAAACTGTGCATATGCGGACCAGTTTCGTAACAAAAGGTAAGAATCATCATCATACCAGCTCCCAAGCCACAGCCCAAGACGCACTAAAACCAAAAACAGTAACAAGACTCTAATGGCAGCACAAATATGTCCCAGTGTGGAAAAGGACGAAATAAAAACAGTTCGCATTGAATTTACAGTGCATCGGAAGGGGAACGACCTGTTATTTTCGATCCCAGGCGGAGGTCCGGCACCCACGCTTGCCCTTGTTCTGTGCTCTGCTGTCTCCCAGGGACTGGCAGTCCCAGTCTGACTTGCATACTCGCGCCAGGGTCACGGATCAGGCAGGGATTCTCACAGGTTACTGGTTCCCACAAAGGCATGGCTGGGCAAACCAGGCAAACCAGGCAAACCAGGCAACAACGAATATCACCAGAACAGGCGGTCGCTCGATGGCTTTGGTCAGATTCGCTTCCTATTGCATATGCCGATGCACCAAGAGCAATGACAGAGCCACAGAGCCACAGAGCTGAAATGGCAAACATCCCGAAGAGCAAACGCCCCGTAAGCACGCTGCGTCGCATTCACTCTCAGTGCCATTCTCTCTAGAGGCCCAGGACCCCATTTTAGGCAGTGGAGCAGCCCCGGCAGACAGTCGATCCGTGTCCTCGAAATAGCTGCTGCGGACTTTGTTTACGAGCGATACCACAACCGTCAACGGCGCGGCCGACAGCTCTCCACCTTGTGCCTTGCGACCGGCATAGCCAAGTGGGCTTTGCACTTCCGCCTAGTTCCAGTTCTGCTAATAGGCGCTCTCGTGGCTTACAGGCATGCCGTGCCATGATGTTCTTTACTGTCCTTCCTTTCTGGCCGCGGCTGTCGCATTTGGGAGGAAGTGAGAATGAGAACGCAATGCCCTACAGCATCACAAGCCACGCCCTCCCACACACACGGCCCTACGACATAGGACAAACGACGCAGAATGCAGGATACAGGATACAGGACTGAGGATGCAGGACTGAGGGTGCAAGACACAGTCCCTGTGTATCGCCCTGCTGCATGTTTGCATTCTGACGGGATCTTGCCAAAGGGTCAAGGCCGCAGAATCAGTGGCCAGCAGATTCTGACACAGATGCACCGGGTAGACGCACACGCACACGCACACGCACGCGGATGCAAATGCAAATGCAAATGCAAATGCAGGCCATAGGGCAGAACTGTGTTCACACCAAGTCAGTGTCCATCCAGTGGGTGGTGAACCGCGATCCTACGGTCCCCAGGCCTGGCCGCACAACCTGCCTTCATCGCAACTCCGTTTCCCGTTTTGGCTCAGTTTTGCTCCCACGTTTTCGTTTTTTCAGAAATCATCTTCGTCTTTTCCAGAAAGAACATGTTTAGTTACCCTTCTCTTACTTTCCTTCTCTTACTTTCCCACGGATTTGCCCTTAATTGTGATATTTTTTGTCTTATTTCTCGTTTCGCGCTTTCATTTACGGCAGGCTGCTCTCTACTTTGAGCCTCGTTAACCTATTCCCTCTCCTCGTCTTGTCTCTGTTCTGACTCCCACGACTCACATCTGCCGCTAAACCCACGCACTTATGCACACTCCCACCCGCCTCATCCACACCTTCAATATTCCCATTCTCCATATATTTGGACAAACATAGTAATACTGGCACACACCTTCCCTCCCACGCCCCTCCTCACCATCTCTACCCCGACTGCGCCCTTGACAGCCCAAGCAAACAATGAAGCCCAGGAAGGTCTCCTATGGCCAGTTTTTGGACGTCTCCTTTCCTCTATGCGTATCGTTTTTCGTTCTCGTTTTATGTCGTCTTGTCTTCCGGTGCCTGTCCCTGCGCCCACTTCTGTTCTTACACCTGCATGCTCTTAGTCCACTAGAGCTGCAGCAACTCCCACACCAAGTACGCCTTAGTCACCGGGTGGATTGCCTGAACAGGTCGTCCAATCTCTCAACTGTCGACATGATCCCCATCCTCATGACGAGCCTTTCTCACCAGGCTACCAAGGAGTATAAGGCTACGAGACCATCCCTCACCCCTTCCCATGTTGTTCCGGCTATGAGTCTCTCCATGCTCCTTGCTCTTCACCATATTTCATTTGTCCTTTTGCGTTTTCACAAACAGTCATAGGATTGTTGCCTTCGTTTGTCCTTCTGTTTCGCCAATTTGATCCCTCTCTTATTTATTTTATCCTATTGTTTGCCTTCTTGAGTCGACGTCCTGCCTTGGCGTGGCCTTTTCGTCCGCGTGTCCCACTGTCCTCCTGTCGTCTTGTCTTCTTGTGTTTCCATCGCTCCCCGTTCCCTCTTCCCTCAGTTTCCCTCCGGCCAGTGCCTCAGAACTGAGCCACCCTTGTTCGCCTATTTGGGATTTTTGTTTCTATATTTTATTCTTCTTATTCTTTTTTTGTCTCGTCTTTCAACTCCGGCCTATCACTGTACCCCTCCGGCATTTCCACACGAAGTTCTCACATACAAGCAGTGATCTCACCAGCCTGCCTGTTTTGTTACATCACTTCTTTTTTCTTCTTTTTTTTTTCTTTCTACTATTTATTATTTCTTCAACGCAGCTTTGTATTTATATTCTTTCCTCTGCCCATTTATCTGATACCCCCTCCTCCTGTTTTCAGTATCTCATTATAAACGAGAAACACCAGAGCAACAACCAACAATCAAAGAGCAATAGCAAGCCAAGCCAACACGCGAGCTCCATCCAGTCTGCCGTCCTGTTCCTTTATCACGACTTCGCCATTTCTTTCTCGCCAACCTAAGATACAAACAAAGTGCCATCAGTGCTTCAGCATCGCCAAAATGTGTTATCGTCTCGTGGAGCGCTTCTCGGTGTGCGGATGTGTCTACTACAAGCACGCCGTTGATCGTTGTGCTGCGTACAGTCAGTCCGGTCATAAAGTCCAGGAGCGGACAATTCCGGTGGGCTACACTTGCGTCGATCACTCGGAGCCGCCACAAGGGGCATATAGCTCCGATGCCTACACATACTCGGACTCGGGTTACTACAGCAGCCAGTCGCACAAGAGCAGCAGGCGCCGGTGAAGTGTTCTGTCTTCGGTAATGGGGTGTCGTTCATCGACGATGTTGCCACCGTTTGAGATTTTTGAATTTTGGGCCTGGGTGCGGTATCTCTATTCCTTCCGGATGAGGCCATTTTCCAGTGTGCGTTCGCCGTCCCAGCTTTCCTATCTCTTTGTTGGCCACGATCGTCTCAAGTCAAGCTCCGCTCCGCCTTAGCCCAGCAAAACCTTCCTGGATCAGACGAAGGACATAGAATTCTTCATCAGAACCGGCTTGTTTCTCTTGGCCCACGCTCCTCCCACTCCTCAATGTCACTATTCTGTCCTCTCTCATTCTTTTTTCTTTCACCCCTAGCTCATCGTCGGCAACACAAAACGACGAACACCCGCTTGGCAGCACAGCTCGAACACCAACACCAACCATCCGTTGCCGAAGACACGACGAAGACAGCCTTGAGAAGAGACGCCACACACTGCTCTTTTCAAGACGATATGTAAAAGGGCCGACAACGTTTTTCGCATCTTGCAGCACAGTTCCCTCTTTCTGGTCCTCTGACTTTTTGGACACTTCTTGGCAGCCCTCTTTCCCTTTTGCTCCTTTATATTCACCATTTGTGATTTCCCCCTTTTGTGCTTTCTTTTCGACCTTCTTCTTTTTCTTTTTTTTATCTTTTTGGGAGCACAGCATCGCATCGGCCAAGGACATTGTGGACCAGCGTGATTTTGGGACTTGCATAGGGACGTGGCAGGACGGCTATCTGCCTCCTGCCACGCCCCCCGGATTTTCTTAATTTTTTCCTTCTTCATTTCTTGTGAGACGACCACCAGTGGTTTACATTACGACCCAGTGTGGCTACATTCTCCATCTCTATTCTCCCCCACTTGCCCAGCGGGTATTTCCCTTCTTTTCTCCTACTGAAGCGTTCAACCTCCCTACCACCGCTCGGGCTCGATTAGTCCATGCGCTGGGCAGGCGTTGTTTGTACCACTTTCTTATTCTTCTTTCTCTTTTTGTCTCTTCTTTTTCCTCTGTCCTTGTCTCTTCAGTGGCATTAGAGGAAAACGGTCTCATAGTAGGCGTTTTGTTTTGATTTTCTGGCAACTGGATATGGATTACGGATCGAAAAGTATGGTACTTTTAGGATACCACGGGTTTGTCTTTTATCGGAGTTTCTGTTTTCTATTTTCTTTTTTTTCTTCTTCTCATAGGGTTCCTGGTCTGTGTTTCTTTTTGGATTTCTTTTCCTTTTCACATTTGATGGGCATATTGGGAGCGATTTTGGCTGGGTCTAGCCTTTCTATTTTCTGTTTTCTTTTGTTCTTGATTTGTTCCGCGTTTTGCATTTCTGGCTGATTGTATTCATAATGTGCTGCTCTGGAAGCAGTCTCTCGTTTTGCCTTTTGCATCTTTTATGGCTTGGACGGCCCCTTCCTCCTTCTTGTTTTTCGCTTTGTTTTATTCTTCTTTTTTCCCTAACGATATATGGATCACGGAACGACAGGTCTTTGGGACGGAAAGTAACGTGCTGGACGGCACAAAGCGAAGGGATCATCTTGGGAGAATCAGAGAGAAGTGGGAAAGCCGCTGGCCGACTCGCTCACTCCATCTTTGCATTTCTCACCCCACTCCCCTCATTTGTTCTGCAGGTCATTCTACTTTCCTGTTCCTGTTACGATGGCAGTGCCACCGTCTCTCATTTTATTTTAGTACGCCAGCTTACGCAGACGGCCATGAGAAACGGGGATGACGGAAACGAAACTCGAAGCATCGAACGCAAACAACAAGGTCCGAGGTCGGAGGGGTCACCAATTTCGTCTCGCCTCTCACTCAAGTCTTTCTTACCACACGACAATTCTGGCAATTGGCTTTGGAAGGAAGCTTACCAACAAACCCCATCAATATAACTTTTAGTCTAGAACCAGATAAACCGTCCTGTCTTGTTCTGCTCCTCCCGTCTGCAGATTTTGTCGTCGTCTGGCTTTTCTGGTATTTGGTCTCTGGTCTTTCTTTTCTTTTCTACATCTGTCTCACGGCCGGTCCGTGTATGTCAGGGGGATTAGAACCCCAGGAACCGTCAGAATATGGTACCATACGGAAGACGCACTTCGGACGAAGGAGCTGAACAGTTGGACACTGAGCAATCAATGCCAAAAAATTTTCAAACAAGCTGTGTCGCTGCCAGCCATGCTTTTCTGGACGTGCCACATCAAGTATGACACTGTTCGTCTCACAGCCTGCTCCCTGCCTAATTTCTGACTCTCTAGATCATATAATCGCACAGCCTAGTTGACGGACCTGGCCGTCCTCGGCTTGCGAAGAGTGCTGCCGTTTTTCGAGGCAACGTCGGGCAGTGCTGCCATCTGCCTTGGTGGACTCTCGCCGTATTTTGCGGTGCTTCCGTCTGACTTGCCATTTGGTTTATTCTTGGCCTCCTTGCTGCTATCCGCGTCGGTCTTGACGGATCAAGGCGTGGGCGCCATTGTGTAGCAAAAACTCACGTTTAAGGCATGCATAAGGTATTAAAAATAACTGCAATGCCAGAACCGGCAACAGCGCGTCTGATTCAATCCTCACACAGCATACGATACACATTATGCACCACGCCACAGTACCAAGCCTCTTGTTTCTCCTCTTATGACTGTCAAATTGGGAAAATACACGGCGGCCTGATGGTCTTCCGTGCCTTTCTTTACTTACAACGACGATGCAACCAAGCAAGAGCCGGTGTCAGATCCCTCTCGGCTCCTATTGTATGATGCACTGGAGCGTTTGCCGCGCCTGTTTTCTCCTTGTGTTCCTTGGTGGTTCCCAGGTATCCGTATGCCCCTGGTCATGTAATCCACGAGGCATTTTATGCTTTTCCGGGCAGAAGGAAACAACGACAATAATAACAATACGTCAAAGTAAAATATAACCACAAGGCGCTGGACTGCCACTTAAGCGCGCCCAGCCGCACAGGCATAGCCGGATCTTAATTTATTTGCGTCTAACCTGTACTCGTCTCGTCTCGCTGTGCTGCATTGACATTTAGGGCTGGCTACGACCCTTGTCGTCAGTCCAGAATCGCCGCATCCAGTACTAAGATACTAGAATATTCCACAATGTGCACACAAGTCTCATCCACCATCGTTGCCTGGCCACCGCGAGATCAGGCCATCGGACACAGCCAGCTAAGGTCAGACCAGGCTAGTCATAGCCGACAAACCGCCTCTCCAGTGTACGTCTTTTTGTGTTCATGGTACCTCGGCGGGTGGCTCGTTCCGTTTCCTCAACTTTGACCACCTTGCACTCCCCCGGTCTGTGTGTGCATGGACCACTTACCCTCGCTGACCGGTATCAGATTTGTTGGACGCGGGAGATGATTGCACTCACTGTTTGCCCGTCTGCTGTCCCCCCCGCCATATTTGCTTTTCAAGGGCTCGTCCCTCGTGGCTTGTTGCGATGCTGGGGCTTATTGCACTCGTGGCGGCTCACCCACCGCCATTTCCATAAATAGATCACGTAGTTTATCATACGGGTTTGGCGAACCTGGGCAGAAGCTGTTTACACAATAAATCTCACCTCCAGAGAAGCCGTTGACTGACCGGTGGATCCCATCATAGTTGCATCTACAAGGGGTTTGTTCTAATAGCTTTCGTGTTTGTTGACTGCGTCAGATATCCAATGACAACAAACTTCGTAGCAAATCTGCAAGAACACAACAAGAACGCAGGAGCAGGGCAGAGAAGCGAAACTCCCAGCCACCTACACCTGCAGCGCTGTGTCCTCGCGAGCACCGTGCGTGCCCTTGCGCCAGGCTCGCTGCGGATCTGCCGTCGACGACACCGCCTTGGCCTTGCCTGCCGGGCCCCAGCCGCCGCCGCCCGGCGTGCACACAATAATGCGGTCGCCCTTGTTCATGGGCGCGCTGTTCTTGGCGCCCAGGTTGATCTGCCGCTCCTCCATCTCGACGTCCGCGTCGCCGTCCGCGTCCTTGTCGGCGGCCTCGCCTGCCTCCAGCCGCTTCAGGGCCACCTCCCAGCTCGCCTTCTCGACCCGCCGCACCCACAAATTGAGGCCACACTGCCCCGGCTCGCCGCCCGCCAGCCCGTACGGCTGGTAGACGCGCCGCTCGCTCAGGATCGACACCTGCAGCGGTATGCGGAACTCAATGTCGCGCACCACACCGTCGCCGCCGCGGTGCTGGCCGTTGCCGCCCGAGCCCGTGCGCAGCGAGAACTCCCGAAGCAGCACGGGGTACCGCCGCTCAAACACCTCCGAGTCCGTGATGCGCGTGTTGGTCATGTGCGTGTGCACGCCGCTCGTGCCGTCCCAGTCCGGACCGGCGCCGCTGCCGCCTGCAATCGTCTCGTAGTACCCGAAGCCCTTGACGGTGTCGCTGCCCGCCACATTGCCGCCGAATCCAAACGTCAGGTTGTTGCAGTCCCCCTGGCTGGCAGCGCACGCCTCAAACGCCTTGAAGATGACGTCCGTCACGCGCTGGCTCGTCAGCACATTGCCGCCCACAACGGCCGCCCGGTCCGACGGCGACAGCAGCGACTTGGCCGGAATCTTGACGGTGACCGGGCGCAGGCAGCCCTGGTTGAGCGGGATGTCCTCGGAAATCAGGCACCGCAAGCAGTAGATAATGGCGCTGTACGTCACGGCCTCGGGCGCGTTGATGTTGCCGTAGACCTCGGGGCCCGTCCCTGCGAAATCAAACACAGCCTCGCCCTTGTCGGCGTCAATCGCCACGCGCAGCCGGATCGGGCTGCCGTCGTCCATGTAGTCCACCGCCGCCAGGTCGCGGCCCTCGAACCGCTTGCTGACCTGCTTGAGCAGCGTGCGCACGCACAGCGCCGCGTTGTCCTGGATCGCCCGCATGTACAGGTCCACCGTGTCCTCGCCGTACTCCTCAAACAGCGTCTCGATCAGCGATATGCCCTTTTGGTTCGCCGACACCTGCGCCTTCAAGTCGTTGATGTTGTCCGCAAGACACCGCGTGCCGCTGCAGCCTGGATACTGGGCGGGCTGCTTGTAGAACAGGTCCACCACCAAGTCCTCGTCGAACCGCCCGCCCGCCACAATCTTGGCGCTCTTGACCGCCGCCCCCTCCTGGTACAGCTCGCGCGAGTGCGGCGGCATGCTGCCGGCCGTGATGCCGCCAATATCCGCGTGGTGCGCGCGCGATGCCGCGTAAAACAGAATGTTCTCGCCCTTGCGGTCAAACGCCGGCATAATGAGCGTCACGTCTGGCAGGTGCGTGCCGCCGTACGACGGGTGGTTGCTGATGATGACGTCGCCCTTTTCGAGCCGTCCGCGCCAGATCTCGGCCTGTCGCCGCACACACGTCGACAGACTGCCCAGGTGGACAGGCAGATGTGGCGCATTGGCCACGAGCGCACCGTCGGCGTCGAAGATGGCGCACGAAAAGTCCAGCCGCTCCTTGACGTTGGTGCTGACACTCGTCTTTTGCAGCGCGCGCCCCATCTGTTCCGCAATCGCCATGAACCGGTGGCCGAACACGCTGAGAAGGATGGGGTCCACCGCCTGGTCTTTTGCGCCATCGCCGGCGCTCGTGGCCTCCGTTTCCTTGTGGCCGCGCCCGTCGCGCTCAATGTCGATGATGACATGGGTCGCCAGCTTTGTCGCTGCCGTGCCGGGCGCCACCACAATCGTCTGCGTGCCGTCGGCCAGCACCGCCGGTCCTGTCACGCGGTCGCCCACCGCGAGGTCCTCGAGCTTAAAAATGGGCGTGTCCACGCGCCCGCCGTCAAAGTACACCCGGGCACGGTCGTGCCGCTTTGCGCTGTCACTGGCCTTGACGTCGCTGATCGTCACAGATGCCAGCTGCTCGTCCACCGTCTTCTCGTCGTACCGGAAGCTGCGCGCAATGCCGCGCACACGCACGTCGTCCACGATGATGTCGCGGTCGTCGAGCGTGAATCCAAACTCGTAGCGGTGGTGCCGCACAAACGCCTGCCCGTACGCCCACTGATCACCGCCAAAGTGCTCCTTGGCCTCATCCGCTGTCGGTTGCACAATCATCAGCGCCGACTCCGTGCCGCGGTACCGCATGTTGAGGTACTCTTCAAACACCATCTCGTCGTCCGAGAAGCCCTGTTCGCGGAGGGCGGCGCGCGACCGCTCGCGCAGCTTGTCCATTTTGTTGCGCAGCTCGCCCACGACGCCCTTGCTCTCGCCCTCCTGCCACACCTTGGATTCGGGCTGCTGCTGTTCGTCCACAACATCCGCCAGCGCCATGCCGTAGGCCGACAACACCGACGAGTAGCGGTGCACCAGGATCTGGCGGATGCCCAGCGACTGCGCAATCGCCACCGCATGCTGTCCGCCCGCTCCGCCAAATGTTGCCAGGCGGTGCTTGGATGGGTCGTGGCCCTTGGCCTCGGTGATTGAGCGGATCGGCCGCGTCATGCTCTCGTTGGCCACTGTCAGGAACCCAAACGCCACCTCGTCGACGCTCATCGTCTTGCCCGTCGTGGCCTCGCGGTTGATCTGGTCCGTAAGCTTCTGGAGGGCCGCCTCGCTGGCGGCCACGTCCAGGCCCTCGTCCTCGTTCTTGCCAAAGATCTTGGGAAAGAACTCGGGCAGCAGGCGGCCCAGATAGAGATTGGCGTCGGTCACGGTGGCAGGACCACCCTTGCGATAGCATGCAGGGCCAGGGTGGGCGCCGGCCGACTCGGGGCCGACCACAAACAGGCCGTTGCGGAAGAAGAGCATCGACCCACCGCCGGCCGCCACTGTGTTGATGTCCAGCTGCGGCGACTGGATCGTCACGCCCGCTGTCGTTGTCTCAAAGGTGTGGTCATAGCGGCCCTCGCCGTAGCGAGAGACGTCGGTCGATGTGCCGCCCATATCGAAGCCCAGCACGTTGATGCGTGTCTTGGGGTCGTACGACGTGATGGCGTAGCCGACCACGCCGCCCGCCGGCCCAGACAGGATCGCCTTGAGCCCCGTGAATTTGTCCACGTCGACCAGCCCGCCGTCGCTCTGCATGAACTCGCAGCGCGCTCCACGGCCGGCACCACTGGCCTTGTCTGCGTCCGACTTGTCCTTGACGCTCTTGCTGCCCAGGCCGCCGGCAAAACCCTGCTGGAAGCCGGCAATGTATTTCTTGATCGCCGGCGTCAGGTACGCATCAGCACACACGGAGGTGGCCCGCGACACGAGCTTGATCATCGGCATCAACTCCGAGCTCAGAGAAATGTGTCCAAAGCCAATCTCGGCCGCCACACGGCCAATCAGCGCCTCGTGGTCTGGGAACGTGTATGCATGCATCAGGCAAACGGCGATGCTACGGATGCCGCTATCGTAGACGGCCTGCAGCTGCGTCCGAATGGCGGCCTCGTCCGGCCGCTGCAGAATGCGCACCGTCTCGCCAGACACGCCCAACACAAGCTCCGTCTCGGGCAGTGAGGCTTCCGACGTACGGGCCTTCACGTGGGCCTCAGTCTGCCGCCGCTCCGGGTCCTCCGCGTAGTCCTCGAGTGTCACGCGCTCGTCGATCTCGACCACTTGCTCGTACAGCACGTCGGGCTTGCGGATGGCCAGGTCGAAGATGCGCGGCCGTGACTGGTTGCCGATCGCCAGGCAGTCGCGGAAGCCGCGGGTCACCACCAGTGCAATGGGCTCGCCCTTGCGTTCGAGCAGCGCGTTGGTCGCCACCGTCGTGCCCATGCGGATCGAGTCGATTTGTGCCGTGTCGAGTGCCTCGCCGCGTGGAATGTCGCGCTTCAAAAAATGCGCCATGATGCGCCGGATACCCTCAAGCGGAGCGTCGGCATAGTTGGCCGGGTCCTCGGACAGCAGCTTGATGACAATGTGCTCGCCGTCGCGACTACCGAAGCAATCGGTAAACGTGCCGCCGCGATCGATGGCGATGGAGATTTTGCCCTTGCGGGTGGATGCCATTGTACGCTGAATGGAGAACAAAGAGGAGGACGATAGAGGAAGATGAAACGGAGGAAGAATAAGAAGAAGCAGTTAAGTGGCAATAGTGACAAAAGTGATAAAAGTAATCCAGAAATGAGGTGTCGTAAACGCTTTGATGCTGCAGATGAAGATGCTAAAGTGGACTAAAGGCGATGAAAGTGGTGTTGATGCAACGACTCTCAACCTCGGTGATAGCAGCTGCCCATCTATATATCAATTCGCCGCGGGGCATCGTAGACGCTTCTTCTTTTCCGTTGTGCATCCCAAATCGCGATGTTTGGAAACTGAAAAATCGGAGAGGTTCAAAAGTTAATACATTGACGGAAAGGGAAGCCGGTGGTCAGCCCCGTGACGCATTGGTTTGGCTTGGTCGTACCTTCCCTGCGTATTTGTGAGGGAAAGTACTTTCCTCCTGCTCTGCCGGCAGTCAGCGGGTCCGTCGTGGCTTCCCTGATCGGACAGGTCTGCCGGAGCTCTTATCGCCGTATCGCCCCTCCATGCCTTCCTTATCGGATGGGGTCGATAGCGCGATTGCACAGCAAGAAGGTGCCAATGGTGCCTGCCTAAGTAACCCCTCGTGCTTTGTGATGTTGGGGCCTCTCAGGAATGCAAATGTACGCGAGTGGCTGCTTCCGCAATAGGCGTAAACATCATGTCCTCCATGCTTGCCTATTTTGAAACAAACCATTCAACGTCGTCCTCTTTGGTGGCCTCTTCTAACTCTCAATTGCTACTTTCGCCAGCATCCTCCATCCAACGAATCTCTCCTTTTTCGCATCGCCAGGAGCTTTGCCCTGGAGTAATTTTGGACCGGTATTACAAATACTAGGCGAGCACTGTGCGTTCGCTGCTCTCCCCGCGATATCTTACATACCGAATCCTTCGGGTACCAGCACTCGGTGTGGACAGAGAACCTGATCCTCTTCCGGTCCCGTCAAGTTTGCTTCTGCTGCTCTGCTGCCCTCCTTGCCCAGCATTGCCTCTTTCTTCCGTTGTCGTTGCTTACTCTCGACTGAAGCCTCTGGATTATTGCCCGGATGCACCTAGTATGCACCCTTCGCACTCGGGCCCCCGCTTCTGACTCATGCTGACGGCGACCGTTAGGATTCCACAGACTGCAGCTGCACGTCTTGCACGGTAGTTTCCAGTGGTTGACAGACATTCCGCCCGTTCTTACCGCTTACGGACGGCGGCTGTAGCCCTACACGTCCTGCTTCACTTGTGCAACAAAAGTATAAGAGTTTGCAAGGGTGCAGACACTCGACAAAGGAAAATCACGACACCCAAGGAGCCAATGTCATAATATCTGCGGCAGAACCTCTCACGCAATCCGACACTTTCTAGCACTATGGGAGGCTTCACCGACGAAGACTGGGCCAGCGTGTCCACGGAGCTGCCCACCACAGAAGATGCCGTCATCAAGCAGTATCTCAAAGGCCGCGAGAGCTTGATCGCTGAGGAGCATAAAAAGAGGAGCGGTATGTGCAGTTTCTCAGCTCGGCGTGCCTTGCCGTGTGCTCAAAGGCTCGAAGGCTAATCCATTCCCTACCAATCCCCCAATCCAGATTATGCTTTCCGCCAGGGACTCTCTCCCATTGCTCGGAAAGCATGTGCGATCGTTGACCGCATCCGCGCTGACGAACGCCGCCGCATCTGGACGCCGAAACTCGAGGAGAAGATTGCTACGGGCGAGGGAGGACCCGACGCTGGCCGCGATGACGGTGCAGGCATGACCCTCTACCCCGGCCAAGTGTTCACACATGCCAAGGGCCTAATTGAGCAAACCGCACTTTGGAAGATTGTACGCAAGCTGCCCAAGGGCTCCCTTCTGCACGCCCATTGTGACGCCATTGTCAACTTTGAGTTTGTTTTCAACGTGCTGCTCGAGACGCCGGGCCTGCACATAGTCGGCACTTCGGGCCCGCTGGCCACGCCGGCCCAGCTCGCCGAGCGTGTCGTGACCTTTCCCTACCGCAAAGTCGCACATCACGTTGTGACCGAGGCCGAGAGCAAGGCTAGCGGCGGCACCAAGAAGGCCAACCCGGCGCCCTGGGACCCGAGCTATGTGGCTGGCACACCGGTGCTGCTGACCGAGGCGGCAGACGCGTTCCCTGATGGTGGGCGCAAGGGTTTTGTTGCCTGGCTGAAGACACGCTGTACCATCTCTCAGCTCGATGCCATCGAACAGCACCACGGCCTCGACCACATCTGGGAAAAATTCCATAAATGTTTCATGATGATGGGCGCCATGATCCACTACGAGCCCGTGTGGCGCGCGTTCCTGCGCCAACTGATGCGCCAAATGTTCGACGACGGCCTGAGCTGGGTTGAGGTGCGCATCAAGTGGCCCTGCGACTACCACCGTGAGGGCAGCGAGGAGCCCGAGCCGGACTACCTGCATCTGTTTGGCGTGGCCGAGGAAGAGGTGGAGAAATTCCGCAAGGAGACCAACAATGCCTTTTGGGGCCTGCGCTTTATTTGGACCGAGCTGCGCAGTTTCGGCGCCCGCGCCATTACCGAGAATATGGACTACTGCATCACCACCAAGCTGGCCTACCCGCAGATGATTGCCGGCTACGACGTTGTGGGCCAGGAGGATCTGGGCCGTCCACTCAAGGACCTGCTGCCCGAGTTGTTCTGGTTCCGCAAGCAGTGTGCGGAGGAGGGCGTCAACATTCCCTTCTTCTTCCACGCAGGCGAGTGCCTGGGCGACGGCGACGATACCGACAACAACGTCTTTGACGCCATTCTGCTGGGGACGCGCCGCATCGGCCACGGCTTCAGTCTGTATAAGCACCCGCTGCTCATCGATCTCGTCAAGGACAAGCGCATCCTCATCGAGTCGTGTCCCATCAGTAACGAGATTCTGCGTTTGTGCGGCAGCATCCTGTCGCACCCGCTGCCTGCCCTGTTGGCGCGCGGCGTGCCCTGCGGCCTCAACAACGACGACCCGGCCATCCTGGGCCAAGACTTGGAGGGTGTCTCGCACGACTTCTGGCAGGCCCTTCAGGGTTGGGAAAACCTGGGCCTCGCGGGTCTGGGCTCCCTCGCCGAGAATAGTGTGCGGTGGTCGGCCTTTGAGGACGAGACCAACGAGGAGTGGACACAGCACATCCGCGAGGCGTCTCTGGGCAACAGCATCAAAGCGCAGCGTCTCAAGGAGTGGAGCGTGCAGTGGGAGAAGTTTTGTTTGTGGGTTGTGACCGAGTACGGCGAGCAGTATGGAGACGACGAGTAGCCGATGGTCTCAGAGCGAAATGTAGTAGGCTATCTATAGATTGCGATGCTGTTCTTATTGGGTCTTTTTCGGGTTTCTGTTACTGCTGTACTTTCACCAAGGCGTGTTCACTGGGATGGTTCAAGGAAAGCGTAACGACATCGCATTCAACATGAGCGCATTCAACATGGAATGTTACGGAGCGAATACTGTTTACTGTTGGACTATCGTTGTTTTGCATATTTTGCAAAACTTTACTTTTTCACTTCTTCACCTTATCATTTCAAAAGAGTTCTCGAAAAGGACTGTTTTCAAATTTTCGCTATATATGTTCTCATAAACCGCTAGCATTGCTTATTTCCTTCATAGAGTGACATTGTCAAATGTAGCAATATAACTAAAAGAAAAAAGAGAAATGATTCGTACTCGTCAAATCGTATTTTTACTCGCGGCGAGCACGCTCCGCCTCGGACTGCTTCTGGATGTCGACCTCAGCGCCGCGCTGCTGCGTCTTGCCCACATCGTGCTGTCTCTGGTACTCAGCCTCGGCCCCGGTGTTGCCCGTGAGGTTTGCAACGCCGCCGCCGATGGTGCCCTTGACGCGGTCTGCCGCGCCCGAGACAAAGTCGTTGACCTGGCCACGCGCCTCCTGCTCCTGGCCTGAGCGGTTCTGCTCGCGGCCGGCCGACTTGAGCGACTCGGAGCCGACAAGGCCGCCAATGGCCTCCTTGGCCGAGCCAATGGTCTGGTTCCAGCTGCCGGTGGCGCGGTCGGGGTCGTCGCGCGTCACAGCGCCGGCCGACGATGCGGTAAAGCCGGGGCCCTTGACGGTGGCGTGCGAGGCGTCGTACTCGGCCTTGGCACCCTCCTTCTTGGCGTCGCCGGCGTTCTCCTGGCCAGCACTGCCCGTCAGGTTGCCGATGGCGCTCTGGACGGTGCCGACGGCGGAGTCAATGTAAGACTGGACCGTGGAGGGGCCGTTGTTGTTGGTGTTGGAGGAAGACATTTTGGGTTGGTGGGGTGGGTTTGTTGTAAAAGGGTGAGGATTTTGTTGATTGTTTGCCTGAGTGTCTGAGTGTCTGAGTGAAGGTTTTGAATGTTGGTTGTGTTCGAAGAGGAGAACTGACGATCCAAGAGGGGAGAAAGTAGGGACTTATATAGTTGACAGACGCGTCTGACTTGTCAGGGGCAAGCGCGACCCTTGCGTGAGCTTCGTTGGCGATGGCGACTGACGAAAACGTGCAGGTCCGGACCCCTAACTAGACAATGACAGGTGTAGCGTTCTACCGACTTTACTAGAGACAGTACTTTGATCTCGATGTTTGTCCAAAACAGGAAGTGGCTTTCGCAAGTGCGCGACAGGAGAGAAAGGTCAGCGCGAAGACGATGACGTCATATACTTTTCTGTGCCCTTTTTACAGTGGGCTTTGGAGGGAGCCCCGCAGCGACCAGACCAGCTATGATGTCACTGTAAAAAGTGCACCCACAACATCCACGGCCAAGCTCCCATAATAGGCAACTGTACATGGTAGAGCCACGTCCTATGGATTGAAACATGTGCGGATTGCGAAATAGATTGCTTCACGTCCTCCGTCACATTCGATTGGCTTCTTCGCAGTGGAGCGGGCATGTGGCTCGGAGATTGTCGCGATCGAAGTGCGTGGTGCTGTCCCTGAAAATCAGCCGTTGACGCTAAACTGTGATAATTTACAGGGCATTCAGGGTCCGTTTTCATGGCACATTCTGAGTAGTCAACGAGGTGCGACGTATTGTTAAGGCTTGTCAGTCGATTAAGTCTCCCCGCCCTTTGGACTATAGACACCAGGTGTTCACGAAAGTGCAGCTTATTTTCAGCATTTGCCAAGTGAGATGGAAGGGAATAAAATAGTACATTAGACAGAGAGGAACGTCAGATATGTTCATTCTATCATCTCCCTGTCTGGTGGGATGGCCGTTCCACGAGAGAAAGTAGTGGGCAAAGACAAAACCTTCATGAAGCATAACCGTAAGCATGACAATGACCGGCCAAAGGGCCATAGGAGAGATTCCAGCCCAGAAACAAAAAGGTAGTAAAAGAAAACAAGAAGCCGCCGTAGACAGTCTTCAGGCATGTAGGTTTCATTTTCGTAGCAACTCTCGGCCAGCCTTGACACGCAAACGCAACCCGTAAAGGCCCGTGACGAATCGTAAAGTACCGTAACGAAAATAAGAGCACGAACAAATGAACATCATGACCAGAGCGAAAGTTCGCCGTTCAGTTTAGTGGGCGGTCCACTGGATCGAGTCGAGGTCGATGCCGTCCTGCACCATCTCCCACAGCGGGCTGAGCTCGCGCAGGAAGCTGACACGCTCGCGCACCGCCTGTAGCACGTAGTCAATCTCCTGCTCCGTGGTGAAGCGGCCGATTCCAAAGCGGATACTCGAATGAGCGCTCTCGTCGCTGTTGCCGAGGGCGCGCAGGACGTAACTCGGCTCGAGGGAAGCGGACGTGCAGGCACTGCCCGAGGACAGGGCAATGTCCTTGAGGGCCATCAGAAGAGACTCGCCCTCGACGTAGGCAAAGGAGACGTTGACGCAGCCCGGGTAGAAGTGGTCACGGTCGCCGTTCTGGGACGTGTGCTCCATGGCCAGGAGGCCGTTGAGCAGACGGTCGGAGAGATACTTGATACGCTTGGAATCGTACTTTTGCGTGTTAGTCAGATCGCACACAACTTGAAAGCAATGCGAATGGAAGGCAGGGCAAGACAGAAACAGAGGAGCAATAAAGCAAAAAACACAACGCAGCAAGCCCAAGCAGGCTTTAGATCAGACGCAGCTCAAATTCTCAACATGGTTCTTCCTCAAAGAGGAACATTCAGAAAGCCATGCATGTTTAAAAGCAAATCATCATATCGAAGGGTAGGGGCAAGAGCCAACAAAAAAAAGAGCAAACAGAGCCGATATGAAATGGTCATGGCCATTAGTCCTGGGGAGAAAAAAGGGAACCTACCGAAAACTCTTCGTGTGCGATGCGGCACGCCTCACCGAAGCCAACAACCAGCGGAGGGGCCAGTGTGCCACTGCGCAGACCACGCTCCTGGCCGCCACCACTGATGATGGGGTCAAGACGCACGCGCGGACGACGGCGAACGTAGCAGGCGCCGATGCCCATGGGGCCGTAGATCTTGTGCGACGAAATGGACATGAGATCAATGTTCATGGCGTTGACGTCGAGGGGAATCTTGCCGACAGCCTGGGCGGCGTCGCTGTGGAAGAAGACCTTTTTCTTGCGGCACAGGCGGCCAATCTCGGCCAGCGGCTGGATGACGCCAATCTCGTTGTTGACGGCCATGATGCTGACCAGGGCCGTCTCGGGGCGGATGGCAGCCTCAAGGGCCTCGAGGTCCACCAGGCCCGAGGCCAGCACGGGCAGGTAGGTGATCTCAAAGCCCTCGTCCTGCAGATGGCGACAGCTGTCGAGCACGCACTTGTGCTCGGTCTGGGTCGTGATGATGTGCTTCTTCTTGCCAGAACGGCCAAAGAAGCGCGCCACGCCCTTGATGCTCATATTGTTGCTCTCGGTAGCACCGCTCGTGAAGATAATCTCCTTGGGGTCGGCACCAATGAGACGAGCGACATGCTCGCGGGCCTCGTCAACAGCCTTCTCACTCTCCCAGCCGTACGAGTGGGTGCGGGAGTGCGGGTTGCCGTAGATGCCGACGTAGAAGGGCATCATGGCGTCGAGGACGCGCGGGTCGACGGGGGTGGTGGCCTGCATGTCGAGGTAGATGGGCCGCTGGCCCTCCTCGAGGACAGTCGCCTGCTTGAGGACCTCGGCCATGGGGCTGACGAGGACGTCGGAACCGGCGCCGGAAGTGGGCACGGGGACCTCGCCGAGGGCGTTCTGGAAGTCCTTCTTGTTGAGGTGGATGGCGGTCTCGATCTTCTTGGTGGCCTCGGCGACCTGGGCATTGTCGCGCTTCGACTCGGACACATACGTCCTCCGTGCCTGTGCAGGCGTCTGCGACTGTGACACAGCCGTCGTTGCTAGCCGCGGCCGTCCGCTGTGCATTCTCCGCAGAGCCGACGACGACGCCGAAGCAGCCGGAGCCGATGGCCGCGCGGCAAGGCGCGCGGCCTGCCTTAATAATAAGGCTTGGGATGTGATGCAAGGCATGGTGATGGATGTGATGGCGATGGCGATGGAGATGGGACAGGACGTAGAAGAGAGAGAGAGGGAAGGATGAAATGAAGGGAGAGAAAAAAAGGAGGAAGACCACAACGGAGTCAAGGATCGAAAATGGAGATAAGGAGGCAAGGGGAGACCGGACGTATCAAAGGAAGGGCGTGAATTTGTCACGCCTCAGATGCAGTTTGCCTGCACGCGTTTCTTTGTTGCTCACCTACTCCGTCTGTCCTGGTGGGAGGAGGTGTTTTTCGCCTGCGACGCCGATTTTCTCATTTTCCCATTTTTCCCGTTTCCAACGGGCAATTCAGCTGGGGAAAGGACACTCGGTGATAACATCGGAGCAACTTTGCCACTGTCCGATTGGACGAATCAGGTCAACAGATCCCATTGTGGGGTGCTTTTCTGCCGGTGGGTCTGTTCTCGTTTTGTCAGGGCGGTCAGAAAGCTCGCTCCTGCCCCGCTTCAGCTGTCTGTCAGTGTTCGTGGGCTGGACAAGGCGAAGTCGCTCTGTAGACCAATTCGGCAAGGGGGAACCTGCGATTACTGAGTGTGCACTGTAAGGCACGATGGAGTGCACATCAATGGCAATGAATTGCGACTAAACAGACAAACAAAGAAAACAGTCAATCTACAGTGAGAGGAATGTGAAGAGCCATTCCCGTCTAAGCTGGTCCGACTGAGCATCGCAACGGTTCGACATCTCAATCCTCTTACTTGGCTTGTGTGTGTCGTGCGGCGTTGCAACGCCCTATCGGTACTTGGATTACTTTTATTCGCACAGTTGCTTTAACGCTTCGCATGCAGCTAACCGGGCGCTCTGTCTTGTCGGCTGCCAGCCAACCGACGCCTGGCAATCGCGACTTCCCGAGTGCAATGAATTGCGCCTGTCGCACTCAATCGGTTTCCAAATTGCTCCTTGGCTCTTTCCCGTAAATCACGCCTCTCTTTCTCTGTTGACGACGCATTGTCGCCCTGCGCCTTCCCTGCCCGCGGAGTGCCCGTCGGTTACGTCCTGCCCACTGCCACGATCTACGCCACTCTTACCCACTCTTCCACTGAAAGCCAAAAGACCCACTCGCCAAGCGCCGCAGAAAGCAAAGCGCAGCCAGAGCTTTGCCCACCCAGTCCATCGCTAGCCGGTAAACCGCAGGAGCGACACAGCACTGAGAAAAGCAATACACAACGTCATCAGGCCTTCTCCAGCGTAAATCGTGGGGAAGGTGCAAAAGAGCGCCGGTTTTTGGTGCCCATCCCCTCCTTCCCAGAAAGCCCCGAAAGGTCACCCAAAAACGCCCGCCAGCCGCACCAAACCACGCCGAGGCCTTTTGGCACTGAACCTGATTTTCTGGCTTTGGCCAACAGGCGCAATCTTCAAGGCAGCGGCGTTTCCTGGTATCGTGCCAACGTAAGTCTGGCTTCTGGCTTCGAATCGACCTTTGTTCACTTCGTGACGCATTCTTCACCCCTCGTTCAGCGTTATCACTACATTTTTTGCCCGTCCCAGCGTCTCGAAACGTCGCCGAGCGTTCCGATTATCCTCTGTTTCAATATCATCGACGACGTCGACGGCTTCGACGGCTTCGAAATATCCACAGCATCTCTCGCGACTCTCTCACGACTCTCTCTCACGGCTTGACCTTCCCCCCCGGCTCGTCACAATGAGCTTCAAGGGTTTCTCCAAGGGCATTGCCCGGGTACGTTGACTCTCTGGGCCGCTGCTCACAAAGAGACACAAAGACAGACAACTAACCGATCAGGCCCCTCAACAATTCCGGCAGAAATTCAACATGGGCGAGCAGACCAAGGACCCCATCTATTTGGATGCCGAGCGGCGGTTCGACGACCTCGAAGCCCAGACCAAGAAGCTGCACGAAGAAAGCAAACGCTACGCCGAGGCCATCAACGGCATGCTCACCCACCAGATCGAATTCTCGCAGGCCATTGCCGAGATTTACAAACCCATCAGCGGCAGCGTGTCGGACCCGGACTCGTTTATTGCAGAGGGCAACGTCGAGGGCATCCGCGCGTGCGAGGAGTACGAGGCCGTGGTCAAGGACCTGCAGGAGACGCTCAAGCCGGAGCTGGAAATGATTGAGAGCCGCGTTGTGCAGCCGGCCGACGAGCTGCTGGTCGTCATCCAAGCGATCCGCAAATGCGCCGTGAAGCGCGAGCACAAGAAGCTGGACTACGACCGGCACCGGGCGGCGCTCAAAAAGCTGCAGGACAAGAAGGAAAAGTCTCTGAAAGACGAAAAGGCGCTGTACAAGGCGGAGGCGGACTTGGAGCAGTCGACCCAGGACTTTGACTACTTTAACGACTTGCTCAAGGACGAGCTGCCCAAGCTGTTCTCGCTCGAGCGCCAGTTCATCCAGCCACTCTTCCAGTCCTTCTACTACATGCAGCTCAACGTGTTCTACACACTGCACGAGAAGATGCAGCAGGTGGACATTGGCTACTTCAACCTGACGCTCGACGTCCAGGAAGCCTTTGACATGAAGCGCGGCGACATCCAGGAGCGCACCGAGAAGCTGTCGATTGTCAAGTTCCGCACCACCGGCGGCCGGCGGCCGGGCCAGCCGCCCAAGTCCAAGTACGGCAACCGGTTGGCGATTGAGGGCCGCAAGGACCGGCCACTGGCCATCACGCAGGGCCCCAGCTCTGGCGAATACGACTCCGCATCGCCGCCCGGGTCGCCCGCCACCGGCAACACCGCCACCTACCCCTACCGCAGCCGCGCCAGCTCGTCCGCCGAGCACCCGCCGCCGCCGTACTCGGCCGAGGTCGACAGCAGCAACAGCATGACCAAGTACGGCAGCCACGTCGGCAGCAGCGCCAGTGCCCTCGCTGCCGCCGCCAAGTCCAAGCCGCCGCCGCCAAAACCCAAGCCGCAGCGCCTGAGCGCCGTGCCCGCAGCCGAGACGGCCACAGCGCTGTACGACTATGCAGCGGCACAGGACGGCGACCTGAGTTTCTCGGCGGGCGACGTGATTGAGATTGTCACGCGGTCCGACAATGTCAACGAGTGGTGGACGGGCAAGCTGCAAGGCCGGCAAGGGCAGTTCCCAGGTATGTCTTCCATGGTGTGTACGTATGTCCCTAGTGTTATGATTTAGCAACTGACGTCTGTTCAGGAAACTATGTGCAGGTTGACGGTTAGAAGCCCCGAAAGCCTCGCTAGCTGGCTTGTCTCATACTTTACATTTTTATTCGTTTGCGCTGCTTTGCTCTGCAATTATCATTTCCACGGTCATCGTAACGGATGGAGTACAATATGCCATATAGATAATACTCGTATACCAAAGGCTTTTGCATTTGTTTGCCGTTCAGTCGTCCTACTTTTCTCGGTTGTGTTGTTTGCGGTGTTCTCTCGTTTCACTCCTTTTGTCTTTTGCTTCGCAAAGCATAGCCGCGGACTTGGGGTGGTGATGGTCGAAGACAGAGGGAGGAGACGAACCATCACAGACGCACAATTACAAAAATATAAAATAATACCGCAAGACTCTCCACAGCCCCCATGCGTCTCCATGTCGACCATGGGCTAGATTACACGCCACTGGCGTTCAACTCTGTCGATCGTGGGGGACAGAGCCCGAGACCGAGAAGAAGACGCTGCTAGTATCAAAGCACCAGGCTCAGAACACGCTGCTGCCGAGATACTCACCCCCATGCGGCATATACGCCATCTTTGTGCCCTGCATAATGAGGTGTCTTCCCCACGTACACTGCAGATGCTGAGACTTGTTGGGGCACCTCATGCAAGACGCTGTTTTGGAAAGCCGCTCGAAAGTCAAAATGGGATCCAAAATCCACGGTACGCGGGGCGAAGACGCATATCTGCACATTTCGGGAAGCCCAAACGGGCAATTCTACAATGATATTCATGGAAAAGATGTCCGCATTGCCATGGACCAGCCAGTTTGCGTAATCAAAAGAAAAGGGTTGCCTCCAGACTGGAGCCTGAAGAGGGGGCCTCGATACAAGCGGGATGCACGGAAGCTCGACAAGGCTGAGGCTCTCTGTCCAGTCGGCGTCATGGGACTGAAAGTGAAGTCTTTCTCATGGGTGGGGTGGGTTTACGTATCAGTTCAAACTCGTCCGTGCGTCGAACGTAGCCTTTATTTTCGTTTCTTTCTGTGCTTTATATCGCATTTCAGCTCTATGTTCCTGCCTTTGCATAGGCCGTATGTCCTTAAAATTGTCCGGTGGGTAGTTCTGTGCGCAGTTCGGAAGGAAGACGGTTTGTAAATAAATCCAAAGAAGGTTAGCATTCTGTCATTTTAGGCATACCATCTCAGTCTTTCAACCTTGCATCGTTTCTCTTTCAACAACAATCCTTGCTGCAGCTCCTACGCCTTCTCTAGACAGTATGGCATGGCGTGCCCAACACGGAAGCCAAGGGAGCATGCCGTAATTCGTATCAGCGAGGAAGGGAAATACGAGGGGTACGGCGGAGATAAAACACCAACATAAACAATTTCACTCCAACCGTCGTCCGATTCCGCCTCGATTTCAGTCCTACCTCTGTCTGCCTTTCAGCCTCACTTTTTTCAACAGAGGAAATGTCGAGCCAACCTACTCGCCCGAGGGCCAAACAACAGTACACACGTTGCCCCATATCGCAGCCGGCCTGCCCTGTGTCATAAAAGAGGGGCCCCAGCTTCCCCCAACCCTCGCCTGTCCGTTCTGTTCACTCCTTCACACCTTTTCGTGTCGTCCCTTTTCCACTTCTCTGCATTGTTGGAAAGTTATGAGCTATGTCATGCAAAAAAGGCAGCAAAAACATAATGATATTTTAAACGTCTCATGGCATCTCTCCTTTCACCCTCTCCGTTCTCCATAACGTATGCAACTGTAAATGTCACAATGGCCCACTGTAGCCCCCTGTCCGGCTCCGTTTGTGGTAAGAAAAATCAAAACCACGGCCGATGGCGCGGTACATAGGCTCGACGGACGTGACCCAGCTCCGTTGAGCCTCTTCCTCTTCGTCCACATCCATGGGTGACAAAGGACGAGAGGGACGAGGCGACAGCAGCACGGTGTCCTTTCCTTTTCCCCTCTCATCGGCCACTGTTGTCATCTGACTGTTGAAGTCGATGGCTTGACAGTCGATGGCCTGCGAATGGCCTGACTGGCTTTGCTCCACCTCTCCCGCATCGTGCTCCTGTTCCTTACCCAGGTCGCACAGCTTGCGCTTTCTGCTAACAAGACAAGCCGGCCGAGGCAGCCCCTCCTCCTCTGCTCCGCAGTCTTCCTTGGCATCCGTTTCTTCCTCCCCCCACCTGTCCAGCCCCGGAAGACACAGTGTAGGGTCGAAACTGACGACAACAATGGCCTGCCGCGTGCCAACCTCTCCGCTGCCAGTGCTGGTAGTCGCGTAGACGAGCACCCGGTCGTCCCACGAGGTCGCTGTGATGGCGCCACAGTAACCTGGCGGGTTCAGGGTGTCATTGAGCGCCTTTTCTTGTTTGGTGGGGTTGTTGTTGCTGTTGTCGCTGTTGTCGCTGTTGTCGCTGTTGTCGCTCTCGCCTTTACCATACGGCCGTGGCCAGGTCACCACGTCGCGGTCCACGTAGCGCTTCTTGATTTCCCGCATTGGGTATAAAAGGCTGTCCCCTCCTTCGTTGTCGGTGTCATTCTTGTCGCTTTGCACACGCGTCCGCCGTGTGCCTGCGCGCAGGACCAGGCGGGGGCGGCTGGCCAATGGGTCCGCCCAAGCAGGCGTGTTCTGGTAGTAGAGATCCAGAAACGTACGGCTTCCCGAGCTGTACACACGCGCGCCACAGCGGCTGAGCGTCAAAGGCATCATGCGCGCGGCATCGTCGCCGGGGTGAACGTGCTCGGGGCGGCGGGCCAGTTGCGCTGCGGACCGTCGCTGTATCCTGGTCCCGTCTCTTGGATTTGGATGTTGATCTCGATTTTGATCTCGATTTTGATTTCGGGCCTGGCTCTTCCACACCAGCGGCTGCATGTAGTATGTCCGCCTACTGCTGCTCGCGCCGCTGACACGCAGCCACTCCTTGCGCGACTCGACGGCCATAATCTGCCCCGTGGCTTCATTCTTCTCCAGACGCAGCGTCGTCCAACGGTCGTCCACGGGGCCCTCGTCGTTGCGCCGTCGCCACAATGATGACCGCGTCGGGGTTTCACGGCGCTGCGGGTCGCTGAGTAGGAAGCGCTCGCAAGTGTAGTACGACGACGGCGCAAAAAGGCCTGTTGCGCGGCCCGACAGCGCGTTAGTGCTGGTGCTGGTGCTGCTGTTGTTCTGTTCTCCATTCGCATCGGAACCAGTGCCCATATCACCAGCTTCGTCGCCATCCTCCTCCTCCTCATCTTCCTCGCCGTCGTATCGGTCGACATCAGTGTTGTCCTCGTCCAAGTACCGCTGCTGGTTGGCCAGCGCGTAAAAGTAGCCGTCCAGTACCTCAAAGCACAGGCTGCTGCCCAGATCTGCCAGGCCAATCGAGTTGTCGACAAAGATGGCCTTGGTCGACCACGCGTCGTCCAAAATACTGTAGTGCCGCAGCACCCAGCGCCGGTGACCGCTGTGCGTCGGCGTTGACGCATTCGCTGCCAAGCTGCTGCTTCCATGGCCACCCAGGCCCTCGCCGTCCGTGTCCTGCTCGGGAAGCCGTCGGTTCGTATACGTGCCAAAGACCAGGTACTCCTTGTTGTTGCGGACAAACAACCGATGATGCGGCAGCGCCAGACGGTGGCTGCGGCACCATCGCGTCACGGGGTTGAACAGCACCAGCCAGCTCTCCTGGTGGCCCGTTCCCGGCACGCGGTGCACGTAGACGCACGACACAATACCGCTGGAATAGTGCAGCGGCCGAAAATGGAAGTTGCGCTTGCCATGGGACGCCGGCACGGCCTCGTTCAAGAGCCGCCGCACATGGACCGTCATCTCTCTACGGACCGTCGATCCGCCGTGCAGCGGCAGAATCCGCAGCGTGCGGCCGACCATGTAGAGCAGCGTCTGGCCGGCATAGACAAATGGCGGTGCTGACGCCGGTCGGACATAGGGGTTGCGGGTATACCCGCCATTGCCGGGTGAAGTGGAGCCGTTCCCGGCGACACTCCCGCTGCGGCCGCCGTAAGTGGGGACGTCCGCTTCAGCGACCACGGCGGCCGCAAACGGCTGCAGATGGGCAATCGCCAGATGCCGCTTGGCGACCGCTCTCAGGGCAGCGGCAAACTGCCATGCCGGACGCATGCGAACGCACTCGTCTGAAAAAGGCAAGTGTCTCTGTGCTGTCAGAAGGTGCACAAGGCGAAGGAGAAAATGAAGCGCAAAAACAAGAGTCAACAAGCTGACTGACTGACTGACTGACCTCCATGAGCATACGGCAGATGCTGTCGTCTCGCATAATGTCGCGGAAAAAGCGGCACGACCTGCTCAGCTCGAATGCCTCTTCCACGTCGAGCAGCTGCACAATGTTCCAAATCAGCTCATTGGGCAAGCGAGTGATGGATGCCGCCGAGGAGAACCGAGTGACCGAGCACATGGCGAGGCTCTTGAGGCCTCTAGAGGCAGAGCGGCCGACAGGGAAGTTGGGCAAACGGCAGCGGCGACGACTCTGTCCACGGATGGACACAGGGAAGCCGTAGTCAACATTTGAAAGATCAAGGTGAATTTAGAAGGTGGAAATAAATATAGAACGTGGACATGTGCTCATGGAATGGAGAGCAAAAGTAAATGAAGCGGCGGAAGAAGAGGAATGAGACGCATTTAAATACAAAGGTCAAAGGGATGAGAAGGGACAAAGCGCGCTACCGCGCATGGGGATGTTAGTGGATCGGCGGCTCTTTTCTTCTTTTGTTGGGCTTTTGTTGTTACTCCTTTTACGGTGTACTGCAGCTTGTACTTCGACAGTCGATTGCTTGTATTGACCTGCTTCCTTTGAATTTTTCTCGATTATTTCATAGCAGCATACAGAACACCTTGCGTGGCACCCCGCCAGAGGCCAGAGCACCAGAATCCGTCGCCCCGGCCGCCTGAATGTGGCGAGCTTGAGGCTCTCTGACAGAAACGACAAAAAAGTATACTTCGATCATATCAGATATATTATTTACCCCACTCACATTCACGTCTGTTGCTCCTTTTCTTTATTTCCATGTTGGTCGCTTGGTTCGTTTCGTTTGTCGGTCACTTTGGCACCCCTGTCGTTTGTCCCTGAAGTGAGGCTCTGCGTTAATTACTACAAATATATTCCCCCGCCAAGGCCTATTATTATCACGGCTCAGCGAGGGGCAAACAGCCTTGATCCATGCCCATCCAGGCATAACCATCTCTAGACAGTCCTAGACGGACAAAAAGCGAAGTACGGAGGGAGCTTGGGCTCAGCGCTCCAGTCGACAGAAAATAATGAGGCTCAAAATATGACTGCTGCCCTTTTTGTTTCTTAAGCGTATCGCATTCGGGCCTTTCCACTTATTTTGTCTTTCCTTCGCCTGCCTTTCGTGTCCCTCCATAAGACACAAGCCCTTTTTCGGGCGTTGGGCAAACCCTGTTTTCAAATATTAACGGTGTAAAGAAAACAATCCCATAAAAAGAGGCACAAGACTGTTGGACTCCCGTAGCTCTCCACAGCTTTCGTTATTGGTCACTTGTATACTTCACACCCTCTGCAATTGCAACCACCATCGAGACCCAAGACACACGGCATGTAGGACCAGGTGTTCGTGTGAGACTCCGCGCTGCACGACATGATCTGTGACAAAAACAATAACAAACACCTTATCACACAAGCTCCAAAAGCCGTTCCCGAGCCATGTCGTCTATATGCGCCACGTCGGCGTCGATGATTACTACGTCTTGTTGAATGCGGCTCCGTACCGCCGTTGGCCGCCCTGTTATAGCTTCTGGGGCCTCCTCTTGCCAGATCGTATTCCTCAGCTTGCCACTCTGTTGGCCTGTCACGCTACCATGTTCCGTTGCGCCTCACGTCGTCTCACAGCATGTCACGGCGTGTCTCTTGGCCTGTCAGCTGCGTCAACTGCAATGTATTGGAAGCTATTAAGTAATCGGTCGGGCAACGGACACAGAGTGTGTGGCCGATGGAGGTCAAAAGTCCCAGTAGGGAGAAAAGGGGGACAAGGTGAAAACGACAAGGAGGCAGCCTCCCGGTTCAGCCTTATTGGCCACTTCAACCTCGGACCGGTCAACCACCAAGCGACCTCATTACTCGGCAAACACGGTGGCACAGGGGGTGCGGAGAGTGCGTGCTGTGCAGTGCGCGATCCGAGAGGGGGACGAAAAAAAAATTCGTAAATAAACAATAGACAAAAAGAAAATGCCCCGAAAGAAAGGCGACAGAGCCGCACCAGTCCCGCAGAGTGCGGAATAGCAAGGACGTGCCTCGTGCACCACACGTGCAGGGAACGTCTGCGTGGCAAGTATTACGTCGTACCAGAAAATGCGAAATGGTGGGTGACGACGTGATGAAGGGGAAGAGTGGGAAGAAGCCGCTCTGCCTTTGTCGCTTCCATCGTCGATCTGCCAGATATTTCAGGACGGCGGCACAGAAGGAAGGGAAACGGTCCAGACCGGGAGCATTATTAGCACAAGGCTTTCGCGGTTCCTCTACAAGCGAGACAGGCGAGCCACATAGAGCCGCATGTGGAAACCTCCAGCAGGATCCGAGGAGGCATTGGGCCATTCTATTGGCTCATGACTCTGCGAGCCTGGCTTTGGAAGTCGACACCGCCATTCTCGTCGCTTGTGGTCCTTGCCAGGTCTTGTCAGCCTCATGTTTTGGCCCTTTATTTCCTTGTGGAGATTGGCTTCTTCTCTTTTCGTTTGAATTTTCTTGGTTTTCTATTTTCCCCCTTTCAATCCTGTTTCTCTTTTCCTTGTTTCCTACCCTTGGCTTTTTTGGCATAGATTGCTGATTCCATCTCTGTGTTGACTCAAGCCAAAATTCATAAGCAAAGCGTTTACATTTCCCCTTTCAAGTTGTCGATTCGAAGACAATTTGCACCGCTCGGAATTGCCCTTTGTTGATTGGGCTGATTAGCGGCAACTCGAACGTTGCAATTCGTATTCTTAGCATTAGTCTCTTCTTCCTCTGTTGTGCGGAGTAATTACTGCGCAGTCGCCGTATCGAACAACAGTGGCATGTTTTCTTGTGTAAGCGGGGCAAAGGTAGCGCCCGACCTCGTGAATCCAATGGGCGAAGAGTCACTGGCACCCGGCTTACAAAACATCACACTCGTCACATTTTGTCCCACGCGACAGCAGCCAGAGCCGGTGCAGCCACGTTACAAACAAATTGATTTCTTTCTTTGAGCCTCACTTGCAAGAAACGAAAGAAAAACATATAAAGAACCAAAAAATCATGGGTGAGACCACGCGCGCGCCGGAAAGCCCGCTCTCGGGCGGCACCCAGAGCGGCGTTTCGGCCGATCCTTCACAGGGCAACACATCGACCAACCCAGCAGCCACCCCGTCAGCTCCTGTGCTCGACCTCTACGAGCCTATCACATCAGATGTGATTCTAGAAGTCCGCAGTGGCAAGATGAAGGCGCTCGAGGGCCTCAAAATCACGTCGGCCATTGACAAGGACCTGTGTACGGGCCGCGTCAAGGTGGGTTTGACGGGCATTGTCGACGAGTGAGTGTGCGCCCAAGTTGAAGCACGTATTTTTGTGCCCTGTCTAATCGTCGGCAGTGAACACGATTACACTTTTCATGGCGGCATTGACAAGGCCGTTCACGGGTGTAAGTCGCTCCTTCCGCCTGACCCGCCGTACCTGCCTCGCTCTCCAGACTGACCACCCAGACTGCGCTTCACACTACCCCACGTGGCAGCGGGAGTTCCCGGCGGCTGCCGCCCGCTTCCGCTCCGGTGGCTTTGGCGAGAACCTCGTCTTTGCGCACCTCAACGAGCGCAACATCCACATAGGCGACGTGTTTGCCGTGGGGCCCAAGATCAACGGCAAGACGCACACGGGCCTCTCAAACGAGGATCTGCAGGGCGACTGTCTCTTGCTCCAAGTCAGCCTGCCGCGCCAGCCCTGTTTCAAGCTCAACCACCGCTTTGGCTTGCGCAACTTTGCGCCCAACACGTGGAAGACGAGCCGCACGGGGTGGTACTACCGCGTGCTGCGTCCCGGAACGGTGCAGGCGGGCGACGAGGTGCGGCTGGTGCGGCGGCCAAACCCGGCCTGGCCGCTGGAGCGCGTGCAGGAGTATCTGCATCGGTCGCCCAACGAGATGGCCATGGTGGAAGAGCTGGCGGCGATTGACGAGTTCGGCGCCGAGTGCAAGAACCAGTTCAAGAGCCGACTGGCCAAGCATGAGGCGCAGCAGCGCAAGAAGGCGCGGCTGGCGGAGGGCGGCGACGGCAAACCGGACGACAAGTGGCTGCCGTTCCGCGTCGTCGAAAAGACAAAGCAAACACCCCGGATCGTGTCGTTTGTGTTTGAGGCGGTCGACCCGCCCAAGCCCGACGCCGAACCAAACGACGACGAGCTGGACCCCGGCTCGCATGTCAGGCTGCGGCTGGGCGGTGACGGCGATGGTGGGGATCAGAAAGACGGGGGCCTTGTCCGCTCCTATTCCATCGTCAAGGGAAACAAGCGCCGTTTCGAGCTCGGCATTGCCTACGACGCGGCCACGTCGCGCGGTGGATCCCGCTTCCTGCACGAGGCTGTCTCTGTCGGCAGCATTGTCCATGCCAGCGCCTTTGCCGCGGGAGTGCCCATCGTATCCGCCGCCAGCCACCACGTTTATGTGGCCGGCGGGGTCGGCATCACGGCATTTTTGGCCCATCTTGAGTCACTGACGTCCATCAACTACAGCTGCGTGCTGCACTATGCTGTGCGCAGCGCCGAGGAGGTTGCCTTTGCCGAGCGGCTCAAGGCACTCGGGCCGGACGTGGTGATTGTCTACGACGCGTCCAAAGGCCAGCGCATGGATATTGCCTCGATTGTGAGCAGCCTGCCGTGGAACGCCCACATTAGCTTTTGTGGTCCGACGCGCATGATGGACGCGGCCCTCGAGGCGACACGTGCGTCTTCGCTGAGCGACAGCGACGTGCACTTTGAAGCCTTTTCGGCCGACACGACGGGTGATCCCTTTGACGTTGTGGTGCGGAAGGCAGAAGACGCCTCCAACGGCGACAACGCAAACGGCGACGCGGGCGGCGCGCGGGCCAAAACGCTGCGGGTTGGCGAAGACGAAACGCTTCTGGAGGTGCTGCAGCGCGAGTTTGGTGTCGATGCAGTGGCGTCGTCGTGCGAGGTGGGCAACTGTGCGACATGCAAAGTCACTGTGCGCGCCGGACGCATCGACCACCGCGGCACAGCATTGACAAGCGAAGAGAAGGCTGCGGGCAACAGCATGTTGTCGTGTGTCAGCCGCGGCATTGGGCGCGTCGAGATTGAGATTTGAGTAGTATTTACGCACACGACAATACGTTTGTTAATATATTATATATTTTTGATTATACAAAGTGGTGTCTATGGTTTGTCGGACGAATCAATGTAGATCCTGGAGGGTGGACGTAGTCTAAAGTTCTTGTGCAAATGAGGCGGGTGAGGGCGGTTACTCGAACGTTTGGTGTTGCATCCGCAGTCGTGTTCCCATCTGCACCTGCACCTGCACCTGCACCTGCACCTGCACCCGCCTCGTCACGTCAGTCGACGTCACACCATATCTCACAACGGTGTAAAGTGTCGATGCCACAGCCATTTCCGTCGGACTGCATTACTGCCCAACGCGGTGGCGATCATCATCCATCGGCCATTCGCACAGAAGCACACGACATCCGATGGCCGCAACCCGACGGTCCTGTTTCTGAGACGTCGTGTGTTGGGGGGTGCTACTTCGTGCCCGTCACGGCAGCCGCAGTCCCGCTAGAGTGATTGGCTGCCCCAATTTCAGCCCCAAATGTTTGAGCAGGTGCAGAGACAGGGCCACCGGCCGTCTTCTCAGGCGCAGCCGGTGCACGCGCCAACACGGCCCCAGCGTCCATGGCAGAGTTGTATTTTGGCTTGGCCGGCGGACCGACACGAAACTCGCCCACACCGAAAGCGACACTGAGAGCGCCCACACCGCACCAGATGGATACTACCCAGGCCATCGTGGCCCAGCTATAGTCGGCGTGGATGTAGCCCGCCATCAAGCTGCCGCCGGCGCTGCCGAGGGCAAAGGCTGTGTTGAACAGGCCATAGCCAACGCCGTAGACGCCCTTGCTGCCCCAGACGCCCGGGTTGCGCTCCTCTTCGGCCTCGATCGTAAAGCTGATCTCGGCCATGAGCGGCACGTTGGAAAAGGTCAGAGCAACGCCCGCCAGTGACAGCAGCACGCCAAGAAGGACCTTTTGCTGGTAGGTGTTGTGGTCGACGAGCCGCAGGCACACAAGCAGCGGGACGAGCGCGACAAAGCCGACGAGAGAGAGCCACTTGGCACCCCAGCGGTCGGCGAGCACTCCGACGGGCGGCGACAGGACAAGCGGCGGGATAAAGAGCGCAAAGAAGATCAGGCCCGCAGCTGTCGACGACCAGTTGAACGTCTCCTGCACATACAGCGGCAGCACCGTGTCGTACGCCGTCATGACGCCGGCGTCAATCAGAATGCCGAGCAGCGCAAAGATCAGGCGGCGCGAGCGCAAAAGGATGCAGATGCGCTGAAAGGTGCTCTTCTCGGGCGGCGTCGGGGGCAGCCCGGTGTCACTCACATGGCTGACGACGCGGCTGGCATGGGCAACGGCGGGCGTGACGCCCGCAGCACCCCCAGCCGCCTCCTCGTCGGCGGTGGGCGGCCGCGGCAGATCGACAGGTGCCTCTGCGGTACATGCCTCCGCCTTGAGCCACCGGCACGCAATCTTCTTTTCGATCAGCAGCAACCGCAACAGAATGTCCAGCACAATCAGGCCAAACGCCACGTAGTACACGGCATAGTAGCCGGAGCCCGCGTAGACAGCGCCGCCAATCAGTGGCGCAAACAGCAGGCCTCCCGACAGCGAGATGGCCACATAGCCCATGGCGAGGCCGATGCGCCGGCCCATGGTATCGGCCAGCAGCGCAAGGCCCACGCTCCACACGACGGCGGCGCTGAAGCCCTGCAGGACACGGCCAGCAACGAAGACGCCAATGCTGCGGCCGACGCACAGCAAGACAGTCGCGGCGCCAAGCGCAATAAGGCCCAGCAGGAGCGGCCAGCGGCGCGACGAGGTGTGGTCAGCGTAGATGCCGGCAATGGGGCTGCCCACAAAGAGGGCAATGCCGTAGGTGGCGACAAGGATCGTGGTCCAGCGCTGCAGGTCGTCGTGCGGGATGCCGGCGCGCTCGGTCAGCGCATACGGCATGACGGGCACAATGAGCCCGTAGAGGAAGATGTCGGTGAAGATGGCAAAGCAGACACAGCCGACGATAAAGAAGGTCGACGAGCGATACTGGACACCCCAAGGCGGCTTGTCGGGCACAGAAGGCCCAGCCTCAGCCGGCCGCTGCCAAGGCAGGCATCGGCGAAGCGGTGACATGATGGTGTCGTCTGTCGCTCGAGGAGTAGGGAGCGGAGGATGTTGGTCAAAGGCTAGGGCAATTCAGCCATCAAGACCGTTCAAGGTATGGACAAGCAGTTGAGGAGGGTGGGCAGCTGCATCTCGGACACTCGACAAAGGCAAAAGAGCGAGCGAGAGAACCGATATAAGTGATCAAACGATGGGACACAAAACAGCGACGGCGAGATGTAAAAGGCTGAACGAGGTCAATTCAGCTTCACAATCGATTGGGGAGCGACCGGTTTTTCTCAGGCTGTTCGTATCATCATAAATGGGCGTTGTGTGTGCTGCCGAACCCGGCTCAAAAGTTGAACAATGTAAAAAAAAGAAGAAAAAAAAAGTGGAAATACGATGGAAAATGCCCCTTGGAGATTTCAAAGACGTCTTGCAGACGAAACAAAATGCAAACGAAACAAATCCGCGGGCGTAAGAACGGATCCGTAAGACAGGGACGGCGGCTAGGGTCCTAGGGGAAGAATGCGATGACAAAATGCCCCCGAGCTGAAAAATCAGCACCTCAAACCGTTATGGCACTTAAGCTATGATGTCCGGCGTTGCATCCAGTCTTGGAATTGCAGGCCGACTGCAAGGAAGGTTTTACCGTTTTGGGCAAAATAGATCGACCACTGGCGGCCTGGATGCTACGGCGGTCGCCCAGTGCATCTCGGCTTTTGGCGGCTTGGCTCACCGGCTTATAATTCGACAGTGCCATCCGTTATTGTTCATTTCTGGCGAGGCTGCGCGTCGATGTTTCGTAGATTCTTTCCGAAGTCGGAAATCGAGCGGTTTTCGGATTACAAAGAATACGCGCTGAAAACGCTGTTCAGTTGCGTGCGACGTCATTGCGTGTTTGTCCAAGCTATGGTGGATGTCGGTGTGGTGGGCCATGGCCAAGGCTGATGGGGTAAGAAAACTAAATGAAGTCAAAAACATCGACGTTCGAGATGCTCGAGAGGTTCGCGATGATGACAAACTTTTCTCGGCAGCCGTAAGACGTTATGGTCGATCGCACCTCCCCCGTTGTGAAACCAAAACGTCGAAATTGCATGTCGCTCCTTCCTTCTAGGTACTGCGATGTCGGGGGTGTTTGGCACGTGCCACTGGCCAGCCAGCGATTCTTTCAGCCACTGTAACGGCCCCACTGAAAAGTTTATCTTATCGCCGAAAAAGTTAACCGTCCCAAAAAGTGCACCAAAATGCTTCAGTCGTCTGGACAGACTTTTGCTTCGCCGTCAGTTGACAGCCTTGCCGCGAATCTCCGACACACACACACTCACCATGGCATCAATACCAAAATCCTTTGGCGATTATGCAGTTCTGCCCGTCCAGCTACCCCAGCTGCCGTCGCTAGCCCACCTCCCGCCCGCCACCCACTTCCTCTACGTGCGCCGCAACGCGCCCAAGATTGCAACGGCCGATGACGAGCGCAGCCTGTTCGTGGCTAACGTGCCCGTGGACAGCACAGAAGAGCACTTCCGGGCGCTGTTTGCGTCGCTGGTAGGCCCAGGCCGCTTCGAGTCCATCTCGTTTGAGGAGGAGCGGAGGCGAGCTGCCAAGGCGAGACCCGAAAACGACAGCGACGACGCCGACGCCAACGACGACAACTACGGTTCCGAGTCTGACTTTGACGATTTCGATGCTGTCCTGCCCCGCCAGGCAGCGAGCCTGGCCGATCTGCAATCGCGGAAACGGAAGCGGGAGGGCGGCCACGGCGGCAGAGGCGGCAGAGACGGCAACCAGGACGACAGCAGCAAGGCCGCAGCCAAGCAGCTGCGGCAGCAGGCCACGCTCCCGACAACGTGGCCACGCTCACTGCGCCGCAGTGGAAGCACGGCCGTGGCCCTCTTTGCGGATGCCAAGAGCGTGGACGTCGTGCTGAAGGCGGTTGCCAAAGCTCACAAAGGCTCGCAGTACCCTGAGTGGCCGTCCCTCGAGGGCTCGTCTCTCGGTGCACCCTGGCTGGCCGGCCACAACCGTCTGGCGTACCCGAACCGCGAGTCCCTGCGTGAGTCCGTGGACGCCTTCTTTGCGCTGTTCAACCAGCAGGAGGCTGCAGCCGCCGATCTGGCACGTCGCCTGCGCAACGTGCCCGATGAGGACGGTTTCGTGACGGTGACACGCGGCACGACGGGCGGCGGTGGCCGTGGCGTACCTGCTCGGCAGCAGGAGGCGGCGTCGGCACGGGCCAAGCAGCTCGCCAAGCAGGAGCGGCAGCGCCAGGACATGACCAACTTCTACCGGTTCCAGCTGCGCGAGCGCAAGAAGGAAGAGCAGCTGGATCTGCAGCGCAAGTTCCAGGAGGACAGCAAGCGGGTGGCGGCCATGCGGGAGAAGCGCGGCAAGTTCAAGCCCGAGGCGTGAGGCGAGGGCAGCTGACATGGCACAATATTTTAACGTGGTATGTTCTTTTGTGACTGTCGTTCTTTACTTATTGTCTTCGTCTTCTTTTATCCGCACGCTGCATGATGACGCCGCGGGGCCAGCGAAGCACGGGCTGCTCACGAAGACGGGCAACGCAAGATGCTCGAGTGTGCGGCCGGTGGCTGCCGAAAACATCCGCGTTAAACAACAATCTTCTCAACATCGTCTGAAGCCGCGTTGTACTCAGTACCGGATATCTTTTTCTTGGTTTTGTTTACAGGCCCAGGTCCCATGCTAACAAGACGCCACGGTGCATGGAACGCACAGACAGCAATATCGCCGTCGCGGGGATATCGAGCCTCCCAAGACCCAGCAACCCAATTCACGGGACGCGAAGCTCAGACGCTGTTTCGCCACGGACGGCTCGGCAAGAGAGCGGAGGCGACGTCTGTCTTCCGTGTGAGATGCGTCTGTCGTGGCGGTGGAGGTGGTTGTGTTGGCTGTAGTGGGAGGGGATCACTGGAACAACGCGGCTGCGACAGTACCTATCGCCCTTAGTGGGCGCTTAACCTGCATTAGGTTCGCTAACTGCCGTGTCTCGGATGGCAATCGCGACCATAAGGGAGCCTTTATTTACAGCCGGGCAAGAAATGATAGGCAGAGAAACCATTGACTCCAGCTGGTTCTGGTCCGCAGCCGATGCAAACAATAACTCACGAAATAAGGAGCTTACAATGCATCTATTTTGACTGCAGAGCGAAATGAGAGAGGAGAAATCCTACCGAGTATGTGGCGAAATGAATAACAAGAGTAAATGCGACGTAAACAAATGCCGTCACCAAACGACGACAGCGTGCCACGTGACGTGTCCGAAACGCTGGCACGCAGTGGGTCTTCCCGAGTTTCCACAGCAACACTAGCGCCGGCAGGAGCCAAAACGAAACAAAACACGCAGCTGCGGACGAACCGAGCATTGGCACCTGCCCTAGCTCGCTGTTTATGATGCAAGGGTGGAAGGAGCGACACGGAACAACAACAGACGAAGGACGGGAAGGTGCGCCCTGCAGAAAATAAGAAACTCCCTCGCCAAAAAAAAAAGAGAAAAGAAAAGAAAGAGGGGAACGCATCCAGGCACGGCACGTTATCTTCAACGCTCACCACACCACCACTTTCACCCACCACACATCGATTGCAGCTGCAAACTGCAAATCGTGCCTGCAGACTTTCGAAACCGTTTCGATACTTTTAGTGTTTCTGCTTTGATGCTTTCTTTCCTCTTGTTTTGATACCCCTCCAGCGACGAACCTCCCATGCATCCAAATTCGCCATGACAGATATTGAGAACCTACGGACGGCCTCGCTGTACATCAACAACCAGCTGCTTTCGCGCGGCTTGTTACGCGATGGCCAGGCCATTGACTTTGCAGACCCGGCGGGACGAAGCCGCAAGGGCAAGGAGAAGGCCGGTGATGCGACAGACGGCAAGACCGACGAAAAAGCCGGCGACAACACGGCTGACACCATGTCGCGCGTCATCAGCGTCGTCAACGACCTGATCCTGCGGCGAGACGTAGGTCTTGGCCCCTGCTGCCCTCTCCCTGTTGATCTTACTAACCATGCATGCAGCGTGACGCCGAACACCGCGAATCCCTCTCCACAGCCCTCCGCACCGTCCGTGCCGAATCGCTCCGTCAAAGCAACGACCTCCAGCGCGCCATCGAGCGACACGCTGAAGCGCAGCGCCGCGCCGACTTGGGCGAGGCGGCCGAGGCGAGCCTGCGGGCCCAGCTGGTGGCAGCGGACGCGGCGAACCGGAAACTGCGCGAAGAGGCCGCACGGATGCGGCAGCAGGTGGCACAGACGCGCGCGTCGTGCGCCAACGAGGTGCGCAAGCGAGACCGGCAGATTGACGGCCTGAAAAAGGCCGTGTCGGATGCCGGGCGTGCCCGCGGCGAGCGGCGGAGTTCTGCGATTACCACGATCACCATCTCGGGCGGCGATTCGTCTTCCTCGACAGTCCATCATCCACAGCACACGCCTCGATCGGCCCTGGGCTCGCTCCAATCCACACCGACGACCCGCAGCAGCGCGACGAACGTGGCTGCCGACGCGACAACCACCTCTGAATACGACCTGCGCAGCGAGACCAATGCCTTCCTGGCTGACCTGGCCCGCGGTCTCAGCGACGACAACGAGATGCTGCTGGACTTGGTGCGCCACACAAGCCGACGCCTCCAGGCCATGAGTGGTTACGTCCCGGCCGGGGAGGAGGACGCAAGGGGAGCCACGGGTGAAGGTGCGACAGCCACGAGCATGGTGGACTGCGCCGCGCTGGCAGCAGAGATGGAGGCCGTGCTCGAGCACCTGCGAACGATCCTGACGAACCCGTCGTTTGTGCCGATCGAGGAGGTGGTCCAGCGCGAGTCGGAGATTGGCCGCCTGCGCGACGGCTGGGAGAAGATGGAGGGCCGGTGGAAGGAGGCCGTGCATCTGCTGGATGGCTGGCGGAAACGCATGGCTACGAGCGGGCGGTCAGTCAACATGGAAGAGATCAAGATGGGCCTGCGGCTTAGCCCGGTGCGCGTGCGTAACGTTGCCGAAACATCGTATGGTCTCGA